AAGGTCAAGAGGTCCCTTTTGATCACCTGTGATGAGGCAACAAAATACGATACGATTTATGGGGCGGCCGACACGGCGCCTCTTTCTGCAGACTGTCTTGTCTTCCTGGCGGCAGACCGGTATTGTACCGTTGGAGATCGCCTGACGTTCGGCCTCGACAACTGTCCCATCTGGGCAAGTGCGGAACTGTGCAGCAGGCTGTTTCTCTGTGCGTATTGCCACATGCGGTCCAAGATTTGGTGTGGGTGTAACTTTTTCCTTTCTCTTTTTGTTTTGTTTTATTGGGACAGGCAGGTCACTGCAGAATGGGCCGCCAACATGCCCCTCGCTACGAACTTCCGGACGTGTGTGTCTATCCATGATACCACCGAGGCAGCGCTGGTCAAGTGAACCCCGCAAGTCTGTCCTCCTATCGAGGATTTTCTGGGCGGGCTAGAAAATTGTGGTCGCACTGTCTTGGTGTCGCTGCCTAGGCCCATTCAAGGGCTTTGGCGAGATTTGCTGTTTTAGATCCCCATACCGCCCCCAACAAGCGCAAAAGACGCGCGAACCTGAGCCGCTGCAACCATTCTTTGCGGAACACGGGGGTTTGCAACAAGATGGCATAGGCCCGATGGGCCATGGCATAGGGCCAAAACAACCATTTCCGACAAGCAATTTGAGGGGAGTGTCATGTCGAGATTTGATAGTCTCGCACCTCATCATCATCATCTGATCAGCAACCCCCCTTCTCCTTGCGCCTGGGCCCGCCTTCGCTCAGTTGTTCATTCCCACCGAATTATATCTCATATCCGCCGCTATGGAGCCGACCAAGTGGTCACCGAGATTCAGACCCCGACACATTTTTCATGTACAGTAGTAGACCCGAATCCATGGGCTCCCTACAAGCCTCCCTCGGGATCCCTGAGCCATGTCCAAACTTATTGGGTCGACCCCCGTATCGTAACAAGAAGTGTCCAGCCACGTGCTATATTCGATTATGGGCCCAGAGAGCGCTATTTTCAACTTTGCAGTTCCATTTTGAACAAAACATTTTATTTGGCCGATGAGAAATGACCTTGTCTGAGACGTTCGGGGGTTTTTCAGTGTGGAATTTCCAACATCAAAGGAATGCACGGAGGGGGGGCTTTTGCTGACCCAGCGTTCCTATTTCCATACACGCCCATGGCCGAGCTGGTGGATGGTAGCAAAATGGGTAACAGGGGACCCCACCAGCCTTGCAACGACGCGATCAGCTCTGGAAGAGTCGGTCTCCCTGGGTCTGCATGCAGGAAACGACGCCAGGGTATCCACCTGGGATGGTCAAATACATACCATCACCTTATTCCACAGCGCTAAATGCAGTCAACTTTTTTTTTTCCTCCTCTTATTACTTGTTATTTGCAGCGAGACGTGCAAGTGTGTGCGTGCGTGCGTGCGTGTGTGTGTGTATGTGGCCACCCCAATGACCATGATCAGCATTTTCCATCGACCGAGAGACTATTGGTGTGCGTTCTATGCCGTACTGCAGGCCTTTTGTCGGTGCACAAAGGGGGGGGGGATGTGGGTGAAGGGTGAGGTACGGGTCCATAGCGTGCTGCACATGGTTAACTTTTTGTTTGACGGTGACGACGCCTGGAATGGGTCGCCTGGCTAATGGCGGCGCAAGTATGCAAGCCATGCGTAAGAAAGAATTAGAATCAAGAAAAATAATAGAACAAAATCCAAAGCCTCAGAGTAATGTGACTGGCTCATACGACGGGGTTTGGACGGCCACTGGCTACGCAACAGGGTTCCAGACAGACACCATAGCGCCGCTTCAGGCTGGAGCCTGGATTGATCGATTCGAATTGGATGAAAGGTTACGCGCAGCCCAGCAAATGGTGGTTGCCTCTTGCCTCTTCTCAACTGGCCGGGGGGGAGAGCCACTAAATCTCTTAGCAAGGACTCACATTTTTACATAGCCCGTATCCGGCACCGGCAAAATCAGACAGACCTGATGACATACCGCGTGCACAGTCAGTTTAGTCAGTACTTTTGCCGTACGTGTCCCTTTCCTTTTCATTCTTTGTGGCTGGGTTGAGCTCGGCTGGGCTGGGGGTAACAAGAAAGACGCATGGCCTTTGAGGCTGTGAATCCAAATCGTCCGTCTTTTTGCTTGTCTAACTCGCCTCTCTCTCTTTGCTTGATGATGATGGCTGATAATGTTTCGTTCTCTATCGACAGGGATGCCATAAGAAGGGGAAAGAGAGGTAAAAAGGGATTCCTGTCTGAAATGCGAGCCACCATGCCCGATCGGGGCACGATCTCATGTGGTGGTTTTCTATTTGTCTTGCCTTTTTTGTTTTTTGTCCCTCTCGGGATTCGTGCTATTGATGCTCGTGCTCAACACCCTCGTGGAGGAGGGGATAGCCCGAATCAGAAGTGTACGCCTCGTTTTGGCTTGTATTTGTGGGCGAGCGCCTAGTAGAGAATGATTGCTGTCTCGTATGCTTGCCCTGCCTTGCCCCTGCCTTGCCCTGCCACGCCTTACCCTGGGCCATTCTTTTTTCGACCTTCTCTTTTATTCTTCCTTTTTTCTCTTCTTCCACAACTCCCTTGAACCTCTCTTGAATGCAGGGGCGACCAGGGGGAGGGGTCTAAGTCGAGCACGCTAAGGAGCCAAAACCTGCCAGACCACCTGCAAGCTACCAGTCATAAGAGGCAAGGACACGGAGACCGTCGCGCCGTTTCCAGACCCCCCCGGCCCCTCCCCTACAATATACTATAGTACCTCCCCCCCCCCCCAGTGCCTTCATACTATGTACAAGTTCGAGCTTTTCCTGGGCGGTGCTTTGGGGGAGGGGGAAGCATGGATGAGGACTTGTCGGACTGTCACTCTTATGGTATCATACCCACAGCCGTGACATCCCCGTTTCGCACGCTTTGTGCGGATGTACTTCGTACCGTGAAGGACAGGTGCTAAAGCATGAGAGGTACGTACTGCCAGGTACTGTGATACGGACTACTGTGGATACCGTGCCCCTCCTGCCGTTCGTTCCTTCCCACATCCATCGTGATGTCCATTCCACGAGCCCACCCAACCTTGTCGAGCTGGGTTGGGACTGGAACTGTACACAGCAACCTTGAAGAATGAACTTCATGGACCACGCATCCGTGGTCCCGACGTTTATCATGTTGTCTCTAAACTTCTCCCATCCTTATGTGTCCCTTTCTTCTTTCCTATCGTCATCCCCATCGTCCCTCTACAGCTTGTTGGTGAAGGGCCCCTTCAAGTCGGCTGGCCCTCCTCCTGTCTTCCCCTTCTGGTGACCAGAACTTCAAATCCTCTGAAGCCAGCCTTACCACCCTCACTTTGCCTCCCTGGCATCTTTGTTGTTCTCTGTCTATCCCTCTCCTACCGCTCGTCCTCAGACTACTGGGTAACCGCGTCGACCTGTTCTGTGACCGCGTTGCGAGCGTTTCCATAGGGGATCGTAGCCCTCCACAGTACCACACCAACACCTGCCGCCGAGCTTGGATCGACATTCATTGACTGCCGACCTTCCCCTCCCCCTTTTGGTGGGAACACGATCCCAGCTGCTAGGTTCCCATACGGAAAGGACCGTTGAATTACAAGACACGTGAATCAGTCAAGAACGGCACGGAAAGTGCTCGTCACGGAGAGCTTGTGATGGAAGCAGCCAGAATTCGGTAAAAACAGCTTCCTCGAATGCTACGCGACTTACCGGCCTTGGGGACCTCTCTTTGGCTATTGTGATCTTTTACGGGGCTGTCTATTGTGAAGAGCCCAGAAGCTTCTTCCGCAGAGAATACGGTTTGGCTTGGTTGGCTGGCCATTGACTCTCAAACGAACAATAGCAGAGAACCGAAACCCACACAATTTGACGACACAGGACTTTCTGTGAATGGAGAGAAGTCAAACGAGAAAAACCAACCACCACCGATGACGCACCTCGATTGATAGACGCCATCACGCAGCCTGACTACTTCACTCAAGTTGTCACCTTCCGAGATGGTTTTGACAGTTACAACAACGCCTCCCTGATCCGCTAATCGAGCCTGCTCCTATCACCAAACTCTTTGAACGAAAGGACTCTTTGGCACGCGTGTCGACTTCTCCTCCTCCTACAAAGCCGACTTGCATTGTTCCTGATGTCTTCAACTACGACGATCACCACCGCTTCCCGACAACACAGCTTCCGGCGCTCTCCTGCCCCATCGAACAGGAGCCAGTCGAGGCAGATACCACACCCACACCCAGAGTCCCAACAAGGACGAACCGTCTGCTTGCGAGAGGGCGGCCCTCTTGGATCGCAGCACAACATGTCGAGTGCTGCGTACTACGGTCAGCGGTCTGTGGGCTATGAGACAGCAGCTCCAGACCGAGACTCTTATAACAACTATTCGGCCCCGCTCTCTAAGTCCTGGGCCAGTGCAAGAGACACTCAGAATTGGTCCGACGGTTACCAAAGTTACTCTCAACCTCAAGTAACGCAACGACAGCAGTATCGACCACCACAACAAGGTCCAGCACAAGCGCGCCAGGCTGCGCCCAGCACTTCCTATTCCTCGAGGCAGCCAACAACTGGACCAACGTCCCCGGCCTCGGCCCATTCCAGCCATATAACGTCAGGGGCCTCAACAAATGGAGATTCGCAGTCCATGGTTATGCACAGCCTACAGTTACCAGCGCGCATAAGTTCCAAGGGAGGGAACCTGGCAGATTTTTCGGCGCAGGTGAGTTCCTACCGCCGTGAACCCCCCCTACCCCCTACCCCCCCTGCACACCGGACACGCCAGCTAATTTGTCTCAGCTCACCTGTCTTTTTTGGTTCGAGAGCCCCAAGGTCCTCGAGGCTGCGGAGAGGATACGGTCTGTCCCGGAGGACAGGCCACTGCCTTTACTGAGCGCGCATGCACTTCCTACCGAGCCTTTTAGGAAATGGGTTAGCTCGGTTCTCTCGACCACGCAGGTCACTCAAAATGTGATACTGCTGGCCTTGTTATTCGTTTATCGGCTGAAGATGACGAACCCCTCCGTTAGAGGTCGACCGGGCAGCGAGTATCGGCTCTTGACCGTTGCTCTGATGTTGGGAAATAAGTGTGAGTAGCAGCTATTGTCTGCTTGAAGAGGCCAAAGCTAATGGATGAAACAGTCTTGGACGATAACACGTACACGAACAAGACCTGGGCTGAGGTCTCTGGCATCTCCGTACAAGACATCCATGTCATGGAGGTTGAGTTTTTGAGCAACATGCGGTACGCTCTGTTGGCTTCGAGCGAGCAGTGGGAAGAGTGGCTTGACAAGTTGGCTTCCTACTCCGTCTTCTGTGAACGAGTCTCCAATGGCACGTCTTCATCCTCCAGGACGGTGTCACCCACCCTTCTGATCCCTTCACCGACCGCGGGCAAGGGGCTTTCACCAGTCGCCTCACCAACCGCGTACCAGTCGGCCCAACGCGGGTTCGCAACGACGAATGGCGGTAGGACGTACTCACCACCTACACTCCCAGTCAACCCGACCCCAATGATGTACCCCGAGACTGTTGGCAGCGTTGTTACATCATTCAACCAGCGGCCTGATTTTGGAGGCTCGAATAACAGGAAGCGAAGTTGGGACGAACAGAGTGTTGAGCCGCCCACGAAGAGGGCTCACCTCGCGCCTGCCCAGCAAGCTCCCAAGCCTGCTCCAGATGCTCGGCGTCTGCCTGTTCCGGCTTTGACGGTGAATACGAACTATCAGACACCAGTGACGCAACCTACGTACGCAAGCACGAGCTACTCTATGCAGCAGTTTCAGCAGCAGCAGCAGCAGCAGGGAGCTCCTTATGCAGTATCACTTCCTCCGCTCGACCCAGGAACTCGAGCCATGTCGACGGTCTACGCGCCTCCCACAACTACCTCCTGGGCTCCTGCGTCGACCATGACGAGTAGTGGCGCTACGCAGCAGAATCTGCATCATGCAAAGGCGGTTACACCAACGAATCAATATCCCCCGACGGTACACTACCCCCCAACGTCGAACGCAACCTTTGGCACGCCCACCAAGCGACTGAGTCCGATCAACAACACGCTGACGCCGGCTGCTGCATACAATGCGTCCTCGCCTCTTCATGACTATCCTCACAACAGCGGTTTCCACACGCCCATCACTCATTCCCCATCCATCTATCTGCAGCAGCGGAACAGTCCCTACAAGCCTATACGCCATGTGCGCACCCTGCTCAACCCACCTCCACCCATGAGCTTGCAGGGCTATCAGCTGCCCGCTATCCCACCGAGCCAGATGCACTACCAACCCATTGGTCGTAGGAACGACCAGCGGACCGGTATCGTGCCTGAGTACCGAGTACATGATGCCTATAGCAGGCACCCCAGCTTCACTCCTGGTCAGCACGCGACAAGCCAACAAAGCCAACATCGTTTCACAGACCTCATGCACTAAGGGACGATGCGAGATCACTCCTACCTCACAACATATTATTCGATTTTACACAATTGTATTTTTTAACACACATCACCACCTCACGAGACAACACAGCATTTGCATCATTTGGGCGTCTGGGAATGGAAGGCAACCCGCATGGTATAAGATGAATCAAGAAGAATGGTTGGAAGTTTTCTTGCTCTCTTCTTTCATCCTCTCGCATCGAAAGCGCGGGCGGACATTTGCATTGCCACATTTTCACATGCTTATACGTGGCACATTCTCACAATGGCATTACCCGTACTTTTCACAGATTAGAGACCCCTTGGCTGTGCACTCAGGCTCAGAAGAGCCCTTGCGGGTCATGAAGGCTGCTGGCCTTCCAGAGTTGGCAGGCCCTCGCGGTGGATTGAGTAAGAGAAGCAATCTTCAGCCATATTTGATAACCTTCAGGCCTAGACGCATAGTCTTCTGCCTTGGGAATAAAAGATTGAAAAACCATAAAACCTTCCTCTCTCTGAATGTGACTTGTTCCCGTCTAAATCAATTTTTGAGCTCCCAGACGACCTCCCCGATATGCCACCCCTTCTCTTGTGTCGCCTAACATGACCGAACTCGACTGCAGATTGTCTGGACAAGAATGTGCTCTTCCAGGAACGACTCGGTGAGTGTCCACTCAACGAGCAGGTATAAGCATGGTCGACCCTAGGACTCAGAATGTTGCGCCGGGGGCAGCATCTACAGAGGCCAGTCCAGGTTATTGCTAGCTCTTCCCAGAGAATGTTCCACCACACATGTGGACTTTTAGCTCGATGCTCTTTCTCGTGAATTACAGACACAACTACCTCGCGGATTGGTTAACTGGAGACCGCTGGAGTCAAGCATACTTGTGCATGCCACGGAGTGTTGCGAGGTTTTCTCCTACGTCGTGGCCGCCTCGCCCATACGCGCGCGCATGGGCGGAGCTTCAGTGGCCTTTCTGGTCTTGTCCACGCAGCTCACGGGAGGTTTCATGACTGCGCATACATAGACCTCCTTTCTTCCTTCGCAAAAGATCTGGGGCCTCGGTGAGTTTCTTGTTCGCGTGTTTCGGTATGTCTCTGGATGTTTTTTCCCCCTTATCGAATGCAACTAGGATGATTGGTGAGGTGAGGTTCAGAGCTGAGGGACATGAGATGATGTAGTTGGGTGTATGGTTGTACCTTTGTAGCCAAATTATATGATCGAGGGAAGTCTCTGTCGTGTCAGTGCGGAGGGAAGCTTTGTCTGTACTGGTGAAGGGGAAGTGGTTGCCATGGCTGCGGGTGAATGGTGCTTGCAGCAGACGTCGTGCTGAAGGGACGTTGGATTTCGGTTCAGGTTGGCTAGTAACTATGAATGGACGTCCTAATGCGGCGGTCCCATCTAGACTTTGTCATTTGAATGAGCCGATATCCATAAGCGATGGCAGCAAATATAACAATAATCGGATAAAGGTTAGCGAAGGAACGAAAGGCCTGATGTCCTTCCAAAAATCACAGACTGAGGAGAGTCCGAGTGCCTTTCATAAGCCCACAACACGTGAACCCTATAGGGCTGTACGAAATGCCTTGCTGAAAGTCTCAAGATCAGTTCGATTTTCTTTCATCAAAGGCACTTGGGCAAGTACTCGACGCAGGGCGGAGGAAGGGGCCTGGAGTCCTCAACAGGACCTAAAGGGAAAACGCCCGATACGGTAATTCCCAGTCTTGGCATTTCCCCAACTGGCGCCAGCTGTCAGACCCCGCCCCTGCGAAGCCGGAGCCGAAGCAGGGGGGACTCGTCATGCCATATGGCCTAGCATGACATGCCACTCTCTCCTATACTCGAAAACCCATCAATTCATTTCTTTGGTCTCTTAATTCATTCATTCTCATACTTCCAGCTACAGAGGCCATCAGTTTCGAAGCAGGCAGACGAGCAAACCCTCAAAAACCAGGGCAGATCGCGGTCCACCGCCACGGCAAAGAGGCAAACGCTCTCACCAGTGGACCCCCGACAAGTATCGCCAGCAAGCCTTCCAGGCCAAGCCCCTCGCCGAATATAACAAGATGCTCTCCTATATAGTCGGCCTCCTAGCATGCCTCCTCGTCTTCTACAACCCGCTCTCTCAGCTGCTCAACCTCTCGCCCTCTGCCCCGCCGCAGATCCGCCGCACGCCGCGGCCGAGGGTGGACGAGAGCCTGCTGGCCCTGGACGACTGGCGCGGGAACCTGAGCTGTCCGGACGACGCCGACTCGTACCGCGTGCACGTGTTTTCCAAGGCGCCACTGGTTATCTATATCGAGAGCTTCCTGAGTAGGGCGGAGAGGGCACATTTGCTCGAGATCAGGTGAGTTTTTCAGGACGACGCTTTTTCTTCTTTCTTTGTTAGAAGCTTTTTCTTGTGGAGGAAGAGAGGCAAAGGGGAAAGAACTCGAGAGGGTGGGGAAGGAGAAGAGGTTCTTTTTTTGGGGGGGAGGGGGAGTTTACCAGCAGATTGGGTCTCCTTGCGTCTCGCTTGTCCTGATAAGGGAGGTGAGAATGTGGTTGGACAGCTAGGATCTGACCATGCCGTGACCTTATGAGAGACGATAACTGACATGATATTGATTCTTTGGATGTGTTCCATCGCTACGATGTCTACGTCTATGTAAAACGAAGAAGATGAGAATGTACTACCAGGACAACATTATACTAACCTGCCATACCTCCATGCTTGTACAGTGAGCCGGCCTTTGAACCCGCAACCATCACACACGACGGCGGTGCGGCCACGGAGCGTGACCAGACCATCCGCGACTCGGAGGTGGCAGTGATCCCGCGGACCGAAGTGGTTCGGTGCATTGAGGCTCGAGCGCGGGCCTTTCAGGGCTGGCGAGGGGAGCAGTGGATAGAGCGCCTGCGGACCCAGCGGTATCGTCCTGGGGGCCACTACAACCACCACTTTGACTGGAGTTCGTCCTACGGGGGGTGGGGTCGCGTGAGCAGCTTCATGGTTTGGGTCGACGGCTCATCTGATGACCCAGAGGACACCCTCCAGGGTGGCGGCACAGAGTTCCCACTGCTCAGGAAAGCGGGCCTCGACGAGAGGTGGTGCCGCTTCATTGAATGTGGCACAACAACTACTAGAGCAAAGAAGGGGGTTGATGATCCTCCTGCTACTGAAGATAAGCATAGCGCTGACGCGATTGAGGCAAAGACCCAAAGAACAGCAGAGGCCAAGGCCGGGGATGATGCCGGATCTGGCTTTGCTGGGGAGGGGAAGGAGGAGGCGGCGGAGGCGGAGGATAAGGTGGTGTTCAAACCTCTGGCTGGTAATGCCGTGTACTGGGAGAACTTCAAGCCTGACGGGACTGGTCGTGGCTGGGATGAGGCCTGGCACGCCGGCCTGCCCGTGATTAGAGGAACCAAAGTCGGCCTGAACATCTGGACGTGGGGGAGGATAGACTGAGACCGATATCCGGCAGGAAGGCTGTTCGAAAATGTCACGATGGCCTCAGGGGTCCAGACCCATCCCGCGCGTGGCTGAGAGTCAAAAGGAGAAAAGGGGGAAGGGGGCTAGGCAGGCAGACCATGCAGCTCCCCTCACCGCCCGAGGAGAAGCATATGGGTGTGCCCAAGCAGCCAGCCCATCTGGCCGCTGATTGCTCAACTGCCTTGAAGTTCTCAAGCAGCAGACCGCACCCCTGCCCCCTTTCCCCCGTGAGCAACCCATTCTTTCTGGCCGTAAGTCACAGCTCTCCCTTGCAGATAATCGACATAAACAGTTCCCTATCATAGAGGTAGAGGAGAGCGGAATCAGCAACTCCCTGGAAAATGATCCCCGCCAGACAATCCTTCATTGACCGGATCGGTTCCAAAACCTGCGAGGGTGTATGTATGTCTCGAATAGCATATGCTCCTCGTATCGCAATCGTACCGATTATCATAATCTTTGTCGTCTCGTATGTGGGGCGGGGCAAGTCTTCCTGCGTTAACAATGCATCATGTGTGATTTGCCGTGATTGCTTCTTGCATGTCTCCACACCAAAGTTGCACATCAGAATCCCATGCTCCCGAGGCCAGGGTGAGAAAGACAGAGGGAGTGTGTGTGAGAGGGAGAAAGAGAGCCTCAAAAGGTCGACGTGAAGCATACCCCCCTGCGACCGGCGGCATGGCATGGCATGGCAAGGCATGGCATCGCATGGCATCGCATTGCCTAATTAGCGAACGCAAGTCGTCCGAGGCCCTGTTTCTGTTACATCACAAAGCGCGCCTCCCGCGTGCCTCGTGCCTCCCGATGACACCCTCTCATCTGCACGATCCCACCACCACGCCGCGCCCCAAGCCCCTAACCCAGAAAGAAAAAACCGGACTCGAGGCGCTGGCCGCGGGTGCACGCGTGACGGCCCCGGCCGCCTCGGGGAGAATATTCGAGATTGCGGCGCCGCTTGAGTGCGTGTGTTTGCATCATCGCATCCCATAATCTCCAAGTCGTCCCATCAGACCGCGGCGATAGCAAAAATTCAACCTGGGCCCTTGCATCCAGTGAGGCAAATAAAGAAAAAAGAAAGTAATAAGAAGAAGAAAAAAGGGGACTAGGCCCCTTTTCCCCCACCCCTCATGATTCCCCATCACCTGCATATGCCCACGATGTTTTCCGAAGTGCTTACAGGACCCTAATGCTTTATGCTTTTTGTGGTCGGACCAGCGCCACGAGGAGCCAATGGAGCAACCCTGAAGCCTTATCAGGGTCGATTGCGTGATCGAGAAGCGAGCCCAAAAGGCGCTGGGTTTCTGTCGAGGAGAGAGCCAACGGGGGACCGGATGTGTGAGCAGGGCTCTCTTTCCGCACCTGCAGGATGGTTTCTCGAGCCCCCTAGTCCAGCCCTTGATACCTCACAGCGCTCTGTTTTGCTGCCGGCTGGTGTCTTCCAGATAGACTCGGCCATGTCTCTTTTGCTCCCCGGCTTTCTCTTCCCCTCCAATAGCGGATGTCGTCCGAGGGCCTGCACAGGGACTAGTCTGGGAAGCGCACTAGTTCAATAGCGGCGAGGGAGCTGCATCTTTCCTGTTCATCGTTTGTTCTTTTTTTGGGTTTTGGTATCATTTTTCTTTCTTTTCTTTTCTAGATGCACGCTTATCTAGGTCGATCTGGGTTCGAGATACAAATCCGGACGGGGAAGACGCAAGGCAGAGTCTGCGGTTATGCGGCCATCGGTGCGGCAGCCTTACGACATGTGAAACGGTGAAGCTGATGATTGCGCATCATGTCGGAGAGAGAGAGGAGGAATCGTATCAAGAGGGCGCAGAGGGCTCCTCTTGACTGGCTTGCCCTGTCTGAGCAGATGGATGGATGGATGAATGGACTGTCAAACGAGTTCGACGACGCGAGCATATTGCGCATGATGTTGCGTCTGTGTAGCCAGCCATGATTATTGTGCTCTCTTGTGTGTGCGCGCGGTTTCTTCCCTTCCCTGAGGAGGGCCGTGGGTCTTTTGCTCAGTCAGTCATTATCTGTTTGCCACACTCGATGCTATGTCTGTAGTCAGTCTTCATTCCCTCGTCAGCGTAACGGGATCCTGCTCGTAAACAAGCACGACAAGGGCCCACCCCCTCTCTTGTCTCTTCTCTTCAAGCCTGATGGTCGTCGGTGGGAGGCTGCGGGTCGATATGTACATGATCAGAAGAGAGAGGACGGAAGTCGGGCGGCTCGTCGGGCGGCAAAACATCCCAGCACGACGGCAACGATGTTGAGACTTGGGAATATCGAGATCAACAGCCGTTGGCGAAGTACCTCTCCGCCCGGAACCTGGCCTGGGCCGGGCTGTACTTGCATGGATCCTTGCACGGCCTCGGCTTAACGCCTTCTGTGCCGTCTCGCTTGTTTGTTCTGGGCCTGCGGAAAGAGAGATGGGGCGACTGAACCTGCGGGCGCGACTTGGATTCTGGTGCAAGTCAGTATGAGGATGCAAGTAACTGGCAAGATCGCCTCCACCCGCTGTTAAGAACCCATCCACATGGGTACCTCCATTGCATCACGGCTCCAGTATCCGCTGCGGGAACCCCCACTAACACGATCCGCCCTGGCCGCACAGGCTGGAGATAGGCAAGGGTATCCCAAGTATTGTCTCCAGTTGAGACCAGCAAAAAACGAAAACCCCCAGCGATATGGCCTGTGCTGATGAGTTTATCCCCTGGCTCTATCCCGGCTAAGTCAATAACCCATCCCAGTAAGAGGGACGAGAAAGATGCTTAGAGGTACGAAAGTGCTAAGAGGAAAACTTTGACACTCAGAAACATTAGAAAATACGGTTTGTGGACTGCAGAGTTGCGATGTACCTTGGGCAAAGTAAGCTGGGCGCATTGGCACCAAGACTAGATCTGCGAGATACCTTCTCAGCTTACAATGTACTATGTAGAAAGTGCCCCCGTTTTTGGCAAGCCTTTTTCGGACAGGGGTCAGTCCAACAATGACGTCCTGGCTCTCCCACGCTGACCCATGCTACCTTGCATCAACTAGCACACAATCCCAAACCGCCTTCCGGCAATACGATGGCCCTCACCTCTGGGCAAGCCGGGGCCGCGCCTGGCCAAGTCTCGGTCGGCTGTACAAATGGGTTCAGGGAAAGAAAAAGTGTACTTTGTGCTATGGTGAGAAGGGGATTAAAGTGAAAAATGAGTTAGCACACTTGCAAGGTATCTGGCATAGGCTGTCGGTCATGAGTGCTTTGTACCTTTTTTCCTCGACCCCCGTTGTGCCGCCGGGAAGAAGAGGTGGTGGGGTGGGCTTTCAGATTCCCATGGCGACAAGCAAGTTCGTGGTGGCCATTACTCCCACGCCCGCGCGCCGATAGATACCTCTGGACTGGTCTGTATATAAATATTATTTTCATCTTCCCAGAGTTTGAATTCTCGTGGTGTCGTTCTCTAGTGTTCAGTCTTTTCCCATCTTCCTCCACTTCATTCACACACTACTGTTACCCCAGAACTTCGCTTGGGACAGAGGTCAAGAGAAAACACGCAAAAGACCAAGAAAGTCATTTTGTCTATTCTCATCAACTTTGTATTTTCTTAGTCCTGCAAGGGAGGGAAGAAGATCCTATACATATTCATACATCTACACGCACATACAATCACACCATCACTCTCAACATGTCGAATCGACCTATATTTATGGCGACGCACCCTCGTGCGTGCTCGACCGCTTTTGAAAGGGTACGTCTATACCAATCAATTTAGCCTTACCACAGCATTGGGACCAAGCGGCCCGTTATTTCCTCAGGGTCCTGCGGGCGAATAGACTGCCATGTGTTTCGCGAGACAATGGCAATTCGCAGCCCTGAGATGGCGTGCTCACCAGTAGCGCACCTTCCAATATAACCAGAACGCAGCCCCCGCCTGTGTCTTGGGATCTTCACCACTAACATTTGGATCTCTTCAACCCTTCTTTTTTTTTTTTTAGGTCTTTATGACACGCCGAGACATCTTGCAATGTGCCCATGAGCCCTTTGGAGATGCCTTCTACTACGGCCCTGAGCGCCTGTCGGACCGCTTCGCCGACGACGAGGATGCCAGGATCAAGAGCGGCTTCTCAAAGTCCACCTACAAGACCGTCATGGACCGTCTTGAGAAGGACGGGAGCGAGGTTAGTTTCTTTTGCTCTGAATATCGTCTGTCCCGAGTTTCTGCTGCGATCGGCTCAAGGCTTTGCATTTTTGAGAGATATCCGGTGTTGGTGCTTGGTTGACCTTTGGTCACAACACCCATCCGTCTCGCTGCTCTGCGACGGCACACCCGACACAGAGAGACACAGATCAGAACGTTGGAACATCATGGAGTCCTCACAAAGTACTAACAAGAGATATAGGGCAAGCGAGTTTTCATCAAGGACATTGCTCACTACCTCCTTCCACCCCATGGCAAGGACGCCGAGGTTGCACCCTCTCTCGTCGGCGGCCACGCCCTGACCGATGCTCCTGAGGTCAACAGCAACGCAGATACAAATAGCCACAACGGCTTTGTCTCAAGTCACACAAATGGTTTCGTCAACGGCCCGACGAACGGAGACGCCTCCAACGATGCCACCACACACACCACAGGCCACGTTAACGGTCCCACGAACGACGAAGACGAGAACCCCACCGTGATGCCCACCGACATGCTCCGTGGCTTCCACTGGACCTTCCTCATCCGCCACCCCCGCCGCTCCATCCCCTCCTACTACCGCTGCACCGTCCCGCCCCTGGACGCCATCACGGGTTTCCACGACTTCATGCCCTCCGAGGCCGGTTACGAAGAGCTGCGCCAGCTGTTCGACTACCTCCTGTCCCAGAACATCATCGGCCCCAAGAAGGCCGGCGACAAGATTCCCGTCGACGAGGCCCTCAACGGCTCTGGTTCCGAGACTAGCTCCCTGAACGAGGACGCCCCTAGGCGCGCTGCCATCACCGTCATCGACGCCGACGACCTGCTGCAGAACCCTGAGGCCATCCTCAAGGTCTACTGCGAGGAGGTCGGCATCGACTATACCCCCAAGATGCTCGAGTGGGGCGATGAGGCCAACCAGAAGTACGCCGCCGACGCTTTCGAGAAGTGGTATGGTTTCCACCACGACGCCATCGAGAGCAAGTGCCTGAAGCCTAGACCTCATGGACATGTACGTTCACTCTCCTTATAACCAAACCCATGAAATTGAGCCCATGCATATATAGACACAGAGTAACTGACTTGCATTCCTCTTTACAGAAGACGCCCACCATTGAGGCTGAGAATGCCGACTGGCGCGAGAAGTTCGGCGAGGAGGCCGCCAAGGTCATCAGGGAGACGGTTGATGCCAATACTGCCGACTATGAGTACCTGAAGTCCTTTGCCATCAAGGTCTAAGCGATGTTTGATGATGATACGAAATACTTAATGCTTGTTGTTGTTGTTTTTTTTTTGGGAGGGGGAATCATTGAGAAGGACATACTCTTTGCATACGGGAGGCTTGCGATTGCTTTTCTCGGGTCAGCGTGCATGCGCACACCGCATGGCTCATCCTGCATAGCATCTTTTTCCGGCGGCCATGAAAGTAGGAGAGGGGAGTTGACTTTGTGTCCCTCTGGCCTCCAACGTCAATATGAAATACAACATCCTGACGGAATGTTAATTTCCTCAAACAAAGGCTTCTTCCTTTTAAGAGACTTGGTGCTTTAAACATAAGCATGTAGGGGGAGGGAGTCCTTCTCTTGTATTCAAGAAGCTGGCTCCCCAGCCATACTCCACAGCGCACAGCTTCCCGCCCACACCCCCCCTTCAAGCGTATAGTCCGCATTGTAATCCCCCCACGTACTATCCTGTACGCATTCTACGGCAATGGCCGTGTACAGATACTGATAGCAGCTGTCCTGACCAAAACTCGAAAAATCCAACTTTTGCTCATCTGTCGCCGTGCCCGGCTCACAGGAGTCAACATCAAATATCACGCTCAGAGCAATATCGCCTCCGTTTTCCGCCGCATTCGCGACCTTGCCAGCGGCGGGGGAGGCGGAATCGGCGCTCAGCACGACCTTGTTGGAAACCAGCGAGCTGCAGTAGGACGACGCAGCGGAAGAGGCTTTCGAGGCGTTGAAGCGGACGAACTGGGAGCCGGTTGCGTCGACTTTGTTGCACACGGGGCTCTGGTTCCCGCTGTCCGGCGTGGTGGAGGGGAGGGATGCTTGTGTACAGGAGCCTTCGATCTGGTTGCCTTGGCAGGCATTGGCGGTGTTGGCTGGTGATGTGGCGGCGGCGGTGGTGCTGGTGGTGGTCGTGGCGGATGATGCTTGGGTGGTTGTTTCGGCCGTTGTGGACGACGCTTGGGTCGTTGAGGGCGAGGTGGAGGAACTTGATGACGAATTGGACGATGAGACTGGGCAAGAATCTCGTCGTCTGAGTTTCTTTGTTTTGCTCACATCCCAGGTGAAGGTCAATGTGTATTCCCAGCTGTACGCGGTGCCGGTGTCAGTCGATGTCAAGTAATGTTTGTTGTGTCTTGCGACCAGGTTCATGTACTCCTCCCACTGGCTATAGTACTTTCCAGTTCTGCCGCCCTTAAACACGTCCGATAGACCACTAGAGGTGCGGACCATGGGTTCAATGCGGTTGGTCCAAAGCTTGGTTAGATACTCTGGAGGTGTGTTGATTTGGGGCAGAATCGTGTTGGTCATGAAGTCTTTATAAGCTTCGGCAATGCCGTTAGGAAATGTGGCTGTGTAAGCTGCAGTGTTTCCGTACATATTTGCTGGGTTCACCTTGACGTCGTCGTCGAAGGCCTGCCTGTGAAGTGATTGTCAGCAGTCTGTAGAAATGAGAGAACAAAAGTACTACATATGTGTTTGCAGGAAACTTTGACATGCTTAGAAGCACGCAGATAACTTACAATTGTTTATAGATGGCGTTATTGGTACGGTCAATCAAGTCGAGCATGTTATCGGTTTTCATTTCCAGCACACCGTAGAGAACAGTCTCCCAATATTGAATCATTTTCCGGAGAGCAGAGGCCGCGGATTTTGAACTGCCAGTTGGGCTGCCGTCGTTAGGCCAAACCCACCCACTGCCAGTGGCTGGGATCACCCAATCCGGATCGTCTATATACTGCTGTTGGAACGTTGGGCTTCCCGGATCCGTGAAGAAGATGCCCTTCGCGTTGCCGTTCAGGTACTGCGACATTGCGATAAATCGCAGGTTGCTACTGCTACCGAGCTGGTCCCACACATCTTGGATAAGGCCGACCTGGCAAGCCGTCCGGAAGAAGTACTGGTTCATCTGGTTACATGTTAAAGTGTTGGCTGCATTCGTGGAGCTGATAACGCTGGTGAAGAACTGCTTGAGCCAGGCCTTTTCATCTACAAAGAAGATGGTCAAACGGAGAGCAAACATTTAGCTTAATTCGACAAAATAAGAAGAGAAGAGAGAGAGGAGAGGAAAAGTAAAACGAGGCAACACTTACAAGCATGGTCCAGGCTCGCGAGATTGTTGATGTTGGCATAGTTTTTTCCAAAAAAGTCTGACCATGGCGGTGCATCTGAAAAATCGACGGCGCTCAACCGCGTAGTGGTAAAGACGCAACCAACAGAGGTAGCTCGGTCATAGCGTGAAATAGGAGTCAATGTTGAAGACATCTTGCCTGCTATCTCGGGCTTCAACATGGCGGCGTTCACGGCGGGCCAGCCAGGTCGAGTGAGAGGTTGGCCGGCGGGAGTAGTAAGCGCGCATCCGCCCAGGCTGGAGATTTCTGATGTAGATCCCCTCTTTTGGAGGAGATCCATGGTGACGCGACCAGCAACTGCGCGCTTGCCGGAGTCGGACGTAGGGGCTGGCCCAGACGTAATGAGAGAGGGAACAGCGGTACCAACAGGTGAGCCCGTGGCACAGCCTGCGTTGCATAGTGTTTGTGTAAGCGGGACATTGGTTTGAGATATAAAATCTGCCGGTGGTGTGCACACCGTGCCGTTGGATGAGACTGTCGTTGTGGTGCCTTGCACGGAGCAGGCAGAGGTCGTCCGCGTGCATGTGGTAGTGTACGATGAACAGGAAGATGAAGAGCCGGAGGCGGTTTGAGCACAGCTAACAACGCAGTCAGAGGCAGTTTCCGTGGCGGAACAGCTGGATGTAGAAGAAGTTGTTGTCGATGTCGAACCTGTCCCTGAAGTCGTGGTCTGCTTTGTAGATTCTGACGATGATGCAGTCGTCTTCTTTCCAGATTGTGACGACGTCTGACTGGTTTGTGTGGTAGATCTTGACGACGATGTATCATCGCCTGAATCGTCAGTCTCAGGTGGAGTAGTGCAGCTGCCGACCGAGATGCCAAAGACCTTGATGCACGGCATATGAAATTTTGGGAGACCAGGAAGCTCGTACTCGACATCAGGATCTGGGGGCAGATTCCACAGGACAACGCCCCGGCCACCTCCGACGACGAGGAATGGCACGAGTGTTGTTGAAGAATGCGCGTCCGTCGTGGTGATCCACTGGTTGGCCGTCAAGGACGGGTTCGAAAGAGTGATGCCCGTGAAATCAGCAGGGACAGTAGTAACAGTCGCAGTGATACTGTCAGATCCGTGTGTAGAAGTACCCTGCGTCTGGCCTTTTGAAGAATTTGGAGCAGTACTTGTGGTGGACTGGCTTGTTGAGGAAGTTTGGACGGTACTTGTAGTGGACTGGCTTCCTGTAGAACTTATTGTGGACTTCATGCTCACAGCAGTAGCAGTTGAATTTACAAGCGAAGTCGAAGAATAGAGTTTAGAGCTCAGGCTGGAAGACAGAGTGCTTGTCACTGACGAATTTGCAGCTGAAGAGGCATTTGTCTTAATTTCAGAAGAGACGCTGCTTGTCGTAGAGTTAGCCGACATTTTCAGGCCTGTGGATGTAGTTGTCCCGGCCTCAGAAGCAAGACTGCTTGTCGTCGCGTTGGTCGAAGATCTTAGGCCTGTAGAAACAGTCGTGTCCGAGAGGGCTGTTATAGAGGAAAGTCTGATACTTGCTGCCGTATCCAGAGAAGATATCTGACTGGAGCTTGTCGTCGTTCCCGAGAGGCCTGTTTTGGAGGAACCTCTAGCAGTTTCTGAAATGTTTCCAGAAGACGTCTTCTCAGTGGAGGTTGAATTTGCAATAGATGATCTCTCAGTAGAGATGCTATTTGAAGTATTGACGCTGCTTGAAGGGCGAGCGCTGTCGGTCGGCAAGAAGCTGGGTTGAGCGAGCGGCACTTTATCAGAAGCCTTCGGAATATTCCAGCCAATGCCTTCCGGCCCAATATCATAGCTGTAAGTGAAGAGCGTGGTGGAAGAGCCATTGTTTACGGTCAAGACAGTCTCGGTATAAATGGTCGAGGTGAGGTTGGCAAAGCCAGAACGTGTCGTGGGAAAGAAGGTTCCCGTCCCTCCAGCGGACGTCTCAGTGACATTTGAGCTGTCTCTGGACGAGGAAGAACTGCTGAGCGATCCAGCAGATGTGATGAGTGGAAAAGATAGGTGAAGTAAGAGGGAAAGTAAGAGGGAGGAGACCGAGTATGGTGACAACGGCATGTTGATTTATTCTTGCGATGTAAGTACTTACTTATCAGGAAATACACACGAGAAATTGTGAGCGGGCTCGAGCTCTTCTTGAGGTAAACGACGAGACTTGGAGGGAATCTTTATTTCTACTACATAATTATTGCAACTGTTTCGGGGCACACATAAATCGAGCTGAATTTTGGGATCGCATTGATCGAATTCACATTCGACTTATTATGTACACACCCGGAGTGCTGACCACTCACTGTTCTATGAGTTGGGGCGGAAATTCTAATTAAGCCCACACGAAACTTCAAGAACTTTGCGTCTTTTGAAGCTTGCAGAGAATGAGAGATGATAAGGAACGGCATCCATGATGAGACTCGCGGTGAGGGGGCCCATAGAGTAGACGTGCTGAGGCTTATTCTGACCGTCAAATTCGGCCAGGGCTGCGCGGCCGTCTTTGATATTCAATGTTGTAGCGTCGAATTCATGGATTCAATAAATAGGCACAAGGTAGAATGCATCTTACAATATGTACAACTCTTACAATTTAGCGCCAGGATCAAGCCAATTGCTGAGTAGAACTGACCAACGACTAATGCACTACGAGTGTGGTGTTTTGTTCGTATTTCTTGAAACCCGCCCCCATACGAAGCGCACACGCGGCACACCCTCTTTGATTTAATTTTAGGCCAGCAACCCATCCAATTTCGATTCCAAGCTGCGTTACGCAACTTGAAAACTATTCAAAATTTCATGAAATAAGCTCTGAGACGCAGGATTCAGCCAGGAAAAAAACAAAAAACATTGGCTGCAAGATGAACCACTCATGAAAACAAACATGACGGCCGGCGGTAACCAGCAATTCACGATGGGCATTTCTCAAATCTACTGTGCCGTATGCGGAGCTCCAATGCTTAGCAACGGGCTTGTGTGCGTCTGGCCGTTCCTCTCAAGACTCTATTCTTGAAAATATGCTGACAAGAGGCGCAGAGAAAACGGCTCCAAGAAATGGCTGAACGAGAGTGTGCTGTTGACCACTGCCAAACGAGCCGAGCACGACGAGGGTGTCACGATTGACGAGTACTGCCCGCCAGGCTTGCACTCAACGTACCACTTCGTCTTGGGCCCCAAACCTTCACCAGACGAGCAGAGAACGGTCCTCCAACTCGAGGCTGAGGCGGACGACACAGGCCGATTTCTCATCCTGGATACTACTACTGCTCCTTCCGTGTCAGGCAAGCTGTTAGCTGCCATGTGCGTCGAGATCGACAAGCCCAAACCACCTCCAGGACCACCCGAACACGGCGCACCGCTCTACCTCCCCGTCCACCGCGCCTGTCTCGAGCTCGCCAACCGCTTCATCAGCAGCACAGAAACATCTCTCCTCAGCGGCCAGACCGTTGCGCCAGATGGCATCACGTCCATCCGACAGCTGTGGGAAGTCCTGTATCGTCGATTGCCTTGGACGCTCCACGGTCGGACGTGGGTGCTTCCCTCGCCGCAGGAGTACTTTGGCGGCGAGCTCTACCGCAACCTTAGCTATGAGCCAGACGATGATCCCGAGGCCGCTGCGCTGCATGAGCAGAATCCGATACAGATTCCTGATCTCACTGCTTCGGTCCTACAGAACCTCAGACCACTCGATGCAGAAAGCGGCAGCAGCAGTCAAGACAGCGAGTGGTTCTTTGAAGCCCTCATCACTGCAAAGCTATGTCCCTGGCTCTGGGATCTCGATACCGACGTCATGCGTGAAAAGCATCGGACCGGGCATTGGGACTGGACGCATCTTGCGCGTGGGCTTACCCATGAGAACGTCATTCAACCGCCCGCATCATCGGGAGACAATGGTGGTGACCTCCAGCTTAGCTTGCAACTGCGGAACCGACGCCGGATCTGGCGCCTTCTGGAAGAGGCACGTGTTGACGATGTCGCGACCACGGAGGAGGAATTGAAGGCAGCGAGGGGGATGACATAGGAAGAGGTGTTTGGATCGAGCTGGGAAACAAACTGAATGAGCACGCTCTAATTAGCGCGGTGCAGAATTGTCGGAGTTGGAAGGATGAGAGTAGCACATCGTGTTGCTGCCCGTAGGCGGTACCTGATCGCAGAAAACAAGATTATAAAATGCCAAACCCACTTGCGCATCTTTTTGACTCCCAAAGCAGATATGCCTCATTTGATAGATAGTACAAGCGCACCACCCGACAATATGCTTCATGCCATTTATCTACGCTCTTGCATCCTGGCCGGGATTGATAGACTTTCCACCTAGCCAGCCAAACCAGCCCTTCTTTTGCTCCACAGGCTCCTGCTTCTCCACAGCCTCACCCTCCTTGCCATCTTCATTCCCGGCGCCCGCTTCTGCGGTACTGTCGATGCTCTTGTCACCTTCTGCCGACTGCTCCTCTGGGGCTTCCTCTGCCTGTCCCAGGATCTCTTTCGTGCGCCAGTTCCAGACCTTGACGCCGTCCGGCAGGCCGACCTCGTGCTCGACATTTTGGGACCACTTCCGTGCCCAGAAGAGGTCGGCGTCGTTGGACCAGTAGATGGTGGCCTTGTGGAGTCGCTTTGATGGTTCTACTCGCTTGCTGTGCTTCTTGGATGCCTTGTTGGGCGCCGCAGTCTCTGAGGGTGGTGCCGTACTGGAGGCCTGCGCATCGTCTTCCAGGGCGGACTCCTGTGCCGCTTGGCTGTCAATGGTCGCCAGCTCCGCCTCAGCACCCTGCGCAGCGTCGACTTCGCCCTCAATCGCCTTCGCCGGCTCCGTCGTCCACATCAGGTTGCCTCTCCCGGCGCCTGCCAGCACCGCCGCTATATCCGCCACGGTATTGGGCTTCTGATTGTGAATCTTCTCGCCCCGGTCTCTCCGGCTCAGCTTCTGGAACTCCTTGGCCTGCCACCCCCACTCCAGCTCGTGGAGAGCCCTAAACTCGCGCAGCTTCTGGAAGACGCTCCGGCCCACGACGCCCTGACCGCTCCCGAATCGTATCATGCATAGCGGCTGCCAGTAGTCCTCACGAATGACGGGTGGTTTTTGTTTCTTGACCGTGAAGGGTATCTGTGAGAGGTATTTTTGGGAGTCGCGCTGTTGTAGAAAAGATAGGCTGTCAGCTCATGACGTGTTGACAGCTATTGAATGGCCCCATTGGAGTCCAGTCTCGCATTCAGAAGGAGAGGTTGAAAGACGTACTTGTAACCTCGGCTCATGTGAGTATATCACCATGCCATTCTCAATGTGGTTGAACACATATATGTTCTCTCCATGGCCGCGCCCGAATCCCGCTAGATGGTACTTCTTCCTCCGGAATTTTGTCTTGGAATGGGCCTGCCTTATGCTCGTCCTGGAGACGCCTATCGACAGGCTGTCGAGTATGCCGACAAGCGAGGTCGGCGAGGAGGTGTTCATGGCGGCTTGCTCTGTGTGGGGGGGGTGGTGGGACTGGATTGAGCAGCAGGCAGTCCAACCTCGCCGTCGCGATGCTTCTCGCAATGCGCGAACAAATTTCCATCCACCCGGCTCGTCTTAGCTAAGCAAGCCGCTGCGCTAAAAGGCATTGGAGCTTGGGCCAGCGGGTAACCTTCCCTGCCCCCTGCCATGAGAGGAATTCTTTTGCTCGCGGCAGGCTTTGGGTGCAGCAGGGGGCGTCCAGCCGCACCTAACCCCGCTCTCTGTGGCTGGACCTTCCCTTGTGGCTCCCCTGAAGACCGCTCGAGCTTGGAAGCATCCAGATCCTTCCACTGGGTGCTGGAAGCAACCAGTGACGTCGTGACCTTCCCAGAATCATCCCACAACAACCAGCCTGTGCCAGCTCATGCTAGCCTCAACAAGAACCAACTCTCACCTGCATGAAGGCGCGTCCAAAAGGTTCTCAGCAAGTCTACGGCTCCACAGGGGAATCAGGATAAAAGTATTCTGACTCTTGGGGTCTGCACTTGATTTCCCCTCTCTTCTTCCAAGAAACAACACAAACTAAATCAAACCAAAACCATACCAGCACGGTTTCACATCGTTGCTCCGTACAACCAAGTCACACTCACCGACTCTTTTTTTTTTTTTTATTACACGACAACAACGTTTTTGATACCCACGCATTCCGTTTCTAATTTTCTGTTTTCTTCACCAAGCTATCCATCATGAATTCAAAGATGGAATTCACCGACAGGGCCAAGAAGGCATTGGAGGATGCCATGGCCTTGGCCGAACAATACGCCCACAGCCAGCTCCTCCCCGTCCACCTGGCTGTCGCCCTTCTCGAACCCCTCCCAGACCAGTCCAAGGACCAGCAGAACGGTCCTAAGGGCACCCAGCACACCCTCCTGCGGCAAGTTGTCGAGCGAGCACACGGCGACCCGCAGCTCTTCGACCGAGCCCTCAAGAAGACCCTCGTCCGCCTGCCCAGCCAAGATCCTCCGCCAGAGAATGTCTCCATGGCACCCACCTTCAACACTGTCCTTCGTAAGGCAATGGAACTACAAAAGGTGCAGAAGGATAGCTACATCGCCGTCGACCACCTGATCACGGCGCTTGCTGAGGATGCCGGCATTGCCAACTGCCTCAAGGAGGCCAACATTCCCAAACCAAAATTGGTGCAGGATGCCGTGCAAACCATCCGCGGCACGAAGAGGGTGGACTCCAAGACCGCCGACACTGAGGAGGAATCTGAGAACCTAGCCAAGTTTACCATCGACATGACCGCCATGGCGCGGGAAGGCAAAATCGACCCCGTCATCGGCCGTGAAGAGGAGATTCGGCGAGTCATCCGAATCTTGTCTCGCCGTACCAAGAACAACCCCGTCCTCATTGGCGAGCCTGGTGTCGGCAAGACAACCGTCGTGGAGGGTTTGGCACAGCGGATTGTCAATGCCGACGTGCCCGACAACCTGGCCCAGTGCAAGCTGCTCTCGCTCGATGTGGGTGCCCTGGTTGCCGGTTCCAAGTACCGAGGCGAGTTCGAGGAGAGGATGAAGGGCGTGTTGAAAGAGATCGAGGACTCGAAGGATATGATTGTTCTTTTCGTCGATGAAATTCACCTGCTCATGGGTGCCGGCTCTTCCGGTGAGGGCGGCATGGACGCAGCCAACCTTTTGAAGCCCATGTTGGCCCGAGGCCAACTCCACTGTATCGGTGCCACCACTCTCGCCGAGTATCGCAAGTACATCGAGAAGGATGCCGCCTTCGAACGTCGATTCCAACAGGTCCTGGTCAAGGAGCCCTCGATTCCCGAGACCGTCTCCATCCTTCGAGGTCTCAAGGAAAAGTACGAAGTCCACCATGGTGTCACTATTGCCGACAGCGCCATTGTCGCTTCTGCCAGCCTTGCTGCCCGGTATCTCACCTCTCGACGCCTGCCCGACTCTGCCGTTGATCTCATTGACGAGGCCGCGGCAGCTGTCCGGGTAGCCCGGGAGTCGCAGCCAGAAATCATCGACTCCCTGGAGCGGCGCCTGCGGCAACTCAAAATTGAAATTCACGCCTTATCCCGCGAAAAGGACGATGCATCCAAGACGCGCCTTCAACAAGCCAAGCAGGATGCTGCGAACGTTGAGGACGAGCTGCGGCCCCTGCGCGAAAAGTACGAGAGCGAGAGAAAGCGTGGCAAGGACATCCAGGAAGCTAAGATGAAGCTCGATCAGCTCAAGGTCAAGATGGAGGATGCCAGCCGGATGGGCGACACTGCTCGCGCTGCCGACCTTCAATACTATGCCATTCCTGAACAGGAAGCCAACATCAAGCGACTGGAGAAGGAGAAGGCTACCGCCGATGCTGCTCTCCACGCCAACGGTGGCGACGGCGGCTCCATGATCACTGATGTCGTAGGACCAGACCAGATCAACGAGATCGTGTCTCGCTGGACCGGCATACCCGTCACCCGTCTCAAGACTTCCGAGAAGGACAAGCTCCTGAAGATGGAGAGTGCTCTCGGAAAGGTTGTCGTTGGTCAGAAAGAGGCTGTTCAGGCCGTCTCAAACGCCATCCGCCTTCAGCGGTCCGGCCTGAGCAACCCCAACCAGCCCCCAAGCTTCCTGTTCTGTGGTCCTTCTGGAACAGGCAAGACGCTGCTGACCAAGGCTCTCTCGGAATTCCTCTTCGACGATCCCAAGGCCATGATTCGGTTCGACATGTCCGAGTACCAGGAGCGCCATGCCCTCAGCAGAATGATTGGTGCCCCCCCTGGATACGTTGGACACGATGCCGGTGGTCAGCTTACAGAGGCCCTCCGCCGCAAGCCGTTCTCTATCCTTCTCTTCGATGAAGTCGAGAAGGCGGCCAAGGAGATTCTGACTGTTTTGCTCCAGCTGATGGACGACGGTCGCATCACTGATGGCCAAGGACGTGTCGTCGACGCCAAGAACTGCATCGTCGTCATGACTTCCAACCTGGGTGCTGAGTACCTCGCCCGCCCCAACGCAAAGGACGGCAAGATCGACCCGACCACTCGGGAGCTCGTCATGAACGCTCTGCGGAACTACTTCCTGCCCGAGTTCCTCAACCGTATCAACTCGATCGTCATATTCAACCGTCTTACCCGGAGGGAGATTCGCAAGATTGTCGATGTTCGCATCAGCGAGATCCAGAAGCGCCTCTCAGATAACGATCGGCATGTCTTCATCTCCGTATCCGATGAAGCTAAAGACTACCTGGGAAATGCTGGCTACTCCCCAGCCTATGGTGCTCGTCCACTGTCGCGCCTGATCGAGAAGGAGATCCTCAACCGCCTCGCGGTCCTTATCCTGCGGAACAACGTCAGGGACGGCGAAGCGGCGCGCGTCGAGCTGGTGGATGGCAAGATTACCGTTCTGCCGAACCACCCAGATTCCGATACAGAGGACGAAGATATGATACTGGACGACGAGGAGGATGCTGTGGATGAGATTGTCAAGGACGACATGGATGAGGACATCTACGATTGAGTTTCTCTTCCTCTCACTTCACAGGCAAACGGCGTTGGGCAAGCATGGTTATGAGTTACGAATATTAATACAGCATCGTCAAATTGCGATGTTTTGGGAGGCAATATGATTTGGCGTTTATGCTTGCAAGGGATGTCAAGACTGAAAAGATCCTAGTAGATAGATAGTCTTCAACATGATACATCTGCAATCAAACTTGTAATAGCATCTGTGCACTGTGATATTTGGGATGAGTATGTCTAGCTTCGGGATGTCCGCCAAGCTAAGGAACGTTGATATAGATGGCCGGGAATCGCTGCTGGCCAAATAATTATCTTAAGGGATCGGAGCATATTTAATGTGATGATAATTTTCCTCTTAATTGTGATTTTTGATAGCTATATTCCGCGGGGAGGGGTGTTCATTGAGGCGCGTGCATCACTTCCGGTCACATTAACTGAGCACCAAGCCGTCTCAAGCGATTACCAAGTAATTAACGCAACCGTTTCAATTGACCGTCATTGTCCACGATTATTTAAAGCTTATCAATAAGTCTGGACCAAAATTGCTGTACTGTATTTTTGTAGTGGGGTGGTGGCCTGTTAAAAAGCAAACAAAGCAGGTCCAGTCCCCATTGGGTTCTGAATAGTGGCCAAAAGCTGAAAGGACTTGGAAGTATGCTGTTGCCACTTGCTATTACAATTCAAATGTAATTCTCGCCTCATAGAATTTCAATGCACCGCCTCGAACTTGGACTCGAGTTGATCAAATTGGCTGAGGCAGATGCAATCAAAAAAATCAAGTCCCTATTGACTGAGCCAATATTCACCCTCTACTCCCGGCCCAGTACCCCTACTCGTCACTTTCACTCACTCATGGACAGTCTGAAAGAGGCTGCCCGCCGCACCCTCATTCAAGCTGGCCTGCGGCACCAGTCCCTCCCAACGACTAATGATGCCAAGGACAGCGAGCGTCTCCTTGCGTCGCCGTCGCCATCGGGAGACTCGGACCTGACGGCGTGCGAGAAGAAGACGCGGGACTCATGTGAATGTGTCTGCCACCAGACGGGGCCGCTGTGGCCGCTGCAACGGCTGATGACCGCTCGGATCAATTTGTTTGCGAGCTTGTTCTGGCTGCTTGGTGCGCTGTTGATGATTCTTGCGTTTGGGGGGAAGCGGGGAATGCCTGAGAATGGGATCTTTGGTTGGTGTGAGTAATCATTCGACTTTCTCCTTCTGTCCAAAGAGTGTCTGGTCAAGTAATGTTGACATTTCTGTCCTTCTAGCACCGGTTGTGGATGATAACATGTCGGAGTATGTCGAGTATACATTTCCTTATTTCGATGTCGATCCTGGCCAGGAGCTGTGGAACAACAAGCCGACATATGAGCAAGATGTCAGGTGGTATGAATCGTACAGTGAGTATCCGTTTACCTCTTCTCTTTCTTCTTGTTCCCCTCGGGAAAGAAAAATCTCACCGTTAATGATTTGGATTGACTGACTTGTATGTGGTGTACCTCATCAAAGACTGGCTCACGGCCGTTCCAACCAAGGATGCCGAGCAAATACCCAATGGCACAGTCAGAATCCCAGGTGATGAAGAAAACAGTGTGAGTTCATCTCTCTTCCTACTCCTCGATCGACAAAGCTGACAGGTGCTGCCACCCCCCTCAGCTCGTGTGGCTCGGCGTCTTCCACGAGCTCCACTGCATCAACGTGCTTCGGAAGCTGGTTTGGTTCGAGTACTACAGTGTCATGGCGGATCTGGTCGCTGGAAGGAACAATATGAGAAACCATCTAAGTGAGTTTCAAGGAGCGCTCTTCCAACCGAAAAAAGACCTTGAAAAATCACCCCCGCTGACATTAAGAAAAACCAGTCCACTGCGTCGACGCTATCCGCAAGGCCACCATGTGCCACGCCGACATAACCCCGATCCCCTTCTGGTCCAAGCCCGAGCTGAAAAACGGCGAGATCACGCCCATGTTCAAGACCCCGCACACGTGCCGCAGCTACGACCGCGTGCGCACCTGGGCCGAGGAGCACCGCGTCGAGCACTTTGAGTGCACGGACGAGGTGACGTGCGGCGCGCTGAACGCCATCACCATGACGGTGCCGCCTGGCGACCCGCAGCCTACACACTGGCCGGACCCAAACCCGGCGGAGGCGGATGTGTACACGGAGGAGGATAAGAAGATTTTGCAGTGCGATAAGAGCGTGCTGGACTGGTGCTGAGGTGGAAATTTTGTCCATGTGTGGGCTATGTCGTTGTCATCTGAATACTTTATTTCTTGCCATGAATTTTGGGGCTGAGTATTCCTTCTGCCCCCCCTTTCCTAACATCTGGGATGGTGATGAATTTGAAGAGCAGAGTACCAAACAAAAAGGAAACTACTTTACCTTCTTTTTCTTCTTGTTTTTTTATTATTATAAAAAAAATATGAATTTTTAAATTCTCTCTCTTCCTACTCCTCCTCCTCTCCCTCTTCTTTAATTTGTCTCATAGTCCACCCTTTCTCAACCTCTTTCTACCCCCAAAATAAGAAGCAACTCGTTACTTCAATACGAGCAAAGGCTCTGCCTCGGCATACCCTGTATAAGTTACCCGTTTCGGCAACCCAATTGGTTCCCCACACAGTCCGGTGCCGGATTCCTGACTAAGAATCGTCCCGAGGCCCGGCTTTCGGTGCGGAAGTATGACGCTGCAGAAACCAAGGAGAGGGGCAGGGGTTTTTTTTTGCATATGTGGCGGGCCTGTATGTAAACTGTGGAGATGCCGGATCAGATCAGGAGGAGAGGTTCTCCAGATAAACCTGCGCCAAAAATTTCAAGTAAAAAAAAGAGGACCAGTGCGTGCGGCGGCCAAAAGCCGGAAGCTGGAACAAGAGTTATCACAAAAAAGAAGAAAAATTCACCACAGCTGCTCATCGGTTTTCACATTCGTATCATCAAGAACAAACGAGGAGCAAGCGGCGCTCAAGGCACAGACAGCAATGGCTGAAAAGACCACCATGAAGGCCGTCGTCTTCGATGGCCCGTACAAGGTTTCGATCCAGGAACGGCCGGTTCCGAAGTGTAAGCCATTCACCCCCGTTCTCGTGGTGCTGAGACGAAACGAAAGCCTGACTTGTGAGCAGTGCAGAGCCCCGGCGACATCATCGTGAAAGTGCAGGCTACCGCCCTGTGTGGATCGTACGTTGTTGTGCTCTCAACCCCGCTCTCCTCCCGCGCCAGATCGTGGGGTGTTGGAGCATGTTGTGCTGACGCTGGACAATTCGGCGCAAAGTGAGCTGCACGTCTTCAGAGGTCACCAGCCATCCGACACGGGCTTTATAATGTAAGCAATTTCTCGCTCGCGGGTTGTGACTGGGTTCCTTTCTAATGCCATACACAGGGGCCATGAGTTCACTGGTATCGTCGTGGAGGCAGGCGAGAACGTAAAGACTATCAAGACGGGAGACAAGATTGTCTCCCCGTTCACAACAACATGGTAAGCATGAAAATAGAACCTGAGACGTTGACAAGAGATTGTGTCGGTAGCTGATATGGTCTTATTCGTGCAGTGGGAAATGCTTCTACTGCCAAAACGGATACTCGTCCCGCTGCGTCGAGTCCCTTCTTTTCGGCTGCCCAAAGCTGTGAGTCGAACCAGCCCTCCAACAACCTCGTGCTTTTGTACAACTAGCCAGCTGTGCTGATGAGATACGTTTTCTTCAGAGATGGCGGACAGGCCGAGTACGTCCGTGTTCCCAACGCAGATGGCACCGTGATGAGGGCCCCTTCCGAGATCCAGGACCAATGCCTCGTGCTGATGGCAGACATCTTCCCCACCGGCTATTTCGGCGCCAAGAATGCCTTCTCCCGGCTCTCGCCCGGTGAGATCGAGAACGGCACCGTCGTGGTCATCGGATGTGGGCCCGTCGGCATCTGTGCCATCATCGCCGCGCTCGAGTACAAGCCGAAGCACCTGTTTGCCGTGGACAGTGTAGAGAGCCGGCTGGAGCAGGCGAGGCAGGCAGGGGCGGAGCCGCTGAACTTCATGACGGACAAGGAGGGCATGTTTGAGCGGGTCAGGGGCGCGACCGAGGGCAGGGGCGCGGATGCCGTGATCGAGGTTGTGGGATTGAGTCCGGCGCTACGGACGGCATTTGACCTGATCAGACCTTGGGGTGTGATTTCGAGTATCGGTGTGCATAACGCGGAGGTGAGTGACGCATTTTTGAGACGTGCCTTGGTGCCTCATTGACTGACGGGTTCTGAACAGATTCCATGGACTGGAAATGACGCGTATAAGTGAGTTTGACCTTGTAGCATGCTTCGAGGTCCATCGTGCTAAACCAGTGCAGCAAGAACCTCCGCCTTTCCATGGGCCGATGCCCTGTGCGGTCGCTGTTCCCCGAGGCGCTGGCAGTGTTGGCCAAGCAGCAGGACAAGTTGAGGTACGTCTCCATGTGTCCCCAGTAGTGGTTCAAGAAAGCCTGGCTAACCAGCCACAGCTTCATGTTTGACAAGATCATGCCATTGGAGGAAGCCGTCGAAGGCTATGAACTTTTCGACCAGATGAAGGTGCACAAGGTAATCTTCAAACCTTGACGAACGGGATGAATCTTCTCCAAGGCGTAGTCAACTTCATGATGTAGTCAAGGTGTCAAAAACCGTCCATAGTATAGCTCTGTGAGATGACAGTAGTTCAGAATGCGACAGATCTCGCAGCAGCCGCCCGAATGGTTAATTCTGCCTCGGCTTGACGATCCCATCGTGCATCATGTAGTAGACAATCGTCGAGTCATCATGGACCACAGCCATGAGCACCCTCTTGCCGCGCTTGGAGCCCCGCCACTTCTTCCACTCGGGACAAGTACCAGTCAGGTCCTCTCTGGCCTTGGCAGCAGGCGGCAGCGCGTCGACCGAGTCCAAGACGGCGGCAAACGCGCGCAGACTCATCTTCTCGGAGAGGTGAACGGGCAGCACCCATTCGTACTCGGCCTCCTGAGGGATGGCTTTCCCAGAAGACTTCTCCGCCTTGATGATCTCGATCTGCTCGTCTGGGTGGACGTACATGCGGCGAGGCGACAAGCCTGAGATGAGAGGTCGTGTCTGGGAAGGGTTGTTGTGGGCTGTGACGTCTGTCCAATCTTGCTGGTTCTCGAGATTGTTGAGGACGATCTTGGTCAGCCCCTCGAGGTGGGGAGAAAAAGACATGGCCTTTAGTCCTGGCTCCTCAATGCTGTTGTTTGCTCATGTGTATGCGAACGGTGTCTGGATGGATGAGTTGGTTGGAGGGAAATGTGATAAAATTACAGGGACATACCCACAGAAGGGTGAATGGATGCTGGCTCTTTTCTGTTTACATAATCAAACTATTGTCTGTGAATTAGGAAGGAATGGGACCACTGTCGGTAGAAAGGGGCTGGTCACCTATTACCCTAACCCTCATATCTTTCTTGTCATTTACAAACCTGAGTGAGCTGCTTAGATAGTGTATTTTCCTTCTTTTCTCAGATACTATCGCAATTCATGCGCAAAGGACTCATTTTCGAGGACCACAATTTCAGTTGAGATCACATTGATGGAGGCCCATAAACCTCGGTCTATATCTGCTACAGCTGTCAAATTCATTTACGTCACAATGGCTTGCACGCTGCACAAGATGACATCAATTGACGAAAGGCACATGGGCTTTTTCTACTGGTGAAATCAACATCACCACTTGCGGACATTCTTCAAGCCACCTTACTTCATACAACGACTCTCGTTACATGATCTATTCTATAAATGACGTGTTCTACCAGAATGGCAAGGAAATGTGCCGTCTTTCGTCTGTTGGCTAAGGCCTGGAAGCCGCTTCGCCTGGTTCGATCCAACTGGGTCGGCGCCGCATGTGCTTACTTTCGATATCTGCCATGGTTATCATAATCCTCTTCCTCATCATCATATCCACGCTGCCCTCTGTTCCTAGTAGTACCCGCAGCCGGGGCTCCTCGTCTACGTCGGCTCAACGGTGTCTCCTCTACATACTCCTCCTCATCAAGATCATCCGACTTAGTGGCCCGTCTATCGCCTCCTCTCGGCCGCTCCCATCTCTCCTCAATAGGGCCCCGACGCATCCTTCCGCCGCGGTCGGATGGCGTACTCACGTATTCCGGAGGCACAGATGACCGGTTCTGGGCTCTGCCAGGGGTGAATCGCGACGGATGCCCACCGAGGAAGCGCCTACCAGCCCGCAGCGACGTATCCTCCCATTCATCGTCCGAGCCTACGAAGTCATCCCTGCGCAAGAGCATGACCTTGGCATAGTCCGAGTCTCGTCCGCGTGTGAACTCGAGGTAGTCATCAAAGCGTCGGATGGACCGTGCGACGATCTTGAACTGGTAACTATCGAGTTTGCCTTTGTTCTTGTCCTGGCTGGGCGAGGCTGCTGCTGTTATCTCTATATCTTTTCCTTTGGAGCGAGGCGATAGGTAGTCTGGAGCGTTTTCCTCGCCACCGCCGTAGTTGTAATCTTCATCATCGTCAGAAACATCATCATCATAGTCTTCCTCGTGTTCGTGATGTTCGGGTCTGGTCGAGTTAAGCCGGCTGAAGTGCACCAAAGAGTATGCTACTTGGAAGGCGTTGCGGATTTGCCTGCCGTTCCACTAACGAAGCAAGGGTATTAGCAACAAAGATGGAAGCAAAGATTATAAGCAGATCTCTGCTTACTCGTCGGTCACGTCGCACGCGCGTTTCTTCCCAATGTTGTATCGCGAAGTCAAGTATACTGTTCTCGTCGATCTCGATGGGTACGAAGTTCGAGTTGTCTTCCCCTTGACGCTTGTGAAGCTCTGCCCTGGAATTTTCAATCTCCTTGACCCTTTGAATATTGAGTTTGAATATCTCCATAGTCTGCTTTCTTTTGAGAGGAGGATAATACAGTGTGAGGTGAATTCTCGACCGAAATGCTTCATCGACAGTCCCCACTCGGTTCGTTGTCAGGAACAGGACGCCGTCGTAGTAGTCGAGCACCCGAAGGAACACTGCGAAGAATAGAGATCAGTGGCTGTTATACTTTCGGCTTGGCGAAAGGCTTTGATATTACTGACCAGACACCAGGGAGTTTCGCACCAAGTCTCCAACGTCCCTCTTGGCGAGGAACAGATCAGCCTCATCCAACAGCAAAACACAGTCCCATAGCGTAGCAAGACGGAATGTTTCCCGAAGTGCTTTCTCGACGTCCTTCGGCGTCGAACCCAAATCCCCAGATGTAAGCGCGAAGAGCGGCTTGCGATTGGTCAGAGCCACAGCCTCGGCGGTGGTAGTCTTTCCCACACCAGGCACTCCGTGGAGAAGAATCACAAGACCGGAACCTTTGCCGCGGATGAAATCCTGATCCAGAACGGCGTCTTTATTCTGTCGACGAGTATCCTGCTTTTGGAAATGGCTTCCCACGAGGGACTCCAGGATACGTTTGTGTTCGATGTCGACTTTCAAATCCCTGAAAGAGTTCTTGGGAGTAGAAATGACGCTTATAGAGTCAACGTTGGCGACGAAGAATTTGCGGGCTCGAAAGGAATATGCGATCAGGCGCTGAGGGAAAAGAAGCTTGTGGTCCGAATCTATTGAAACAATTTGAATTTCAGTGAGACCTTTGTCCTATCATAATGATACCGTAGTTTGGGCCACAAAAATACATACCAAAGTCGAAAACCCTCTCAGTTTCCTCAAAGACCTTTAAGACTCTGTCTTTCTGCACCATGCGATGGGACTGCAGAATACTAAAACGCCCGACCGTCTCTATCGTCGCCCTTATGTATCCCTGCATTTTCGAGCGTGTTCTATCAGACCACCAAATGATGGTAGGCATGACGTTCGGCGACGAAGCATTGCCTTCGAAATCCGCTGGTAGGGCCAATTGGGGCTTGACGAATTCGGCGCCGGACTGGAAGCCCTCTTTGAAGTCAACCATAATTTCACCCTCGACATGCTCCACTACCTGGTCCTCCCGGACCTTTTCAGAATCTGAAGACTTGATTCCATGCTTGCCTGATGGATAGGTGCTATGGATCAACGTCCATCCGTCGTAATACAGGTGCTTTTGTTGCACAAAGAAGAGGAAATTCTCAGCCCGCGTCGTGAGCTTACTGCGGATGTCGGCTTCGTCGTCTCTGAATCGTAATGGGTACATTGTCAAGGTTCGAATGTCCTTTTCCCCTTCGTACTCGTATATGTTTACTACCGCAGGAATGGGTCCGTACTTTTCACCGTCGAAATCGATGTGAAAATGATCCAGAGAAAATGCCAGCCGCGTGACACCGGGGGCATTGTCCTTTGGTGGATCTAATTCCATCTCTTCCATGTATGCATCACATAACTTCCAGTAACTCTGGAAAACAGCCAGCCCGCCGGTCGTAGAATGGTAGGAACCAGCCTTGCCAGCCTTGTCTTTGTCCTCGTTGGTCTCCTGCGGCTCGTATAGGATGTCTCCAGGCCTGAAATACATGGGCAAGTCCGAGAACCGCACTTTTTGTCTGGTTGTTCCGGCGGCCTCGGTCCACATAGGGACGACATGTTTCTCCACAAAGTCTATATAGAGTTGCATGTGCTCCACGCCGGAGTGCAAATCAGGGAGGCCAAAGACGATGTCCTCTAGATCCACGTCGGATGGCATGCACAGCCTGTGTAAGGGATCTTCACTTTCGTCTTTTTGAGCCGAGGCTGTCGTTCTACTCGGCAACGGGCCTATTGTACTAGGTGTGTCTGGGTCAAGAGTCTGAGGCGTGTTGGCTCGACGTTTGAGAACTTCTAGAGACTGCTTCGCAAGCGGAAAGGAGTAGTAGAGGGTCTGGAAGGGTCGCAAAAAAGTAACTGGCTCGTCGATGCTCCAGTCATCTTGAGCCGTCAAACGACTCAGGATATGGAGGATGGCTGGTGACTGGATCCTCACTTGATGAATGAACTTGTATTCATTGCCGTCTGGGTGCCTGAGCAGTGATGGAGTCTGCTTTTTGCGGCGGCGCCTTGCGTTTTCTTGGGATATTTCCTTGCTCATCGCATCTGCGTGTCCCGCAAGAACTTCTATGATATCGAATCCTTCATCACGAGAGAAACGATTCATGAAGGCCTCGTAGTTGCTCCACCTAACTTTGGTAACTTTTGGCTGCTTTCTGACCCACTCAGACCTGTCTTCTTCTTCGCTGTCCTCACTGTCTGGAGAGTCTCTTCTATCAGAAGCATCGTGAGACTCACGGGTGCCATCTTGGTTGACGGTCTGGTCATCATCGTCTTGGGCATCCTCGGTGGTCCCCATGAGGCCACGCGCCAAGTGAGGATCGCTGCTGTTGATGCTGCCTCCAGTCGGTTCCTCGCTCCTCTCCGAAATGCTGGCAGGTCTCGATGGCTCTGACGGATCATCAGGTACGTCAACACTCTCCTCAGGCACGGCCAGCGTCGTAGCAATAGAACGCTCTTCAGTTTCCATGATTGATGTATATCGGGGATGCCAGCTTTCAAAGATGCAGACGGTTGATCACAAGTGGTAAGTGAGTGTTGCGCAAGTCGCGACTGCGAGGTTTAGACCAAGGGCTTTGCACAGCGGGAAGGAATGAGCCGCAATCCCCTCTCTCAGCCTCATTCGCAACCCAGTTTCCCCTTCTTTTTCTTACGGCAGCTGGATAAATAACTAGGACCCAGCATGTTTGGCCAATTACTTTGGTTAACTCCGAACCGCCAGGAGCCCCATGCTTGCATGAGGAGTCACATTGCGGCTGATTGAACATACATGAATGGCTTAGCTGAAAACGCCTGGCGATGCAACCACTATGGACAAGCAGAAGATAATTGGCGGAAATGATGACTTTTACCACCCCACGGCGAACATTAACCGCAGGTTATCAGTAAGCAACAATCCACTCAACTTTGTACCCAGCTAACAGTTGAGGTCGTCATGCGTCCACACTTCATTCATGCAATTCTTTTCCGGCTAAGGCACGATCTGCTATACATGTACCCTTGCCGCCCCTCTATGCACATATTTACCTAGACTTTTCTCTTCGGTAACAGGTAATGCGCAAAGGTCTCAGGGATGTGCGCATGTTTTACGAGCGCTAGCAGACGCGGGGGTCAGCAATCGATTGACTTAGAGATCTTGTTCGTCGTCGGCTTCGGAAGGTTCCAGTCAGCCTCTATACCTGCCTTGTTGGTGGACAAAGCACTTTGACCTGAGGTTTGACAAGCTCAGTCACAATGGCACTGGATTGGACAAATCCTGGCCCGCCCGAGAGAGCAGTCACAGCCGAATTCATCCAGTCCGACGAGGCTCAGGAACTTCGCCAGATAGTCCCAAAGGCACCCCCATACGACGCTGATAAGGGTTGCTTTGTCCCAGCCGGCGGGTCAGTGACCCAAAGGTTGGTGATTTCTGCATCGATCAATCCATACGCCAAGCCAGAGATTCACTGACGTTCATAGACAACTACAGATATCGCTGGCGGCCTTGGAGGCAGCCTTAACCGCAACCTTGCCCGCGGTACTTGGGCTACAGAAGGCTGTTGTGACGACATGCAAGGACTGGGACGATCTCACGCAAAAGGTCCTCACAACCGAAGAGGAATATGCACAGCAGGGCAAAGAGACCTGGCGTCGGATCTGGTATGGAATCGGCGGTGCATCCAAGGTCATAGATCCTTGGATCGAAGTAATACCAAACGAGTATGGTCTGGCAGTCGTGAAGACTGGTGTTGCAGTTCTGTTCAAAGTAAGCGTCGTCGTTAACTTTGTGTCAAGGCTGGCATTCACCGCATGGGTGACAGCTGACATGATGCGCACCAGTTGGCCGCTAAATCGGTTGAGAAGCGGGAAAATATATCACAGGCTTTTGAGAAGATTCGGGATGCCATGACTTCAGCGAACCCCTTGAAAGGGAGTTTTCGATCACACCCAGACGTTGCTGCCGCTCTAGACGAGCTCTATAAGGCCATTGTCGATTCGGTGAATGATATGATCATCCTCACTGCGGAAAAGGAGCAGTTTTGTACGTCTGTTCATCATTCTGAAGGTTGACGGGGCACCATGAATATTCACTGACCCTTGACTAGGGAGGGGGCTGAAAAAGAAACTGACCCAGAAAACAAAACGCCCCGATGTTGACTCCGTTCTGCACCTAATGTCTGAGAAGACCCAAGCACTCCAGACTGCCTTGAACACAGCTCGAGATGATGCAGTCGAGATCACAAATAGGGCGATGAAGTACACGGCTGTCAAGGTAACTGGGATAAGCAACAAGATCGACTTACAAGGAGGGGATATCCGAGGCGTCAAGACAATTGTCGAAGAGCAACGAGATATGTTCAAGGATCAGGGCCAGAAGATTGAAGAACTCCCAGACATTCTCGAGAAGCTATGGAATAAGAAGCAGGCACTTGCGGAGGCCCATGTAGCGACCGCCTCGAATGAACTATCGGCGGAATGGGAGGCTCGGCTTCTGAACAAGTTCATCGACGTCCTGATATCAAACCAAAGTATATTATCCTGCCCGACATTTAGTTTTTTTTCTTTTTATACTGTTAACACTGTCAAATCCAGAGGATGTTCACATCCAGGCCATTACCGATCGCGAACCAAGACGTTCCCCCAGACGCAGAAGAGGTGCGGTGATCAATGAAGAGCAGTTCTGCGAGGCAATTGCGGATCTGCCCAACAGCGAGGTTGGCCTACCCGACGTCGAGGGCTTTACTCTCCAACCAGACAGCGATTGGGATGCGGTCTCTATGTTTCGAGGTAACTTCAACGCCAGGACTCAGAGCCGGGTGCAGTCCCTACTTCAACAAAACCGATTCCTCAGCTGGATGAATGGCTCGTACCCAGACCTTCTCCTTATCCTTGCCAATCTGCCAGATACAGGCATGCAGCATATCACGGCCATGTCTGTTTTATGCGCAACCCTCGTTTCAAGTCTGACCAATCTTCGCCGTGGGCACGTGGTTCTTCACTTTTTCTGCGGCCTGCATATCAATTCTCGAGATCCGAGCCCAGGACCGACAGGGCTGGTCCGGTCACTTATAATGCAAGTATTTACATATCTACGACGAGACGGTCTTCTCAGCTTGGACTTTCTCAACGACCGAGCCGATGTGAAAGCCATCGAGGATCAGGACCTGGAAATCCTCTGCCGCACACTGCAGTCGCTTCTCGACCAGTTCCAGCCGAGCACTCAGGTGTACTGCGTTATTGACTCCATTACGCTGTTCGACAGCGAGGACTCGGCCTATGATCTCGAGGTAGTCCTGGGATATCTGCAGGAGATCGTCGAAGACAGCCAACTGCCAGCCATATTCAAGTTGATGATGACGAGTCCGGCTCGATGCACCCCGCAGCTGACGGAGTTAATTACTGCAGAGGGCCGATATCCTGATCGGATCTTGAATCTGTCGTCAGAGCAATCCTTTGTAACTGGAGGCATGGATGATTACGACATGGGGTGCCATCTTTCGCAGATGTCTGTGTCAGCGGGTTCCAGTGGGTACTGGCAGAGGTCTGATATGGACCGCAGACGGCTGTATGAAGACGACGACTACGACTGACGAGCAGATAGAAAGCAGTGTACCTTTTCCTTGGATGTTTCTCACTTTTCTCTCTCTACTTTATCCTGCTCAATGGCGATACATAGAGTGATATGTGCTATGAATGAAGGCAGGTACGAGTGGTTTAGCCGTCAGTGGCTTTAAGTACAGTGTAATATCACATTCGGACATCTTTAATGAGTATTTGACATAGCGAGTGAGTGGAATGAATGTGCATGATTTAATAGTAACAATCACGCACTGATGTATAAGCAAGATTCCGGAACCTGAGCTGCCACAATCTTAAGCGATCTAACACTTCTCATATGCTACATATGTACAATCTTGTGCATACGTCGAAGCAGCTTGTGTGACCCTAACCCTATAACTTTTCAGCCATATAAACTTATCTGGAATTCTGACGTAGTACCCTCTCATACTCTGTTCTTTTTCTTCAGACAAGATCTCGGAAGGCTCCCTGTCTCGCATCACAAGGGCATCCAGGGTTACCCTTTTGGGTGCCCTGGTTGCCTGTCACATACTTTTCAATGTTGAATCCTTTTATTTTTATTCTACTATGGTGTAAAACGTTGAGGGGCAAAGTGACCAGTGCCGTTATTCCTTAGTGCAAACCTTGTGTTCTACTGTACCATGCTGTAGTAACACCGGCACTGCTTGAGGCTAGACCCCTTTCCCCTGCACTTCCCGCCACAGCCACTTTCCAAAGACCTCTCGCTTCTTGTTTCCATTCTATTACGGGAGCGAAACCGAGAACGGAAAACAGGTTGCTCGTCTTCGCGGCAACAAATTCTATAAACAGATCCTAAAGTCTTCTTTTCACCACCCTCCGAGACTCACGACACATCACAGTCCGTACTTTGCTATCATTTTAATCAGACTTGCATGTTGCACCGGCCTGGCTCACCAATCATCTTCTAGGCCAATGACCCACTGAATCACTACCACACCACAGCGACGACAAGCGACAACGACTCGCAGCTGACCACCATGGCCGACAGCGTCGGCAGTCAGCCCATCGGCCCAGGCGCTGAGCCTGCGGGGCCGCGATCCAGATCATCGACCATTGCGTCCAAGATCTCTGGCAGGGTGCGAAGCCTATCTAAGGACTTCGAGGCGTCCAACCCACCAGCGGGTTTCATGGCAGCCACGAGCGAATTCGCCTCTTCAGCCGTGGTAGGGGACGCGCTGCGGAGGAACAGCAGCGCTGGTCCAGGAACCCCTTCCCGAAGACAAACGTTTACCGAACAGTCGACCGAGCTCGTACCTCGCGAGAGCGCCGAGGACAAGAGCAACCGCAGCCAAGATAAGACAGAAGGAGGGAAACGGGAACAGGGTGAAGAGGGGGACACGAATGCGGTGGTTGCGTCTACGTCTGCAGAGAAGGACGCTTCGCCATCCATCTCGGATGATACCGCGCCCGCCGTCATAATCGAAAAGAGCCAGGATGGGGGAATGGGAACCGAACCTTTCGACAACGGATACCACTTCCCACCAAGCTACCCAAAGCGCGAGGCCTTCAAACATGGCCTGGTGTCATTCCTGCGGTACTCGATCACGCCCATGGGCTTCTGCGTGGTGCTGTACGGGCTCAACGTGGTTGCATGGGGAGGCATGCTGTTCCTCCTCCTCTGCAATGCCTCTCCGGCCATGTGCTACCCTTCCTGCAATGACATCAACTCTCCGCGGCGGGTTTGGATAGAATACGATTCGCAGGTGCTCACGGCCCTCTTCAGCCTGACGGCCTTTGGGCTTGCGCCGTGGCGATTCCGGGATTTGTACTACCTGATGAAGTATCGCCTGCTGAGTCGGCAGGATGCGCTCCGTCAGCTGGCTGGCATCCACCGCGACTGGTTCCGGCTGCCTGCATCGTCGAGCTTGCCGGTTGATGTCGGGCCCGAGAACGCCGACAGTCTCTTGGCGCAAGGACAGATCCCGAAGGCTGCTGTGGCGATCCCAACCAAGAAGATGCCTGATCCTCCCCTGACTGCTGTGCGGGCACCACCGACCAAGGTTTGGAAGCTGGATTTTGTCATCTGGATGATGGTATGGAACACGCTGTTCCAGTGCGTTTTGTCTGGTGTGATGTGGGGGATGAGCCGCTACACCAGGCCCAGTTGGTCCACGGGTCTGTTCGTCGCCCTGGGCTGTATCGTTGCGGCCATAGGCGGTCTGGCCATGTTTCTGGAGGGCAAGAAGGTGAAGGGCATTGAGGGCGTACCGCTCTCAGACCGTGATCGCGAGAGGCTCGCCAGGGACAAAGAGCTGGGCATCACGCACTACAACAACATCAAAGACAGGCCATTGACCGAGGAAAAGAAGGGAAAGAAGAAAGACAAGAAGACGAAGAAACAAGACAAGCCTGTATCCTGAGAGTGGCTCTGCTCGTCAGACGACCTTTGACGACGCGACGACCTACATATACATTATAATACCTCTTCTACGACATATATATTCAGACGGAGCCTAGCATAGGCACACATGTGCGCATGTTACCATGAATGGCTTCTTTGAGCGTGCCCGGCAGATCTGGACTTTGCAAAATCCTCCTCGCCTTTGTGCTACTCCATCTCAACCTGGTGCCTCGTGAAAATCGTCACCCGTTTATGGCGTGTCACCTCGGAAGGCTCCGCACCCAGTCAATACTATTAGCCATATCATTGCTTCGCAACAGCATCGTCATGCTTGTCAAAGACCAGACACCCCTTCTTTCTAAGTCATGCAGATGCTTATAAGAAAGAGCCATTCCATTGCTTAGACAAGACTAAGCCGAGTTTGAAGTAGATACAGTCCGTCTGGCTCGACAAGAAAGCTCTTTCTGATCCTGCAAAGCTGAATTTATAGCTTTCCTGCTTGAATAGTATTCTCACATCTAGTTTGGATCATTTCCCAGAATAATGATATGAATAGAGACGGCGTCTCCGGCCGTCTCCGGCTGTGTCCTAAATTCTCGTCACGCGTCAAATCACTAGCAGTGCTGCCGGTCAGGCGTTTTCTGCTATGCTCTATTGGATAGAGAAAAAGCGGAGTGCTCAGGATGAGGTTAATTACGCAGATCTGAGTTATCTACTTCAAAAAGAGTTTGATAGTTGGCAAGACAAGTTTTGCTTTCTTTTCTAAATCACATTGGATTATACTAAAACAATCAGTATTGAAGCCTCATTCTGAATATTCACCTAATTAGCTTTGATACTATAAATTGTACTTCCTATCTCACAATATATCCTTTGAACAGTGCTCGATACAGTCATGTCCATACATACACAAGAGGTTACATAATCGTAATCCCCAACTTCACCTTGAGCTGAACATGTATTGACCTGAAATAGAGAAGAAGATGATGACGATGATGATGACAGCTGCATCGACAGCGCTGTCGGCGGCCTTCGGAGGGCTGGCCATCCTCTTCGGCGGGACCGACCCGGAGGCGCCGGCCAACGACGAGCGTCCAGGCTCGGGCGCCACCACCATCATCCTCCCCCTGGGGTACGTCGTACCGGGAGCGACTATTACCATCTCTGTGGGCACCGGGACATGCCCACGCCCACTGCCGCCTCCTCCTCCGCTCCCACCGTCGCGGCAGCCCAGCCACCTCCGCTGCCGGCGCAGTCTCCCGCGTCCCCGGCTGCGGCCCCCAGGCCCGCCTCTTCGGCCTCCGGCCCCTCAGATAGTGAGGTTGGCAGCCACAAAAGCCAGAAGAAAAGTCGAAACGGAAGGAAATCGGAAGGAAGCATGGGAGGCTAAGTAAGGAATCGTGGCCGGGAAGCCGGGGCCTGCGCCGGTTCGGCACCGGGAGAGTACGCTATACTGCATCGCCCGGGGGGGGGGGGGGAGTGGAGCTGAGTTAGCAGGGACAGTGCAGCGACATTTGCACTTTGTTGACATCAGAGATGACGATTCTCGACCTTCCAGCATTGCGACGCAGGAGAGAATTCTTGTATTTGCTTTTGGGTCATGCATTGAGCTAGATCGTTCCAAAGTCAACAAAACACGTATTATGGTACTTCGTTCACTACGCACGTGAACATGTCAGCATGGATATTAATAGGGGAGGCCACGAGACATGTGTCTCGCCCCAAGACAGGCCTGTCCACGGGTCGTCTCAGCGGGAAGCAACCATGCCGAGCAAGCGAGTGAGCGGGTACGTACCCCTGCACCCCTGCAGCTCGGGCACTTCCCTCCTGCGCCTTCGCCAACCACCACCTCGCAAAGAACCCTCGGCCATACGGTATCGGGTCTTGAATAGGCAACAACAACCTTTTTTGTTTCTGTCCTTCCAAAAAGGACCTCTGCACTGTCCCATAGCACCTGGCAGTGCAAGGCTTGGTCGCGACAACTTGACTGGCTAGCTGATCCACCGTCTGGTCCCGGATCGCTATCGCACTCTACGACGAGGCTCCTATCTTGGCCCTCGATCACCGCTCACGCTACACAGCGGTTCAACACCAGGCAAAACTCGTCAAGATGGCAAATAGGGCTGCGATCCCATTTCTTGTGGGGATGATGCTCCTCACAGGCGTGTGCAATACCCTCCTTACCAAGTACCAGGTGCGTGTGTAACTTGCGTCCCAGTATCGGCAGCATCCTGCCCGCCTCTACAGCCAGCTGTTATACATCTACTGTAACGGCGCTCTGACCAGCCTTCAATCTATAGGACAACCAATGCGTCCGCAATTGCGACGACCCTGATCCAAAGAACCACAAGACATTCGAACAGCCTGTGATCCAAACAGCCCAAATGTTCGTCGGCGAGACGGGTTGCTGGCTCGTCGTGGGCCTTATCAATCTGTGGCGCCGCTACATCTCCAAGTCATCCGCCGAGGACGCCGAATATGAGCCTGTGAACACCTCCGAGGCCGACGCAGATATCAACTCGGACGCGCGCAGCGTACACTCCACGACGGCGCTGAACCCGAACGGCAGCGATGACGCCAACGGCCACAGCAAGCACGTCGTCGCGAGCGACGAAACTCTCAAGGGCGCCCGGGTGCTCCTGCTGGCCCTGCCTGCGATCTGTGATATTCTCGGCACGACGCTCATGAATGCCGGCCTGCTGCTGGTCGCAGCCTCGATCTACCAGATGACCCGTGGCGCCCTGGTGCTGTTCGTCGGCTTGTTCAGCATTTTGTTCCTCAAGCGCAAGCTGCACCTGTTCCAGTGGACGTCGCTCGTGGGCGTTGTCCTGGGTGTCGCGATCGTGGGTCTGGCTGGTGCCATCTGGCCCGACCAGAAGAAGAGCGAGGCACACGCCACCGAGGTCGGTGCAGACGCGCTGCTGGCCATTGTGGGTGTGCTCATGATCGCAGGTGCGCAGATCTTCACCGCAACGCAGTTTGTTGTGGAGGAGTGGCTGCTGGAGCGCTCGACTATTGACCCCATCCGTGTCGTCGGCTGGGAGGGGTTGTTCGGGTTCCTGGTGACCTTGTTGGGGATGATCGTCCTCCACTTCGCCATCGGCAGGACGGACGCCGGAAAGAATGGCCCGTTCGACATGGTGGAGGGCTGGAAGCAGTGGACAGGCAACCTGAAGGTGCTGGTTTCGAGCGTGTTGATCATGTTCAGCATTGGGTAAGTTCACATGTGCCCCTCACCTAGGAAGACGGATGATTTGCTGTGTAGCGATAACTAATTACAAATATGACTGCAGTGGGTTCAATTTCTTTGGCCTCTCTGTTACCCGCTCCGTGAGCGCCACGTCTCGCTCTACCATCGACACTTGCAGGACTCTCTTCATCTGGATCGTCTCTCTTGGCCTCGGCTGGGAGACGTTCAAATGGCTACAGGTTCTTGGCTTCGCCCTGCTGGTGTACTTCACCTTCCTGTTTAACGGCATCGTCCAGCCGCCCTTTGAATTCCTCCGGCCGAAGGAGGAGGTTGAGGAATTACTGCCCGAGGAGCCTGTTGAGCATATTTAAGAGACGTGCTAGATGTTTGTCTGTGTTGTGAAGGGGTTTCATCATGGAGTTTAGGTTTGGTTTTGTACAAGCTTGAGTGATCAATATTGCATATCATTTGGGCATCTGTGGGCCATTCAATCCAGGCTTGGATTTGGGATATAGTTGGGAATATTACTCCTTTTATTTTTCAATGAATTCTTGAGGGCCGAGGATAGATCATTTTCAGCTATCTATTCTAGTACATTTGCCAATAGAGCTGAATGGCGTTACGTATAAACCCATGTGCAGACACTAAACTCGTAGGGACAGTACCTGTCACATAATCACTGATGATGAAGAAGATCATACATGGAGGAGACGAATAACTGAATGATTGATACTACTGCATCAGCAACCTCTAACAACCTTGTCTTCTCCGGTCTGATGGCCAAAGGCAAACAACAGATTCATTTCTAGCAAAATCAGTTCGCCATCCAATGGTCCATCCAACCCGTGCACCTCAAAACTCCAGCAGAAAAAGAAGAAAAGCAGATGTATATGCAAGTGAAAATTTGGCTCAGCCTCCGTCCTCGTTTACAGTACTGTGCCAGCCGCATGGCCAAGTTGCACATGTCCCGAAACGGCTTCGACCCCCCCCCCCCTCCGGCACACTCTCTCTCTTTGAAAATCCCACAGCCTTAACACGACCCCCAGTGTATTGTTTGTCCCCGTCCTAGGCCAGTGTTCTCGTTTGACGCCGGCCTCCCCCCTCCTCACCCTCTCCGCGTCCACCTTTATCAGCTCACCACCATGAGTAGCTCTGCCTCCAGGATGAACTTGCCCTCCTTGTATTTCTCGGACGTCTCGTAGGCTCTGTCATACTTCCAGCCAACGACCTCGCCGCAGCCCCGACAGGAGATATCTCGGACCACGTGGCGGCCCGTGGTCATGTTACGCTCGGATGGGTCGGAGGAGTTGATGTTGACGACTGTGTTGAAGAGGTAGGCTTTGCCGTGCTGGCCGCGGAAGTTCTATAGATTGGGAAGAAGAGGGGAGGGTGGGGTATATGTTAGCCGGATGGGGTTGTGCTGAAAGGTACAAACGTGTCCGGTGAGGAACGATGAGGAACAGAAGGGAGGATGAGGAGAGAAGAGAGAGAGAGAGGAGAGGAGAAAGAAGCAGGACATACTCGGCTGAGGATGTGATCGTGGTCTGCTAGGTGTGCATGACATTTATAGCAGCCGTAGATCTTGGTGCCGTCGAGGTATGTATTATATTTCAGACCCATTTCTATTGTTGTGCTTAACGTAGTACACTGGTTTTGCCCACACCACCGTCCGTCTTGGTCGTCGTCGTTGTTTGTGGGTCGTGCGTAATCGGAGTGTCTCTGTTGACAACAAAGATTCGGGAAGAGCAAAATGACTGCCGGGAATCTTCTATCGCAAAGACAGTCTGGGGGTCGAGTAAAATCCACGCAACCAAGGCTGGAAGGGGAAAGAAGGAAGGGTCACTCGGCAGAGGTGAAGGAGGCCTTCTTACGTTCGTGTGTGACGGTTGGATGGAGAACGGTCGTGGAAGGCGGTTGAAGCAGCGGTCGAAGCCTGACAAGAGCGTGTGAGAATCGGTCACCTGCTTGCTTGCTGACGACCGACCGCGACAAGATTGTTGGCTCGGGCGTTCGGGGGGTTCTCAATCGGTGGTGGTGCCTCGGTATCGACTCCTGCGGATTACGTTTGACGGAGTCCGACCTTGGCTTTATCCTGTCAGACTCGTTAAGGCAGGTCCCCTTTGTTTGCACATGCAGAGGTGACTCTGTCTTTTGTCCTTCTCACAAATACACATAAGCAGGGAGTGGGTGGGAGTAGGTTTCGAGAAGACTATCTGTCGTCTAGGCATCGAGCAATCATGGTGGTGGAGGTGACAAAGTATGTATGTAGTAGTTAGGTGCACAGCTGACGGTTCTGGGTGTTACGGTGCGGGTCACAGGCCCAGAAGGGCAGTGAAAGGAGGGGCTGGCTCACTGGCGTCATCATTGGGAGCAGGGGGACTCTCACATGCCGGAAACGAGCCGATTGGGGTCATAGACATGAAGCCAACAGCGTGGGGTTTTAGTGTGTGGAACTTTCCATTAAGACCCCTGCTACCGCCCTCTGCAGTCAGTCTAAGGAAGTACTGACTTACTTTTCTTGCTGCAGTGACAAGTGACTTCAAACCAAATGTGACTGGTTTCACTATCCAACTTCTACAAAGACTTATTTCTTTCTCAACATCCCTTCTGGGATAGATTGGGCATAGTCAATTGGCCAGAAAGCCTTCTTGGGCCTATGAGGCTGATGGAGAGAAGAAGCACATCACGACTCTATTACTCGATGAGGTGCCAATGCTCGAGATTCAGTCACATCAATTAGTTGGCAATGCCACTCCAGGTTGACCTGCACCGATTCAAGTGACTGAGAGAGTCAAGATGGCACAGAAATCTCGACCTTGGGGCCCCTGCCTGAGCACAGGTCTCATGCTCTCAGCGTTCCTGATGACCTTCGTTCTCTTCTCCGTCTTGCTATCGATGACTTGGCCCCATCCTCGGCCACCCGAGCTGTCTCACCCTCCAGAACCCGTTGTCGAGGACCAAACACCGGGGCTCTATCTACGAAACAACAAAAAGTTCACCTTGGCCATCTTCTCTGACCTGCACTTTGGGGAGGAGGAACATGGGTGGGGCATCAACCAAGACATCAACTCAACGAGGGTGATGAACACAGTACTGGATAAGGAGCCATCCGTCGACCTGGTGGTGTTGAACGGCGACCTAATCACGGGCGAGAATACCTTCAAGGAAAACTCATCAGCCTATGTCGACCAGATCGTCGTGCCGATGGTCAGTCGCAACATTCCCTGGGCATCGACGTACGGCAACCACGACTCCAAGTTTAACCTCTCCAGAGAGGCGATTCTCCAGGCTGAGAAGAAATACGCGCTGTCTTACACGCGGCAGATGGGCCAAGGCCTGCCTGGGGTTACAAACTACTACTTGTTGGTGCAGACGGGAGACGGGCGGCCTGTCGCTGTGATCTGGTTCTTTGATTCTCGCGGGGGCGCATCGTACCAGCAAGACCCGTCTGGCCAGGACGACCTTCCAAACTGGGTGGCAGACGAGACCGCAGCCTGGTTCACGGCAGCTAGCAGGAAGATCCGCTCCCGGTACGGTCGCCTGCCGAGCATTGCCTTTGTCCATATCCCCCCTCATCCATTCCTTGCCGCGCAGGAGGCCGGCCTGGACCCGGCGCACTTCCCTGGCCTCAACGAGGACGTCCCAGTGGCCATACAGGGGAAAGGAGACAGCGATGATGGATTCGTCGACGCGCTCCTGGGGGAAGAGGGACAACTATTGCACAGCATCTACGTGGGACACGACCACGGCGATGCATGGTGCAGTGTCTGGCCGGTATCACGACCACGAGGACGGCGACGCCATGATGAAATGATTGCTGGCGGTGGCGGCGACGACGAGGAGCATTCGGGACCCTTCCTCTGCTTCTCGAGGCATACCGGCTATGGCGGCTATGGGACGTGGGATCGTGGGTCTCGCATCGTGCAGCTGTCTTTCGAGGACACTGACGGCGACGGGCTCTTGGACGACGATGACGAGCTGCGGGTTGACACCTGGGTGAGGATGGAGAGCGGGAAGAGCATCGCACGGGTCTCGCTGAACGAGACATACGGCTCTGATGTCTACGAGGGCGATTGAGTTGAGTCTGACAGAGATCTCAAGAACCCCCGTTCTGGGGGGCATACGAAGACTGAAGTTCTCCCTAAGCCAAAATGACATGTGAGCGATGATCAGCACACAAAATCGTGCACGCTAAGTTTAGACCATTGCGTGGCCATGGGAGATGATCGTCCAAAGGATAGCTTCCATTTCCCTTTCTTGTTCTCTGTCGGGACGATACTGCCTGGGATGGTTTGTAGGATCATAAGGTTTATTTGAATCAGCCTGTAGCTGATTCAGGTACTATTAAACTCTGGGTGAATCAAGACTGCGTGTCTCTGCTGTCGGGTGCTCCAGGGCCGTGAAGGTCAAAGTGGACCTATTCCAGGGGATTTGCCAGGGGCGAGATAGCATGTCGTCCTATGTACATGCCATAGTAGTAATAGTAGTAGTCGTCGTAGCAGTAGTTCAAAGTAAATGACTTACTCGTAATAACGTTTCGCACCAGTGGGTAAAGAAGAAGGGGGAAGGGGAAGATGAAGGAGAACATACAAACAGAAAAAGAAATGATATTACACACGAATCATGGCCTTTCTTTCTGCAGAATTCATAATTGTGTTTTCATTTCGAGCTTCTAGCCAGACAACAATATAATCTTCTATTGTCTTTAACATGCTACTGCAGTACTACTTACCAGGTACCTGACGATCACCACATATTGTATGTAAGACCCAAGTACCGAGGCTGGAAAAGCTTAGCCTGGAAACAAGTGCTCAGTCCGGCGTTATCGCGATCTCCGAGCTGGGCCAGACCTTGCCTTCGTCTTCCCCCCACACAAATATACATTTGTCCTGTTGTTGCCTTTCGCACCCTGACTATGTATGGATCGTGCAGCACCTCTGAAAGGAAAGCACGACTGCGCAACTGCCCGTGCCCCCAAGATCCAATCCAATGATGACGTCGGCAGCGGAACCCTCCCATCCCTGAGCGGTAACGCCGTGTTCTTCGTCGTCGTCGTCGTCGTCTTTCCTTCCCACACAGGCCCACAGTACGACAAGCCAAGCATCCTGGCTAGGTGAGGCTGCAATGTTACAATGGTCTGCTTCTGGCAAGTCGTCACGTGGTATGAGAGATAGCATCAAGAACCAAAGCTCATCCTCCAATGAAATGTCGCAAGTAATGGTTCCCGAGTGCCTTGCTCGAGTAAGTGCGTCCCAGGTGGCCGACTCCCCGGCTCCAGTGACCGAACCAAATCAGGAGGCAAGTAAAAAAAAAAGCAAGCATATGTGTGATGGTTGAGAGCACACAATGCAAAGGCAGACAGTGGGCATTCTCTTCCCCCTTCTCCGCGAAACTTAAACCACCCGACCGACTTGTCTTGTGTTTTAGTCTTTTTTCATCTTTTTTATGTTTTTAGCCCCATGATGGACTGTGGCAGTGGAGGGCCGGAATTAGATATGTACCCGCTTGCATGGAAGAGGCATCCCTGACCGTCAACGCTGCCGCGAAGTACGCGCGTCGTACATCATCAGATGGGTCCTTGAGGGGAGAACTTGACAATTTCCATTTCCATGAGGGAATTGACCAGGCCGATCACGATTGATGTGGGCGGAATTGTGGTTCCTCTCGTCGCTGCATGGCTATGGATCTCTCTGCATACCTCCTTTCCCGGCGTTTGGGTTTTCTGGCGACGGAAGAAGGGGGTGGGGAAGAGTGAGGAGGGAGGGGAGTACGTACGCAGCTTCTTTTTATGTTTTATCTCGCGAGGATTGCATGTAGTGTGATGTGTTTGTCGTCGTGTTCTTTCTGTATCTGTCTCTTGGAAAGGAACAATTTGTCCTCTCCGTCTTCAACAGCAGCAGGATGCATCGTTCGGCTGCTCTCTGGACGTCTCTACTGACCTCGACGGCTGTGGCTACCTCTGTGGCCGCCCAGAATTCTTATTGGTATAACTGGGGCCTGTATGGCGCATATCCTCGGATATCGTATGAATCTTTCTCGTCTGCCTCGCCCTGGCTGAACATCATCAAATCCGACCCCAGATGCGAGGATGGCTATACATTGATCGAGCCACGAGGCGACTCGGTGCCCTACCCCGGGCCCATTATCCTGGACAATGATGGTAGTCTGGTGTGGATGGAGACAAGATACGGCCAGGCGATGGACCTGAAGGTGCAGAGCTACAAGGGCAACGACTACCTCACATTCTGGCATGGAGGCGACAGTGGGTGGTTTGGCAAGGGATACTATCTGATGCTCGACTCCTCATACAATGTCTTCAAGAACATCACGGCAGCAGGAGACCTCGACGGCGATCTCCACGAATTCCAGCTTACGCCCGAGGGCACTGCACTGCTGACGGCATATCAAGCCCAGACTGCAGATCTGTCAGCCTACGGCGTGGAAAACGGCGAGATCTGGGACAGCATCTTCCAGGAGATCGACCTCGAGACGGGCGAGCTGCTGTTTGAGTGGCACGCCTCGGACCATTTCGCCATCACGGACAGCCTCGCCCCTTACGAGCAATACCAAGGCGCCTGGGACTTCTTCCACATCAACAGCGTCGACAAGGATCCCCTCACAGGAAACTACCTCGTCTCGTCGCGGTACGTGTGCGCCGTGGCCTACATCGATGGCACGACAGGCGAGGTGCTCTGGCAGGTCGGCGGCAAGAACAACTCGTTCGAGGACCTGAGCGGCGGCAAGGCCACCGACTTTTCCTGGCAGCACCACGCGCGCATCCACCACGAGACCGACGACGCGACCCAGGCGCTCATGACCGTGTTCGACAACGGCGCGTACTACACCAAAGCCCTGCTCCGGGCCCCGCACAGCCGCGGGCTGCTGGTCGACCTCGACACCAACGCCATGACGGCCACGCTGCGCCAGGCCCTCGTCGCGCCGCAGGAATTCCTCGTCCCCTCGCAGGGCAGCGTCAACATCCTGCCCGAGACGGGCAACGTCCTCGTCGGCTGGGGCCACCACCCGGCCTGGACCGAGTACGACGCCGCCACGGGCGAGGTGCTGTGCGACGTGCACCTGGGCGCCACGCACCTGACGGCCTGGTCGCGGGTCAAGAACTACCGCACTTTCAAGAGTAAATGGGTCGGGCGGCCCCTGACGAACCCCGACGCGGTGCTGAAGGGGGGTGAAGACGGCGCCGTCTACGTGAGCTGGAACGGGGCGACGGAGGTAGCAGGATGGGTGGTGCAGAGTGTGTGGGACACTGAGAACTTGGACGAGGAGGAGGAGGAAGATGATGATGATGATGATAAGTACAACGGAGAGGAAGAGTACGACGACGACGACGACGAAGACGAAGACGATGACGACGACGAGGGCAACCCGACGTTGGAGTTCGCCAAGAACGTGACCGAGGTCCGCAGACAGGGCTTCGAGACGAGGATCGACCTTGCGGGTCTCGATCTGGGCGGGTACATCCAGGTCGTGGCCATCGACGCCGAGGGCCGCAGGCTGGGCTGCTCAGAGGTCATCGACGTCGACACAGGCCTCTACGTGTCCGGCAAGGACCTGCCCGTGCCCGAGGAGCTGGGCTGGCAGGAGACGCACATCATCTTCTCGTCTGTGCTGTTCGGCATCGTGGGCGGCTCCATGCTGCTGTGGCGGCTGCGCGGCCTGCTCCTCACGGCTGGCGCGCGGTCGGTGGTCATCGTGAGGAGCGTGGTGAGAAGGGCGCGCGGGCATCGGTATGATGTGCTGCCGCAGACGGAGTCCAGTGAGATGCTGGCGTCCAAGGACTGGGAGCGCGGGCAGCAAGGGGGAGGAGACGTTACGAGATCGCGGTCGCAAGAAGGCTGACGATGAGTGCATCTTTTTTTCCCTTTCTGTTATTCTGGCATTTTATTCAGCAAAGCGGCTCAATTCAATTAACCATCACCACACCATTTGCTCGTTTGGGAGGTTGCGAGAGGCGCGCGCCACCAGGCTTGACTAAACTCATGGAACACTCACTCGATCCAGGATCGCCAGACCCGGCCTTGTGGACACTGCACAACTCCAGCCGACCTCTACTGTACAGGCTGCGCGAGGTAAGAGAATGCAGTACCAAGCTGCCTGGACCTCTCAAAGTCGTCGTCGTCGTCATCCCCGTCGCCGTTCCCGCAACAGGCGGAGAAGGGGGGGTGTCATTATCACAAGGAGTGATTGGATCAATGAATGAATATGCAATCAGCAGCAAACCTTTAGTCATCGACGTAGATCTGACTGCACAACATATATGAATTATGGTCTCTTAAGCTTTTTCAACCTTCCAGACGTGTTTGTGTGGATAGTGTGGAGCGACGAACCCACCGGTCCATGTTGAAATCTCGTGCTGACAACGAAAACATGATATTTTGCCCACTTTGCCTTCCAGCAGAAGCACAGGTCACAAAAATACTTTACAGGGGGTTAAATCATTCCGGCCTGCACCCATAGCACTCAACCTCTCTCTCTTTTTCTTGTCCAAGTTCGTACCGACAAAAAACTGTCGTTTTTCCCCCTCTCTTTCTTGTTCATGGCTTTGACAAGGAAAGTTGAACTAATATACATTGAAACCCTCTCCAACCCAACCAAGAAATTTACAGGAAGATTCATATAAGTAGTGTACTTGTTCGTATTCTTTTCGTTCCAAGTGACAGGTACATAGGCATACATGCCCAGATGTCGGTCCTGAACCCCAGATGCCAAGACTCAAGCATTAAGTGAGGCTCCCCGCGCAGCCTTGGCGGGTCAGCCTCCCGCCCTCTACACGTGCCCCTGCTCTAGCAACCCCCCTGTCCCCCCTGTCGACTGTACCTGGCCTGGACCAGGGGTCGACTTACACCAGCCCTGTCGATCAGACGAACATCAGGCTAAGGGGCACGTATGATCGCTGGTCTCCTTTGAATTCCGACCACATAGTTCTGCAGACCTGGAGAAGGCGTTCTGTATGCCTTGGTGGATATAGTCCCAACAACTGTGTCCTGGCTTTTCCTCTCAGAAGAAAAAGAGGTGTGTATATGTGTGTGTACGGCGTAAGGTTCGTGATGTGTCGATTGAGGCACTTGAGGCCACACAGGCTCATCCCATATTCCGTGGCTGAGGTGGATTAGATAGCTGGCAAGAAATCGAAAAGCGAAGCGTGGAATCCTCTCATTTGGAAAATAAGAAAAAAACATTTCATCATAAGGCTCATAGTATGTACGTTCGCAAGCGAGACGTTAAAACATTACACTCGAAAAATAAACACGTCCGTCTGAAAACTTCAAAGCACGTATGGCTAGCCATAGCGGTTCTTTTTTTGACAGAACAAAAAGGAAATAATCTGGTATCAAATCCTCACAACGCCGTCCTGCAGCCTACCCTCCCCCTAGAACTTTCTCCCTACAGACACATTCCCATTTGTTTCGTCTCCTCTCTAAGGAGCCGTGGAGTTTGCCGGAGGGGCTGCCGGAGGGGCTGCCGGAGGGGCTGCCGCCGGGGCCGCCGCCGGGGCCGGCTGTGCATTAGCCTGGTTGACAATGATAGTCGGCGGCGGCGCTGTGCCCAGGACTACACCAGCAAGCTCAGCATTGGCGATGGCCTCCTGGGCCAGGAGCTGCTGCTGCAGGTTGAAGAGCGAGCCCTGCGCCAGGAGGGCGGCGTCCTCCTGGATGAGGGCGACATCGCCCACAAACAGGGCCTGGTTCGGCAGGATGATGGCGGCCGGGTCCGGGAACAGCTGTGCGCCCGACGGCGGCTGCGGCGCCGTGGTGTTGAAGGGGAGGAGAACAGATCCGTTGGCCGCCTGCGCAAAGGCCTGGGTCGGGTCTGTCTGGGCGACTTGGGGTTGGGCGGTGGGCTGCGAGACCAGGCTGCCGACGCCCGAAACGCCGGGGATGTCAAGGCCTGTGGGGGTGGCCACTGGGGCGATGGTGAGCGGTTCAGCGGCTGTCATCATGACGAGGATCTCAGATGCGGGATTGTTGTTGTCGGCCTTGGAAGTACAAAGTCAGAGTAAGTTCATAGTGACTGAGGGAGGAAAGGGAAGGGGGGGGGGGGGTTCGGATGTTTACCTTGAGCTGGTTGACCATGTAACGCGTATTGAGGTTATTGGGATCCCGAGCGTCAACGACGTTGGTCACTGTCACAATTACAGTGTTCACGGTGTTCCACCGTGTCTTGAAGTGGTTGATGCGGATGTTGTTCTTGATGGTCTCGACCGTGTTGATCAAGAGTAGTTGGGACTGGACCAGAGCAGCAAATTCCTGCTCGGCCTGAACTGCCAGAGCTTCGAGGGCGCCCAGGTTCTGATTTATGACCACAATCTGGGGCTCCACCACGGTCTGCTCGATGATAACATCCCGCTTCATGGGAAGTTCCTCTCTCTCGAGGGCCCTCCTTGCATCTCGATCAACGGACGCCGGGGCTGTGATGATTATGTTAGAGAAGACGGATACCTCGTATGTTTTGAGGGGCGTATAGCTGTAGTGGGACTTACCAGCAGCAGCGAGAGACAAACCTGCCAGGGCAGGAAGAATACTCCTGAAGAACATGTTGGCTGGACTGAAAGGACTGGACTGGTATCTGGAAGGAGTCTGTAATGTTCCGACCGTCAAGGTCAAGGAGCGTGACTATTTAAGTAGTATAGAAATGAACGGATAGCTGCCACTGGGGCGCTTAGGAGGAAGTACTGATGAGGTCGAAACGGAACCAGAGGAGACAGCGAGAGACCATGGAAGAGAAACTCGAGGAGATCATGATCCTCCTTCCCGTGCACGAGATCCGTGGTGGAATATATCATGATTGCCCTCAGGCTACCGTACAAGTCCTGAGGATGGTACTAGACGTCGCCGGAACGTTGACGATCCGGTGCAAATCTTTACACGGCGCGATTAGAACATATCCCAGGATCACGAAGGTGATCATGCACGACTTTGTGACCTCCTCGACGACAAAGCAAGCGATCAAGGGCGTCCAGGACCAGGGGTTCCCTGGAGCATGGCTCGGACGATGAACAACATTGGTTGACAGGCTGTCAAACAATCATTCATCTATATTGTGTACCTTTTCGCCTTGTGAGCCTATAGTCTAGTACCTGGTGGTCTACCCAGGCTCAATAAGGGTGGCAATTAAGCTTAGAAGTCAAATGGTCCAATGGTCCAATAGACCGGTTTCAAGCGTCTGAAAGGTTGGGATGAGAACCACCCAGGACAACCCAGAAACTGGGTCTCTGGACGGTGACAGCCTTGCTGTGGCCAATCGTACACGGTCTTGGCGAGTCTGAGGAGCAGCCCAAGCTTCGCGGGGTCTGAGACGAACGGGGTTTTGTGTTGCTAGCGCTGCGCGAGGGTCGCTATGGTTACTTTATGCCTTCGTCGGATCCCAGAAAGGGCACATGTCATCTCAGCCGTCATTGAGACGGTCATGGAAGATGGGATGCTCGCGGCGGAGCCGTCTGATGGTTGGGGGAGTTGGGTGACTTATTCCATAGGTACTGACTGACTAAATCAGGACTCGAGCGCAGTCGCACAAGAGGACTGACACCGGAGCAATGAGCAAGGGCCCCCCCCCTGTCGACCCAAGCATGCCTGTAGTACAAGTTCATGGTAGAGGTGAGGACAGTAGAAGGTCCCAAAGGTCCATGAAGGCACAAGAACAGGGTTGAAAACCTGTCTTGGACCTGCTCAGAAGATTGAAAATCGAAAAGAAGAAGGCAATTGTCTGTTATTGTTGTTGTCTGTCTGAAGGAAATAGAAAAAGGGAGGGGAGGGGTCCCAATAGGTACTTATAAATGTACCGCGAACTTAGAATCCAGATGATGTCTGCAGCAGGCGCTATTAGTCAGGCGTGCTATCTAGGAGTGTCGATCTCGGCGGCGCCTCTTTCCCTCACAACCTCCCAACGTTCGTGCCTGGCAATGTTGGAGCGACTTGAGACATGCAGCAGCATGTGAAGAACAAACTTGAAGCAAGTCAACGTTGCAAAGACCAACGATCGATGAAAAGTTCTATTCAATATAAACGAATTCCTCTAAAGAGCGCCATTGCATAAGATCCTAGAGCCTACCGTAGGTGCTTTCTCAAGATCACAGCGGCAGCAGGCTTTGGCTAAGAAACAAGGAGAAATCGAGCGCACTCTGTAGACCCAAACACAATCAGCTTCTTCACATTCCACTTCTGATTCTCAGGCGCAACGCAGCTCAGATTTTTCAGATCAGAGACACTCGCTGGTGTCCCACAAAGTGGCCGCCTCTCAGAATTACATACGCGCGCAGAGAATGCTCCTAAATCTGCTTTTGCGGCACAGACCAAAGAAATGCCCTGTAGGGACGAATCAATGCACAGATTCACCTAAGGAGTATATATTATACATACAATACGTAGCGTGTGTACACGTGGACGCGCCAGGCGTGGGCTTGCGCTGAGGGCGTTGATGCACAGCCTCTCTGCAGGGTATGGTTGACCGCAAGCATGTCTACTACTGCAACTAATACATTCCCGATCAACCTTTTCTCAGATGGTAGACTTTTCTCCCATATCGTGCTCTTTCTCAACCTTCTCAATATCATGTGTAGTCGCGCCAGTCACAATGGAGGACTTCAGCATCGGCGGCAAAAGAGAGACGGGCACGGAAGAGCACGGTGATGAGCCCCAGGCGAAAAGGCTGCGAACAGAGCCTTACCAAGCAGCGCCTGAGGTCACCGCTCTACTGGACCCGGGAGAGAGGTGGCTCCAACAGTATACCTACCAGCCAAGGTACGAGGATCAGAGCCCGCAGGTTGGCAGCTACCGAGTCTGGGGAACTCAATGACGCTCCATGACAAGAACCTACCTGGAATTACTAGTTTGATTGCAGACTTGCCTCTAGATTATATCTCCAGCCCATATGATCTGTCGTTCGCCTCGCAATCTCTACAGCTACTGCAGCCTGGACAAGGCCCCTTACCAGTGCCAAATCCTGGCCAGATGTGGAATGCGACCGAGTCTGGTGTCCGTGACGGATCTCCAGTCAATAGCTCCAACGTGTCTGCTATCCTTGGACCAGGAGCTTCAACTCTGACGGTAACAGGATCTACTGCCACGGAGAATATATCTGCCGACAGCTTCATCTCGCCCCATAAATTTGGAGGCTCCTACATATCGTCCTCGGTGGGAAGCGCATGCCAGACTCCAGAATTGAGCCCGAAGCATCCCGAGCCCAGGATTGAGGTGTCTTCCAGCAGCCATGACACCAGAGCAGACAAAAGCCTCGCGAGCCAGGAGCAATTTGATACCTGTTTTGGCGTGGTCAGTAAAGCTCCTTTCAATGTTGTACTTGGAGATCCGTTGGTTAATCAATACTCAGCAGATCATTGCAAAGCCTACAGGAACTTTCAAACCCGATGAAGTGGGTTGCGGGAAGCCGCTGACTATCAAACCTTCGGGGGATATCGTTAAACTCAGCTATCAAGATCCTCCCAGATACGCGGGGCTGCTGATTCTACCGTCCTTGTCTCGGCTTGAGCAGAGATTCAATATCCGTCTCAGCGCCAGCATTTCGACTGAGACCACTCTGGATCAGAAGTCCACCAAAAAGCCCAAGAAACGCAACAAAGGAACAGCGAAGGCAGACGCGCAGGCCCAGGTGGAGGTGACCGTCCGCATCTTGATATACGGCTTGTCCGAAGACAGTGTCGCCATTGGGAACTTTCTTTCAGATGCTGGCTTGTATCTCCAGCATCCTTACACAACGGAGTACAACAGGAACCTCGACTATCACAACCCGCACTACCTCACGCGACCCGGTGGAGGAATGCCGCCGATGGAGGATTTGAATTTGGGCTCAGATGGCCGCGCTGAACCTGAAATTAACACCTTGGATGAAATTGCGAAGAGTAGGCTGTTGAGGATTTTTGACGCCGCGAATGGCGTCGATATCTCAGCGAGTGATCTTGAAATCTACGCAGGTGTAGGAGTCAGTCCTCGGCTGAATTGCACCTTGCTCCCGTGAGTGTGAGAGACATCAACGTGGGTTTCTGTTGAGACTAATGAATTCAATGCAGGCACCAGATGACAGCAGTGGCCATGATGATTGAGAAGGAGAATGGCGATTTCATGCAAGCCAGGTTCCCTTCTCTCTGGGTACCCATGGCTTCCATTCACGATGAGGTTCGGTAGGTCGTTTTGATACCTGATTACAGCCGTTTCAAACCAGCTGACCTGGAATTCTTCTCTGGCTTTCGACATATCATCGCTGGACATGACGAGGATAATCTCCCTCCCCTAAACGGCGGAATATTAGCAGACGTGAGCATCAGACCAAGTCGGCTCATCAAGTGTTTTCCTAACTTCCGCACAGGATATGGGCCTCGGTAAGACTCTGAGCACACTGGCTCTGGTCTGCTTATCTCTCGATGCAATCAAGGAGAGTCAGACCTCCTTTCCGGCTGGTACAACTCGAGCAAGTTTGGTAGTCGCTCCAATGTCAAGTATGTGCATCTCTCCCCCGTAGCAGGAGCGAACGATGCTGATCATCAAAGCTATCTCGGCGTGGCAAGAGCAGATAAAGACGTAACGAAGCCCCCTATTATTCCGTTTATGAGGCTTTAATTCAGAGCTAATTTAACACCAATTAGGCACATTTATCCAAAGCACTTCAGATTCATCGTCTATCATGGACCAAACAGACAAGCTCTCATCAGAGACCTTCAGAACGTTGACGTTGTCATAACGACATACGAGACACTCAGGTCAGACTGTGATTCAAAGGGTCCGTTGTATAACCTCAAGTGGTTTCGGCAGGTTCTTGACGAAGGTGAGCGAACGTGTCTTTGCACAGGTTCCTACAAATTATACTGATTGATATGGTCCAGCTCATCGGATCCGTAACCGCTCTTCGCAGAACTTCAAGGCTGCATGCCAGATCAGAGCAAAACACAAGTGGTGTCTTACAGGCACACCGATTCATAGTTCACTTGATGATTATGGTGCTTTACTCAGCTTCATACGAACTCCACTTTTAGCAGAAAAGACACAGTTCGCTAGATTGGTGGCACATCCCATCAAAAAGCAGCAGCATCATTCCGCGCAACGCTTGCAAGATCTGGTGAAAGCCACATGTCTTCGGCGGACGAAGAACACATCTAGTCTTTCACTGAACCTTCCTGCACGAACGGAAAATGTCGAGCTGGTTCGTTTGCACCTTCGTGACCTCGAGATATACGACTTCTTCAAGGCTGGAGTTGCTCGAATGGCAGCCGGAACTCATCAGGAAAATGGCACCTCTGATCTTGATGGATGGTTCAAAGGAAAGAATATCTTGGGTATGATCACATGCCTGCGACGTGTCTGCGATCATGGGAAGCACCTCCTTCCTGTAGCAGCCTTGGATGCCTGGACACAAAAAAACAGCTCACTTGTCCCAGCAGAAATCAGGGATCTTTGTGAGCACTGTGAATTCGACTTCACAACCCTGAATCCAGTGATCTCATTAAGCACGGCAGAAGTCGAAGACGTCTGCCCAAAGTGCAACAGCACTGTGGCATACTCCCCATCCGGAATATACAGCTCGTCAGATCAACAAATCGAACCCTCAGCCAAAATGTGCAGTAAGCAACACTACTGCAGAGTGTCGTGGCTAAGCACAAGAGAACACACCACCGGATGCCACGTTTCAAGATAACCCGGACCGGAAATACACTCTCTTTCTCCTTTCATTTGAAAAAGCAGTTCCCTGCTTGAGTCAAAGATTTTTTTTATTCAGTTTTAATCAAACAACTATGCCATTTGAGTCCATGTTCTATACTGTATTCTTTGAGAATGGATCGGAGCCCCAGACTCGGGACAGCAAGATAACCCAAGGCAGACTGCAGAAGCTCAGATGGTATTTCCACCTGCGTCTCAGGAGCCTGTTTTCCGGGCCGCATGCAAGGCTTCTGCATACACAGCCCATTGGGTAGTTAGGAGCCAAAGTTGAATGACACATTAGGTGCTCTGTACGTTAGCTCCATTACCATAGCTGATCTTAACTATACATATGTAGCAAGCCTCACTGGTGCGATTGGTGCGTGGGGAAAGTCACCATAATGAAGCTCTAGCCTTCGCGATCCTTTTATCTCGTGCATTTATCAGAATTCGGGACAAAAAGAAAATAGCGTCAGTCATATGAACCGAGAATACATGATCATCCTATCCAGAGACTATCTGACCTATGACAGTAGTGTCCAAGCGAACTCTTATATGAAAAGCTGGTCTGGCTAGCAGCGGTCAGCTTAATATGTTTAGATGTCAGGAACAGTAAATCCAGGCTGTTACATAATTCCATCATTCAGGGCGGGTGGTAGTTGATAGTGACTTCTTTAAGATGATCTATATGTAGGCAGATTGTGGCAATGTTGGGGTCCTATCTTCAGTGCCTAGGCTTTCATCCGCGAATATATTTCTGAAGCAATTTGCCTTTCTCTACCTTTCAACTCAAAGGTTATAAAGACCTCGCAACAATCCTATCTATCTCCCTTCATCTGGCAAATCAATATACTTGAGAAACATGATAGTAGTCTGGGTTTTTAAGCACTTTGCTCCCATGCCAGCAACAAGCATTTCTCCGCTTATAAATCTCTAAAAGCCCAGCCTCAGGACATGAGAATAGACAATGAAGCAATTGAACACCCTGTTTAGACTATAATTTCAATTCTGGAAAGACTGAAGTGTCTAGGAAACCCGTTCCCCCCCCCCCCCCCCAAAAAAAAAACCCCCCAAAAACCAAACCACCACCGTGGTTGAACATAAGTTGGCATTAGAATAGTTAGAAGCAGCCGAATTTCACACCGCGTCGAAACGGACCAATAGCGATGCCCTCTCATGTTTCTCAATGTGACCAAAAGACATGCTAGAAAGCGAGTATCTCATTCACATGGACCTTAATTCACATGCTGTGGCAGTTAGACATACTGACTCCGAATCTCCCCCCTCATTACCCGCTGTGAGCGCCGCCCGCATTTCCTCCACGACTTATATACAGGCTGCCCAAACACAGTTCAGAGAAAGCCTCCGTACAAGAAGCGACGTGTTGCTCCGAGAGAGTCTTTAGTTTCTTTGTGTAGCAGACGTTAGTCACGGGGATCTGTTGTGTCCATGACCGAGTCCCTCCCAGCCACGTAGTTCAGATCGCATCAATGATGAAGACTCCGGAAATCCATGCGAGTTACTGGAAATATTTAGTGATGATAGGGATCTTTCTACAGCATCGATGTCTTTTTTTTTTGGCTACAATTTTCCTCGGAGAGTTAATTCAAAAGCCAAAAGAAGAGCATCCAGATTGAAAGTGTGCCATCAAAGAATTTGCTCCAAGAAACAAGACGAACAATAACTTCTTTGGTTCATGAACAAGTTCTGCAGATGTTGGCTACCATATTTTGAAATTGTCTGCCATAAAAACCTCTGTTTGAATCTGTTTGAAATTCCAACTTCAACCTATGATTCAAATCTCCTACCTTCCACCATGCCTACTGACAATCAAGATGCTCAGGATGAGAGGCCCTCTTCTCCCGGCCGCGGGCGTACCAGCACTACCTCAGAGGCTGGACCATCCAACCAAGCCCCTCTGCGAGAAGGCAGCTCGATGAGTCGGGGTCGAACTCGCAGAATAGAGGTGGAATATACCGAGCCTCCTCGAGACCCTGATGGGTACAATACCTCCTCGTGCGCCCCCTCTTTAACTTCTCCCCACCGCCCCCTCCATATATCATCTTGCACTCCTATACCCTTCTCCTTGTTATACCAAAACCCTCAAGCAGCCCCCAGATAACTAAGTCCGCTAACCTTTCCTCCAGACCCGAGGACTATGTCTATGAAGACGGCCTAGGCGGCTACGCCCCACGCAAACCCGATAGCGCATCCTCCTCAGCGCCGGGCCACTACCAGACCCGCATGCTGAGCGAGCCCCAGATGACGCTGCCCGGTGCCGAGTTCCTGCGGCACAGGGACCAGGAGGCCAGGGCGCGAGCGGCCGAGGCGAGCAGGGAGGAGAGGGAGTACCACCGCCAGCAGGCTTCTATGCAGGCGAGGGAGCCTGGGCGGAGGCGCAAACCCGATCCTCATTATCATCCAGCTAGATCGCGTACCTCGACGACCCAGCGTTCGAACGAGGACTGGGGTTGCTGCGTCGTTCTCTAAAGGCGCTCGACGGAGGGGTCATCTTCCGTCATGGGAGAACATAGGCGTTGTAAATACGTTCCGAGGTCGTGGGTGGCAAGGCGAGCCAGTCTCAGAGGACTCATGGTGCTGCTATTGGTTGCCGCATTGTAAGCGCTCATTCACTGATTCATGGTTGTAGAGGGTTCCAATGATTCTTGGTATGCATCGTTATGACGACCGATCTAGTCGCCCACTTGAGAGTAGAAATGAGGTTGCTTAAGTGGAAATGATCTGATTTGCATTCATCGACATGGATTTTGTGAACCTATACTGTAGCCACCACAGAACTCCTCTAGGACCGTCTAACGCGCAATTACTCGATTTCGTACTTGTCTGCGACAGACTTGATCTCTTTCGAGAAAGTCACATCCTCGTTCATCTCGATCAGCGTAACAGAGGACACCTAAGAATGTAATTAGCAAAGAGAAGTTACTTGTTTATGACCGAAAAAAAGAAAGGAGAAGAAAACAAAATATGAGGGCGGTGATCTTACGTCGACATCCACAAACGGTGTGGTCTTGGAGAACCGGACCTGCATTGGGAAGAACTCATTCTCGTCGTCTGCCTGGGCCTCGAACTCGAAAGCACCATTGGAATTGTCCTCGTCCACTGTGCCGATGGTCCACTCCACGCTGTCGCCGGTCACGTCATACGTAGCATCGAAACTTGAGATAGTAGGCTCGCTAGTCGCGTATGGAATAGTGACGCTGACATCCTTGAGCGCGTCACCACCGGTCAGTTCGTACTCAACGGTCATGGTATAGGTACCATCAGTGCCCTTGTTGACCCAAACAGTGAAGCTGATGGGCAGCGCGCTCGTGTCATCTGTCTTGGGCGTGGCACGCCACCGGAGCACACCAACAGACTGGTTGACAGGGAAGCCTCGATCAACCTTGCTCATCTGGATGACCTTGGAGCTGTTGAACAGGTTCCGGTCCACGTTGGGGTGAGTCCTGAACTGTGCGCCATGGGAAGGCTGTGCGCTCAAGTCGAGCTTGACCTTGGTCAGGGAAGGATCGGATATCCGCAAATTCAGGTCGCCGCTGACTGCGATGGATTTGACAGCGCCTTCTCTTGAGATGTGGGCACCAATCGTTTCAGAGATGGTGACATGTATGGCATCACGGTCCAGAGTTGTAGAAATTCGTGGGGCGGGCGCTTCTGCTGCAACAGGAGATGCCGCTGCCGGAGCGATCAAAGGGCTGTCATCCACCTCATGGCCCATCTCGCCCCGCACCCGCTCAAACATATCGGTGGTCTTCGACTTCTTGCCGAGCTGCATTCCCTTGCCCTTGGGCGCGGCGAACTTGGACTTGTTCTTCTCAGCTTCGTACGAGTCGTAGGTATCGGTAACAGCGGGTCGGGTAGGTGGTGTGTAGGTTGGGTACACAGGCGTTCTGGGCGCATTGCCCATGCCACCCATCCCGCGAGCGTTGCGGGCCGATTCCTTTCGCTGCATCTCGAGTTGCTTGGCTTTCCTCTTCCGTTCCTCGGTGGCCTCCAATTCTTTGTTCTGTCAGGAGGTATGTTAGCCCGGCCGTATTCCGGGCCCCAAACTTCACAAGATGGACAACATACCCGGGCAATGATCTCCTGGATGCGCTCCTCGTGACTCTCCATTTCCAGGAAGGTCTTGATCTGGCTGATCGTCAGGTTCTCCCTGTACCCCAGCGTCACCAGCTCGTCAAATGCGCTGAGCAGCTCGTATGCATTCTTGAGGATCTCCCTCTCATCCAGGCTCTTGCAGGTGCTGGTGACAACTTGGGCGAAGAGGTGTAGCGAGTCGATGTCTTGAAGGATATTGGACTGGCGGTTGGTGATGAGGACCATGTAGAGCTCATCCAGGGGTTGGTAGACGAAGCGGACATTGTCCTGTTCGACAGTTGTATGCTGAGTACCGCTGTCGGCAAGTTTGGGAAACGAGGCGAGGAGAGCTTCGATACGCGACCTGGGCATCTCGCGGAACTGTCGAGAGAGGACAGCTTTGCCCCCGCGGGTGCAGATCGATGCTGCGAGGACAACCTGGGCCATGCAAAGTCAGTACATTTGTGGTGCCATTTCGTTTGGTATCAATGGGGGCAAATACCATTTTGAATCTGCTACCGTATCCGGGAAGGGAGCGTTATCGCAGCTGGGAAGGAAGATGCTCGTCTGCCGGTTTGAGAGCGACGGAATGGAGTTTGTGGTCGACCGCAGTTACCAGGTATGCTATGAATTGGGGCTTGTTGATGCCAGCTAAGTCGTAAATGTGGCCCGTGCTCCTTTGCGCCTGGCAGGCACAGGACAGTGCATAAGCTTGATTTTAGTAAGCTCCAGAGCTTCCTTTCATGCGCGTCGGGACTTTCTTCCAACACCGCCAAATAACCTCTTCATCCACATCACATCGACCTGGGATATCAACCACCCTTTCTGCTTCAGTTCTCTCACCTGCCATACTCAGTGACTCATTACCTTGAATATTGCGATACCTTCTCCGGGTTGCATCATCATCACTGACCCTTCAGGGCAGCAGTGCGAAGCTTTCTCCCCCCTTCCTTTCCAGATCCTTCACCTTAGCCGTGGCTTGACAACTTCACTCAAACCCTTTCACCTACTCAATCTTACCTGATTCTTCTGGGACAGGCTTTGCCTACCACTACTCCAGAATTTACGCAACTGTTAAGATCTCTCTTATCTGCGAACTACCTCAACATAAGCGCCATGCCAACCGCTGCCTGCCCGTCCAACTTGTAAGCATTTAACGGGCAGCAGAAACACCTTTTGATCGGCCTACCAAACCATTATTGTCTTCGTAAACAACACTTTACGTATCTGAGAAACAACTGCAACACCATGGAGGCTGCAGCAGAAGAGCCACCGCATCATACTCCTGACCAAGAGATCGGACACGGCAACGATCTCAATGACACTACTCAAGACGACGAGTTTGATTTCGAGATCGGTGGCGGCGACGATCTGGGCGGCCTTGGAGAGGCTGACACCGCAAGGGATGATCTAACCAACCCGCCCGACAACGTCGAGGCACAGAACGGCGATTCGTACACGTTGAATCCACAAGAGGGAGTGCCGCCGGCATCGAACGTAGAATCTGATCATGACGCCGGTCTCGAATTCGGCCACGAAGCCGTCGACCTAGCGATTTCCGATTTTGATGCCTACGCTGGACAAGACGAATATGCCCAGGATGCCCACGATGGTGGTCTCGGCGAACCTGAAGCCGTTGATCAGGATGAGAATCAAGATGGTCGTACCAAGGAAGAAGACGGCTCTCACGAAGGAGTCGATTACGAGGAGACAGCTGGCGAATTCGAGGGACTCGACCCTGTCGAGCTTGATTTGGAAACAACCCACGATCTCTTGAATGCTGCGACAAGTGTCGATGGCATTCAAAAGGGAGTTGGTTCACAGGAGCCCGCCCACGATACTGATCCGATCGAGGACCGAGCCGAGGCAAGGATAGACACTGTCCAGGATGCACAATACCTTGCAGAGACGGCCGACGATGGTGAGAGAGCTGAAACGCTTATTGACGGCGATCACCCTCAGGATGCAAGTGTTGCAGGCGAGGCAGAGGGCAGCAACGTCAACTCTGATGCGGACACGTCGCTGGCCGTAGACTACCACACGACCGAGGTTGCTGATACCTCTCTGAACGAGTCCAACTGGGATACTGAGGATTTGGAAGGGGATAAGGACCTCAACTCCAACGTGTTTCCAAATGTGACGGTCTCGTACCAGAAGCAGGAGTATTTCCTCTTTGGAGGGGCTGCCGATGAAGACCCCAACACATACTTTCTTAGTGATGTTGATCTGCTTCAACAGCCCCTATCCGAGTTCCTCAGCAACATTCGCGACGTCATTTCTTCTGAGGTGGAATCTGACCAAGAAATCTTCCTACAAGTCGACGGTCTTGGCCTCGAATTTGGCGAGTCCACAACGCAGGATTTCCTCGACCAAACCACGTTCGCTCAGATCATAGAGGTGAACAAGAAACTGGTTCAGCACGATGGTGGCTCTCGGTCGCCCGAGCTATTCGTCTACCTCAGTACGCGATCAAACCCTTTACACCGGTTTGCGGATCTCGTGGAAGGCGCGGACGAGGGCCGGGGACTCTCGCACTTTGAGAAGTACTACGAGGATGCCTCTGGAAATGCCTCTGCCACCAATGAAGCAGGCCCGGAAGGATTGTCTGATGATCTCATCTCCGACGATCTGTCGCTTGACGATGCCGAAGACGACGAGGGTGAGGCGGCAATGGATGAAGCAGCTGAACACTATGAAGTGGAGCAGAGACGCAACCCGTTCCAAGTTGTTGAAGATCCAGAACAATCGACTGTCGATGCATCTGGCTCTGGCAGTGCGGAAGAGGATACAGCCGAGTACGACGCCGACGCACTTGATCCCGAGGAGGCTCATATCTTTGATGCGGTCGTAAATGCCGGCTCTGCACTCGAGACTACAGATGGACATGAGATATCTGTGGCCGATATCATAGAAGATGATGCGTCAGCAGCAGGCCATCTTGATGCCCAGGTCCTAGAAGTGATGCATGAGGTGGAGCGTCAGAATGGTGACGGCCTGTCAGCTGGCAGCGAGAATCGCGAGATGACACACGAGGCCGAAACGCTGGTTGATCTGTCCCAGGAGGGACAAGAAGGCGTTGATGGTGAGGACTCTTTTTCTTTGCCAAGTATATGTGCAGAGCCGAAACTGTGTTTTTGCGACGACTGCTTGTCCCTGGATTCTCTTTCTGTTCAGGACGCTTCAGCCAGCCCTGACGCCATCACACGTTCTGTTTTTGATTCAATCACTGAAGAAGAATGGGATCGTCTTATGTCTGATACTCAGGAAGGCATCGCAGCAGCTAACGAAATTACTCAAGATACCGCAGCCAATACGGCCGAAGACGACGACTATCTGGACCTCGGCAACGAAGGCGATCTTTTGGAACCTGCAAATTACACCGACACGAGCAACGGCGCGGCCATACATAATGATACCTCGCGACAAGTTTCCGATAACTCGAGTGCAACAGCAACCCTTGACGGAGAGGACAGCGCGCATGGAGAGGATGCAGCTATGGCTCAAGGCTCTGCATATCCTACCAACGGCCCAACTCAAACCGACCTTGGGACTTTCTCAAACGATGTGGACGAGATCGATTGGAATCATGACGAGGACGACGAAATTGGCGTTGCGCATCCAAACCCGACCAACCTCTCTCCTTCGAGCCTCTCTGCAAAGAGAAGCAGACAAGCAGACGAGGTCGTTGATGGTCCGGGCGATGAGAATGGTGCGTACCCACTCTGGTTCTCTCTAGATGCGCGTACTAATTTTGTACCAGCCGCCAAGCGCCGTCGCACTTAGGTGGACGGTTGGTCTTTGACACTCATTCACCGTATCGACATCAAGCCTGCGACATACAATGTCAAAGATTAGGGAGCAGTTGTAGTTCATCTGCACCCTCACTCTCCCCATACCTGATCCTGAATTTATCCCCGTAGTTTTCCCCCCTTTCCCCTCCTCCCCTAGCTCTTGACCCTGAAGAGCAACAATGGAGCACGGCTCGACGACGGCGACAACAACAACAACAACAACAGCAATAACAGATTTACACCACGACCGAGCGTCTTCATGGATATGGAAGGTAAGTGAGTTTGCGGCTGAAAAGAAGACAGCATCGACTGGTATTCGAACAGGACACAGAGTCCTAGCTCCTGACAATAGTGTTGAGCATCGCCTTGCCCCCCTTCACGACATTAATCATGCGTCTGCGTGTCTGCGGCGGAAGAAGAACAAAAGAAAGGAATTCAGTGATACCCTAACTTCAGCAATTACTTGGTTTGCGATGATCTGGAGATGGCTGGAGCCTTGGAGCTGAGGCGGACCTGGGTATGACACCTGTACACTACCTCGTATATTTCTGGAGTCGTTCATGGCGGGCAAGACTCGAATCACGGGGCGACGTGATTCATGCAACTGATGGCCTATTCGGGATCCTCAGTCGCCGTGCGGATGTGGACGGGTCATATTCTGCTCTCCCAAGCAGTGAGGCTAAGTATCTTGCACATTTTTCTAACCTGCGAGGTGCAATGCGCCTATCGAGCATGTTGAGGTGTGTACAAGGGACTGGGCTGTTCTCGCTGGGAAGGCATTGCAGTGGAATGGATTGCGGGGGCGGCCTTGATGGTGAGCGTTGAAGCGGGTTCGCGAAATCTCAAGATCTGGCCACAGTTGTGGCGATTTGTAGAGCAGCAGTTTTGTACCCAAAATCTGAAGAGATAAACCTAGTTCAAGTCAACGCAGCGAGGCCGATTTCAGTGCCTGGCCCTGGGCCAACGTCTCTAATGGCCTAATCTGAGAATTACTTCGTCTTAGGACACATGAACAGGACGCGGCAGCTGCTATGTGTGGAAAGGCTGGACACGCTGAGAAGACCGCTCCTAAGGGAGCTAGGATGTGGCGGTCCGGCTCAAATGAGGAACGCAGGTTAGCAGCTCATTCCACTGCTGACGCGTTGGCCGCAAATTGGGTGAGGCTGAGGCTGAGCCAATTGTCGAATCGGAAAATACTGGGTGGATGCCACAAACGCCACCAGAGAACACACAAAGTAAGCTTTTCCCCCGGCTGTCCCCTTGACCTCCTTCTGCTCTACAATACTTACTACCCAGGCGTGCGTGCCCAGGAGAGGGCTTCAAAGAATCAATAAAGTGTGGGATGTTTCCCCTTGTCCCTGTCTGACGGACGATCGCTATCCCCCCAATGTTTCGTGGACGGACCTCGAACGTTGCAGTTATATCCGATATACATATTACAGCATGCAGAGGTACTTGATGGGGGGGTTAGGGTGTTTCAACTGCGGCCGTTGGCCGGCGACACACTTTACCGGCCCTTTCTGTTGCACAAAGTCATGCTGGAGGAGGTTTTAGCATGTCAACTTATCAGCTGGAATTGTCACGAGGATAAGCAGGAAGATGCTGATCTTGTAGGTGTTTCGTAGTGGGGTCCCGGGCGCAAATTGGCCAAAACAATCAAGCTTCATACGCCACCCCTTATCAGCAGTATGAATCGACCTGCTCAAGGGACAACAAGCCAGTTAAGTGTGACTATGGCAACATGTGTTGCTACGACTCGAGTCAGCCCAGTCTTCTGCAAGTCATTTGAGAGAAGCCATCGTGAAGTAGGCTGGCGCCACATATAACATGGACCTGGCCGTGGTGGGCTTTACATTCACCAAACCCAAGAGATCTACCGAAGTCATCATACATCTGACCAGAGCTCTCGTTGGCTCAAAATATCAGAACTCCTTACGGATCTTATTGTTCTGTTGGGCATCTTAAACCATAAGCGGTCGGAAAGCTCAGAGGAGGAAGTGTGCAAGATTGCCGGTGACCTGAAGCGCGTTGAACTGGATACCAAGGCCGTCCAGTATTTTCTCAAGGGTACAGTTGTATCACAAATGTCAATATCTATGATATAGAGAAGACGAGATTGATGTTGATGATCTCGAAGGCCTGAACCCACCCCCCCCCCAGGCAAATGGAAAACAAGAACAGTACCTCGGACTGCTATTAGTAGCTAAAGTTTATCCTTGAGATTGGGCAGAGATGTCATTTGGAACCTCTGTTGAACTCGAGCCAGCTTTGTACTGCCACTGATGTAATAAGGAGATGCGATAACCTCCCATCTGAAGCTGCAGGATGATGACTTAGGCGTTCAGAAGACCAGTGTGTGGTGGTTTAGCTCCAGGTATCTCAAAAATTGACTCCAGAAACAATGTGGAGGACGTGCGAGGCCTGATGGCCGAAACATAGCAAGTACTATGTAACTGCTTCATATGCAGCAGACAGACCTGCTGCCAAACATGGCTGGCCGCTCGTATTCAAACTTGGAAGAGGGCCCCTGAACTGGGCTTGCTGCTGGCTGAGAGTGAGGCGGGCCAGATTGGACTTACTCAGATACTAACAGCTCGTGGTAGCCCCTCCTGCTGAGTCTAGATAGAGGACAAGGTAGCGCCTGATGCAGGGCCCAAGGCCACAGTGCCGGACACGCACGATTAGGTGAGGGCAGGTCTGCTAGCCAGGTGCCAGGGCACTCGGGGCGTGAATAGCCAGGGGTTCTGCCCGGGGGACCTACATACAGTGGAACCCACAGGCGGCAGCGACAGGGGCCCTGCAACTGCCCACGGAGGGACGACCAGTAACAGTAACGCCTTTGGGAGATCCGAAACCTTTGGGGTGCTGCGACACACGATGGTGACATGGCCTCGATCCGTTCCAAAAGGAGTCTGATCGGGGATCCCTGTCCAGACCATCCAATTTTACCAACAGATTTTCGAACCCTGCCAAGGCACAACGTGCCCCTACACCCACCACTGTAGTGGTACATGCCATGGTAGTTAGTTAGTGTGCACACGCCCAGCCCGCCCTTGGATCATACTAGAGAGGAGGAGATGCCTTCTAACACAGGCGCCGATAGAATTAACGGGGCCCTCTTCTTTTCTCTCCCACTCTCCCTTTCCCTTCCTCTCACTATCACTCACTCTCCACCAAAGCACAGGCCAGACAGCTAGACAGGCAAGGCAGTGCACGTCCCACTTTTCTGTCTTCCGGCCTGTTGAGATTTCCGAAAGGGAAACATCCTGACCGAGAACTATCAGTTCCCTCCCCATCCTGGATTCGATACCATCACCACCCACATCCTCCTTCTCCTCCACTAACAGCAAAAAGACGACACCTTTCCCCAACCACGACCCCTGGCCAGATCACCCTCATACCAACGACACACCCCGTCGCACCTGACCTGCGGATCGTCAACGACCTGACCCTGCGAAACGGACACGATTTCCGCAGCAGCCCTTTTCTTTCCTCGTTCGATCCCGGCGGTGCATGTGTCGTTATTGAGGGCAAAAGACGGACGATCTTCCCACAAAGTCACCTTTCCTTCTTCTTCTCGCCAGGCGCGAGCGTGCCAACCTCGTCCTCCACGTGTCAAACCCGCCCCAGGTTTGCTCACCACTCCTGGGCCCCGCGCCCATCAATCGCCAGCCTACACGCATCGCACGATCTTTTCAATCCCTCGGGCACAGGCGGCGCCTAGCTGCTGTCACGCTCCTTTCAAGATGATGTTGGAAGAGAAGTACGACATCCCTTACTCGCTTACGCTCGGCGCAGGACAGCTGGCGGCCTGCCTGTTTCACTCCTTGATAGCAACGAGAACATTCGCGCTGATGGATTTTCCTTTTCGCGCTGCAGATACATCGGCCTGGGACTGGCCATGACGTCCAGTTTAGCCATCGGTAGGTTTGATACCGCCCCGAGCCGCCATACTTTTGTGTAGAAGTCGACTGTAGCTGACCCTTTTCCGACTTTGCAGGCACGAGTTTCGTCATAACGAAAAAGGTACCCACATACCACCCACCCATACGAACCCTCCTCCATCGAGCTCGAGCAAACCTCATACATCATACCGACGCCCCCGGCGTATACTCAATCAATGGCTGACCGTATCCCTGTAGGGTCTCAACCAAGCGGAAGAGAGGCACGGTTTTGAAGGCGATGGCTTCATATACCTACGAAACCCGATGTGGTGGGCCGGTATATCCACACGTGAGAAACCCCCCCCCCCCCCCCCGACTATAGTCAACCGATGGATCTGTCCGGGACGAGGCTTGGGAATCTGCTGACCTCGGGAACGCAACAGTGGTCATCGGCGAGATATGTAACTTCGCAGCATACGCCTTCGCACCAGCCATCCTTGTTACACCACTGGGTGCACTGTCTGTTTTGATAGGCGCAGTACTGGGATCATACTTCCTCAACGAGGAGCTGGGGATACTAGGAAAGCTGGGGAGCGCTATCTGCCTCATCGGTGCCGTCATTATTGTCCTTCATGCTCCGCCAGATGAGGATATCGAGACCATCGAGACGATCCTCTCGTATGCGCTGAAGCCTGGTGAGATCCGACCGCCCACGCCGTTCCGACAGCGACGCCCCGTGGCTAACTCTTGTGGCTTAAGGTTTCCTGATCTACGCAATATCGGTGACGGCCTTTTCCGTATTCATGATCTACAAGATCTCGCCCGTCTATGGAAAGCAGAACCCGCTTGTCTACCTCAGCATCTGCTCCCTGGTGGGATCAGTCTCAGTCATGGCCATCAAGGCTTTTGGTATCGCCCTGAAGTTGACATTTGCCGGTCACAACCAGTTCACACATGCCTCGACATATGTGTTCATGATCATTACCGCAGTGTGCATCCTGACGCAGATGAACTACTTCAACAAGGCACTCAGCCAATTCCCAACCAATATGTTTGTATCCCAGGTAATCCATTGTATCCCGCAAATCACCGTGCTGACCCTGCTCTCGACAGCGTCAACCCCCTCTACTACGTCACCTTCACGACGGCAACCCTGTGTGCGTCTTTCATCCTCTTTAACGGCTTCAACACCTCGGACCCTGTCAACACGCTCTCGCTCCTGTGCGGTTTCCTCGTCACCTTCACGGGTGTGTACCTTCTGAACCTCTCGCGTCGCGACCCGAATGGCTTTAAGATGATCTCGGGGCGGGGCGGCAACGATGCCATCGGCACGGATATGGTCTCGCAGATCCAGACGCGCATGAGCATGGAGGCGCGGCGCAGCTTCGGGACGCGGGGAAGCACCGACCGCGAGGGCCAAGGCCTGATTCGGGCGTACGACGAGGAGGCGGCTGCCGAGTTCGGGCTCACAGACCTCACGGAGGACAGCGATGACGAGGGCAGCAGCGGCCGGATGCCGCATCAGAACGGCTCGGCCGAGCCCAACGGCAATGGCAAGACGAAGACGTCGGCCGAGATGCAAGCGCCTAAGTCAGGGGAGAGATAACGTCTGTTCGTGCGCCTGTCTTGTTGCGCGTTTTGTTGCGCGTCTGTGTAAAAAAAAAAAAAAAAAAACATTAAATGAAAAGAAAAAGAAAGGCAAGAGGCTACGATGTGTATGACGGGCCTTCATGGATATGAGGCTGGGATTTGTTTTGGGACTGGTTGACATCTTTGGGGGTTGTTAGAACGGAGTCCGGGTCGGCAGGCAGGCATTCTCCGGGTCGTTTCTGGCTGCATCCCCTCCCCCCCCCCCCCAACCTTATTTGTGCCGAATTCTCCGACCTGTATATTTCACTTGCATTTGCTTCAAGCGTGGCCGTCTGAGGGTATTCTACCAGGTGCCCGTTGTTGTGACGAAGGGTTCGAAGAAACAAATCATCATCAGCCTTTGGCCAAGCAGATTTGTGCCAATGGAATAAATGGTTGCCAAGATGCGCGCATACACACACACACACAGGCACACCCAGTCAACAGGAGACAGCAACGGGGCCGGTGGGTATGATTGCGACGAAAAGAGCGAGAATCGACAGTTCTCTTGGGGCTATCAACAGAGGACACATACAGGCTTTCCCCCAAAGTATCTTTGGCGCCGTCACGTGTCGTATGGACTGTGTAATAGGTATGGGTTAAGATATCATGGGCACAGGAGGCCCGCCGGTCCCTTTCAAGTTGGGAGTCGGAGTCTGGGAGACGGGCGGTCGGCGAAAATGGCATCAGCGAGGGCCTGTTCATGACGCCCGCATCAGTTCATAAGAATTTTTATACGAAGAATATGTGCTGCTGCATCTAAGTTGAGACTACTTTACTTAGACCAAGCTGGACTTTTGGCATCCCATAATGAGTTGAGAAATCTGCGTGTTAAAATCTACACTATGAGCACTTGAGGCTGTTCCTGAGCTTGTAGTAGACCACAATGCCGCCCTGCTCAGATGCCCTCAGTCCGCCGTCCTAGCCCAAGGTTACGACATGGTAAGAAAACGCCTGCAGCGACAACTCAATAACTGGCCAACAAACCCAACAACGTAGACAATCGATTTTTAATGTTCAGTCTTAGTGATATTTGGGGGCTTCAGCGAGTGATTTTTTTCATGAAAAAAATAAATGAAAAATTCAAGCGACTGTGAAAAGGGGAGTGCTTGGCAGTGCTCCAGAGGACAACTCATACCCTCCAGGGATGTTACACTCTACTTATCCACTGTCGGTTGCCCAAGCGCCTGTTCGCTGGAGGGCCGCCAAGGCATATTACTAGCTCAGGCTGTTTTTATATACGTGAACTCTACACATTTGCAAACTCGACCTGAGCTTCTCTTCCACCCATGATCGTCTGGAATATATAATTTCATAAAATCAAAAAGACGCCAGCTCACTGTGCACCTCTTGCCACACCCTCATCTTTTGAGATCTGGTCGATCGAGATCGGACTCCTAGATTCCATCATGGGCTCGTTCCTTGCCAAGTTTGTGGCGAGCGAGTACGCTGGGCACGTCTTGGAGGAGAATTTTGGGCCAGAGGTATTTGTTTCTCTTTCTCTCTCTTTCTCACTCCCACGCAGTATCTCAGCAACAACGAATCACTAAAAGAATTGTTTCCCCTCCATCCGTTTCAGAACCCCAAGTATGACTACGTGGTGACCGACGACGGCCGCCGCAGGAAGATCAAGAAGCTCACCCCGCCGGGCCTGACCGCCCACGACGAGCGCGTCCTCCACACCGTCCGCCGCAAGGCCTGGCGGTATGAGTGGTGGGTGGACTGCCACTGCTGCTGCGGCGTGCACGTGCAGTTCGGCACCGTGACCATGTGGGGCCTGCTCCCCGTCGTCGGCGACTTCATCGCCCTGCTCAACGCGCTGTCCCTCATCCGCGCGGCGCGCCGCGTCGACGGTGGGCTGCCGGCTTTTGCGCTGGTCGCCATGCTGGCGTGGGCGGCTGTTGACTTTGCCGTCAAGCTGGTGCCCATCGTCGGGGAGGTCGTGACCGCTATCGTGAAGCCCAACACGCGCAATGCGATGCGGCTCGAGGCCCTCCTGGCGGCGAGGGGCGCCAAGAGGTGGTTGCCGTTGTCATCGTCTTCTGCTGGGGTGCATGCGAGGGTGGGGCCGCCTGTGCCTGCGGGGACGGCGGTGGCGGCGGGCGCGAGCGATGATCCGCGTGCGCGCCTGCTGGTGGTGAGCGCCCAGCCGGAGGCACAGAGGGGCATGAGTGTTGGGGCGGGCGCGGGTGCTGGCTCGTCGTATGGGACGGTGAGGGCCGGTGCTGGCGCTGAGCAGTTGGGAAGACCTGGGCGGGGGCGGCAGGAACCGCGACACTGGTTGCCTTTTTGGAAGAGGAACGAGGACAGTGACGAGGATTGAGGGCGAGGCAAGATTGTTAGGGGTTATGGCCCCTTTGCTTAGCTGTGTGGCAGGGACGAGAGGATGGTCGTTTCTGGTTCGTAATGGTCGTCGGATACACGAGCCCGTCCGTGTCTCATGCTACCTAGAGATTCAGCACCTGGGCATGAGGTACTTTAGACCCTGCCTTTTTTTTTAGGTGCAAGACGGGGGATGAGCTCGACTCTCCATGATAGTTCCCCGCTCAGACCTAGGCGCGTTGACGAGCCGGTGGTCAACAAGCCCAGCTAGGGTCGTCGGCAGCCAGCAATTATACCACAAACTTATACCAGGCATAGAGTGTCTGAAGGGGAAGAGCTGGTTCCTAAAGGTAGCTTTATGGACTTAGTAACAAAGCTGAGCTTTGTTCCATTGCCATCGTGTCACAACTTCCAATGGGCATCTGATTGGTCATCTCTCAATGTTGCTTTTCGATTGTCCATTTTGTCTCAAGCCGGGTAGCAGAATTACAAAACGGATGCGAAGCAGATTCCTTTCCCTGATCCCAGCAAAAAATGCACATCAAATTACGCCGGACCCTAGTGTTTTGGTGATGGAATCCTCCTCTCCCTTTCTCTCCTTCCCTCGATGCTGGTCCTATCAGATTCCGCTGCAGCTGCTCATGAGCTGCTCATGATCGGAATCCCCAGTGCCAGACAAAAAAGGCACTTCCCTGCGCGTCGTCAAGGCTGGACCGCTTTGCCGAGAACCACCACTATGAGGAGTATTGTGTCCATTCAGCCCTAAAAACCTCCCAAGGTCTATGTGACGGACCACACCCCGCTGCAGTAACCCTACTATTGCTCAGCAGCAGGCTGCTCAGCACCCTCCGCCTGCTCCTCCTGGGCCCGGGCAGCATCAGCCGCAGCCTGCACCTGGGCGGCCTTAGCACCGTAGTCCTGGCTGACGGGCTGGACAACAGGGGTCTCCTCCTTGGGGTCGAGGATGGTGACGGCGTCGGGCAGCGACTTCTGAGGACCAGCCTTGCCCTCGGGGTCGGAGCCGCGCATGATCTTGACCTTGATACCCAAGACACCCTGTCGGAGCAGGACGTGGCGGGTGGCGCTGTCGATGAAGTCCTTGGCGGGCTGGCCGGAGTGGATCATGAAGCCATCGGTGAACTTCATGGACTTGGCACGGGCGGCACGGAGCTTGCCAGAGACGACAACCTCGCAACCCTTGGCGCCGGACTCCATGATGAAACGCAGGACACCATAGCAGGCACGACGGACGGCCAGGCCATTGAGGAGCTTGTAGCGGAGGGACTCGCACTGGGCGACGGCGGACAGACCACGGTTCTGGACCTTGGCGGCGTAGAGGGAGACGCTGTTCTCGGGGAACTTGAAGCGCTTCTGGATCAGGCTGGTAAGCTCGCGGATGCGGCGACCCTGCTCGCCGAGGACCTCCTGGGTGTGGGTGGCGCGGATGATGATGTCGGTGACGGTGGGGGTGACGCGAACTTCGACGCCCGAGTAGCCCTCCTCAGCCAGCTCGCGCTGGAAGAACTCGTTCAGCTCGGCGTAGAAGACACCGTCAGCAACGAACTTTCTCCGCTTGGAACTGTGTGATAGAGAGGCACCGTCAGCGAAAATTGTCCAGGTGGAGTTTGCATCCATCAACGTATTATTGCTCAAATTATGCCATTGTGTCCAAAAAATCATCAATCCACCTGTTTCCCGAAAATATTGACAACATAATTCTCCGTTGACCACCTCTTGCAAAAACCATTGACGATTCTAAACCACCGCCGGTTTTTTTTCTTCTTCTTCTTCCGCCAGGCGGTTGGTGAAATGCAGGTTTTCGACTCACATCTGGGTTCCTGGGACCGCCATGTTGACTGATTTTCTCGATGATCGATGGACCGCGGGTTTGGACTTGAGAGGTTGGTTGTTAAATCGTCTCGAGAAATCCCAAGGAAAGTCGGTTGTTGTCGCGGTGGATAAAGGTTGACCTTCACGAACGAACTTTGGAAGTGGCACCCGTAAAACGAAAAAGATCGGTGGGGAGAGTAGGGTAAATCTGTGCTCGACCAATCAAAATTTGTTTGAGCTGAGTAAGCCACAAACCCTAACCCTTTTGTCCAACAGATGCCTGCCCCACAACGCGTGAGCTGGGAAGGTGGGGCCACCCCTGTAGCTGAATTGCATCACAGCTTGGTCCCCTGTGGTTCTGACAGTGCGCCTGCAGGGCCACGCTTGATGCAGGTGAGCCAAACGACCTCACATGCTCAGCTTTCTCCATTCCATCCTGACCATCCTCCTCAACGTCGAGGGGCACAAACCACACCAATCCAAACCAGTCCGGCATGTCACAGTATCAAATATGCAAACAGGTCATGACTATCCCAGCTACAGTTCTTTAATCCAGGAGAAGTGTTTTCTCCGACAGCAGAGCTTCTTGTCCCTGCACTTCTATCACTGACCTTCCTTTCCAACCTGTCTCGTCACCAACCTCACAAGATCCCAACCCCCAGAGCAGGGATACGCTGCTTCCAAGCAACTACACAATCCTCTTCGCTGCAAGAATCTAGCACTTTGTCCAGTCGCTTTGTTCAAAATGTTGGAAGTGCGCCAAGTCAGTCATCTAATCTCAGCACCTTACCTGCATAGCAGCCTCCTTCCTTCATCACTGACGACCAATATTCCCCCAGACCATAGAAGATGTGACTGCAGTTGCTCGAGGTGAGACGACTGTCGGCAGTCTCAGACTCACCGACTACCACATGGTTTTCTCTGCCCCTGCGCGCAAAAACACCCCGACCGGAAATGACGGAAAAGACCGCCCACGCGAGATATGGATTGCTTATCCAATGCTAGCTGGTTGCGAGTTCAGACCGACAGCCCCTGCGACGAGGCGAGAACCCAGCATTCGTATTCAAGGTCGCGATTTCTACTACATCAACCTCCATTTTCCAGATAACAAGACCGCCCAAGACACATTCAATTTTATCAAAGTCCGGACCTGCCGGCTTGGGAGCATCGAGAAGCTGCATGCCTTCACCTACAAGCCGAGCTCCAAGGAACGAGCCATAAGGGGCTGGGAAATATACGATGCGAAGGAAGAGTTCCGCCGCCAGGGCATCTCTGAGAAGATGCCGGACAGAGGATGGAAAATCACGGACGTCAACAATAACTATAGCTTTTCTCCGACCTACCCCTCCGTCCTCGTGGTGCCGAATAGGATGTCCAACACAACTCTCAAATACGCCAGCAATCACCGTACCCGTTGTCGCATCCCGACTCTGACCTATCTGCACCCCGTGAACAACTGTTCTATTACTCGAAGCTCCCAGCCCAAAGTGGGCATCACTGGCAACCGGAACCCTCAGGATGAGGCCCTTGTTGCCGCATGCTTCTCGCAACCCTACTTTCAGGAGCTCGGCCCTACCCAAGGCGCGGAGCCCGGTCCGATGGTGAACGAGCTGACATCCCCGGATAAGCTCGTCGACGAGCCGCCAGTTGCGGTGGATTCTGCCGAGCCTGAAGTTCTCACTGCTGACGATGCGATCTTCGACGACAGAGGCAAGCGCCTCATCTTTGGCGCGCAACAACACAATCTCATTATCGATGCGAGGCCTGCAATCAACTCTATGGCAATGCAGGTGGTGGGCAAAGGGTCCGAAGATATGGCACACTATAAATACGCAAGCAAGGCCTTCCTCAACATTCAAAACATTCACGTCATGCGGAAGAGTCTCAACAGAGTCATCAGTGCGCTGAAGGACGGCGATATCTCTGCGGCACCACCAAGCCAAGAACTCCTCGCTAAGAGTGAATGGCTGTCGCACATCAAATGTGTTCTGGACGGATCCGCGATGATAGCACGTCAAGTAGGCATTCAGCACTCGCACGTGCTCATCCACTGCTCGGATGGCTGGGACCGGACCAGCCAGCTGAGCGCCCTGTCCCAGCTTATGCTTGATCCATATTATCGTACGCTGAAGGGGTTCATTGTCTTGGTAGAGAAGGACTGGCTGTCTTTTGGACACATGTTTCACCAGCGCTCAGGCTTCTTGAACAGCGAGCAGTGGTTCGTCGTGCAGAATGACGCCATGGCCGGGACGAAGATAGAGCCCGGAGAGGGTGAACGCCCTAGCGAGGTGATCGAAAATGCGATGGAGAACGCCAAGCGCTTCTTCAGGCAAGCCTTGAGCTCGGAGAAGGACAGGGAGGACTCAGACCCTGACAACCTCACAAACGCTGCGACGGCTATGGAACAAGAGTCGTCACCCGTCATTGAAGACCAGGCAACTCGAACTAAGGAAATCAGCCCTGTCTTCCACCAATTTCTTGACTCTGTCTTTCAGCTTCTCCGCCAACACCCAACGCGATTCGAATTTAACGAACGCTTCCTGCGCCGCCTCCTATACCATTTGTATTCCTGCCAGTATGGTACTTTCTTGCTGAATAACGAGAAACAGAGGAAAGAAGCTAAGCTGCATGAGAGAACGGTTTCTGTTTGGGACCATTTCCTGGCTCGCCGCGAGGCATTTGTCAATCCCGACTACGATCCAGAGGTGAACGACCACATCCGGGGCAAGGAGCGTCTCATTTTCCCTTGTCTCGATGATATACGCTGGTGGCACCAGCTATTCGGCAGGACGTATAAGGAAATGAACGGTTCTCTAGACGCCGCGGCGGCGGCCAAGGACAAGGTTGCAAAAGCAGTTCAGTCTGCTACAGCCAGTCCGCGGCCTGGCAATAGCCCTCCAGACAGCAGTCCTGGAACCCCCCAACCTTTCCCAGGGCAGCAGCAGAGCAATCTGAATGCACCGACTTTTGGTAATACCGTGCTGGCTGGGGTTGAAGTCAATCCATCTGCCCTATTCAGATATGAGAATTCGAACCCCATGGGTACAATCAGCACACTTACCAAGGGCCTATCCGGTTTCAGTCTCGGGGGGGTTGGTGAGCTCGGGAAGAACCTCGCATCTCATGACAACAACTCTGCAGAGCGAGAGCAGGAGATGGCGTCCATGGACGTAAAGGATGTGGCGCCTTAGGACGGTGCGCATTTAGAACACAACGAATATGCGAACCACGACATCCTTCGTCACGGATTCGGCTGTGCAATGAGTGATCTACGCACTATCGATAAATGTGTTGACATCTCTTGGGCTGGCGTGGACTCGGTTGAGCAGCAACTGACCTTGAACTCGGAGCTTTTATTTGGCCTCGAAATCATCAATCACGATGGGGCAGCTCATGTTTTCAAGTCGCCACGACCTTCATACACGCTTAACGAACTGCAAGAGCGCGAAGCCAGGGAATGCCTAGTGCGGGAGCATCATTCACGCTATGGGTCTCCTCTGTCCAACGCTGCCGAGGAGTTCAATGTCTGGGTACCCCAGCAACATCGTGTCGAGGGGCCTGCGGAGAACAATGCAACAGAAGGCGCTACTGAAAGACAACGAAATGAGAATATTAGTGACTTATCCGGGACCGCTGTCCTTATTGGGATCTCAGAAGCAGGGGATATCCAATGGAAAGATGAGGTTGCTACGGATGAGGAGCCCGAGACAGACCTTGAAGACCACCCCGAAAATTTTGTGAATGGAGCCGACAGCAGCCAACGCAATGCTTGGTCCCTGAACGGTCTCTCAGTCGAAGAGCGAGATATCTGGGCCGAGACTGCGAAGCAGACACAAGGGGCGCCGGTACTGGCTTTGCAAAATGCTGCCGACGCCTTGCACTAGGATGCCAGGCAAACGGGCAGCATGGCTCAAGGCAAAGAGACAGTTCGCGCTCGGAGGCCTATACTGTTGGGAAATTTAAGAGACAGAGGGAAAACATCCAACAGGCGTTCTCGAATAGGCTTTCAGTGTTGGTGCGGAAGTTGAAAGAGAGCGCGCCTAACCGTTGCTTAGGCCGATGGCGATAGCAACGACCCAGCTAGAGCTGGTCACCATCATAGACTGTGGTTCCTTGCAAATCATGTGAGCCAAGTAAAACAACATTGCGTGCATGAAACTCAAGCAGCAACCTAGGGAGATAGTAGCTGCTTGTTGTGGAGCAATAGATAGAGCGGTCAAGTCACACCTCGCAGGAGAGGTTTAGCGAGGCGTTCAGCACTTTACTAAATGAAATCCGACGAACATATCACGAATCTGCCTCAAAGCATAGGATGCTTTTAATTCTTTTTTCTGGCGGTCGCAATATCATTGCCGCGTGCTTTGCAATGTTTGGTGACCGTGCCCCCCAATGGTGAACCCCCGCACTGTGCCACACTGTATGTTTTTCTTTGCGAAGGCAGGTGCAGCGTCACAGGACGCGCCTGGTAGAATCAGCAACTCAGCTTAGACCTTCACCAACGAAGCTGCACGGCTGTAAAGTAAAAACAAATTTTCACCAGTCATGAGGCCGGCAAGACCTCGAAACTCTCGTCTGTCAACACGATGCCGGCTGATGAGGAATTTGAGCTGAAGGGGCTCAGCCAGACCACCTTTCCAGCGCACGTCTCATCAGGGCTGCTGGCGCCCTCACCCACGCCCGGCCTCGTCGCCACTGTCGCCAATGGGAACAACCTTGAGATTCGCCGCGATCAAGGCGAGCTCGTGTCGAGTAATACAGAAAGGGGCAGGGCGGTGCAGGCTTTGTGTTGGAAGGCAGATGGTTGGTTCACCGATACTTCAGACAGAAGAAAACGCGTTCACTAAAGAGTGTTTACAGGCCAATTCCTCGCTGCAGGCTGGGATGACGGCACTGTGCGCCTGTTGAGTGTAGAGAACACCAAAGTCGTCCACCGCCTCAATGTTGCGCAGCGTCATGCGGACAACGCAGAGCCGGCGCAGATTGTACACATTGCTTGGGTGCGCAACCTAGCGCGGGAGCGTCGCCGTGGCCGTGGCCGTGGCCCTAAGGCTCATATCACCAGCGAAATGAAAGCTCTGGGCTCTGAAATAGGAGGATCTCTCGATGCGAAGAATGATGGCCATATCGTGGATTTGCCGCACGCCCTGACGTTCTTCGAGATTGACGCCTCGCTGCCCAAGATCAGCCCGCTGCCTGTCTCGGGCGGCACGGGTGATGATATGTTTGCGTTCTCGACCGCGACCGCGCTGGAGTCCATGTTTCCGCCACTGAAGCTCAAGGATAGTAGAGTGGTGGATGTCATGGTTGTGGGGACGAAAGACGGCCATGTGCATCTGAGCATCTACGACTCCTTCTTCATAGGGTCCTTCTACGTACCTATTGCAGTCCGTCTTGGAGGTGTAGAGCCAAGGGTGAATGTGGATGGGACTCACGAGGTGGTCCTCCACGCCTCGCACCCAAAGGTATCGACGCACTGTCTAATCATGGGACCAACTGATGATGGCGTGGGCGCGACGACTCTGTATGTCGTCCTCATGGATCTAAGGTTTATCTCAGACTCACCTTTCGACCTGTCACTGCTGGCTTCCAAGACGACCATGCTACAGAAATTGCTGCGATATCTCAAACAAGCACAAATCCATATTCTCAACGAATGGCAAGCGACGCGGGAGTTGCCGTCGCGGTTTCTCAACTTTATACAACAAGATCTGCAGAAGATGGACTGTCGACCCAACAATATTGTCCAGGCGTTGTATCACACGGTGCTGACGGGCCATGTGCACGCGCCGGTCAAGGACTGGCTTGTTGAAAGCATTGGGGATCGGGTAAGTCTCGTCATCTTTGTCTCGTTTGTTATGAAAATATGTGGCTGATGTGTGCGACCAGGGCCACAAACGATGGGAAAAGGCTGTGATTCCCAGCCTCGAGTCCCTCTGCAATCTCATCCATGAGAATACGCTGCCCGCCCTCGAGCGAATCACCCTCATTCTCAGCCGGCTGTCTGGTATCGCACGCTTCCACGAGCAGGACGACCACATTGGCTTTACCAGCACCGATATTACACGGCTCGTCAATATTGTAGCTGCTCTCCATTTTGTATGCAACAAGATCCTCCTTCTCGTGATAGAGGAGCTCGACCTCTTCCGCGTATTCTCTTCGTGGCTGCGGATCACCATCGACCGCGTATCGACTAGCAACGTATCCGACGAGATTATGGAGAAAGAAGCACTTCTGGACACTAGCAAAGTGCTGCAGTACATAGAAGGTTATTTGGTCAGCAGTCCTCTGGCATTGTATTTCGAGAAGCTACCAAAGGAGATCTGGGAAGAGGACCGGGCAAGTATCCAGGACTGGAGCAAGGTGCTAGACCAGGTGGATCAAGAGCTGAAGCAAGAAGAAGCTGGCAAGCCCTTCAAAAAAGCACTGCCGCAGCTTGGATTCTTAGTGGACCTTCTCACCGAGAGGACGGGAGGTGTCTTGAAGAACATTGCCGAGGCTGAGAGACGGAGTGTGCGCTTCGGTGCGGCGGCCAAGTTCGAGCTCCAGCACGGTGGCGGGAACCGGGAGACCTTCAAGTTGTTCGACGGAAGAATGCGTTCTACTCGCAAGGATGTGAGTTACGCGATCCCACCCCAGCTTATTTCCGCACCACTAACGCTTCGAATCGACAGGATAACTCTGGCGCCACTCTGGTTACTGCTGCTGTCTCGGTGGAGAGCCCCCATACACTATGGATGGGCGAATTCTGCATCGAGATCATCAACGGTATCAGCCAGATCAACTCCACAAAATTTGGTCAGATAAACCTAAGTGCCAGCCCCATCATCGACATCAAATTCCTCAACGATCAGCTCTTGCTTATATTATGTCAACCCGAAGGTCAGTCTTGCCCTGGAGGAAATAATCTTTCTCGGTCACCATCTCCTGTGTCCTGAGAAGGGTGTTTACATCAGCTGACATCTTCCTACAGGCCAAAACCCACGGCTTGTCATTGTGCCATTTGGGGCAGGCACTCCATCAGCCTGTCTAGAAAAGGTCTTCCCTGGCAACCTGGCTGAATTTGTGCCCAGGCAGATGAAGGTTCAAGAAGCGAATGATTACCATGGACAAGTTCCTCATCGAGTGTGCCTTTTAGGGAAAGATGAGGTCAGTTATAAGGTGTTCACTCTAATACCCGAGCGAGAGGAACTTGTTGAGCACGCAGCCAGCTCGTCTCATGGGGAGATGACATAGCTCTGCAGGGGGGCATCATAGGGTTTTAGGTACACCGCGTTTCCTCTCGACCAGCCAGCCCACAAAGTTCGGTATTGGTCTTGTCACTCCCGAATTAAGGTAATATTATGCCAGCAGCTAAAACTGGGTTCTGCGCTGCACCAATCTGTCCGTCCTCCCAGATCCCAACAACTCAAGGTGTCCCACGAGGAGGTCCAGAAACTTGAAAGCAGACCATCCTGCCCTAGGAAAAGAAACCGAAATTAACAAGATTAGAAAGTCATAACAACGTAATCATGTCCCAGTCCTGTTGTACCTGGAAACTTTCTGAAGTCATGAAACACCCCAAGAGAAAATGAAGAGAAGGGGGAAAGAACAAGGAAAAAATGCCAGATTCACCCGCACACGTCCATCTCCATCGACATAAACTGCCTCCTCACACTCTCCTCCAAAGAGCTCAGCCTCGACAAGCCAACCCCAGCAACCCAAGCTCCCCTCGCATGATTCTCTTCCCGAGCGAGGCCAGCCCTCCTGCTCCCACCACGTGAGCTCCTCCAGTGCAGATAACCCCTAGTGACGCTGCTGGCGTTCTCACCATCATTCTCCCGGTCCCTTTTCTCCTCCGTCCCCGTGCCCCACCCCAAAACCTGACGCCCGTAGACAGGCGGGTCCGGATCCGCGGAGATCGTCATGACTCTCCAATTCCACGGGCAGCCGCCACCCTCCTCCTCCTCCGGCATGGCCCCGAAGGCGATCCCCATGGCCTCCTTAACCTGCCTCGCCAGGCGGCTCTGGACGATGGCCGGCTCGACGAGGCAGCTGTCGCCGCTGTACAGCGGGTTGTCGTCACGCGGGACGAACACCAGCTCGCGCAGGCCCGGCAGCCTCGCGCGCAGCAAGGCCATGATGTCGACGAGGAGGGAGCTCGCCATTGCGGACCGAGCCATGCCTGCCCTGCCGCTGCCGATGCCGATACTGATGCCGCCACCGCCGCTACGACAGACGCTGCTGCTGTTGCTGTTGCTGCTGCTGCTGCTGCGGCCGTCGTCGTATACCCAGAAGAGCGCGTCATTGATGGCCACCCTCTCGACGCGGGCGAGCTCGGCGGGGTCGCAGAGAGCCAGCACGGTGCGAAGCTGCGCCTCAGAGGCCATGAAGCCGTCCCTGGGGCCAAAGTAGAGCGTGTCTGCGCCTGGGTCGAAGAAGATGTGTCCTGGGCCGCGGGTGATCCCAAAGGAGAGGCGGTACCGGCGGAGGGCCTCGCGGCGCGACTCGTGGCAGGTGTGGAGGTTGGCTGGGATGAGGGCTGGCGAGGAGCAGCCTGGTAGAGGGGATGACGACGATGAGCACGAGGACGAAGGCGAGGAGGTCTCCTGTGGGGAGGTCGGGTCGGAGCCGCACCGGATGGAGACTATGCGTGGGTCAGGTAGGTTGTAGGCCCAGATCTTCCACCTGAGCTCAGGCGGCAGACGAGGAAACGGGTGCTGTGTGCATGTGAGAGAGTGTGTGAGAGAGAGCGCGGCTTAGTGAGATGGGTGCGAGGGGTGGTAGTTGTGCGGAAACATATGGGGCTTTTGTGAAGCTTGCGGATTCTGGCCGTATTTTGTATTGAGGATGAGGTACTTACAAAGGTCCTCTCCTGCTGGGCCTGGGGAGACTTGAGCTTCGTCATGGTCGTGACGAGACGTTGTCGCGAGGCGTGAAGTTGCTGCTGCCAACGCCTGAATTCTCAGCCTAGTAGCCGAGCAGAAGGCGAGATGAAAAGATCGTGATGTATCTGTTTACTCTCAACTTGAGGTTGGGAGGCCAGCTGAGGACTCATCTGGATCGATAGGAGAGAACAGGTGAAAAGAAGAATCTATACTTATACTAAATCCATTTCCATAAGCAGTGTAACTCTTCTAGTACCGATGAAAATGCTCGAGCAGGGAGACTTGAAGACGGGAAAAGGCCAGGAGAGGAGGGTTACAATTGAGATCCGAGACACAGATTATTGAGGCGGTCTAGTCGTCGTCTTTTTTTTCCCTCACCACTATGATGCTTGTTTCCTCTCGCTCACACCGAGCGGCCATGTATATAGACCACTTCCACTAGTAGAATGGGCGGGGAGTAGGCAGGATGCCAAGGTAGATAGTACAGAAGTATACCTCTCAATGCGCTGCACGCCAAGCTCTGTGGAAGGATAAAAGGTTTTCCTTGGAGAGCGGCCGCTGTGGCGGGTGCGGCATTCCCGATGTACATCACATCGTGTTGCTGGCTGGTCGTCGTCGTCAAATACCGGCCCTAGAGCCCTGACTCTCTCCTCCCTCTCTCTTTCTCTCGCTCTTTTTGCATGAAAGACAAGGTCTTCGTTTCCTGCCGTCACTGGGTACGCTCTCCCCCCCTTGTCTCCCAAGCTCCGTGAAACAAATACAAACATCTGATGATGATGATGATGATGATGATGAAAGATCCACGTTTGTATCACCTTTCGGGTCGAGTGACCGCGACTTCTGATGGAGATCGACGTTGGCACACAAAACTGCCTACAAGTGGGTTGATTTCTCTTGGTTTCTTTTTCTTCAGCCCCGACATCACTGGCCCGGCCGCCTGGTAAGTGGCCGAAAGTTGACAGGGAAAAAGAAGGGAGACGGCACTTCCGTATTCAGCGAGACACGGCACAGCTCGTAGCATCTCACATGACCATGACAACTCGTCATGAGAAGTCGGTTCTCTGGTGAAAGAGAGGAAAGGAGGTTGGGGAAGGCCCGGGCATGCTTTTCACTGCCGGGGAAAGCCTGTTGGGCAGTGAACGACCAGCCAGCGACAGGGACCAGGTCTGACGCATGGGGCAGGATATTCAGAGACAAGAAAAGGAGACGCACACACACACACACACACACACACACACACACACACTCTCTCTCTCTCTCTCTCTCTCTCTCTCTCTCTCTCTCTCTCTCTCTCTCTCTCTCTCTCTCTCTCTCTCTCTCTCTCTCAATGCTACATTCCATGTCTGCGTCTGCCCCCTCATCTTGTGTAACATTTGAAGGTGTAGAAGAGAGCAAGGGTGTAAGGAACTAAGACACGTAGTTCAGAGCCCTGCCACTTGTCCTGATGTTCACATTGAATGCTAATGAGTCTAAATCCTCGTTTCCAGTCTGGCGGGACGACGAGCTGGCCATTGACTGTAGGCTTCCGATCCGAACAACATGAATGTGGGTCGTCCAGACAAGAGACTGGTACTTCCCTCTCCCTAGAGGCACTTGAACAAGCCACCAAAGTCAGTATCACACAGCAGACTCGCTTATCTCATACCTTTATGTGAGATCGTCTGGAGCAGATCCTCTGTGGACAAAATGATTGGTCTGGGCGGGTCGGGAGGCTTGAAGGTCTCGTACAGTGAGACTCCCAGATGAGCGGCTCCGATGCTGTCTTGTGTCTCAGCGGAGACTTCCAGCCTCGGGTGCCTCGTCGCTTCTGCAGCGAACCGCTAGCGTTAACTCAAGGTGCGTCGAGGCGCACAAAAGTGGTAGGACCCCCCCTCCTCCCCCAAGGAGGCCTACCCTGCGGTGGTCTCCATGTGAGCGACCGACCCATACCAGCAGGAGGCCGACACATGAAGCCCGCGCCAGCCGATGGCCCATAAAATACCACTACAGCGAGAAAGACACCGCCGTTGTGATGAAGGAGACGGGAAGATGTGCAAGATTGGGACTGCAGCCTCCCTCCATAAGCAGCCGCGTGTCTCTGCAACATCTGCAAGTGCCGCGACAACAAGTCACCCTCGAAGAAGAGTGCGTCGTGTGGGTCACCGCTGCGGATCAACAGAGCGTACGGCGTGCCTCCTCACCTCAAATCGAAATTCCGAGCCAGATGAAGGGTGAGGAGAGCCGCAGATGGCTGGGAACCATCGCCCCGAGGTGGAAAGTGCCGGCCAGTACTGACGGTGGTAACCGCGTGGGCAGACAACAGCCTCATCAGTCCCGATGCAGCCGAGACCTCTAGTGCAAGACCAATGACTTGAGGTAGCAAGGAGCCACCTCGTGCGAGCGACCGCATATGTCGACCTGCATGCAGGGACTTTGTTGAGCCCGTCTATGTGCTTTGTGTTTCTTCGGGACCTTAAGCACCGTCTGTTGGGAAACCCTGTGCAAGGAAAAATTCGGCGGTAGCTACGAAGCAAGGGGCAGACAGCGAAGTACACGTGTTGATATCGTGGCAGTTCTCATCCAGAAGCCTCACGATGCTGTGCGATGGGCCCGTGACACCCAAAGATCCACCGAGGGGATTCGGAGGTGGCCGCCTCACGGCTGATCTGTTAGCCTCGCCCGTCTAAGCGTTCCGATCCCGGTGCCGGAGAGAAAAGGAGGCCGGAAAGGTTAGGCCTGCCGTCCATTGCTGACCGACAACGACTGTGTCTCGGGCTTATGCGTCTCGAGGCACATATCAGGCCCAAGTCCAAGAGCTCCCTCCAGCGTCTCCAGCGTCTGTCTGTCTGTGTGTGTCAAGATGATCTTCGAAGGTGAATAGAGCAGAAGAGAGAAGTGAGACTGCACATCAGACCTGACAAGTGCTAGCAGGGAGGAGGAGTCTAGAGGTCGGAAACGAAGACGTAGATCGTTCCAATATCGGCAAGATGGAGGCGAGAGAGAGATGCCTGTAGAGATCGGTGGTCCGGTTCGAAACACTCACATGCCACCCTCTTGCCGTCTGTGCAGACCAATTGAGAGGTTAAGCAGCACGCAAGGTAGATCCACTGCTGCTGCTACTGTAGTCGTATGGTACTGTAGGACAGTTTGAGTGGTACTATGGCGGGAGGAAGACGAGGAGGAGACGGCGAGGAGGAGGAGGAAAGGACGATGTGGTGTGGGGGATTGGATAAGCTCGAGCCGCTGCGAACGAGGCTAATCCCTGAAGGGATAGCGCTATGGACCTACCGCGTGTCTTCTGATTGGATAAAAGTCGGTATAAAGTTAAGCGCTGTGGTCTCCACCAGCAGAGATACCCTACCCTGGTGCCACTAAGAATATCTTCCACTTAGAACGTCTTCTCTCCCGCGCTCACCAAATCAACGCATGCACAGCTTGTCCAATCCGAGCCGCCCTCCCACCCCCCTTCAATGAGACTACCCATACTACATACGCGCCGACAAGTGCACACAACCCACCCTGCTGGGGTCCATGGATGGGCATTCGTCCTCCGTCCTGCGACCTTGCAAAGTGACTCGCCCAAAAATAACCAACTTGCGCGCCAAAAGCGTAAACATGGTGGTGGAAGGTAGTATTTCATCCCGTCTCGTAGGCCCGGAACGGTATTGGACCAAAGGCGCGTATGGATAGCCTCGAGTAGAAGAGGTGTGTGTCCAGCGCTTAATCCTCGTCCTTGAGCCATCGCGGCAGAGAAATATATTGCAGCGCCCCAGTATTAGAAGTCTCATCGGATCCACGTTTCGTGTTGTTTCTTGAGTTCTCAAAGTATCTCTTTATTCAACTATTCTTGTCCTTCTGTTGTTTTCCTCTGTCTATTCTCTCCTGTTCTTCTTCTTTTAATTCTTCTCCTCGTCTAGTCCTGGTGTCTAGTTTCTCACTCTTGCAAACAAAAAATCGTCAATCTCATCCAGTCTCTCTCTCTCTCTCTCTCATAACTTAATCGCCACCATGGAGGCCAGCTCTTTCAAAAACCCTGCCTCTGTCAAGCATGAGGCTGCCTCGTCACACTTCGAGGTGGACGCCAACGACCTCTACCTCCGGAAGCAGGCCAGGACTGTTGCTATGATTGACGCCGTCAGGATAGGCATTACCACTCTTGCCCTCCTCAGCGGCGTCGCCACCCTGGGCTTGTCCGGCAATGCTCTCTCCGTCTACAACTCGACACACCTGTCCGAGGCCAGCTGGCTGTCGCTGTGGCCTGCCAAGTTTGACCTGCGGCCTACGGTGGCCCTCGTCGTCGGTAGCTCCATCGTCACCATTGCCAACATCGCCGGTCTGCTGTGCAGCAAGGTGCCACACGTGAGTTTTTCCCACTCTTTCCTTCCTTCTGTATCTTCTCCTCTTTACATGCCTCTCTCTCGAGACTCTCAACTGACCCAATGGCCCTGCCCTGGTTTGCAGATCCGCAATAATACCCCCCTCCACACACCAATGATGTTTGCCGCTCCCTTCCTCGGTTTTGCGGCCGCCCTGATCGCCATCATCTTCTTCTACGCCATTAACGCCTCCACCACCGTCGACTCCCTGCTCAGCTGGACATGCCGCTGGACCTCCGTCTCCATGTCCTCCGCCCCCTACTTCGGCACACTGTGCCATGCGAGCTGGGCCTCCGTCGTGCTGGCCGTCGTCCTCGTGCCGCTTGAGGCACTTGCCCTCTGCGCCGCAGGCTGGCAGCTCAAGACTGAAAGGCACACCATGAACTATGCCTCGGCGAGGAAAGGCAGCCAGAGCCCCGGTGCCTGAGTGGTCTGCGTGACGGCTATGGTGACAGTCTAGGTAGATGGTGGGAGCATATCAATGGTGACGGTCTTGGGAAGAAGTTTCTTCAGGTATGGATAGGATATTTTTGCTCACTTGACAAGCATCACGTCGGGTGGGGTTAGGTTTGGTATAATCTGTATTTCAGCAGAGGGCTCACAGAGGGCTTGATGTGGTTTTTCATTCTTTTTTCTCAATTTTCATATCTATCCAAGGGTAGAGACAAAGTGTAAGCCTGGTATCATGTCTCAAGGCGTATAGGCCAACCATACAATTGATTTATTTTACGTGGGATGGACACCTCCCGAAATTTCGAATTAGCATCCTCTCATGACGCAGTAAATGATTCAATTATTTTTTAAAAGAAAATGCATAGCAGGAGTATTGTTTTGATGCAGTGGCTCCACCTGTTCACAGCGGTCCACTATTCACAGTATTTTGGTGGAGCAATGAGGCTCAACTCAATCATGATGTCCACTTGTCTTTTCTCATGGTTATGAATATGGGGGTTGAATTCCACCTTACCCGTGCTTTCACAAGAAGATTATTGTATGTAGCAGGTGAGTGTGTTTCTTACAGGAACAAAGTTGTGACAGCCTTATTGACATGTTCCCACCCTCGCGCTCCCGTCCCCTCCTTTATGTGTGTGCCTCAATACTTGGGCACCCAAACACCAACTTTCAAAACAGAACACCAACCCAGAACGGAAGCTCGGCAGTTTCGAGGTACTCTTGTATTTTCAGGCATATACTACTCTGATAGTCTCCAGCACAGAGCCTCTTGGACTCTGTACAGGGCATCTGTTGTATACTGGCGTCGTGGTGTGCAGTTTTGCAGCCTGCGTCAAAGGGAATAAGGCTGTGGCCTACTTGCCCACTTTCGAGGTCACATGGAATAAGCACTTGACAACGATTTGTAACATCACTAGCTGAAAAAGCTGACTGCATATGCAAACCAGAGACTTCAATGGCACGAAAGTTTACGGAAAGACCTATTCCACACCAAATAGCAGAGCTCGCACCCAGCCCCAGGCCCCAGCTACTCCTGCCTTCTTGACCGGACCCTTTGTAGAGGGAGACGATTCGGCAAGTTTTCCCCTAGTCCCAATAAGATTATATTGCTTCGACTCATTCTCAGCCACGTTATCTGCGATCCGCGCTTTGATTGCAGGCGGCGCCTCCTCCAAACCTGCGATGCAGTTCTCGTTGATAGCTTTATGACGAGTGGTGTTGTTGTCTGTATAGTCACGCGCAAGACTCAGTACAATGTATCTCTGAACAAGAAAAATCTCACTTACTAATACAGAAATCATGCTGCTGTGTGTCGCCGGGTTTTGGCATCCCGGCCTGTTGCTGAGTCTGTTGCTTGGGGCCCGAATAGCTGGAGGCTAACTCAACATTGGCTACCAGCCTTTCCACATGATCGTAATGGGGCAGCGCCAGCTCATTGCCATGAAGTTTGACTAATCCGGGCAATTCGACCCCGACAGTGCCTTGGGACTGAAGCTGTGCGAGTACCTCCGTGACTCTAGCCGTGACAGCATCCATAGAAGGTGATGAGGTTTCTGTACGGGTACCACGCGACTCCATATGTCAGCTCAAACCCACAGACAACCGTGACTTTGATCAAATCTCACAAGAGGCACTCACCGCCCTGGACGAGGGTACCGGTCTGAGGCATGATGCAAACGATGAGGACTTGCCGTTGTTGTAGTGCGGTTGGGAGGGGCTTTTGTCTCGGATTAGAGGAGGTTGGAGATTGCGCTTTGGAATTTTCTTTTGAAGAGGCACACGAAGATGCCAGTATTTGTAGCTGTGCTCCATCTACCCCCACCTTCCCTCTGAAGAACTTCCCGACATCTCCGCTCGGCCAAGTTCCTCGTATGCTCCAGAGCACATCGGAGGGTTGCTTCGTGCAAGGGAGTATTGGTCACATGTACAGCTTTCCAATGATTACCAACCATACCTGTATCAGGAGCATCTGGCCGGTTTCAAAGGAGGTGGTGGTGGGGGGGAGGGTGAAGGGAGGGGGGAGGGGGGGATATTGGTGGCGCCATCTTGGAGAAGACGATTGGACGGAGGACCGGTATGAGCCATGGGCAAAGAGTCATCTACGTCTGTTCCAGGCTGCAAGATTGGTACAAACTAAGAATCACCTAATCGAGAGGCTGCTTGCTGATCACTGTACCTGCCCCTCTGATGAGCTGCAAGCAAGCGAGCACAAGAGATGTAAAAGTTACGAGGTGTGTGTGAAGGCTCCATAGATGTAGACTATCACTGTGTAGACTGCACCGGCCTGGTGAGAAGGGGGCATGCTTCCAATCAACCAATGCCATCTAAGTAAATCACTGTCAGTAATGAAACAAGTCAACCAGCCATATGTACAAGTATGCTGAGTGGAACCGTCCCGCCCAGAATGAAGTTCTTCTGGCGGCTGTTCCCCAGAGCTCTGTTGCCCTTCAACTCTGCCGTGGTCGAAGTCGCTGAACCTTCCAGCGCTATGATGCCGTTCACCTGGTCCGCCTGCTCCCACGTCTCGTTGTCCTCCAGCACCAGGCGATGATGGATATCCTCGTCTGCACTGCGGATCGGCCCCTGTCTCGCCGTTGGCACTTCCAGCTCAGACTTCTGCATGCCCTCCACCACTTCTCCCATCAGGCCCACTTGCAGCACGTTGATCCTAAGGAGCAAATCACCCCGGGCTCCGTAGAGCCGTCCCAGGACGTCTCTCAGGTGAGCCTCTTCTGCCTCTCTGCGGCACAGTGCATGTAGACTCTGCCGTAGCGTGCTCCTGCGCTGTCGTGCTACCATGCCCTCCAGTATATGGTTGAGCTCTCCTGCGACAGCATATATATGCTGAAGGGCTTGGTCGACGCCAGGGTTTTGCAAGTTCGGCTCGCGCTCGACGAGGTGCATCGTGTCGAGTAGACTGGACAGCAGCCCAGCGGTATTTGCGCGCACCTCAGGTGCTGTACGCACCGCCTGACGCGCCCGCGAGATCATTTGCCATAATTTGATGGCTTCGCCGAGCAGCTGGGCGATGGCTGCAGCGGAACCAATTGCATCCTGGAAATCCGCAAGGTATTTCAAGTCAGTCAGTGCACAGACACGCAGCATATGCTTGATGAGTAAAGGGTGGAGTATTTGCTTGCCATGGATAGCTTATCGAGAAAGCAAAAGAGTCGGCTCGGTGATCGAATAGCGAGATTGTTCGAAATAATTCAGAAATCAGACGGAACTGATGCTTAAGGTCATTGCAATACCCGACAACAGAACACATCCGAAAGGCGAGGGCGGCAGTGAGAAAGAACACCGAAAACAAAAGCCACATCACAGCCCGAGTACTTACTTTTAATAATCCGATTCGCACATAGTCAGTAAGATCGTTTCCCCTCCCCCCCTTCTCTTTTTTTCTTCTTCTCTCTTTCTGAAAATTCTTTCCTTAAGAAAAATAAACAATACCACCCAACTCACGCCGCTGGGAGGCAAGCAGCACCGCCACTATTGTTTGCTGTAAACCCCCGTTTGTAGTAGTGCTTCTGTTTCACAGCATTAATACGTGGCATAAATGGGTCCACAGGAGCTTATCGTCGGGCGTTGCTGCGGCACAACAGGCGGCAGGAGCGCCTGTGTTCTACTGGACATAGCCTGAGTAAGGCCGTGCAGCTTGGACGCTTAGCACCTGCCACCAAGTCAGAGGAGTAGCCGATGTGGACACTGGAAGGAGCCACCATCTCAACAACAACAACAACAACAACAACAACAACAACCATACCTTCCTCTCCCCATCTTCCCTCTCTCTGAAGAAGTAATTCTGTGTCCACAGACGAGTGTGTACAGCAACAGGAGAATACAAGCTGTGCCTACTATGAATTGCTTCTGCTTGGAAACAGCAGAACTCCCTCTGGGCTGTGAGAACGTCATGTCTATCTCGGCTGAATCTTGTTCTGGTGCTGTGGTTCTCTCGCATAAAGCTCCGGGTTAGCATTCCTTCCTGCTTTGCATGTATTCTGGCCTCCATAGCTTTTCATCACAAGGTGCGTGCCCACCCACTCGTTACTTAGGATGCGATGTTGTCACAGTGATGCTGACCATGGTCATACGAGAGGACCCTATAGCGTCATCTGCCAAAGTATTTCTCGCATCGTCACTATGGCCGGTAACATGGATTCTTTCCTTGCGACCTTCGTCGTTCTTCTTCCCCTGAGGGCCCTTGTCGTCGGTCAGAGATGTCAGGTCGATGCATTTTGAACATCCTCCGAAGGGGCATGTTATTACTACGTGATTGAAAGACGTATACAGTACCCCGCAGGACACCAGATACCTTCCATCTCTCAGCAGCAGTGGCTACGTGTTCGGGCTTCTTTTGATCAAGGCCCACCTGTGAATCAGGTGTGCACCTAGGCAGTGAAAAGGGGGGTTGGTCAGGTAGAAATGGAGGATCGTCGGGACCGACGGGACGGACTACCAAAAGCTTGCTGGTGTCCGCTGATACGAGAAGCCCAAGCAATGCAAGGTTTGCCCAATGGAAGCAGGGTGAGCCCATTATGGTGTGTCTCCTTCCGGCAAGCCAACATGGCTACTGCAACATGCAGAAGGAGCCTGCAGATCAACGTGTCGGAGAGGACGGAGCCACGGTACAAGACACCATCACTATCACGGTGTCAAGGGATGTGACGAGCCTGAAGGACTGTGAGACCTGCTCCATTCGGACTTCCATGGCTTACTGCGTCGATAGTCTGCCTGCAAGGAGGGCGGCGAGTGGATCATGGGTGCCGTCGACATCCAGCACCACCCTAAGCGGTGCGCTGTATATGGGCAAAGGACCGACATGCCTGGGATGTAGTGATCTTCGAGGTGGTCAGAGACCGGTCGAGGCGGTGATAGTGATGATGATGGAGGGCAGTGAGTGGACCATGGACGCCGTCGACGTCTAACATTACCCTAAAGGCTGCGCTGTATGTGGGCAAAGGGCCGATCTTCCCAGGGTATCATCCAGAGACAAGCCAAGGCGGTGACTGTGATGGCGTTGGAGGGCGGGGTTGTGACAAAGTGCATGCCGCAAAGTCTGGTTCGCAGTAGCAAAGCTCAGAAAAACGGTCTATGGAGGGAGAGATCAAAAGGGTCTTTCTCTCTTCCAGTTGCAACTCCACTATGGTAAGCTATTTTGAACGAAAGCACTCCCTCTTCTCGCATTACAGCGGCCAAACTCGCTAATTTATTTCATACCCAGAGCAATAAAAGACTGGGGGGCAATCTGAAAGACACTGCGCACATTCAACAAGAAAATGTGGTTTTTTCAATCACAGGCAAAGCCGGGGAAGGGGAAAGCAACTACTGCAAATATCCCAATCGTTCCCCACGAGCAGGCAGCCTTGGCCCCAAAACATTCCGGTAAAGCTCCACGGGCACCGCACAATGGAGAGAATGACAATCCAACCGGGCTACACTCACAGAAGCGTGCCAGTATGGAGGAGTCAGGCTTCCGTTCTGCGAGCGAAGGGCAAACCGGTGGCTCAAAGTCTTCATGTATTGTAGGTGTAGCGAGAGAGCCGGTCTCCCCATTCATCTACGCATTCGATAAGCAATGCTCCAACACCACTCTCACGGCTGGCCAGGATCGAGTGCGAGAGGGGACCACATCTAGTAACCGGACCCCACCGAGTTCCTCTGAGATATCCTCTTGCCCCGATGCAAGCGGTGAAGTCTGTCAACAGGATAATGCACAGTGCATTGGGCAACACGAGGTAAGATCTTGAAAATTGACATAAGCAAGCCTTTCTATAGTACTGGGTCAATCTAACTAGCAGTACTGCGCAGTCTACTGGAGAAGTCGGAGGGGATGAGAGTATCGTGCGGAGTCCCTCGACCGGTGAGCCAGTCTTCGGGACAGTCGTTGGGCGCGAGACGAACACCTTACGAATCCACTCGCCCTTGCTACTTAATGCAATGAGGATACCTCCTATCAACAAACCTGCCCTCCCTCCAACCCCAACGAGTCTCCGTGAGCCGTACGAGTGGGTCTTCCACAACCGTAAGAGGTTGCTATCCATAAACCAAGGCGATGCTGGTCAACACGCAAAGCTCTTGCTGGATTTCGTGCGGAAGGAGCACTCCAGTACCTGGTACAAACTCAACGAGATCGACGCCAGCAGCTGGACAAATATCTCCTTCGATGATCTATGGCTTCTATACAAACCAGGTTCGACGGTGTTTACCAAAGACGACGGTGGATGGAGAGCGTACAAGATCGGCACGGTCGAGTCCTGCAGGCTCTCGGAGAAGGAAGATTTTCGGATGAACTGCTACTACCTTGACTTTGATGAGACTGGAAACTGGCTGGTCCCACGGCTCGAGGTGTTTTCCATAAGTCGATTCTCTTCCGAACGATCGATCCAGACCCTGGATATCCTGCCGGATAAGTACGTCCGCAGTGAAGAACATCTCCGAGAGAAACTTTCCGAACGTGGTGAGAAGTATTGGAGTTACCGACGCCGGCCATTCTACCAAGAATACAGAGGAGATGCGTGGCCTCAAACAGTGCAAAATGTAAGAGATCCCCTTCCCTTTCCCTCCGCCTTGCCACAAGCAGACCCCATGGCCCTCAAAGCCCAAGACTAACAACTATCATTAGGGTCCAGTGAAAGTCGTTGTTGACTACGCGACCGCCAGCAAGCATGAGTGGGACAGGGGGCGAGGTCCTTCTCGCATCTATGATTCTGCCTGTCGCGGTTGTCTCGGAGAGGGTCTGGACCTAAGACCTCACCCACAAGGAAGCCCGCATGACCCTGATGCATGTGCCCGTAAGGACGCAGTAGATACCGACGGGGATGAAGATAAGTTCTATGAACAGTTAAGCTTTTGCCCTTCTAAGATCTGGGCTTTCTCCCTGAGGCACATGACTTGGAAAATGGTCAAGCCTGAGCACCTCCAGCAGGTCGCGCCTCGCCCGCAAGCCCTTGATAGGCTATGGCTGAAGTCGGACGATAAAGAGTTTCTGGGAAACATAATACGCACGCATCGTGGCGATAAACAATTCCATCCCAGTATTGTCTCCGAGACAACTGGGAGCCTCAAAATCCTCCTCCACGGTGAGCCCGGAACGGGGAAAACCTTGACAGCCGGTAAGTTATATATCTTTCTTAGTCCATCTTCCCTTTCCACTGACTCAGAGCATGTGTTTTCGTCGATCTAACACCTTAGCAAGAATGCCTTTCTGAGGAATTTGGCGTGCCTCTCTACACGGTCAACTTCGGTGACTTAGGCGTGGAGCCGGACGTGCTCGGGCAACGACTCGAGGAGGCCTTTCTTAGGGCCGCGAACTGGAAGGCCATTCTCTTGCTTGACCACGCTGGAACCTTGATTGCGAAACGCCACAGTAACTGGACATTCCATCATAACTCTTCCGTCTCTGTATTCCTTCGCCATCTCGATCATTCTAAGGGGCTTATCCTCATAACATCTACCCCGTCCCCGCTGGGCCTTGACCCGGACTTTGAGTCCCGCCTCAACATGTTACTGCCCTTTCCCAACTTCACGTTCGAGGCTCAGAAGTTTGTCTGGAGGAAATTAATTGACAGCCTCCAAGGCCCTGACGACTTTTCCAAGATGCCACTCATTGATTTCATAAACAATGAGCTTCCGAATCTGGACGATGGGGCCTATGCTCAGATGAACGGGCGCCAGATCACGAACTGCTTTACTGCCGCCTTGTTCCACGCTCACGGATCCATCAACAGTGATGGTAACAATCTGACTTCGCGTCATATCAAGGAAATTCTGAGATTGGGGAAAGAATTCAAAGACTACTTAGCCCAAATAGAGAAGAAGTCCGATAACCGGGCTATGTGGTGGGGGTCATGAGACATGTGAAGGTCTTGTATCATCCTTACAACATTTCATCAAATGGATCCTCCTGTGGCTTTATGCGTCGATGTGACTTAGCCTGGGTGCTACGTACCACATGTATGTAGTTCCCCTCTGACTGCCTTGTTCCATACACAGTATGTACTATACACGACTTTGATCCGTCTTTACTTGAACCTAGATCGGCGTATCCACGTAGAACCCAGTTCCCTTCCCATCCCACCGAGTCCACCAAGCCTTCACAACTTCGGTCCGAATATTGCCTCACTCTCGGGAGCATATGCAATTTTCAGAAGATTCTGCCGGATGTTCCGCCACGGTTGCCACTCTCACACGAGAGGCAGCGCACAGGACTGTCCATCCCCTCGCCATTCAGTTATTTGGTCTTGTCACGTGAGCAAGGACCAGCGGAGAGACTGCTTGCAAAGTATGTAAGACAGTGTCCGTAATGTACCTTGCGAGGAGAAGGAGACACCAGATCCTTAGCTGGCCATCTGGGATGCGACAAACTGCAGATGTTTGGCTACACATGAGCCGCCTGCAGTGTTGCCATGAATGGACGTGCTGAATGTGTTGAATAATGGTCTTGGCTGTTCACCCTCCCACCCGCCATGCCGGACCAGGTAGTACAGGCAGCGTAATCTTGGAGCATTCCATGATGCCTTTGAAGTAATTGTGCGCGCCTGGCACCCTGCGGGTCACCATAACCTTGACCACAGTTTTCTTTTCCTCTTTGGCAGCTTGCAAGAAATCTCGAAGACCTTCAACAAATGGCTGGAAGGGGGCGTCGACGCTATCGAGCATAACGATGAGGGTTTTTATACCAGCGATGTCGATGTACCTTTTGAATGTGTTCCAGAGATCCTTGGGTTGGTTGGCTGCGCCTGCAAAAGCGGATTTCGTCAAGCCTTCCTGCTGGCATACGACAGGGTCGGAAGACCTGCGTTGATGAATCGCGAGGAGTTGAAATAGGAGATGCTTTATTGCCTTCTCCTCCAGTGTCCCCTGCATGGCATCCCAGGGCCCACCACAGAAATGAGCCACCACAGCAGTACTTTTTGGATCTTCCGAATTCTCTGGTGCTTTTTGGATGATCTCCATCATCTCCAGGATGAGATCTGCTGACCAGGTCAACCCGCTATCCGACCCGTCATCCTCCTTGCATCCATCTATCAATATAAAGTGAGGGTCGGAAGATCTCAACCACTCTTTCACCTTCTGCCAATCCGTAGCATTGATCGATCGTATGACGTATGGCTCAGTTCTGTAGGAGCGGCGTAGGTATTCTGGTGTATGGTTTGGAAGACTGCGAATCTCGGGTAAACTCTTGTTATGGTCATGCCGGTTGTTCTCTGGGATTGCTGTCCCACCAGGCTGAGCGCGGGGACCAACATCCAGCGCCCCACCTCGAATGTTGCCTCTCTGATCTGATCCCTGTAATATAATCGGGTCTGGCATCAAAGACTTGAGAAATCCGATTACTGTGCCCTCCGAGTTAGCAGATGCCGGCGTGAATCAGGAGACGTTTCGAATTTACAAAATTCCCGATCAGCAAGGCTGCGCTCTGCGCAGAAATCCAAGATGATTTGAATGTTATATTGGTGTCCAGATCCGTAACAAACGTTCTCCTTAACATCAAAATTGCGGCTTTGGCTCGTCATGACGACCTTCCATAGAGCCCGTCGTGATACCGAGAAGAGATATCGTCGCAGACGAGAAAGTAAGCGACGCAGGCCAGGTCGTCCTCAGGCACTTGTGGCACAGTCTGGAGCTCGTAGCACATGACTTTGATTTGAGTCGTCGTTCATGTTCATCGTGAGAGCAAAGGATGCGTACATAGTAATCACGGGAGGTCGTGGCCAGACGAGGCTGGCGGCTAACAAAGACCCGTTTTCTTGCACTGCGGTGCGCGGCTTTGCCATTACCCCACTGCATGATAGCCTGTGTGTCTTCCCAAGCGCGTTAAACTGATTTAGGCACCAGGACCAGGATTGAGGCTGACCTCGCCCACTGGCTCTTTCCTTGGTCAGCCACCGTCTTGCTGTGGTTGTTCACCTCGAACCCGCCAAAGCTGCAACCAAGAAACGCCTCACGAGACATTACAGCCTCAAAATTTGAGATTCCGTGCAAACGACAGCAGACTAGCTACTCTGTGATACGACGTCGAAGGGCTGGTATGAGGGAAGACTGGACATCTGTCATCTGCGATCTGAGATCTGACGTGGTCCTGCAGGTCCCGATATGATCAGCAACGAGTGATGAGGAAGGAGCATGAGCTCGCGGCTGTTCCCCCTCATTTACCCACTTATAAAGGTCACCTCAGTCATGGAGACGTTGGTGCCCTCCAATATATATTCCTGCTGACTTTACCTCCAGTCTTTCTCTGCAGATAACCTAGCAACTTCCCAGGACCTTTTCGCCATTTGCAGCAGGCGCACGTCCCCCAGACAGAAAAAGTGTCCACGGTCTACGCGATGAACTGATCAAGTGGTCTGCGCCCATCGCAGATTTGAGCCCATGTTTTCTTTTCTGGTTTGGTTCCCTCCTCAAGGAATCTCCCGATATTCTCAAGGCATACACGACGTGTTCAAATTACCTGCGCAGATACTACACTACATGACCAGGCCACGCCGAAGCGGGAAACAGCATACGGCGACCGCCCCAGCACCCCTTCCGCCTTGTTTGCTGCGATCGCTTGATTGGACTTTGGATTTAAAGCAGGACCCAACGACGGGAAGCTGGGCGGGTGACCCCTTGCTTTGGCTGATATTCATGCGTGGTTCTCTAAGACACAGAATGAAAAGGAAGGAGAAAAAAACATCAGATGAACAGAAGAAGGAGGGGAAACAATCAAAAGTAAAGTTACACCATTCCGAGCCGCCACTGAGAAAGAATGTTCCTTTGTACAGCCTGCCGAATGGCCACCAGGATATTGCGAGACCCATTCATCCCGTCCCATATTCATAGTGTAGAAGAAACCTCGACTTTCTTCTGTTCTACATGTCCAGATTGTCCACCACTGAGGATACCGTAATAATCCCGCCCTCGAGAAAGTCCAATGAAAAACGAGTCAGAAGCAGAACCTCGCTGCTGGACTCGACTTGTCGAGTACGACGTATACAGCGACACACGGCGGGCCAGGGACCGGTCCATGAAACACGCGACCCGATTGTGAGCGACAGTCGAGCAAGCCACGGCTCGAGACACATGCGTACAGAGATATTACAGTACCACCCAAAATTGATTTCGAGTTCATCCAGCGCGACAGGCGAGCCGCCTTCCTGCCCCCTTTCTCCAACTCTCCTTCGACTCTTGAGATTTCAGGGCTTTACTACCATCAGCTGCTGCTGCTGCTAGGGCTGCGCTGCTTTTCACTGCAACGGACCTCCTTTCATCCCTCCTGCCTCTGGTGTCAACTGAAGAGCATCCTCTCGAGACCAAGATTACCGATCAGATATCCCGGCGGCCGGCGGCTCTGTACCAACCCCCTAGCCTAAGAAGCAAAGATGTCTTTTACAGAGCGGAAACGCGTCTCTGTGAACAGGCACCCGTGGACTTTACCACAGGTCTCCGAGATGGACGAGCTGACACGGCCCATCGACCGCCCACCCCCAGGAGACTTCAACAGACAGTCAGTCAAGACGATGGGAAGGGCGGAGCTTGCGAGGCGCAGGAATGAGTATTTTGAGGGTGCCTTTTCCGTACGTGGAGACGCCAACCCGCTGCACGAGAGAATACGCAGCGACTCGATCGTGCTGGTGGAGCTCAGGACGAACGTGATCGTAAGGCCCGTCCACTATATCGCTTTACAAGAGCTAAGGGCTGGAGTAAAGGTGCATATGCTGACCTTGTTTCTTTTCTTGTTTGGGAATCTAGATTGGCGACGAGTTCATCTTCATCACTGAGCTGAGCGCGAAGCTCGCAGAGAGGTATCAGAGGCCCCTCTCCTCGATCGTCGTCAACGTCCAGCACTCGCAGTGCATATTCTTCTCCGGCACATTCGAGCCCGCCTACACCGCGAACGTATCAGCTCTGGCACCCTACGTCCAACCTGCTACCAACCGGCGCAATGCCTTCGTGCTGTCGGAGCACCTCCACGAGGCGCTGGGCGTCCAGCCGCAGCGGGGCCTCATCAGCTTCGTGACACTCCCCGAGGACAACGTCGCTTGTAACGGCAAGACGATCGCGCACGCCCTGGATGACGCCCTGGACGGAGGACCTTACGCTATGGGCGTGATCGAGGAGGAGGGGCAGGCGAGCTACGCTTCGAGGAGGAAGAGGTTGAGTGTCAAGGTGAGGGGGAGGAACCCCACGAGCTGAATCTTGAAACGTGTGTCCCCAAGAAACTGACATGGACATAAGTCTCTTACCAACATCAGGACGTCAGGGCGAGCCGATATGACAGCTGGCGAGATAACTCCCCCGACCAGCGCCGATGACACCCCCATCGGCGAGGATAAACCTATCAGGATAGCGAAACGCCGGAAGAGTTTTGTAGCAGGCTTGTTTGGGAGGGGAACGAGAAAGGAGAACGAGAAGCACGCATGCGAGGAGTCGTGAGCATTGATGGGGATTTGTACTATGAGACATCATCTGCAGCTTGTCAGCAGACAGGCGATTGGGTGTGATACAGGCTGGTCTCTGAGACATATGCACGCCACTGCACGATGAGCATTCATTCAAGAAATGTATTATCGTATAGAATGGTACATTAGCTCTTCTCATGATGATGCATTGAGATCCAAGACGGTGCCACAAGTCGCCCGCCACACGATTGGTACAGTGAGCCTGCCCAGCCTAGGTCCCAAGAACTGTGGTGAGTGTGCCGGATGTGAGTGTCATCCTGAGTGACTACATGCTGTCGGAACAGATAACGACGTCTAGTAGAGATCTTGGCGCGTGTGATCTTGGACGCTGAAATGGACATGCCTTGTTTGGACCCGGCACTCAGACCTGGTCTATTGAGGCGCTGAGGCACTATCTGATTGCTATTAGTGCTTGCATGGCTTGTCTGTTACTGCTGCAACAGCATTTCACAACTAGGCTGGCTGGCTAACTGTTCCAGAGATCATCTGCTGCCAGTCGTTAACTTGTTGAAGGAAGAGCAGCAAAGAGTATAAGTCAGGGGGGAGGCGCACGCTATTCACCTGGAGCCTACTCCAAAAGTATATTTCCAGCAGCGCCTACTTCTTTTACAATGGAGAAAATGAAAAGCTTGTATTAGCTGTGTTTATTTGTGGGAATTCATGCTTTATATCAATAAAATTTGGGAACTTATGACCATGCCTAGGAAGACTGCTCGGCTTGCCCGAAATGGTGAACCTCTGCCTCAACCTGATGGGCCCGCATGAGCCTCCAATTCCTCTGCTGCCCTAGCATGTGGTCGTTGCGGATGTCATCATTGATAGCAGCGGCGCCTTCGAGTCCTTGCTTTTTTACGGCAATACTCGGCATATTGAAAGCCGTTCATTCTTACCAAAGTGTTCGGTCTCCCACTGTCTCAGAGCTTGAACCACCTTCTGTCGAAGAGCAGGAGATATATCTAGGTTTTCGCCAAAGCGTATTGGGAAATGCGGTATTAGGCTTGAGTCAACGGAAGGTAGTGGTTGCTTGGACTGTTGCTGAGTGCTTGAAGGGTCGGAGGGGGAGGTCTTGGATTCTTCGTCGCTTTCACCTCGGTGATAGTTAACAGCCGCACACGGACTAGGCCCTTGACATCCTCCTCATCGGAACTTTCCGCCAAGTTGGAGTCCTCGTCTTTGGTGCTCCCCGCTCTTGTCCTGTTTTGGTACTCCGCGCAGACGTCGTTCTTTTCTGAGATACTCTCCTGCACCGGTGGCCGTGACCCAGGCGAGGAGAAGCCGTCTTCCTCGGCGCTACTTATCCTCCTATAGCTTCTATTACAATTTTGATTATAGTCCATCAGCGTCGCTGGCTCTAGTAAGATCGGAGAGGGCCAGACACCAAGGACTGCTCACTACTGGACCTCCATCCCAGTGCTGCTTGTCGAGTCGGTCTGGCACCAAGGACAGCTGGTAGCGTTCTTGTCAACTGATTCTCGGCACATGAGGCTCATGTCCACCAACTGGCGTGACGAGAACAACGTCTCCCAATCTATATCCCGGTCGATCTCTGATCGAGAAGATCGCTCTTGTAGGATATAACGTCATTGGAGAACCCTGCGAGCACCTTTTTCCCCCTGAAATCTCCAATGCAGCCAGAAGTCGAAGGCTTCCCAGGTCGGAATATTGGTCATGTATATCTTCTCAGGCTTGCCAGTTGCATCCTCCAGAACGAATTTCTGCTCGAAGGGCGCATCCAGCACATGGCCACTGAGGAGTTTCGAGTGGACTTCGTTTAGCATAGCTGAGATGGGCATCAAGGCTGAAAGGATTTGGGAAGTCGACCTCTTCAAATCGATGCCTAATCTAGCTATGAACCTTAGCCCTCCGAGTATTTTCTGCCCGAAGAAGCCCCAGAGTCCCTGCAATAACCGTCTCTGATCGTCTAGAGTGACTTCTATCGTGATGCCGTTGTTCGTTGATGCTTTCGTTTGTTGAGTGTAAGCAGAGGAATGCTCCGTCTCCTGGCATGGTGTCGTACTGTAGACTTGCAGAGTCGTTGCTTGGAGCAACGTATTCAGCAGCATGTTGTACATGTGAACTTGCTGCTGAAACTCATCGACCTGGTCTTGCTCGCACCTGAACTGGAGTTTCCTGGCACGCCTGGTCATCTTCTTGGCCACGTTGTCTGAACCCCCGGGACCTAGACACTTGGAGTATTTCTCTATCCGAGCTTTGAACTCCTCAAGACATTTGCGAATCTGTCCGGTGACCTGCAATGCCGTGACGGAAATGCTGTTGAAGGTGTCGGCGTTTTGTGGGCTGCGGTAGACCTTATCGACCTGCTGTATTGCTTGCTCCAAAATGGCGAGGCTCTGGATCAAGTCCTGGTACTTTTTCGCGGAACCACGGCTGTCGTCTAGAGCCGAGATGATGTCCTTGATGAGCAGGGCGATGGAGAGGAAGTCCCCAAAGGAGGCGAACGTCGGAGCGAACGACATTGCTGGACCTCAAGAGATGCAGTCCGATATTTGACGGAGATGCTTGAAGTCGAGATTGTGATGAGTGAGGAAGGGGAAAATAAGATCAGGGAGTACACAAGCTTGCTCCAGCCCCTCACACCCCCTCAGCAGCGCTGGGCAGTAATACATATTGGGTGGCTCAGCAGCCACTCACTGATCTCGTCCACCCAGGGCTGTAGGACCACTCGTGGATGACATGTATGATACATGAGAGTGTCTTGCACTGCCTCTATGCATGTGCATGTCACCCAGTTCACTTGGGGGTATACATAAGCACCACTCATAGTCGGTGGACCAGATTCAGGTTGTGTTATCCGTGGTTGGGTGTGCCGTGCCGTGCCATGGCGACCAAGCCCACCGCCAAAAAGACATGGAAGTTTCCATGGTAAGTTTTTCTGATATATTTTTGAATGGCTGGCAGAATCTAGTCCTAAACGAAAGGCTTATGATGAAGCATCATTTGCTGGAATTTGATGATCGATGCAATGTCAACACTGAAAGCTGGTGTTTAGACAGATCAGGAAGGGGCCTGTAGATACATTTTAACCCTAACCCTTTCGTAGTGCTTGTCCTGTTCCAAGGATGTGTGCACAAGTCAGCCCTGAACGCTGTCCCTCGTTGTGTGCGGTACTTACCGGCTCGCGACTGCTTGAACTCAATTCCAACCCGACTGACGTCTTCTGTTATCTGCGCATTCCATTGTTTGCTCGAAACACAACCACAGTTCACACTCTCTTGTATGACAGCTTCGTGCGTGTTTCTGAATGAAAGACAGGAAAAACAAGAGCCAAAAAGAATAATCTTGCGGCCGGGTCATCATCATTTAGACACACACACACACACACACACACACACACACACACCGGAATACGAGAGCAACGCAGCTCTGATCTCACCACGGCAGTACTTCACTCACGTCGCGTCACATCGCATCGCATCGCAGCTCGCCACAAGAAATTCACACTCTCAGAGACGAGACCAAGTGAAACCTCCGTGCTGCATACTTCGGCTCTCGACCCCCAGGACGCCATCTCGGCTCTCGTTCGGAGACGAGGCTGCATCGCGTCTCATCTGGTTCGTAGCCACTCAGCTGGTTGGAAGAGGAAGAGGAATGCCCGCTTACCTGATACTTTCAAGTTCTCAATCACACAAGGTTCTCAGCCAGCCAACCATCCAGCCAACCAGCCGTCCTCTCTGTCTCGCCCAGCAAACTGTCAGCGTCGCAGTACAGCTACAGAATCCACAGAGACTTAATTTCCTCCTTCTTGTTTTCTCCGTTCTCCAAATCCTTTGGTTCACAGCCCCTCGGGGGCCGCCGGGACCGAGTTGGTGTGTGTGAGAGAGAAACTTCATTTCCCTCTCATGTGAAGATCTTTACAGGAGCTTTGGTCTGTGATTCATGGTTCCGAAGAAAAGGAAGGAAATCTGAGTGCGTCAGGTCACGTCGCAAGTTGTCACTATGGAGGTAAATGCTCGCGTGCCCCCTTTTCTTCAACACGACCCTTTACTTGCTTGTGCTTCTGCGGCATCATAGCACATGATTTGTGGTCTTCCCCAGCCAGTCACAGGCCTTACTTGGCAAGACATCACTTGTCAGAGTTGACCTGCTGTTTGTCTCGGCCGGGGTGCGGCGAATTACCAACACCGCCTGCACCACCAGCGACAGCTGCAATCACTAACACCACCACCTCGGCTCCTCTTCGTCATACCTCAGAGATAAGACACTTTGCGTACCTCCTGCACCACCTCGCTGGTCATTAAAGAAACCCCTTCCAACATGCTTCATGTCTGTCCAGTGGCAGCTCACTCTTGTCTCTTCGTCTTCTCATTCCGCTAGAGCCACGAGACTGGTCAGCATCGTTTGCGTTCTCCTGCTACCGCCTTAGATCCAGCCAAGATTAGACAGGGGAAGGCGAGAGTTGAGTCACATCCCCCCTCCTACTTTTCTTTCTCTTCTCTTCCTTTCTTTCCCAAGGCTCCATCCTCCCTCTCAGCTCTGACCAGACTATTACTGAGCCACTTTGTGAGCCTGTACCACCATAAGAATGACAAATATCCTGCTTCCCCCTGACCCGTCTCCTTCGTGGTGGCCATTGCGCTCCCACAGAATCAGGCAACCCGCTCGGTAGTCGAACAGCAGCGGGTAAGGGCAGCAATTCTGACGAGCGTTGTGTTCGCCTGCCAACGTCTCTCCTTACCCTATGCTATGCAGGCAACAGATGCCTCAGCCGTCTCGACTAATTTTCGTTTGTCGGATATGCGACCACCTGTCGACGCTCCCGGCGATGAGGTTCATGACCCTCTCTCTCCCCGCCCAACGAGATATTCTCTGGTAGCCAGCCGCATCTAGAGGAAAGCCAGGTCATCTTCCAGCCATCGCCGGGACCTCACTGCTGGATTTCGCAGACATACCATCAGCTCCCCATCAGCTCCCCACAGATCCCCTTCCCGAGGTTACCGGTCCCTTCCGTCCGAGCCATTCAAGATAGCTGAGCTGTCACTTCCCCAACTCTCACTGCCAGTCAGGACAACGGACAGGCGCCTGTCGAAGGAGTCAGTCAAGGTCGTGAAGGCAGTGTGGGCTTGGAGCCCCCACGGCATGCTTCTTGTGCCCTCTCACGCAACACGCCCCAAGGCTTATGCTGGGCTTGTTACACTGAAGACGACCTGTTCTCTGCTGTCACATGGCCCCCCCCCCCCGGCCCCACCCAAACCCAAACGATACCCTCTCTGGTTGTTGAATTTTCTTGTTTTTTCCTTCCTCCCCCCCCCCCCGGTTTCTTTCGTTGTTGATTTTAGCCGCGTTTCGTCTATTCTTTATTCCCATAATGTCTTTTGATGAGGCCACGGGGAGCTCAGCTGCCCCGGGAACACCGCGGCGATCCAACGTCAAGTATGTCAGTGCAGCGGCGCTAAATCTAGAACGTGTCTATGAGCAGAACCGAGCACGACTTCAGCAGAGAGATGGCGCTTTATCACCAACGAGCGAGCAGGCTTCTGTCAACGCCGGGAAGGGAAAGCCTAGATTGTTGCTAATGGGCCAGAGACGGTAGGTTTGGGAGCGAGAGCCCTCCTGACGTGAGAATGCAAGGCCGCGCTGGATGAACCAGTTAACTGACTAGTGAACAGAAGCGGAAAGTCATCCATATCAAGTGTGGTCTTTCATAAGGTACCACCAAACGAGACACTATTCCTGGAGTCGACAGTGAGGATACACAAAGACTCGATGGCGTGAGTTGGCAGGCCTTGCAAGAAGCAGAAAGAGAAAGAATGACCCCTCTCACAGCTGGCAGAGACTGACTTCCGCGCGGCAGATCGTTCATGGACTTTCAGGTCTGGGACTTTCCGGGCCAGATCGACTTTCTCGACAACCCCAGCTTCGACATCGACGCCGTCTTCGGTGAGATAGGCGCCCTCATCTGGGTTATCGACGCGCAGGACGACTACCTCGAGGCCGTGTCCCGCCTCAACGCCACTATCCTGTACCTCCAGCGCAACTACCCCTCTATCAACATCGAGGTGTTTATCCACAAGGTGGACGGGCTGTCGGACGACTACAAGCTCGATATCCAGCGCGACATCACGATCCGCATCCAGGATGAGCTGTCGGACGAGGGCTTCGAAAACGCCCCCGTGACCTTTCACCTCACGTCCATCTACAACCATTCCATCTTCGAGGCCTTTAGCAAGGTTATCCAGAAGTTGATCCCGCGCCTGGGCCAGCTCGAGGCCATGCTCACGAATCTGTGCCGCACGTGTCGCTTCGAGAAGGCCTATCTGTTCGACGTGCTGTCCAAGATCTACATAGCCACGGACTCGGCTCCGGCCGACATGGCCAGCTACGAGATCTGCTCCGACTACATCGACGTCATCATCGACGTGAGTATGGTCTACGGCAGCTGGTCCCGAAGCAAGGCCCATCGTGACCGGCTCGAGGGTCCACCCTGGTCCCAGAAACTTGAGGACCAGGTCGCCGTGTCCTTTGCCGAGAGCCATATCGTCGTCAACGAGGGCCTGCGCCCCATCATGTTGCGCGAGGTCGACCGCTACCTCGCCCTCGTGGCCATCATGAAGGAAGGGAGCTATGAGAAGATGCCGCTGGTGAACATGAACGTCGATGTGGTTGCCAAGGGGCTGACAGACTTTTTTGAGGTGACAAAACGGGGGAAGTGAGAATTGGTGTGCAGAAGAGAGCTAGAGAGAAAGATACAGAAAGGGATGGCCAAACCACTTACCGAAAAGAAACGATTATCTTGAGAGAGAGAAAAGAAAATCCGTTTCTCTGATGGGCAATGCGTATTCGATGGGTGTTTGGATTACATGTGCAAAGATAGCTTATTAAAAGTGCATTTCTCCTTTTATGTCTGAATGTGTTTCTCTATACATGAAACCAATGGGTACTTGTCACAATAGTCTTATCTCTTGTTGCTCAACAAGTTTTTGCTTGCATATTCATCGTGTGGAAAAATTGCTATCATGTGACTTTTAATATCATACAGGTAAGTCTATTGCTATGCTCTTTGATCTTACTTTTTTTCTTTTCATTGCGTGAGCAATTGGTATAATGTAAGTTGTCTTTTGTTCCCTCTCTTTATCTCTCTTTGATGTCTTTTCTTCTCCTTTCTTTCTTCTTTTCAAGATTTCTCTCTCTCGTCCCTTGAATCAAGTCTCCCCACCACCCTCACGACCTCCTATCGGCCCCATCCCAATCCCCTTCGCCCTTCCCCTCAACACACTCTCCACCGCCCTTCCCACGGCATTCAAATCTCCCAGGAGCGAGATATGCCCCTTGTCCGTGCTCACCCGACCTCCTCGCACAATCTGGTACCCAGCGGGCGGCATAGCGGCCCGGCTGAGAACGACGCCGTCACCGGAGCCAAAGACAAGGTCGTCGTATACATCGGCGCAGGGGATGGCTTCACGGCAGGGGACTCGGGTCGCATAGACGGTGGGGATCTCTTTGCCGTAGATGACGGCGATCGGTGGGTAGACGTTGGCGGACTGGTGGGCGGGGTTGTGCTGCAGCTCGGCGCGGAAGCGTTTAGTCTCGGCGAGGGTGCGTGTTAGGTAGGCCAGGTTGCGGGCCTGGTCGGTGCTGGTGCTGGTGCTGGTGCTGTGCTGTTGCTTTGGTGGGGATGCGGTGCGGGTGATGGGCTGCTGGTGCTCGTGGTTATCGGACGATGACGAGTCAATCTGGGGCGCGAGGGTTCGGTCCTTGACTAGCTTGCGTGGGGGCGAGGGATTGGTTCTTCGGAACAGAGGGTCGCTGCTGCTGCGGCCGCGAGAGAGGGAGAGGGAGTCGGACAGGCTGAGGAAGGAGCCTAGGGCGCTGGTGCGCTTGGCGGAGAAGGGAGGCAGGGCAGGGCCGCCTACGCTAGGGCACAGCCTATACTTGACCCAGTCGTCCGGGTTGTAGAAGTCGATGTTGTACTCCTCGCCCGTCGTCCTGTCCACGAAACAAAACCCGTCCTCGGGCAAAAAGACAAAGGTGGTCCGCAGCGAGAAGTTGACATGGGCCGTGAGGACCTTTTCGTTCAGGAGCACAGCGTCTCCGTTGCGCAGGGGCCCTAGGATATTGATGCACCGCTGCGGTGACCCAGCGTAAACGACGCCTGAGAACAGCTCGGGTGCGCGGTTCACGGCGTGGCGGGTGATGATGCCGCCCAGGGAGTGAGCGATGACGAAGGCGCCGCTGGGCTTGTCTCCACGGTTGGAAGGCAGGCTGCGCATGAAATCGACCAGCTTCTGGGAGAGGCGGTGTGGGCTCAGCCGCCAGTCATAGCCGTAGTCGTGAATCCTGAGCTTTCCGGTCCTGACGTTCTCGCACTCGCGCAGCCGCTTGAAGAGCCGTTTCGATATGTCGACAGGGCCAATGTTCTTGAGCATCCCAGACGGGATGATGGTCTCCTCCATCCTCTCCTCATCCTCCGGGTCCAGACCAACTTCCAGATTCACCTTCCTGACTTTCAGTCCCACCTTGATCGGCACCCACAGCTGTCTGTGAGGCGGTTCCGCTGAACGAAGAACAGAACCCCTGTATCCGCCCATGATGACCAGATCCCCCGTCAGAGACTCCAGGGCGCAGTCCAAGGGGTCCTTGGGGCCTCTGATCGCCCTCGCCGGGGCCGACCTGTTGCTCGGGTCGAAGCTCAGCTCTTCCACCGAGAATTCCCCCTTCTTCAGGGGCGAGCGCAGGTTGAGGGTATTCGGCATGCTGGGCAGCTTGAAGGAAGGTGGGTCAAAGGAGTCCACGATGGCCTTGAACCTGGAGTTGACCTGCTCTCGGATGTGCGTGAACCGCTGGTCATCCCCAAAACTCGACATGCGCGAGAGTGAGTGGTAGAGGATCGACTCGTCCGAGGTTGACCTCCTGAGGGCGAGGGATCGCCTGGCCGCGCTGGACGGTGGTCGATGGACCAGATCTTTCCGGCCCTGCTGCTGCTGCTGCTGCTGCTGCTGCTGTTGGGTAAGCTGTCGTGGGTGTTGCCGGGGACTGAGGGGAAAGGTGCTGCTATGCCTCGGATCCGGGCTCGGGGCTGCTGATGATGAGGGGTGTGATTGATTCCTGGGGCTGGTCGACAGATCCTTGGACTCGGACTGCGAGGTTGTGGTCAGGGACGAGAAAAAGGCCGGCACCGTGAGTCTGTTTGGTAGCGATGGCAGGGATAAGGAAGGGAGGGCCTTGGAGAAACGCCTAAAGGCATCTGAGCCACCAGATGCTGAGCGCCGGTGCCGTGCAGCCGCCAGCGCGCTCCCCAGGGCTGGCCTGGAGTTGGGTGTGTCGGAAGACGTCACGACGATCTCCTTAGGACCAGTCCTCCACGGCGTGGGCAGCTTCTCGAGCGACTGAGGTTGAGGAGGCGGTATCGAGGTCGCAGGAGGGATCCTAGATCCTGTCGGGATGGGCGTGTCCTCGCCTGAGGACTCGTCTTCTCTGTCTCCATCCGCGCGCTCAAAGTATCCTTCGGCAATTCTGTCCATAACAGCCATCTTCTCGGCGGCTGGTGTCTTGGGTGATGTGAGGCGCGTCACCACAGGGCTCATGGCCGGCTCAATGAGCGACTGTGCGTCATCTTCCCCGTAGATGTCCTCATCATCCCCCGAGCCATCTGTGGGCGGGCTCGCCTGCGATAGCAGCTGCTGTTGACCAGACGCCGCAGCTGGCATCCTCAGGGGCTGCGGTTTTGGTGGGAATGTGGACGTGGAAGTGGGCGTGGACTTGGTCAGTCGGCTGTTTGCTCCGTCGTCACGCCGGACGACGGAGCCTAGGGTAGCAGGCTCAGCCATTGTCTAATGAAGCTCACTTTCTGGTCGTCTTCCAAGATTGTTTCACGCGTGAATATCCAATTCTTAAGGCTCGTGAAACGTTTCTTGCGGATCGTGGGTCGAAAGTTTATGGGTGCATCGGCAAGGCCGGCACGGAGCGGGTTCCCACGAGGTCTTTAGTGTGTTTGAACGGTTGTAGGATAATTGACATGAGATTGAACAATGCAGATAGATGTACACGAGCCAAAAAGAAGAACAACGGAAGAAGAAGAAAAAAAGTGTGGCCAGAATCAAAGTGAGAAAAGAGAGGTAGTTAGTGATTGAGTCTGGGGAGGCTCATGCAGAAAACAGACCAGGGGTTCGGCAGTAAAAAAAGGTAAGTAATGCTGAGTGAGATGTGATGTGCGGTAGGATTTTGTCGGTCTGACATTTAAAGGATCCGTTCATGAACCGAAAACAGCAAAATAGAAACCAAATAAAACCAACCAAGCGTCCCACCCGAGACAAAACACGGCTACCGCTGGCTGACCAGATTGGCTACGGACAAATTAAGTAACCCGACAGCACGGTACGGTAAATATGCAAGTGTATACATATGATATATCGAAAAAATTCACAATTTCGATGGGGAACTAGCCAATTGCCTGTGGTGGGAACGGGAGGAGCCAGAACCAAACGAAGTATGGACAATAAAGAAGGAAGCGATGCAAAGGTACCACGGTGTCATGAAGATAAACAATAAATAAATAAAAAAAAAAGGCAAGGGGAGGGTGAGGGTGGCTTGCTGTGCTGGCGCGGTACACTGTCAGATGATGAATACAACAAGGCAGGTTCGTTGGCAATAGCGGGTTAGCTCAGCCCACACGGCGTCTCCACTGATACAAGCTGGCACATATACACGGCCAAGGCGACAACGAGAAAGGGAGGGGAAAAGAGAGAGGGCATGAAGAGGAACAGGAAAATACAGAAAGCTGCGCCTCAACCCGAGTTAGTAGTAGTAGAATAGCGGTGATGATCTCGTCTGTGGGTGGAGGAGAGTGAGCCTAAAATTATGTACAGCATTCAATTATGAAGTGCCCAATTCGAATTCAGGTGCTCGAGTCGTTCAATTGACGTCATAACTGAGACAGACAATAGAAGCGTCAGTGCTTTGTTGTGTTGGGGAAAGCCCCCATCTCGATAGCGTATATAGGACACCTGGACACATATCGTCAACAAACTAATAAAGTGCATACGTACGTATCAAGAATTGAATGCTATAGTTATAGTATGGTAGGACATATGCAGGCTATCATAGTACATGCAGGTTGACAGCCGAACGACTAACACGTCAAGAATCAGCCAAGACCAGCACAACACGCACACAGGTTGCACGACAGACTTGGCATCCAGTAGAGATCCACCACTGATTGGTCGGTCCCTGAAAATCACCTTTCTTGCTCAAAATCTTGCGGGGACCACAATTTCTATACTAGTTTTGACTTTCGTTTGTGGCTTGCATGATAAGCTGAGGAAGAGGGAGGCTGGAGGGACTGCCTAATTGCCTGCTGCCTGCGTGCCCGACATCTCCCTCTTCCCCTCCCCTCTTCCCCCCCCCCCACCAGCCGGGACGACCCGGAGCCGAATTGCCGTAGAACTAGGGGTTTTGTGCTTTTGAGGCTAGATCTTGGACGCCCTAAAAGATTCCTTGTCTCCAGAACGGGGTGAGAGAGCGAATCGGCCTGAGGAACAGTGTGATTATTCATTAATTTACATTGATATGATGATCTAAAAGAAAGAAAAAGAAACAACCTCCAAAACCATACGTCTCACATCCTTGTTCAACTGAACATCCCAGGTGGGAACCACATCCATACACCACCTCTAAGACGACGGCTTCGGCGCGATAGAGAACTTACCATTGTCAATCTCTTTCGTCTTCTCCACAGCCCTTTGGAACCCAGGCTGCTGCTCCAGCCGGTCGACGTAGGCAAAGAGCTTGGGGTACGTCTCTTTCGGGGTGCCTTTGTCCCACTTGCCAATGTGATCGAGGCTGTCCTTGGAGGCCACCAGGCCGTAGCTCAGCTGGATGTCGGCCGCGGTCAGCTCCGTGCCGGTGATGAAGTCTCCTCCTGATGTTGCCAGCTGCTGCTCAAGCATAGCAAAGTGCTTCTTGATGTTGGGGAAAATCATCATGGAGATGATCTTGTTGGCAATAGCGCCCGAGATGGGACGGATCAGGAAGGGCACCTGGTTCGATTTCAGTGCTGTTGAGTGTATGTGTCAGCAGCGAGCCGTCTCACGGGGAGAAGAGAAGAGAAAAAGGCCAAAGGGAAGAGCGTACCCGATAAGATCAAGTATTGCACCAGGACGGGCATGAAAGACCCCTCAATATAATACATCAGATACTGGTAGCGCATCCACGCCTCTGTCTCGCCGAGAAGCTTGCCGTCCTGGCCCTCCTTCCACTGCTGCGGCACGAGAGTCTTGGCCTGTCCAAAGTGTTCGCAGAGATACGTGAAGATGAACCCGGACTCGGCCAGGACGACTGGCTCTGATGAGCCAGGGACCGTCACGGTCACGACTGGAGACTTGCCCAGAGGGTGGACCTTCTCAAGCTCGGGAGGCGCCAGTCCACTGGACTGGCGGTGGTACACCTTGGTCTCATAGGGAACCTGCAGCTCCTCCAGAAGCCAAAGAATGGAGTGGGCTCGCGAGCCATTGAGCCTGGTACATGAGATGGATGTCAGCAGCCGTGAGGAGGGAGGCTCTGAGTGGACGCAGTACTGACCAGTGGAGCGTGATCTTGGGTTGTTCGGCAGCCATGACGACTTCTCTGACAGATTCCAGAGTAATCAATTGGAAAGGAAAGAAAAAAAAATCTGTGGTGAATTTCTGAGACGTTCTTTTTTGTAAATACAGACGTCTGAGTCGGAGGTGAAAAAGATGGGTTGATTATGATGCGATTCTTGTCACGGCGTTAGTTAGAATTTAAATCCTTGCTGGGACAGTACTACTGTTCCTAAACCTTCGACAAGCCGAGGCTCCCATGAAGATCGATCAGACTAAGCCAGCTAGCTTATTACTGTCAGAACGAGAGATTATGTAAGACAAGCGTCAAGCGATGTTAAATACCTTTTTCTGCCCTTTGAACGGAGCAACTAATTATCCACTGACGGCCGTGGTGAATGATCGTATACTACCTTTTCTTACCAGAATCCTAACATTACCTCGCCGAAAGGGGTATGAGTGATAAGCTGCTTACTGTAGTTCATTTGTATTACGTGCCTACGACCCCTGCAAGAATCGAGAGCATAGCAACCGAAAAGGACCGAGATGGGTTCAGATTATACGAGCAACAAGGCCTAGTTAGCATGAGCAGGACTGGCAACACAGATTGAAAGCTTGGAGGCTCTTATTTGACTTATGTTGGGTTATTCTTAACGAAGAAAAAAATGAAGAAAGAAATGGATGTCCGACTAGTAGAATGTAATATAATGCAAGGTCATCAAGTGCTTACTTACCTAAGCAAACACGCACGGACCACTTTCGGAACCACCGTGAACGACGCCATCCAATGATCCAATGCACACACCTTCCACGCCAAAAGGGTATCCCATCAATCCAACCCAGAACCCAACACAACCCCCCGCCTCAGCCATCTCTACACGAGTCCTGAGGACGAAGCATTCAAGATGGCGGGCCTCAAACATTTCAGTATGTCCCCTTGGCTGCCTCTTCATGGCTTATGATGACCTGCACTAGCAGAAATACTGACACTATCACAACAGAGTTGGCCGCGGACCCGGCCATTATACGGCTAAACAGTACGTCGTCAAACATCTACCCTCGATTAAACGAATGCACAATACCCGAGAATGGTGGTGAAGAGATAGTTGAGGGAGGCAGGGGACTATGGCGCTGACAGCTGCGGGCAGGCATCAACTCGAACCGATACAAGTACTTCCGATGGACACCGAGGACAGCACTGATCACGTTCAACTACATCGTGGCGGTTCCTTTAATATTGGGTGTGGCTGCATATTCGACAGAAGTACGTCGACTCCATCAATTGGGTTTCCTGCGCTTTGTGACTAGGACTTGGATAACTGACTTCCTCCGTGAGTAACAGGGCAAGTGGAACTTCCGGGCGAAGAGGAAAGGCGACCTGGCTTCCGAGTACTAGAGGGCTAGACGGCACTTTGCGAATATGAAGGCAAAGACAGGAGGGATGTATGGATCAAACAAAATGCAATATCTTCATTACAAAGCTATGACCCTGTAATGGATCCCGAACTTGCCAGTATTCCACGCCCTGAACGCCTTGCTTGTTACATTATAGGATATCATCAATTGTAAAGCAGACAAAACAAACTCTTTCCCCCTCCCGCAATCGTCATCGACATGCCCTCACCACCGCCTCCTCCCTCTACTCCGACCCGAGGGTGCTGGCACATCGGGTAACCTCTCCCCCCTCCTCCATTCACCCACAGGAGGCACAGCACTCCCCCCATACATGCCACCACCACCACCAGGTCCCCCGCCTCCCATCCTCGAATCCAGTCCCCTTCCTCTGGCATACAAAAACCCCCTCTCCGCGCCCAAGACATCCGGCGGTGGCATCTCGCCCAGGCCTACACTCGCTTGGCCTGCACCGTACCCTCGCCCCGTCCTCGCCGCAGCAGCCGCCTGCACGCTCCCGTCCACCGCGCTCGGCGGCAGAATCGCGACGCTCACAAAGTCCCCTACCACGAATCGCGTGTCCGCCAGCGTGCTGAAGGCGTCTATTGCTGCTGCTGCTGCTGCTGCTGCTGTTGTTGTTGTTGCCGGTGCCGGCGCTGCCGTGCCGGCATTCCCCTCGTCCCCAATCACCACGGAGCCGAGGTCTAGGCTCGCCAGGCGGGGTGCGAAGTTGGAGAGAGGCCCACCGCCGCTGCGGGTGTCGTGGTAAAAGAGGCGGTAGACGAGGCGGGTGCCGATGCTGGGCGCGGGGAGAAGGTGTGGGGAGTGCGAGACGAGGAGGTGCGTCAGCTCGGTGAGGGTGGCGGTTGGCCAGGTGTGGACGGTGATGTGGGCTGGGAGGTTGGCAGGGAAGGAGAACTCGTCTGGTCTATTTTGCACGAGGTTAGTGTGTGTGAATAAACAAGAGTGGGGAGGGAAAAAAAAGCCAAAGAGAGCGAGGAGAGAGCTGGCCTGGTGACGACTTGCCTGTGAAATGCGCCGGTCCGGTAGAACAGTTTCAAGAGGAAGGGTGTCGTCGCATTGCGGTCGACCATGTCTTGTGACGCATCCATGATCTGTAAAGATATATATACGGCAGCACCTTTGTCAAAGGTTTAGAACCGTTTTTTACTAGACCTGTTCCAGTACTTTGCTCCCCCCGAATGAGCACCGTTCAGTACCTGTGAAGTGGGTGACGGTCACATGTGAACGATTTAGATGACGGAGGGCGTGAAATGCGGGAGGTTTCGAAGAGAAAGAGAGGCCTTAGAGCTCTGATGCCTGTAGCACGACCAGTACAGCAGCTCTGTTTAGGGGATCCGAGCAGTGGGGGCCTCCCCTGTAGCGGGAAGAGCCGCAGTGCAGCCCCTTCTGCATTTCTAGCGGCAAAGTTGCTGAAGTATGGAAGTTTCCAGGCACTCAAGCACTCGTTCACAACAACGAACATAATCACACTTGCACCCACCCACACTTCCGCCCTCGAACCTTGATCAACGCGACAATCAAATACCAAAAATAACCCTTCTTGACCTCAGAGCGCGAACGCCCGTGGACGACCGCCAAGATGGACTTCGCAGCCCTCATGTCCAAAGAGATTTCCAAAAAGAAACCCCCCCCAGAGCCGACCGACAAGTCCAGCAAGTACATACGCAAGGCCGACGCCGAAGCAGCCCGCCGCGAGGCCTACCTCGCCGAGCAGAAGCGCCTCGAGCAGGAGCGCCAGGCCAAGGCAGCCGCCAAGCGCAAGCGCGAGGAGGACGCGGCGGCCGAGACCAAGGCACGCGAGGAGAAGCGGCAGAGGCTGGCTGAGGAGTCGCGGCGGCGCAGGGAAGAGAGAGAAGCCGCCGAGGAGAGGGCGAGGCGGAAGAGGCTGGGTCTGCCGGAGATAGCGCCCACGGCTGAAGAGGACGAAGGGTCGCGGACGGGCGAAGGGGATGACGCGGACGGGATCCAAGATACACCGGAGGAGGTTATGGCCAAGCTGCGAGGCCTGGGCGAGCCGGCCACGTTGTTCGGCGAGAACCACGCCGCGAGGGCGAAGAGGCTGCGCCGGCTTACGAGGCCCATGACGCAGGGGCCCATCCCCACGACTCTGGAGCTCGTCGAGGAGAAGGACATGAGGGTGGCCGGCCTCCCGCCCGCGGACGACAAGGCTGGGCGGAGGTACCTCTTCCGGCAGCTGGGCTCCTACTTCACGATGGTCCTGCGCGAGTGGGAGGCTGCACTCGGCAGGGAGCAGCGAGGCGAGGATGGCGCCGACACTGGTGCGGCGCGGCAGGCGTACAACACGATGGTGCAGTGCAAGCAGGCCATGACGCCACTGTTCCGCAGGCTTGAGAGGGGCGACATCGACCAGATTGTGCTGGAGAGCATTGTGGCCATAGTGAGGGCGGCGCAGGACCGGCGGTATCTTGACGCGAACGATGAGTACCTGCGACTCAGCATCGGAAAGGCCGCCTGGCCCATCGGTGTGACCATGGTGGGTATCCACGAGCGAAGTGCGCGGGAGAAGCTGCATAGTGGTGAGAAGGGACATGTCATGGGTGACGAGGCCACCCGGAAGTATCTGCAGAGCATCAAACGGTGCTTGACGTTTGCACAGGTGAGGTGGCCCCCTGAGGATGTGAGGCAGCTCATGGGATAGGCGAGCATAAGTGATCAACCCAACAACATACAAGAATGCGAGCCGATAGCGTCGTAGCCAACACGGAACTCGAAGATTCATGATCTGCTTCATTATGTCCTTCCATTTAGCATGTAAAACCCCTCCTAGAGAAGAGAGCCCTATGACCCAAGTGCAAAATGCTTCTGTAAGAACTACCAACTCCCAACGCCTATGCACCTCCCGTCCAGTCGGGGTCTGTCATCACACGAAATAAACCCCGAATCTCCTCAAAGATGCGTCGCGTTGTCTAGTATCGGCATAGCCCCGTCCTTGCTAAGGCTATACCTAGATGGTATAGCCGCGTCGTCAGCTGGATTCATGAGGCCAGGCCCTCCTCGCTGTCTACCCTTGACTTCAAGGTTAGCGGAGAGAATTCCGATCCGACGGATACGGTCAACAGCATCCTTCTCGTAGCTTCTGGCAGCGTTCAGAGACTGAACTTGCATCTTGACCCGGGGGTTGGTAGTAGTAGTTGTCACGAGCTGAGAGGTCCCTTGTCAGCGCATAATCGACGATCTGAGGACTCTTGTTGTTGATCGCCGTACGTACCTTGTCGATAGAGTCGATGCGCGCCTCCAGACCGCCGTCTCGTATCATGTCTGCCAGCTCCTCTTCGATCGAGCCTCCAGGCGGCGCGAATGCCTCATTCATGCTGTCCAGAGTGACACAGGAAAAGGGCAGCAGAAAGTGGTGAATACACTTGCCGCGAATCCATCCGTACAGTTCGTCCAGGTGAGGTTGAAGGTAGATGTCGAGCAGGTAGTCCGGACGGTAGGACTCGAGTATCGCCAAGCAGGCCGAGTATCTGCCAGTGATGAACTGCGATATGGCTCGGCGAAGATGAGGTTCGAGTTCCAAGAACGCGCGGAACGAAGAGCTCTCGAGGAACTTGGTTAGCTCTTTGCGACTCATCGTCGCGAGAGCCAGCAGACCGCCGTAGACCGCGATGTCATTGAGGCTTGCATACTCATCATACACTTCTGGCTCGAGTATCGGGTCCACCTGGAAGAACTTTTGCGCAGCCTCCGTGTACTTGTACTGGCCTAGCAGAGCGATCCCGTACAAAGCGTTGCAGCGGGCCTGCATGGTCTTGCTGTTTGGCTCGGTCTGGAGGCCGCTGATCTTGTTCACATTGGCAATGACCATCGCCCAGTCGTGGCGATACACGGAGACCCGGGCCAGGTGGAATCCGACTTCGACAATGTGCTTTGTCGAGCTGACGTCGGATCGCATCTTCGCGTAGGCCTCATATGCCTGGTTCAGATCGCCCATGCTCTCATAGTGTCTTGCCAGGTCTTCGTTGCCCATCTGCACGACGTCAGTGACACCAGCTATACCCTAGGGGCTCAACTTATTGGCGTACCCGAATGCTCTCTTTGACAAGGTTGTTCTTGTACCCCTTCAGCTCGCTCTCGAGACGGGACAGCTCCGCCTGATTCGCCTTGTCCACTTTCTCTGCCCACTGCTTGTCGTAGTTGGCCTCGGCCTCGTTGGGCGCGAGAGTTCGAATCTCCTGTACGATGTTGCGGTAAAGCTCGACATCCTTTCCCTCTCCAACGATTTCTTGTACAGCGAGTTTGAGTGCGTCCACGGCTAGGACGGTCGAAGTACTTGCGATCAGGATGAGTCGGTACACACGAGTGCGGCCTGGTGCGCTAGAGTCAGCAACACCGAGGGTGGAGAGAAGGAACACAGACCGATATGGACCGACCTCTGTAGTTCTGTATGTAGGATTCCAGGTCGATCTTGGGAGCGTCTGCCAAAGCCAAAGTTAGTGAGCAAAATGCCCCTGCTTCCATCTCGAGATGATGCTGCTACCTCGAGCTGGGGCCGAGCTGACTCGAGATCGGCCTGCACAGGTCGAGGGTTGCTCAGCATTGAAGGGAACTTCAAATCAGAATACCTTACCTGTGACAATGATGTCGTCAGTCTGGACAAGCTGGGCCACCTGAGGCTGAGACTCATCGTCTGAGCTCGCCATGGTGAGTGTTCAATAACGCGCAAGGAGAAAAATCAATCGCGTCCTGGTTGCTTTGTGGGTGGCAGCGTGTTAGGTGTGATAAGCTTCAAGCAGTAGCAGTAGCAGCGGGTGTTGCACTTGATTCAGGCAGGCAGCACTGGGACCAGGGGGTTGCACGGGCCCTTTAGCGCGGGGTAATCCCACTGTGGGGTGGGTAAATAACTTTGGGGTAGAAGCAACTATGGGTGAGGAGGAATGGATAGGGCTGCTGTGGCATTGAGAGAACCCTGAAAGCGAGTCTTCAGTGTAGAATCCAATTAGCAGACATCCTCAAGGCTATCATCACCCTTCCTCTGTTGGCTCTGGCTGGCAACACTGAAAATAAGGTAACACCTTGGGCCATTAATGTGACCTTCTTCTTTTCTTTTGAATTCCTTCTAGCTGTGCTATATGCCCACTCCTGCCTCGCATATCATTAGTGCTCAACACTTGTCATCAAGTTCTGGCATCGACCCAGGCACATGATGCCACCGTGATATGGTGGCATTGTGGTGGGCTGTCAGTGCCTACCCAAACGCTTTTGCAATAAGCATATATGAACCGCTGCAGCCAGTCTGAGAGACTTCTCCTGATACCAACAAAGGTCCTTTCTGAGGGGGGGATGGGGACCTGTCTTCATTGGTCAGGGAAGGGAAGGTAGCTAGATTTCCAGCACATGTCCCGCAACAACTCCCAGACAAAACAGGGAAGTTAGAGTTCAAGAGGCTGTGTTTGAGGTACATCCCATAAGCACCCTTTGGTACGTCATCCCGCGACGGCAACGTGGGATAGGTCTTGGCATTGGGCTAAAAGCGCTAAGCAAATATTGGGAACCAGAGAGCTCAGGCCAGGCGCTATTGGGGAACATTCGTGCAGAGCAATCTCCTCCGGCCCACGAGAAGGTCAGTAGTCCACCTCAACACGACCAGGGATCAACGATAGGCGGACCGTCTCAGCTCTAGTTAGGGCCTAAGGAGAGGGAGGGCTGGTTAGGGATGGTCTGAAACTCTTCAAAGGGAATGATAGGATGGCGGACGCGCAACACGGCGGTAGGTAAATGGATGTCGTGCCATAAGAGAGGGCACTTGTCGAGCCCAGCAGCCATACCTGAAACCTCGGCACCTCCTCCTCTGGGACACGGTTACAATCATTCCGGACACTCTCTCCCAATCGTCCAAGGCCCCTGCGTACGGAGGGTGGATGAAGGCAGTTCGCCAGAGGAACGGTCTCTGATCGAACCCCAGGTGCCGTGCCAAGCCCGTGCCAAGACGGAGAAGCCAACGTCGTCTCTTGATTTCCCCGACCGAGGCATCGAGAAGACAAGGAGCCAAGAACGGGCCCAGGTGCCGACTTGGACCGGAAGAAACGCGTATGCTCGAGGCTGTGCATGCCCCTCAAAGCTGGCTGTGAACACATGCCAGCACAAGCACGGTAACTGATATTCGGGTCCTTGTCGTTCTCTGAACCCCGTAACCTAGTACAACCATATAACCCGGTATCGCCGAGCAAGACGCCGAGCACCATCACCTGAGTCAAGACAAGAGCGACGCTGGGAGAACAGCCGCGCTATTTGCAACCTCCACAGGTGTGCATATCTGTCTACATTAAGCAGGCGGAAGCATGACGCCCTTACAGGACGCGGCAATTGATTTATTGGCTCCACGTAAGATACGTTAGTGGTGATGGCTTGACTTTTTGGTAGTTGTGCGGCAGTGTAAAAAAAGAAAAAGCATGGTGATCGATGATCATGGTGTGGATTCACTCTCAATCATCTTCGACTCCTCCTCACCAACCCCCACGCCCCTGGCTGCATACGTTACTTTATACAGTACATACCATGTACATTGTGGTGGTACTATGGTCAATGGGGCAGCCTGCACACAGTCCCAAGCCTAAAACTGCGCATTCGTACCTCGCATCACACTGCAGTGCACCACACTAAACACAGCATGTCTGTGGGGGCGCTCCTCCCTCCATGGCGAGATTCCGTATGGGCATCGACATGCTCTCGTACATATTACAATGTTACCTTGGCCGCGGGGCTCCTTACGATTTACATTCTCGAAGAGTCCCCCAACCAGGAATGAGCCCTGTCTTGTGGTGGCTGTGCAGCGGGGATGCGACTTCCTTAGTCCCGAATTCGTTCGAGCCATCCGTAGCTCCGTACATAGTACTTGCTTCCATTTTCCCGTCCTTCTCTTGGTGTGCCCAAAGCGCGGAGCACATTATGGTGGTAGGTCGACACAACACGCCTCAGGTCCGTGGAGAATGTAGCAAGACCAGAAGAAGAAAAAAGGAGGGGGGTTAGGAGAAAGAGAGAAGGAAAGAAGAGATAAACAAGGACGTAGCCATCAATTCATTCATCCACTAGACAGTAGGTACCATACAAATAGGCTTCCATTACTGCATGGTACCGCTGTTTTATGAGGAAATGGGGGGGGGGGGAGTGGGTGGGAGGGAAGATGGGAAGGTACCACTCAATTAGTGGCAGCTGTCGGCTTCCTTTTTCCCACCGTAGCCACCCCCTTTCTTTTTCGTACTTTTTAGCTTCAACCTTTTTCCCTTAGTATGCATTAGCACCCATCATCTCATCGTCCCATTACCCGTCTGCCTATTACCCTTCTCCCACCCATCCAGTTGTTCATTGTCTATCGTACATTCCGTATTGACGGGCGGTCTGCGTATTCTCCTCGGAGCTTGCGCGTCCTCCTCCTGCGGGGTCAGCCAGCAGTATCCTCACCCCCCCCCCCCAAAAACGTCGTTCGTCTTTCTCCAGATTGGGGAGGGGGGTAAAGGCCTGATGCATTAGCCTGGCCTGCCCTTGTCTTCTCTCCCTCCACACCCTCTTGCATGATCCTGACACCCTGGTCTCTCTTGTTTCTTCTTTTTTTCTCTCTCTTCTTTCCAAGTTTGTCCTCCACAATTTTCACCTCCCATTTAGTCTCCACTCACTATTTCACCCACGGCCCTTTTGCGTGGTTCGTTGCCACTGATCCCTGTCTGGCCCTGAACCTTGTCAGCCCCATCAGGATCTCAACTGACGGCTTGGCATCGAACACCGGGCGTCGATCCATCTCTTGGCTACCCGCCCACCTCAAGAATATCATCGATATTACCTCAAGGAAACATGCACATTAGAGACCACAGCCTATCCAAATCCAGTCCGGGCAATTGCATGTTGCATATAGTGCCGTGCACCGCTGCCTCGTCATCATACAGCGCCATCTGAACGTCGACAGTGACGCCGCCGCCTCACCTAGCTAGCGACGTTTGCCCTCGTCTTTGAGCCGAGGTCTGCATGTCCCCTTCCCGCAAAGAAAATAGAGAACAACTCGCCCTCGGTCGTCCAACGCCCAGTTGTTGGCATTCCATTCCAGCCTTCCCTCGCCGTCTCCCTCGTAATTCTACATTGTACATGTATCCTGGCCTCGGTACCAGGGCCCACCTTTGCCTCAGATCTAAGAAACACCACCCTTGACCGCACCCCCTCTGTCCTGTGCCTGCCAACAGTCTCGCTCTTCCTGGCAGGAGATTTGCCAGGTGAGGGCGGTTAGTGGAGTCTTTTCTTGACCCAAAGCCTATCTCGTCAAGATCTCGTCGTCCCTCCTCGTCTTGTCTAGACCAGTCGCATCCCGTGCGCGCATTTCCGCTCCTTCCTTCCCTCCATCCATTCCCCTTCCTCTCTGTGCTTTTTTTCTTCTTTCCTCTTTTTCTCTCATTATATCTCGCCCCACGAAGCACCTAGCTAAGGACGGCTTGGAGTTCCAACCACACAACGGAAAAGAAAAGGAATTGTACGCCAGCACAACGATACATAGGACACAGAACGTATCAAAGTGTTTCTGTGTTTCCTCTTTTTTTCTCTCTTTCTCTTTTCTGCTTCTTCAAGGCATACTATAGCACACTCGGTCGCCTCATAGACTCTCTCATCTCCCTCCTTGGTAATCTCCACAGAGGTCGTGGAGGGCACTCCACCGTCCCGTGGCCTTGGGAGGTACATCCGAGTGTGACACCTCTGATTGAAGCATCAAAGGTACCCGCCCTCCTCACGAGACGTTCCCCAAGCCTGTCGGTTGTTACTGCTCCATTTTAGCTGCATGCCAAGCTTTTCACTAAAGTGTGCCATCGCAGCTCGTCTCCACACACTCACAGGCCCTCGCACGCACGCACACAACCACCCCCCGGCACCGAGGTGGCGTCCAAGCAAGCCCCTGGGCCCCTTACCCTTTCCTATGCCCTTTTCTTGTGGACCTTCAGGCGGTACCTAGAGAGAACTTGCTCGCTTCCGTTGGATATCTCCGTCTTTGAACTAAAGGGTCGTTGACCGCACACGAGTGTAAGGAATTCCTGTTGCTCCACAATCCACTCGCCGTCATTCCAAATATCATCTCGTCAGTCCCCCTCCTGCCCGTCCGCGCTGACCTCTCCTGATTCTCTCTCTTTCTCTCTTCCCAGCTAGCCATCTCTTTATCTCACTATCTATCTATCCCTCTGCCTTGCCGCACAGTGGTCTTTTGCAGACGCCATCAGGGCCCCGTATTTCTCTCAGCATAGGTGTGTGCGTTGCATGAACTGACGCTGAGCTCCATCGGCGTGCGGGCCCCACGTTTTATATCCGAGCCGGACGGCCACTCCTCGTTCGATGTGGACTTGCGACATCTTGATGTGAAATTTCCACACCAATCGTCATTTTGTTTCCCATTATTTCTCGTGTCAGCGTTATTATTTCTGCCCGCAAGACCCCCTCACGACATGCGCTGGGTCTTTAACTCAATTGAGAAGGGGAAACAAGAAGTAGTTGGGACAGGCTGATCTCAAACCACCGCAAGAGAGAGAGGGAGGGAGAGACGGAAATAGAGAAAAACTGCAGTGTTGTTTGTGGCCGAAACGTTTCGAGTAGATGGCGGTGGCGCAATCTCCTGGTCCGGCATTTTGTCCTTCTGCTGGTCTGCCGGGCCAAAAATCTGACGGAATCATGGACTCTGGAGCCACTGGTGTTTCTTCCGACTTGATGGATCCAGACCTATCTCCAGAGCCTGGCTCCGAGAATGAACTATCAGGCGTCGGCTCGGAGCCGCACGACGAGCAGCAGTCCCCTGACGATAGTACGGGGCCCGGCTCAGTCAAAACAGAAGCAGGTGGTGAGGACTTCGCACACTTAAGTCAGGCACCGCCGATGCCTGTGCAGAAGCGCAGACGGGTTACACGCGCCTGTGACGAGTGTCGGCGGAAGAAGATCAAGTGCGACGGCAAGCAGCCTTGCACGCACTGCTCGGTGTACAGCTATGGTAAATCACGAATCCCGAGTGTCGGTTCTTGGGAGGTCGCGCTGACAGATTCACTTGTGTTCTTTTGTGACAGAATGCACATATGACAAGCCTTCCAACAGGAGACGCAACCCGGCACCACAGTATATCGAGGCATTGGAGAGCAAGTTAGCCCGCGCTGAGGCTTTGCTCCGGAAGTTCGCCCCAGGTGTTGATCTGAATGATCCGGAGCTGGACCCTCTTACCCAGCAGGAATTCCAGAATCGAGAGCGTCAGAAGTTACAGGCTAGTAAATCGAAGCGGCAAGAGACAAAAATGATCGAGCAGGACGACGCGCAGATCACATCAATGATTGAGACCATTGGTCAGTTGGACCTGGACGAACGCGGCTGGGACTTTCGCGGCACCTCGTCTGGAGCCGTGTTTCTTGGCCGGATGAAGGAGCACTTGGGAGGCCTTCTCGGCTACGACTCGCAAAATACGTTTCTCCCCCGACCTAGCAGGATACCAGGCCTGACGAAGCTTGACTCTCCCTTATCGGCCGCTGGTTCCTCCCCGGGGGATGTCAATGTTACGAATGTCTACGATCTACCGCCACAGTCGAGGGCAAGACGGCTGAGTTCCTGTGCCCTGACATGTGCGACGGCCCTCCTGCGCATCGTCCACGTGCCCTCTTTCCTCGAAAAGCTTGGGATGATCTACGAGAAACCGGCAGAAACCTTTGACACGGAGGACAACAGGTTCTTGGGACTTTTCTATGCAGTACTAGCAGTTGGTTCAATGTGCAACATTACTGAGGAGGATATCGACGGCAACAAGACATACAAACATGCTTTCGAGGAAGGGTAAGTCGTCCCCAAGTACGTTAAGTTTGAGTCTAGTGTTGACTAGTATCTTCAGGGTGAAATATTACACCTGCGCTAGGATACTACTGCAGGACGTTACAGAGTGTCGGGACTTGACTACGCTACAAGCCCTTCTATTCTTGATCCTGTTCCTTCAGGCTACTTCCAACCTTAGCGGCTGTTATGCCTTTCTCGGTATCGCTTCGAGAGCTGCTATCAGGATGGGCCTGCATAGACATCTCCCGCAGGCCAACTTCACACCTCTGGTCACTGAGCTGAGGAGACGCGTTTTCTATTTCATCCGGCAGATGGATATTTACTGCTCGTGAGTACTGATGCTCTGATCTTGTTTCCTTCTGCAACACCATTGCAATGCGGCTTTCATCTGTACATGCCTTGTTTGCAGCTCTGGAAGCAGGGGAGAGAGGTTGCTGACTGACCCCTTGTAGGGCACTCCTCGGCTTTCCCATACTTCCGTATGACGACGATATCGATCAACAATTTCCGACTGAAATTGATGATGAGTACATCACTCCTGAAGGGATTCAGACACCACCTCCAGGAGCGCCCGGCTCATTCTTCCAGGCTTTCAATGCCCACTCAAGACTAATGAAGATCCTGATGAAAGTGGTCAAGTATATTTACCCTCTCAAAGGCGTTGAGCAGTGTGCGACAAACCCGTCTGGGTCACCGCACGCAACATATACGATCGACTACTCCCGCATCAAAGAAATAGAAGGTGATCTGCAAGTGTGGCACGAACAGCTACCCCGGAGATGGCGTCCTAGTTCAGAAGGGTCTATGGAAGAGATACGGTAAGGCCAGCAGAATGGCATCTTCGCGCTTGAATTTCCCATTCCACAACTCTACAGAACACGCAAGGCTGATGTTCATCTTGCTCACTTAGTGTGCGGACACTGCTACGATTTGCCTACGCACAGGTTCAGATGATGTTGTATAGACCGTTCCTTCATTACATCTCTCCACGCTTGTGGGCTGGTAGGGTTGTCGACGAGCGGTACTATGCTTGTGCTGCAGCTGGCATCAGCGTATCGAGAAACATCATACACATCGCAATGGAGATCAAGGACCAGAATCTGGTCGTCGGACCGTTCTGGTCGATGCTGTATACGCAGTTTTTTGCCATCCTGACCCTGGTCTTCTACGTTTTGGAAAACCCGGAGAAGCAGGGCTCAGCAGAAATCTACGGCGACGCGAAGGCCGGCCGGGAAATGATCGGAAGGATGGCCTCCAAAAGCTTCGCGGCAGACAGGATCACGAAATCCCTGGACACGCTCTGGGAAAATCTACCAGAGGCAATCAAGAGCGGCAAGACACGGTCCTTGCCCTCCAGGAAGCGGTCAGCCCCTGGAACGAAATCAGGCGTAGTACCACTATCAACTCATAAAGCACCCGGCCCATCAGCCAAGATTTCCAGTGCAGCCTCCCGGAAGTTACTCACACAGAGATCACCCTCCGACAAGGCGCATCTGAGATCGTCTCAAGCCGCACTTCCGATGACTTTTCCTGACCTGCACACTCTGGACGTCTCATCGACGGTGACTTCAGACACGAGCGGCATCAGCCCATCCACTGCGCATTCCTCGAGCCAGTATCTACGCAGTAGTCAGGCAGCGGAAAGCCCTAGCGTATACAAACTGGATGCGCTGATGTTCCCGTCTGGCGATCCGTTTGCCTATCCCAATCAGCCTCTGGTCGACTTCGGTGAAGCTGTGGCAACGCATGCTGAGTCGAACCCTTCTCACATCTCCAATGTGCCAAGTCACACAAGCGACCCTAGAAATTTCTACATGTCAGGGCTCTACGGGGGAGATATTGAGGGGCAGCTAAGTGAGTACCCGTCAGATTTGAACAAGCAGACTCTCCTTTCGTGCTAACATATGCGCCTTGTAGTGGGACCTCTACCCCCATACCTGATACACTCCACCCCAAGCCAGAATGGTTTGGGCTTGTCTGGGCAAATGTATCAGTCGCCGAGTTCAATGACGATGCAGCAGGGCCAGGCTCATCCCACAGGGCATGGACACCACCAGCACCATTTGCAGGCGCATCACCACAGGACAGGAAGAGAAGTGGATGATATGATGACGGACTCTGGTTTCAACAGAGATTGGGACATTTTCGGGGGGCATTTCAAGCCGCTCTAACTGCAGGGCGCCTAAGGTCTGCTTGTTCGAGGCATGCCTCGGCCGTCAAGGTTTAGATTTATCGAACGGGACGAAAAAGTATTCGGATCGATGCCCTGAGGGGCAGGGACACACACACACACACGCACACACACACTTTTGATGAGGCGCAAGGGAAGAAAGGACCACGGGCTACCAACCTTCCAGTCCAATGGCGTTGACGGTCATGTATCGGGCGTTGCTTGCTCTTTTGGAGAACACTCAGATTTTGGACCAGGCTTGCTGCTATCCAAGCTTTAGCCCACATGAAATATGTACGACAAAGGGACGATCGTGTATAAATACCATGTATCCATATGAACGCGGACACCAATCTTTCCTCTCTCTTGGCGGCAAAATCTTAGAGTGGCTGGATGTCATCATTGCAATGGAGTAGCAACGAGGCTCATTCGTTCGAAGGCCTGCACAGGGTTCAATGAATTTTATTTTAGAGGAGAAATCTCATATTTACCTGCTCAGACTCTCTGCTCGCATAATGACTGTTCAAAAGTGCAGGGTGTCAAAAGGCAAACTTATGTTGTGCTTGAAGAAGACCAAACTAAGTTTGCGTACCCGGGCTCAGGTAGCCTGAGCAAGCCCGGAGGCGCCGGCCCGCCCAACAGCAAAGTTCCGGCCTCTCAGCACATCTACGTTTTGTGATACACAGTGGCTTCGTTATCTACTCCTCTGTGCCTGCAGCGGGCGTAGTTGTTTTTTTATCTTTTCTAGAAGCGCCCTGTGGAAAGGGCGGTTGGGGAAATGATCGATACCAGCTTGATGCACATGGGCAAAGGGAGGTTTCAGCCCACGAGCGGCGGGTTCGTCCCAACCTTGTTTGAGAAGAGGTCTGCCCCCCTTTCCACTGCCGCCGACGCCGCGTTTCTGACAACGTCGATCCAAACACCGGCCGGGTGGCAAGCCAACAAGAAACGGATGGCTGCCTTAGGTTGTGGGGAATCTTTAAGAAAGGGGAGGGGTGTTTATGCAGGATTTACCTTCCCAAAGTCAGGCAGAGGGCGGCAACTCTTCTAGGTCGATTTTGTTCCAGATCAAAGGAAGGACTATATATCCAGGTGCTTATAGGAGTACCTCTTCAATCGAAAGTATTGAATTTTGCCCCAGTATATAATTGAGTACTTACTTAGTAGTCTTAAATTTCTTATACCTACATTGCCCAGGGTTTCAAGAGGAGCATGCACTTAATGAGTGGAGTCTACACATGTACTCGTAGGTACTTGCTTCAGGTAGCCATCACGCCTCATTGGCACCTTTAAGCCTGTGGCCAGAATTCTGGCCACCTTCTGAGCTGCTGAGCCACCAGGAGAGTTTTTGTGTCTGGAAGGAGGGGGCAACATTGTGCCAGTGGCTGTGCCCCCTGTTTGTTCCATATGTCGTGAACCCATTCCCCCCCCCCCCAAATCCTCTTTGTATGTCGGCTGTCAAATGAGTCTGGGAACGACTGGTGCAGCTTGGTGCAGCACGAATTGAAGCACAAAACTGATGGTGTATCAATCAAAACATGATGCATTGTGCCGAGTCTGGAGGCGAATTTGTTAGACTAAGCCACTTTCGAGGCATGGGAGCTACAAAAAAGAGTGGAGGTGGATGGGTTGGTTTGGCCTAATTGGGTAGACATAACAGAGGAGGAGGGCATCTTGGGAGACAAATGAATGACAATAACGTTGTGATTGTATTTTTATAAGTGTTGTGAACAATGAGAAACATTATTGAAGTAGTGAAAATCGCTGTCATCAGATGCAAGCCGATTCTGAAGGGAAAGAAGAGAAAGGAAATGTCCCTGTACAGGGCGTGGGAAGAGAACACAATTGCAGACTGGCTGCCCCTCCATAGAGAGCCGGCGCCCTGCCCCTCATGGCCAGTGCTTACTGCTGGTAGCACCAGCACCCCTCCGCCCGCTGGAGCAGCCCCTGTCAATAATTGGCCCAGATGGCATGATTGGGAAGGTGTTGACCCCATCTTCCCCCCACTCTTCATTGGTTGGGAGCTACTGGGGCTTGTGCTCCTCGCTCCTTTTCAGAAGCCTCTTCCCGCCTTTTCTCCTCTCGAGGAACAATTGTTCTTTCGCATCATCAACCTCCTCCGGACCGGCTGTTGTTGCTTGCAATACCTTAGGGGGATACCTCCTTTTTTTCCTTCCCACGGCTGTTTCCTTTTCTCTCTCCTATCTCGTTGTTTTCTGCTCTGCCAGTCTATCTGCTCTGCTTTTTTTCTTCTCTTCCTTCCCGTCTCTCCTCTACTGCTCTCGTCTCGTCCATCTCCTCTCGTCTCCTCAGTTCGTCTCGATCTGCGTATCCATCTCCGTCTTCAGCTGCTTCCGCTGCTTCTCCCCCGTCATTACTGCTCTCTCTCTCTCTCTCGATTGCGACTACAATATCTTTCCGAATCCTCTTCGAGCGTCGGGATTCCTCTTGTACACTTCTCGCATATTCTGCCAGCTTCTCGTCGTCCGTGTGCGAAGACTTTCCCTTACGTCGACTGAGCACCTCTCTGCTGCTTCTTTGGCTGTTGGAAAGCTCCCCCGCCTGGCTCCGACATATTATTTTACATACAACACCACCTTGCGACTGCACTGCACTGAGGAGACCTTTGGTGGCTATATATCACAACAAAGGAGCTCTTGGAAGACTAGTTGTCCCAGTCAAGAAGAACCTGGCAAGGACTATAAGCGCAGCAGGAACCAAGATTGAACCCTATACACCACAGTATAGGAATTGAGCTGCTGCTGAGGACTATCAGAACTGATAGATCCCCACAAGTTGCACCTGGTGGTACACTTCTCTATTGTCAAGTTTGTGTAGACCAAGAGATTTTTTCTTCTCTTCTGCAGCTTGCCCCCGCTTCCCAATCCTTCCTCCTTTTTCATACAGCTCAAGCTGCTTACCACAGAAGGGCACAATTTACTTTGTACCCCTCTTCTTGGACTTGAGCTTTTCAACCATCCGCCATAACCGCCAACAACCAAACAACTCGAAGTCAGTCTACATCGTAACAACAACTTGCCCAACATGGCAGACAATGGTGCCCCCGGAAACCAGCTCCCACCGCCTCCCCAGTCTAATGCTGGAGCGCCAGGCTACGAGAACGGCCAGAACGGCTCCTCGAACGCCCACATGCCTCCCCCACCGCTCCATATCCCTCCCAACACGAACCCGATCCCGACCGCCGTTACCTCGCCCATGTCTGGCGACCAGCTCATGTCTCCCCCTAGCGGTGGGCCCTTTCCCCGACGTGCGGCGCCCGAGCCTAACAAGCGAGCCTTGTATGTCGGTGGTTTGGACCCTCGTGTCACCGAGGATGTACTGCGCCAGATCTTTGAGACAACTGGGCACGTCCAAAACGTCAAGATCATTCCTGACAAGAATGTAAGTAGCACTGACATTCCCACTAGCCTGGGCCTGTGCGTATATAGCCCACTGACACGTGATGCTCTCCTGTCTAGGCCAAGGGTTTCAACTACGGCTTCGTTGAGTACGATGATCCTGGCGCAGCCGAGCGTGCCATGCAGACCCTGAACGGTCGTCGCGTCCACCAGCTGGTACGTCCGCTCCGAGACATGAACACCCTGAACCTAAACCGAGAGGCTGACAACAAAATTTTGTACAGGAGATTCGCGTGAACTGGGCTTATCAGTCCAACACGACGAGCAAGGAGGACACATCGAACCACTTCCACATCTTTGTGGGTGATTTGTCGAACGAGGTCAACGATGAGGTCTTGTTGCAGGCTTTCTCCGCATTCGGCTCAGTTTCTGAGGCCCGTGTTATGTGGGACATGAAGACTGGCCGCTCTCGAGGATATGGCTTTGTCGCCTTCCGTGACCGGCCCGAGGCTGAGAAGGCTTTGAGCTCTATGGACGGCGAGTGGCTGGGCTCGCGTGCGATCCGCTGCAACTGGGCCAACCAGAAGGGCCAGCCCTCAATCGCCCAGCAGCAGGCCATGCAGGCCATGGGCATGACCCCCACGACGCCTTACGGTCATCACCACTTCCCCACCCATGGCGTCCACAGCTATGACATGATCGTCGGCCAGACCCCCGCCTGGCAGACCACCTGCTATGTTGGCAACCTGACGCCATACACGACCCAGAACGACCTCGTCCCCCTCTTCTCCAACTTTGGGTTTGTGGTTGAGTCGCGTTTCCAGGCCGACCGCGGGTTCGCCTTCATCAAGATGGACACGCACGAGAATGCCGCCATGGCCATCTGCCAGCTCAATGGTTATAATGTCAACGGCCGGCCGCTGAAGTGCAGCGTAAGTTGTCTTCCCGAGTTTGTGAAAGGGAGACGTCCGAGGAAACTAACACTGTGCAGTGGGGCAAGGACAAGACTCCTAACTCGCAGGGCGGCTTCGACCCCAACCAGGCCTACAGCCCGCAGAGCGCTCAGGCTCCTGGTTTCCCTGGCACTCCCAGCACCTATTTCCCCCAGTACAGTGGTAGGTGATTGAGTGTCCCCTTCCTGCGCATATCCGTCCTTACTAACACCACGTAGCTGGACAGTACGGACAGCAGGGCAATTTCGGCGGTCCGAATGCCCAGTCTCCTGCGGGCTACGGTCCCCAGATGGGCTTCAACGGTCCCCCAAGTGCCGGTGGCGGCGGCGGCTATGGACGAGGCCAGCAGCAAGCCCCCAACGCCCAGTGGACTCCTCAGGCTCCCAGCGCTGGCTACGGCGGATACCAGGGCTGATTTGCAACACACCCTCTCAGCACCACCTTGACTTTGCAACAATGTTCCGCCTGCATTTGAAATTCTTTACCAGTCTTAACCTAGTGCTCTTGTCGGCAATGGCGCCATAGCGAACGGTGCTTGTATAGACGTGTACGTCTATTAGGCTTCTCTCTTGACAGTGTTGACAATTTTTCATTCACTTTCCATGATCGAATGGTGGATTCCGGATATGGGGTCATTCCTTTTGATCGAATGTCCTCATGTACATTCCCACCCACCCACATTTCTTACCCATTCGTGTTTTTCAACTGTTTCCCCCTTTCCCCTATTCTTATTCAAGGACGCCGTTTTTGATGTCGTCTGCACGGGACCGGAAAACCTGTTGGGATGTGTATTCGTGTTTTTCTTGCGCGCGCTGGATATCTTACCACCTTTCGCATTGCTGAGTGTTGTCAGGCTGGACTTCAGTCCTGACTTTGGCTGGGAAACCGGCGAGAATGGGACTTTGCGCGTTCAAATGCGATACATAATGTATGGGATGACTTGACGAATTTCTACTTCTCGTTCACTGCGAAATCGTATTTTCCGATTCTTTTGTTTTTGGGTGGAAGGGGGAGGAGACAAGGACTATGCTGCCTGGCGCACAGCACAGCAGAGAGAATTTGCATGATCAGATTTCCCCAGCTTTGAGATTTTTGGTGGAGGGAGGGAAGACAAACGGCATAGGCAGCCTTGCAGCGAAATTGCTCATGAGGGTGGTGGTGTGATGTATGAGGGGAGGGACTGGTACAGATGATGGTGGTACGAGAGTGAAATTGATATCCGGTTCCTGGCCGTCCAGGAACTTTTGGGCTTCCCACCCCGTACATGTCTGTCTCGAGTTGACTCGTCGCTTGTGACCGAATGTGACGGCGTGCGGAGGATTTCACAGGAACGGGTCCCAGTGCAGTCCTGAATACTTAATAACTTACGTCATACTGCTCTCATGGCGACTGCAGTTTTGATCCCCTTTCCAAAGTTCCTATGACTTACAATTTCAAGACAACGTTATGCAAAAGAATGAAGAAGCCGAACAAGAAAGAAGCTGGCGATCGCAAGGCTCCAAAGTGCCGACGCGCGCACGACTACGAATTGTGAAGTGACACACTAAAAATGTTGCGGAGTAGCTCCTAGCGTTACCGTGTGATATGGAGCAGACCTACTACGTCGTAGTTGGGTGTTATAGGGGATTCAGCGATCGTCGTTAGTGCCCAACCGCTCCCAGCCCAGCAGGACACGGTCGCCCAGTGGGCCCCCCGGTCCCTGGCTCACTGAGCTGTGTGATGCGTGCGTACGTGCGTGCGTACGTGAGCTTTGTTCAAACCCAACCACCCAGGGAGTCCATACAGCATAGCATTGCCGAAGGTAACTGAAGGAAAGGGCAGGACGAGAGTGTTGGGGGGAAGGAGGAGGAGGAGAAGAAATTAGAGAAATGAAGCAAAACAGAGTAAAAGAAGAGATAAAGAAAGAAAGAAAAGAAAGAGAAAAGAACTAGGAATTTTGTTCGGTTCCATGGCAAGCGGTCTGCTTAATCTTGGTAGCGTGCCTGCCATTCCTCGTTCTCGTCTCATCGACGAGAACAGACAAGCAGAGACGACGGAAGCATTGAAACGCCGGGATCAGAGCAGAGTCTGCCCTGACCACTTCAGACAATCAATCCAACCCCCCCTCGTCCCTCTCCTCCCTCTCTCACTCAGACACACTCTCTCGTTGCATTCCCACCCACCCTATACCACCTTGGAACATCGTCACTGGTCTGTACCCGTCACACCGAAACCCCTGTGGCGTTTTACCTGCGGTCCGTTGCATACTCATTTCATTTTTCCATCCTCATGGTAAATTCCTAGATCAACGGGACGCAGGAGTTTTCTTCCGACATCACCTGGGCTATTTGTGCCCAATCGAGATTGACGGTGCTGGTCCTGTTGCCTCTTGGTCTATTGGTAGGATTCAGGACGAGCCAGTTTGTGTTCGATTGTGCTCAGTGCACGGAGGCCTTAACCAAGGCGCTGTCCACCCGGCCCCCTCCCCCCACCCCTCTCTCTCTCGGGCCTCTTTGCCCAGCTCTTGGTCTCCTTGGGCCTCCCCCCTCCCTCCTCGGACAAACCAGCCCACTTTTCCATCCGCCTAACTCAGCGTGCCCTTGGGTGCAGTCAGCAACGACATTTCCGTCGCTGCCCACCCACCCTGCAGTGTTGCTGCTTACAGGGTCTGGATCCTGGACGCTTCGATTCCTCTACCTGCTTCCAGGTTTCCTGGACAAAAAGAGAGACACAGAGAGAGGGAGAGCTTGCTTCGTTACCCCCCCCCCCCTTCTCCAAGGGTTCCGTTGTGAGCCACCAGACGAGACGAAGCGACGATCCTCTCCCTCAGACCTACCTAGACACACGTCGACGCCCACACCCCCTCGCCTCTCATTGCTCTTTTGTTGTCGGTCGTGCTGCGACGTCAATTCGATAGCAATTGTGACGTCCCACGTAATCGACAACCACAGCAGCCATGGATCCGTGGGGCAGCCCAGCCTACCACGATGCCGCCGGTGCGTCGAGAAGGTACAATGGCAATAGCCAGATGAGTCCGAGGGACTACTCGGGCCAGCAAGGCCAAGCGCCAGCAGGATTCAAGTACGACCAATACCCTGGAGGTCTCAGTTCGCATGCCTCCCCCAACCCGGCCACCTCCCCCATCACCACGCCGCAGCTTCGCGATAACAACGGTGATGTCGCCATGGCTGACGCAAACGACCCATACGCAAGCATGAAGTACCCCATGCGTCCTCATCATTCGCAGCACGCCTCCTCCAGCAGCCGCTCGTCCGCACTGCACTCCCCCCCAGAGCCCTCCGCCGCTGCCCAGCGGTACTCGCCGATGGAGGTCCTGTCACCCACCTCGCCCTACGCGAAAGCAGGCGCCAGCCAGTTTTCCGCTCCTCCGACAACGCGCCAGTCGCCTGCCAGGGCCGCCGACTTCCAGTCACCGCAGAGCCCCTACTACCCAAACAGTCGGACGACCTCAGCGCAGCAGCTGCCGACCATGGCCTCCATGCCCGCTGGAGCTGATTCGCATTATCCATACGGCGGCGTTCTGAGTCCCGTCGGCAGGAACGACGCCTGGCAGAACGACCCGACCTCTCCCAGGAGGCTCGCAGCGGGCCCGCTGGTGAACAAGGGCCCGGTGCCCGAGTTCAGGAAGATACGGACGGCGCAGGACCTGCGGCCCAAGGTCAACGCGCAGCCTGCATTCCGCCGAGCAAATCCAGAGGGCGGATTTATCAGTGTCCGTTTGTCCAGCGTCCCCTTGAGCTTCGTCCACCGCTAACGCCCCGGCCACAGCCCCTTCAAGCCTTGACTGTTCACCTGCCGTCGACGTACCGCATCTGCAACCCGAGCTTCAAGTACGAGTCATCGCGGAACCCGAGACGAGTCCTCACGAAGCCCAGCAAGGGTTGCAAGAACGATGGCTACGATAACGAGGACAGTGACTACATTCTGTATGTGAACGACATACTCGGGTCGGAAGAGGCTGGACACAAGTGAGTACACACCCCAGCCGACGCAGCACCTGGAGGGGCACGGGGAAGCTGAACAGTTTGCGCAGGAATCGCTATTTGATCTTGGACGTACTAGGCCAGGGCACCTTTGGTCAAGTCGTCAAGTGTCAGAACCTGAAGACACAGGAAGTCGTCGCAGTCAAGGTCATCAAGAACCGCACCGCCTACTTCAATCAGAGCATGATGGAGGTCTCGGTCCTGGATTTGGTACGTTCGCTGCAAGGAAACTGTATGTGTGTTGTAGTAAGTAAGGACGCGTTGCTGACGATTGACAGCTCAACACCAAGCTGGACAAGAACGACGACCATCACCTGCTGAGGCTCAAGGACACCTTCATACACAGGCAACACTTGTGCTTGGTCTTCGAGCTCCTCAGTGTGAACCTGTACGAGCTGATCAAGCAGAACCAGTTCCGGGGTCTTAGCACCACGCTGGTCCGGGTTTTCGCCCAACAGCTCCTGAACGGACTGGCTCTCCTCAACAAGGCTCGGCTCATACATTGCGACTTGAAGCCTGAGAACATCCTCCTCAAGAATCTTGAAAGTCCAATCATCAAGATCATCGACTTTGGATCGGCATGTGACGAGCGACAGACGGTGTACACATACATCCAATCGAGGTTCTACCGGTCACCCGAGGTGTTGCTGGGCCTACCCTACTCCTCGGCCATAGATATGTGGTCTCTTGGATGCATTGTGGTCGAGCTCTTCCTCGGACTGCCCCTCTTCCCCGGCTCGTCTGAGTACAACCAGGTCTCCCGCATCGTTGAGATGCTGGGCAATCCTCCAAACTGGATGATCGAGATGGGCAAGCAAGCCGGCGAGTTCTTCGACAAGAAGGCAGACGAGTTTGGCCGTCGAACCTATCAACTGAAGAGTATGGAGCAGTACTCGCGCGAGCACGGCACCAAGGAGCAACCCAGCAAGAAGTACTTCCAGGCCGACAACCTGCCGGAGATCATCAAGTCGTATCCTATGCCAAGGAAGAATATGAAGCAGAGTGAGGTTGACCGAGGTATGTAGCCACACTCTGATAAGACCGCAACTGGACGGCCCCACTAACCTTCAGCAGAAATGCAAAACAGACTTGCCTTCATCGACTTCGTGAGAGGTCTTCTCACCATCAATCCGCTTGAGCGGTGGTCGCCACAGCAAGCGAAGCTGCATCCATTCATCACCCAGACCAAGTTCACTGGGCCGTTCGTTCCGCCGATGAATCTCAAGGCTAGCTCACTCAACAGGTCGCCTGCGCCCGGCACGCAACAGCAACAGCAAGCAGAGGCAATCAGCAAGCAGAGAGCGCAGCAGGCGCAGGCACAGGCCACCTCCGCCGCCCAGAGCGCCTACACCATGGCGAACTCTCAATACCAGTCACCCAGCCATGCACCCTCGGCATACGGGGGCGGCATGTATCCGTCCAATGGAGCCATCCAAGCAACTGGGGCCCCGCCGCCATATGCCGCGCAGTACGCGGGAGCATCTGCGCAGATGCCGCCAGCGAACTACGGAGCGGTCGCTCAGCAGCCCGGCATGTACCAACAGTCGGCGAGGCGGCCGAGGGCTTCGACCATGGAGCAGCAACAGAGTGGCATTCCGGCAGCGATACAGCGCGTTGCGAGCCACCTTGATCCGAACGCGCCCATTCGACTACAGCCCAGCCCAGCGTACTACCCGCCACCCCCAGACGGCGTTGGCCTGGTCGACCAGGCTGCTGGACGATCCAACGGGCGGAGAGGCAGTCAGCAGGCAGGCCGCGGCCGGAGCAACCGTGACTTCATCCGAAACCTCGAGGAGCGGACACTTGAGGAGGGCTTTGGCCAGAACAACCACTGGGGTCACTAAAGGCGATTGGCGACACCATGATACGGCCGTGCAGCTTCAACCAGTCAGTGCAGCTTTTACAAACACAGGGCACGAACTACGAGTAAGCTGGATGTTCCTAAAGCTACTTTTGCGGAGACTGGCAGACCGCAATGCCAATTTGTCACCGTGCTCATTGGTCGTGTGTACGAGGGGATGATCGCAGGGCAGAACATAATCTGTGGGGCAAGGCTCGATGTCACAACCCTACTCGACACCCTAGAGCGGACTCGGAACATGGTCCACATCCGTGACCTCAAACCCGATCGAGTTTACGATCCTTGCCAGGCTGGCTGCTCTGGACCTCGGTTGTACCTCAAGGACAGCCGAGTCCAAAAGGCAAGGCGGACAATAGATTGAGGGAAGCAAGCAGAGCTCTTCTTACGGAGAGGAGAGTGGGGGCCAAGCTGGCTGAGAAAACTCTATTCATACACATCGGGGCGGGCAAGGAAGGAAGAGCCTCGGCTGTTCGTCGCTTGCACACCTTAGTTGTCTTTTTTATGTCTTGACTTGCAAATTTATTTCCTGGCCTGGTCACCAATCCATACGCGGCGCATGGTGGTTGCTGATATGATATACGATTATGCCAAGAGGGATCGTGACCAGGGCGTTTCGTTTTAATCTGGTTTGGCTGTTGGAGGGGTTTGACGATGGCGATGGTGGTAGCAAGTCCTGCCTGGTCTAACGATGCCTCTGAAGCCAAGTGAATCAAGAAAGCATGCATAGCTATGGAATTTTCTTTCTCCCCCTCACCCCCTTTTTTTTTCTTTCTGCATTTGTCGTTCTTAAGAATTGCATTAAAGACAGAATTTTCTTGCTGGATGTCCTGATTTCCCTGCACATTGGTCTCGAAATGCCTCTGCACTTGTTATATTGGCTTGCTGATATATGAAGGGCATTCAGATCAGGGCTCGTCCTCTTCGGAATGACTTACACCCCGAGAATTGCCGCCGACACATATCTTGCGTAGCACTGACAAGTGTTCAGGGCGCACACTCGAGGAGGAGACTAAGGAACAAAGGCTTTGCTTGACTCTCAGTTCAGATACGACGGTGGGATGGACGGAAGACACGAAGCCCCCACTACGACAAAGCGGCTTTTTTTTCTCTTTCTTTTTCCGTGGGCTGAAATGAACCCAGCAACGTCAAGGCCAAGAGGTGATCTGGGCGTGGATGTGTGGGTGTGTGTTGTAACCCTCAGCTGTGAGATTTTTGGAGAGGAGAATCGTCGTTTTACTCTGTATGTACTGAAGAAACAAACAATGTGGTCCAGAGCTCGCCATCGCCGCCACCACCACCATCATGTCTCGAGACGATTGGACTCGTCCCCAGCTGATGTGTCACTCACCGTTCTTCAGCTCGGCTGCGGGCGCCGAGCGAAGTGGTTGTTATTGTGTGTCTTGTCTTCCTATAACGTGTGATTGGTACGGGGCGGCGAGACATCTCGTGTTGAATGTATCACCATCCCGACCAGGCTGGCTACAGTGTTCACATGGCAAGGCGCAAGGAGAGAAGGGGTGGGGTAGGAATGAATCACTCAGCCTCGTACCAAAGTGGGTGTGATCGCCACGCGGAAAGGAGGTGCGTGCAGTTGATATTAAGTGTGGTGAAGGCATTCTGACTGTTCTGTGTGGAAACGTTACGCATGTGAACTACCCTATTAAAATTGAGGACTTGATGTTGGTATAATCTCAATTGGAGAGTAGAGGGAGAGAGGAGAGTTGCCACCACCCAATCACTAAACTTGTGCTGAACCGGTTGAGTTACCGATAGGCTGGGTGTCACCGCGAGAGAAGCTAAGGGGTGCGCGAGGGTCTAATTATAGCGCCTCCCCACCACCAGCAGCTGCTACCCCAAGGCGTGCTCAGAATTCTGGCAGAGGGCACGCTGCACACATTGCATACTATACCAGCTAGTAGTAGCACATTAAACCCACGCGGCTGACACGGGTGGGACCCCCCCCCCCCCAGGCAGATAGCTCTGGTCTGCTGTGAATTCTGCTAAAGCTTGCGTGCCTCGGCCGTCAGCAGCAAATGAATAGGCTTACTACATCGTCGCCTACAGGAAGGCCACGGAAATGCTTGCTGTGTGCAGATAGGGGTCGGTCTGACTTTGCCCCCCCCCCCCAAAGCTCTTTTGGAAGGATGCAGAGACGGTCAGCAAGGAGAATTGTTCCAAGTTTTTTCTTTTCCTGCCAGTGTCCTCCTGCTACATGGAGCTTATGGAAACCCCCCCCCCCCCAATATGCATGCATGCATGCACCAACCTATGCAACGATACAGCAGCAGTCTGTTGCTTGTGTGTACTAATCTACTACGTAGTGTGCTATAGTAAACTACAGCGCTGCCCTCTCTCGGGGGTGGGGAGCTTGGGTGGACACCAGGCTCGGTGTCGCTTAGGGCTTAGGCTACAAGCGTCAAATCTGACGAGTTGCTGCTCACTACACAATTGTGCGTGCTCCTTTACGTACTTTTGTAGAGAAGGTCGATTGGGAATATAGAGGATGGAGTCAATGAGAGGAATGTATCGACGAGGACGGGAATGAGAGGAAACGCAGGAGAACTGGCAATTTTTCGCATGCTGTAGTACTACACAAGTAAGTGTAAGTGATGCTGTAGACATACTGTTATGGCGGTGGTATTCCTATGGCACAACAGTAATCCAGATTCGGGGATGACAGGGGATTCCTAGATGAGTTAAAATTGACGTTGATCCCTCTGAATCCCACTACTAACAAGGCCTAAGGCTGGGGCGCTTCCTCTCTACGATATCTGCCATACCTAATGACCGGCTACTTCTTCAGATGTCAGCCACAGAGAGAAAAAGAGAGCGAGAGAGGTCTACTTTAATCTGATGACACACACACCCCGAGCGCATATGTACCCGCAGTAATCTCACAAACCTCGCCCAGCAGGTTGTTTCTCAGCCCTCTGCTGATCTCTTCTGCTGCTCTGCCCTAGGTTCTTTCTTTCATCCAACGTTGACTACTCATCATCCGTTCAAGAGAGGTATAATACACGCTTCTTCTGCTTCTTCTTCCTTTTCCTCTCCAGAGTCTTCGCCAAGATGCACTGCCCGCCTGATCGTCGTCCACGCCGTCTACTGCGTGGTTTCTTGAGAGATCCTTCTGTCATTCTTTTTGTTCTCGGAATACGTCTACCGTCCGGTGGCTTGGCTGACACGCCTCCCGAGTCTGCAGTGGACAGACGCACTGATACCCTGCAAGGCAAGATACGGGTCGATATCAGATCAGATGAGTGCCGGATGATCATTTCAGCTCAGGTCTCCAGATGAGAGAAGAGGAATCAGACGAAACGGTCTTCCACCACCACCCTTTTGCCCTAGGAATCGCATATTCGGGTGTCATCATCATTGCAGCGCAATCTGCCACTACATTCGTGACTTGGTAGTGACAATTACAGACCGGTCCAACTACCTCCCAGCCAACGCCGAGGTATGTATGCCCTTTCTTCTTCTTATTCTCTTCTTCTCCAACCTGGTACTGCCTTGTTCAATTTTTTTTTTTTTTTTTTTTTTTCCCACGATGCTTGCTGGTCAACATTTTCCTCAACATTTTCCCCTCCCATTGTTGTGACTCCCCTCCTTGAACATCATGTGTGGGGACAAGCGTATCCTTCTGCATCTGCTTGTCAGCACTGCTGCAGACGGACGGAATACCCGTACTTGTGCACTGCCACAGAGGATAAAGACCCCTCTCACCTTTATCCCCAGCGGCTATTCGACCCTATCTCACAGCGTCCCGACAACGGAATGAATGGTCTGCGCTCGTTGATCACTCATGAACCTGACCCCTCTCTACGTGCCGCTGAAAAGAAAAAGAAAAGAAAAAAATGAAGGAGGCCGTGAAAGTCTTCCTCTCTTAGGGGCTTCTCCCGTAGGGATGTGGGAACTCCATGGTGAGCGCCACTGAGTGTGAGAGAGAAACAGAGGCCCACTACAGTTTCCGTCCGGCACCCACCGCAGCCGCTGAGGCCCAAAAAAACCAACCCCTCCCTTCGTCTCCAGCTCATATCAGTCGAGTGCGCGAGGGAGGCACAGTATCCTCCCGCCCCGCCAGTGAGGGTAGAGTGACTCTCATCATCACCCCTTCCTCCACACTACACTGCAACGCGCTAGAGGGCAGGGCAGGATGAGCAACAGTGGGTAGTTTACCCACAGAAACCTGCTACTGCACTATGCATACTTGCATGCCAGTATACCTACTACTTACTAGTACCAACCAACTCTCCATCCCTGCGCTATTCCCTCCTGCTGCTGTCGGCCCCGCCTTTTGTTTTGTTTGCCCTGTCATTTTGCTTGCTTGCCGATGGCGCGACATGCAACTTTGACGGCTGCTCTGCCCTCTTTCTTTTGCTCGTTGTTGTTCCAAGTTTGTGCCTGCATCAGCGCCCACGTCTAAGCCTCACTATTAGGTTCCATCCAGGGCCGCTATTGACCTGTCGCCTGCCGACTGCCGCAATAAACCACTTTCTCTCCGTCGCGCTCCGATCGCCCGTCCGGGGTGGAGGGAAGTGAACAGTGGACAGTAGGTAGACAAAGTGACAAAAGAAGAGGGTGACAGCCTGCGACCTCACACACCGAAAAGGGCCACCACACCAGAAACCACAGACCACGGACCAAACAAAGACCAGCCCTGAGAGGTGATGCATGTCGTTGACCGCCGGAACTGGGTACCAGGCCAGCTGAGAAGAGGCCCAGCAGGAGTGAAAAGCAGCCACCCGTCATCATTCGTCCAGTCAACATCCCGGCTTCTCCTGGGTACGCTCTGCCCTGGAACAGAGAGACTGTAACCCGAGACAGAGAACGCGAGGTTGCAGGCACATCCAGACTGGGACACACACATACACACACACACACGCGCGCGCGCACGCACACACACTCACACTCACACTCACACACACTCACACTCACACTCACACTCACACTCACACTCACACTCACTCACGCACAGACAGCCAATCCTCTAAGCCTCCAAGCATCGTGTGGTAACCTCACAGCAGCAAACAGTGACCAAGAAGAACCAACCCTGAAAAGAGAAACAAGAGACAACAAGAGAGGAGTTTCAAAAGAAAGAAGAAGAAAAGAAAAAGAAAAAAAGCAAATCCAGAATTTGAACAAGAAACGAACAGAAGGGGGTCAAAAATTGGGGGTCACTAGCTACCCGGGTCTCCCCCCCTCTCCCTCTCTTCCTTCCCCTCCCCTCCTCTTCTACCCTCCTTTTTCTCAAGGTATTATTATTTCTGTAAGAATAATAATGCCTTTCGGTCGCCTACAAAAACCAAACAACCGATCTCAACACAACATACCTGTTGAATCGGCTGGTCCTGCTGCTGGTCCTCAGAGCACTGCTGGTCCGGGTTCTCAGAGCATCGGCGCCATTGGCATTTCCTCATCGGGCCCTGCTGGCGCACACAGTCAGGCTCAACCTCCACCGCCGCCTGGCTCTGGCCCTGGCCCTGGTCATCCTCTTACACCATTCCAGGGTCCCTCCTCCTCCTCTGCTGCTCCATCCTCAGCCTTGGGCCAAGGCCCCGCCAACCTACCTCTAACCACCAACGAATCCTTTGTTCAGGATCTACGAGTTGTCTCACAGAACCAGCAACACCCACCGCCTCACCTCTACGCGTCTGCCTCATCCCCTTCCTCGATTGATTTGGACCTCAGCGCACAGGGCCTCAACAGTCAGCAGCAGCAGCAGCAGCACCACCACCACCACCACCAACACCAACACCTCCACGCCCAGCTGCATCAGCTGCAACCCCTCAACACTAGCACCTCTGCCGAGGCCAAGGTCCGCCGGGCTGCGTCCGATTTTGTCGACGCCGTCGCCAGGTCGCAGTCCCACAGATACAACCAGGTCTCTACCCCCATCCAGATCAATCCCTCCTACGGTACCAGTTACACGGATCTCTCCAAGACACTGCAGGCCGATCCACAGAGTCAGCACCCTTTTGCTTACCAGCAGCAACAGCAGCAACAGCAGCAACATCAACAACCACCACAACAGGTCGCCCCAGAACAGCACCACCAGGTCGCCGCCCCCGTGGAACCTCGACGATCCACACGGCGTCTCATCCGAACTATTCTGACCGGCGCTCCGAAGTCTGAACAGAACCGCTCCGACCCCTCCCACAACAGTTACTACGACAACACCTCGGGTCCTGGCCGCCGCAGCTCCAAGCGCCTAAGCAACCCCAACCCGCCCGTCTTACGGACCGGCCCGTCTCAAGTCTCTCTGGAACAACAGCCTCTAGACTGGCAGTCACAGGGTCCCCCATCTCAGCCGTCACCGTCGCAGAGCGTGCGTCCGACCATAATCCTGCCCTGCCCTGCCCTGCCCAGACGAAACTCGATAACTAACTCTTCCAATTGCCGTGCTACAGATCGCCCACGAGTTTCAGCAACCCACCCTCCGTCGCGTTCCTACCAACCAAGACCAATCTCCCTTCTCCGAGGCCGACGAGGCCGCGTTTCAGCAGCAGCAGCAGGCCCAGATACACGTCCAAACCCAGCTGACACCCGACCACCAGCAGCACCTGGGCCAGGTAGCCTTCGACCCCGCCACGCGACAGTACCAGTTCATTGCCCACTCGCCACACCACTCCCCCCAGGCCCCTCAACAGTCCGAAGGGAACCCGCTCGCATACCCAGGGCATCTCGGGACCGAACACATCCAGAACATCGAGACAATATCGCAGGTGTCGCATGAGTCCCCCGTTACTGAAGGCGAGCTACAACCCTCCTCCAGCGCTCCATCTACGGCCGTTTCACCCGGCACGCGATACTCAACACAACAGGACTTCCCCTCACGCACCTCGTCTTTGCAACCACACCAGGGACAGGCGTCGCAAGCCCAGCAACAGCAACAGCAGCCGCCACAGGAGGATACAGATAATATGGCCCCACCGCCAGGAGGAGGACCACCACAGGCGAGACGACAACAACAAGACACCGAGAAGAGTTCGAGGGGGGACCTGCAACCAGGGGCGCCGCCTGGGTACAGACACAGCCAGCAGCAATCCAACAGCATGAACCCCATGCCGCCAGGGCCTCCGGGCGGGGCTGGCCAGAATAACTTCAGAACGAGCACGATACAGGAGAGGGCGCCGCCAGCACAATTCGATGGTGCGGCAGAACATGGTCGTAACAGCCCGCAGCCGACAGAAGACTCAGATAAGGCTTTCAAAGAGTTGCGTATGTATCTCGTGTGTGATTAGCATCTGCTGCCCCTGCTTGCTCGTGCGCGGGTCATGTGTGGCGTGTGTATGTGCGCGTGTGCATGCGTGCTAACAGATGGTTGTAGTGCAAAAATACAAGAACGTCAAACGACTGTACTTTGACGGCAAAACCCAGATCGAGTCGCTGAACGGGCAGGTCGAGCAGCTCCAAAATGCCGTCGCCAACCAGAGGATATCACAGTCACGCACCGCGCTGGATGACAACGAGTACTCGACACGCTTCAACAGGCTGAACGGTGCAATTAACAATTTGTCGTTTAACATCCGCAAGGACTGGACGTCGCTACCAGAATGGCTGAGCAAGTATGTCAGTGCTGATGCGCTCAAGACGGGCAAGCAGGAGATGACAGCAGTCGGCCGGGCCGTGATCACGAGGTGGCTCGTTGAGAAAATCTTCTACGGCTGCTTTCACCCTGGTCTCGATCCGGAGCTCAGCAGGTCGCTGAAGAAGGTCGAACAGAACATCCGGCGGTTCAGCTACACCATGACCAGCCAGGAGGAGTTCGACGCCCTGACGTCAAAGGTGCTGAGCTGGCGAATGACGACGCTCGAGGGCCTGCAGGACGTGCTGCAGTCTGCAGACAGCGCGAACTACCGCCAGGAGTTCATCCGCGACGCCACCGCGTCCCTTACCAGCTATGTCTTCCAGCATCTCACGGACCCACCACCAGCCGGTGTGGACGGGAGCGCGAGTATGATTGTGGAGCTTGCTGTGGGCATCGCAGCAAACCTACCGCTCGAGAGTCGAGATGTGGCGATCCGCTACCCCGTACCGGAGGATCTCATACAGCCCGAGTTTATGGACGTGGAAAAGACGGGGCTCCCACCTATCGAAACCAGGCCGTCAGATAGCGATGGTGAGACCGACTCGAGAGGAGACGATACCGGCAAGGAGAGCGGCGGGGAGAAGAGTAGCAGTAGCAAGGAGCGCAACAAGACCAGAGCCGGTACGTCAGCGATTTCAACTCTTTCCAGTATCCTCAGCAACGCTCCGGCGGCCCTCGTCCCCGCGGCCCTTGTTCCTGGGGGATCCATTCGGAAGGACAGCGGTCTCGCCGCACAGCAATCCTCTGCCTCTGCTGATAGGGTTCCTTCGACTGCGACTTCGTTTACTGACTCGAACTCCTACATAGCCCTGCCACCCAAGGACAGCAATAAAGTGCGGTTCGCGGGCTTTCTGGCCGTCGAGGTGCGCGGCCGTCAGGTACTTGTCAAAGCGCCTGTCTGGACGCTCGGCTGAAGAGAAGTGGGGCAAATTCTCACCACATGCGTGCGAAGATGCGTTCTCTCCCTCCAGGACTCGCCCCCCCGCCCCCCGCCCCCACCCGACGACTGCAGCGGGAACATTGCCTTTTTCCAGTAAATGCCATGTCTTTGAAGCATGTAAAAAATCAGGGCCGCCTAACACATTTGGATTGCCTTGTCTGGATGCTGGTGTCGTCGCGCCGCTGCGCCGCGTCTCCGAGTTTGCGGCCAGGAAAATACCTGGAGATGATGCTGTGACGAACGATGGGATCCAGGCAGGGGGAAAAGAAATCAACCCGTTTTATTTTATTCCCAGCATATCTTCGCTTCTTCCAATCCTCCCCACCAGTATGGGCTTCTCTCATTTGGTATTTGGCCCTTTGGAACCAGGCTTTGTTGTATGTCAGGGGGATGGATGATATCATAGAGGAGGGCCTGGAGAGCATTTGCACATTTTACGATTCCAAAAGAACGTCATGACCAAGAAAAGACTATTGTAGTAGAGCTTGGGCCCCGTGGGCCGGGAGGGGATTATTTAAAGACCCATTACGGACTTCTTATTTACATTTTTGTGCCTTGCAAGTGAAGACCATCTAAAACAATGCCACACACGACTTGGCATTACACACTCACTTCACCGATGACTTGGGAATGAAGCAGAAGCCATCGTCAGCCTTGATAACCGAAGTGAAAAAGGACAAAGCAACGAAGACGGAGGCAATGAACAAGATCACTTTTGGGGGGATAAGTCTGCTCATTCTGGCATCCCGGTTAATAAGTTTAAATTCAAGTACTTAATGTGTGTGTGTGGGAGGGAGTTCCGCCGGGCAAGGAGACTTGTTGTATAGTGGTTAGTTGATGGTTAGTAAATGGAATTGTACTTGTACCTGGATGCCCCAGTCACCGCCTGCCTATCTCCGCAGACATGAAAGATTCTGCCACCCAGAAATGCCCCTCCATTCATCCAGACGATTCTCACGATTCCCACCTCGATTTTCAGGAACAGACGACAACCAACGACGCCATAGGAATTGATCAATAGACAAAGTTCTCAGATTGCTCTTTTTCCATTCTCTATAACACATCAAATAACCTAACCTCCTTCTCCAAGTCCCTTCATTAATAGAAAATATGACAGCCGACAACCCCTCCAAACCAAACCACCTCGACCCCTCTGAATTGGGAACCAAGGAATAGTATGATCCTTTTCTCTCTTCCCCCTTTACCCTGGTGGATACAAGAACCCCCCCCCCCCCCCTCAGAGCTGACCGTCTCGCCCACCCACCTTTCTCAACAGCTGGGACTCCCTCTACACCACCGAACTCACCAACCACACCTCTAACCCCTCGGACCGCGGCACCGTCTGGTTCGACGACTCCGATGCCGAGGCCAAGCTCCTCGAATACCTCGAGGACCAGACGACCACCACCACAACCTCCTCCTCCTCCTCCTCCTCCTCACAACAACAACACCCCTTATTAGACAGAAACACGACCTCCTTTCTCGACCTAGGCTGCGGCAACGGCAGCCTCCTCCTCGCCCTGCGCGACGACGGCTGGGCCGGCCGCGCGCTCGGGGTAGACTACTCGGACAAGAGCGTAGCGCTCGCGCGGCAGGTGGCGCAGGCACATAGGAGGGACGAAGAAGAGGAAGAGAAAGTAAGAGAAGAACTCGACGACGATGAGGAGGGCGAGTGCCGCGGCGACGGCAGCAGCAGTAGTAGTAGTAGGGTAAGGAACGAGGAGGTGGAGTTTGCGGCCTGGGACGTCCTGCAGGGCTCGTACGATGCAGTGCTGTCCGGCGCACAGGCGCAAGGGTGGGACGTCGTGCTGGACAAGGGCACGTTCGACGCCATCAGCCTGAGCGAGGAGCAGGGCGCCGACGGGCGGAGGAGCTGTGAGGGGTACAAGGGGCGGGTGGTCAGGCTGGTGAGGCCGGGCGGGCTGTTCCTCGTGACGAGCTGTAACTGGACCGAGGAGGAGCTGGAGAGGTGGTTTGGCGAGGGGAGCAGCGAAGTCGAGGGCGGGAGGTTTGTGAGGGTGGGCAAGGTCGAGTACCCCAGCTTCAGTTTCGGAGGGGTCAAGGGGCAGACGATTAGCACGCTGTGTTTTCAGAGGGTTTGATGGAATATCAAGAAGTTGTTGGTTTGGCCAGAGCAAAGAAAGAAGAAGACAAACAAAGCATGAGACAATCGTGTATTTTGGTCCCAATGGAACGAGCATGACTCTACCCGACATGCGCGCGACAATGCATGATCCTAGCCTGTAACATCTTGGGAAAATGCAGACATGGACTTCATCAACAGCGCGGCAAGTCTCCTCTCTCTACGGTTTGATGACTGGTATAATTTTACATCCCCTCCATTTGAGCCCAGGCTGCTGGACTCTTCCTCCCCCCCCCCCTGCCTTCGACGACGGTCCGCTACTAACAAACCGCAACTGGTGTGTACCCCCGTCCCCACCAAGAAGGCGGAAATTGATAGTGCTCCTCCTGTATGCCTGGTCCGAGCTCTAATGGTGTAATTTCTCTTGAACTTCCTCGTAACTGAATCTGGAACGCTGAGATGTGATCAAGGGTTTAAGAGAAGACAAAACAGTCTAAAGAAACGCGATGAATCTCGGCGTGACTCTGAAATTTGGACGGGGGCTCGTGTTGGGAAAGTCTTTGGTTCATTAGATGTCTCGTGTCTAAGGCGATGTGTTCATAGGTTCTCCACCTGGCAGAGGACCAGTCGCGACCGCAGCGGCAGTAGTTGCGAAATACCGGACATCCACGTCGTCGTCCTTCTGTAGCTTCTCCAGGTTTGGCATCACGCGCTCCTGGATCAGCCCCTGACCCTGAGAGGACGGTGTCCCAGTCTCGCCCGCCTTCTCGAGCTCATAAATGGTCCCAGACTCAGGCAGGCGCCGCATGACATCGATAAGTACAGCATAAGTCTTGGCGACGTTGAACCGGATGTTTGGAATCTCATCCGCCACCAGCTTGTCGAGCATGGGCAGGATCGATTTGGCAATCACATCCATGCTCACAACAGTTGCCAGAGTCTGTCATGTAATCGGTCAGTGTCTTTTACTATAGGGCAGTAATGGCTCGATTTCTGTAGAGGGCAACCTACCGTGATGGCAAAGCATGTCGTCATCCTGTAGAGATAATTCGGGTGATTGCCCATAGCCATCACCTTGGGAATGATCGCCTCGCTGGCCCAATCGACACCAAAAACCTCTGTGAGCTTCTTGAGGTTGTGAGTGGCTGCCTCACGGATGGAGAAGACTGTATCTCCAAGCCAGCCCATGCAAAGTGCACTCAGCTTCTCGTCAAAGAACTTGACTCCGAGTTGGCTTGCCAACAGCGGAATGTACTCGATGATCGCCAAGCGGACTCGCCACTGCTTATCCTCAGCGAGCTGAACGATGGCGGGGAGGAGAGATTGCGAGAGCAGGTCGATCCCGATGACTGTATGTGGTTAGCAAGGAGAGGCCATTCGGGTGGACAGGAAGCACGCACCCTGGTTCACGAGCTCGAGCTTCGAGATGATGTGCAGGCGGACTTCTGGGAACTCATCCTTGAGCATCTGGAGGAACATGGGCAGCAGGTGGTCAATAGTCCTAGAACCGAGTCAGCATGATCAGCCGCAAGGGATTGTACCAGGCGAAACATACTCCTGCTTGCCCAGGATAGGAGCCAGGCCGCTGATCTGGGTGCCCAGAGCGGCGCGGACGTGTTGGGAATTGTCCGAAACGAGATCCTCGATGCTAGCCATGATGTCGTTCAGGAGGACATTCCGCTCGACCAAGGCACAGAACCCAGGAATCTGTCCCGCAATTGCCGTCCGCACCTCGGCTTCGTTATCCTTGAGCAGCTTCACGAAAGAGGGCACCAGATCTCTTGCCACAACCTCCTCGTCGACTGCCTTTGCAATCTGGACCGATAATCAGCGATGTGGACATGGAGAACCAGAACAAATAGCCTCTACATACCTTCTCAAACCGGTCTGCAATCATGTACCTGACTCGCCAGCTCTTGTCTTCTATCAGGCTCCGAAGGGAGGTGAGAAGGACGCCGTGGCTAGACTGCTGCTCTTTGGGAACAACCTCGGCAATGGCAATGAGAACCTCGACGGTCAGTAAGCGCACCGAGTCTTGATCGTCCTGCGCGAGGTGCTGAAACATGGGTATCATCTCCTCCACCACAATCGATGCCGGCATCTCCTTGACGAACTTTGCTAGGTTGGTCGCAGCTTGACGGCGGACCATCGGGGTCTCATCGTGGACAAGCTGTCCAAACTGCTGGCGCAGCTGGGACTGAATAGGTGGCGAGACCTTCTGGTAGGGGCTAGTGTAGAGACCGCACCCTGATACTTTGGACGTGAACCAATCTGCCTTGGAGAGTCGGATCGTCAGGGGAATGAAGTATTCTTCGACCTGCTGGGACGAAAGATCTACGCAGATCTTGTTGAGGGACTCGACAGCCTATAATCTTTGAGTTGAGCTAAGGTGCCTCAGGCCACAGGTATCATGAAGAAGGAAGGGGAAGGGGGGTCCCGTTGGGCAGAAGTGACGTACCTTGTCCCGCACCACTGGCTCCTCGATAGCTGCGAGGTTCTCGAGGGGCGACAGGAGGACATGACCCCATTGAGGCCCACCGACATACTCGATGAAGTTGCCGAGCTCCTCGCTTAGGGCAACAAGAACCTCATCTTCGTCTTCGACGGATTCTGTATTCCTGTTAGGCATCGTGTCTATACGCTTTGTAGAGGGAGAAGAGGGAGAGGCGCGGACCGTCGAGGAAGGGGATGAGCTCCTCCCGAGTGCGCTCGGCGCCCAAGGCGAGGGCGATGGTAGAGAGACGTCGAATGGCATTGAGGCGGAGGATGACATCGTCGTGCTATTTTTGATCAGTCAGTCGCACATACAGGATGGGGCGATAGCTATAGAGGTAGCGGGGTTGCGCACCTTCAGCTCGTCGATGAGCACAGCGATGGGGTAAAGCTCATCGTTCGCATTCGGCGCGTCAGCCATGGCGAGCGATGTGGGTGAGGATGGTTCCTGCGTAGATGTCGGACAACAAGTATAAAGGTTCTGCAATGAGGAGAGAATGTGAGCGCGGGTCGGAGCTTGATCGCGTGCTAGGTGATGTAATATGCAACCGACTTTTGCAGCTGATTCTCGCGTTGGACCAGTTGTGCCTCAGACTACTTCAATCAGGCAGGCTCCGCTTGTCGGGTTGCTGACGTCGTGTCCAGATGAATATCGTGAGGTATGAATCGTCGTCCAAGGAAAAGGATCGCGATGGTGCCGCCGCTTGATGTGGTCGGAGGGGGTGTTGGGAGGGGGTGGGTGAGAGGTATGGCGGGCTTAAGGTGGATTGGGATGAAGTCAGGTCGAGATGCATCTGAGATGGATGGCAAATGGGCGAACATGTCAGTCGGGACCAGCCAAGCTTGGCAGGCCTGGGTCTGATTGTTGGCGGCAGCAGCCCCTTGGCCCCCTCCTACAGCTCCTTCAGCAACGTACCGCGCTACACAGTAGCAGAATAGGGCTTGCCGTGGCAGGCTAAACGTCCTAATTTCCAGCCCAACAACGCCTCCGCGTCAGATCCGCCCTGCACAATTCCACAAGTGTCTGGTCCAGTGTTTTCGGAAAACAACTATGATTCAGAGACAGACGATCTATCCCGCTGTATTAACTTGAAAGAATTATTCTTGACAAACCCTCTCAGAGAGCCTATTTTTGTTGTACGTAAGTCAGCAAGGGTTAGGGTTTAGGAAGGGAGGTCTAGGTGAGCTAGGGGTACTCGACGGGTACGTACTGCTTGGGTAGTTTGGTAGCACATCCGGCCCACCTGCAGCCTCCCCGCGACCGGACGGACCCCTTGTCTTTGCGTAGTGGTGCCCCGCCAGACCTAGTAGCAGCTCTCCAGACCAGTGATCCAAAATTCGGGCAGCGGTTGTGAGTCAACCAGATCAGCTCTGGGAACTTTTGAAAGGACGCCGACGACAGCGCCCATTCTTACCAAATTGGCCCAACCAGGCATATTATTCGACCAAGACAACCGCCGTTCACCATGCCTACCATCTCTGTCGACAAGTACGACCTCTGGGAGGCCCTTGGTCAGAAGTGAGCTTGCGATTGCACCCAAAGATGACCCCTCCATAGACGCAGGATGGCAGGCTTACACATGACATCCATAGATACACCAAGGAGGAGTTCGAGGATCTATGTTTCGACTTTGGAATTGAACTCGATGAGGACACCGAGGAGGACGAGCGTCCTGCTGGCGTGCCTCCGGAGCTCAAGATCGGTTAGTCTTGCCCGGCAGAAATTGTTCCTGGGAAGACCAACAAACTCCTGACGACTACCACTCTAGAAATACCGGCCAACCGATACGATATGTTATGCTTCGAGGGCATTCAGCTGATGCTCAACATTTTCCGTTCAAAGACCCCCGTGCCCAACTGGCGCCTTGTCGAGCCTGCGAGCGGAAAGCGCGAGACCTTGACGATCACCGAGAGTACCACAAAGGTCCGCCCGTATGCTGCTGGTGCCATCTTGAGGAATATCAAGTTCACCGAAAAGAGCTATGAGTCCTTCATCGGCCTGCAGGACAAGTTGCACATGAACCTGGCACGCCAGAGGACACTCGTTGCCATCGGAACGCACGACCTCGACACAATCCAGGGTCCCTTCAAGTACGACGCGCTTTCGCCAGATGAGATCAAGTTCATTCCCCTGAACCAGAAGAAGGAGATGACGGGGCGGGAGATGATGACATTCTACGAAAAGGACAGGCATCTGGGGAAGTACCTACACATCATCAAAGATGCTCCCGTCTACCCAGTTATGCTCGATGCCAACAACGTTGTCCTGTCCATGCCACCAATCATCAACGGCGAGCACTCCAAGATCACGCTCAACACCAAGAACGTGTTCATCGACCTCACCGCAACAGACGAGACCAAGCTGGAGATTGTCACCAACATGATGGTGGCCATGTTCTCCATGCACTGCGCAGAACCCTTCACAATCGAGCCGGTTGAGGTCATCTCAAAACACAACGATCGGACCAGGACTTGCCCCAACTTGACTCCCAGAGTCATCGAGACCGAGATTGACTATCTTAACAACTGCACTGGTCTCAATGAGACCCCCGAGCGGATTTGCGAACTGCTCACAAAGATGGCCTACGCGGCTAAGCCATCGAATAAGGACAAGAATGTGATCGAAGTGTCCATCCCTCCGACAAGGGCGGACGTCCTCCACCAGTGCGACATCATGGAGGATTTGGCTATTTGCTACGGTTACAACAATCTTCCAAGATCTTCCCCAAATAAGTCTGCAACTATCGGGGCACCAACAAAGATCCAAAAGCTCAGTGACATAGTACGGAATGAGGCTGCCTACGCCGGTTGGACTGAGGTCCTCCCTCTGATCCTCTGCTCCTTTGACGAGAATTACACTCATCTGAACAGAAAAGATGAGTAAGTATATGCTCCTTCGATTCTCAGAGCTGAGGTGGACTGCGCAGCTGACATGGGGTTAAAAGTGGCAAAGCGATACGGCTTGCAAACCCGAAGACCGCCGAATACCAGGTCGTCCGCACCTCATTACTGCCGTGAGTGAAGCAGACGCCCGCCCCTCCTTTTTTTTTTTTTTTTTTTTTTTGCCCTGTACATATCGCTTATGTTGGCTACAGTGGTCTTCTCAAGACGATCCGTGAGAACAAGAGCAAGGCTCTGCCAATCAAGATCTTCGAGTGCTCGGATGTTGCGTAAGTAGACACCGACTGACTAGATATGAATGAGATGTGTGCTCATTTACTTCATAGCTTCAAGGACGAGGCCGAGGAGCGGAAGGCCCGTAACCAAAGAAACTTCGCAGCCTGCTTCTGCGGCAAGTCGTCAGGTTTCGAGATGGTCCATGGTCTTCTCGACCGCGTGCTGCTCATGCTGAGAACTGCCTTCCTAACACACGAGGAGGGACTCGAGGGCAAGAGCATCGACTACAAGGTGACCGAGAACCCTTCCAAGCCAGACGGATACTGGATCGAGGAAATCGATGAGCCTATTTGGTTCCATGGGCACGCGGCTGCCATCTACCTTCGTCTTGGTGGCAAGACGGAGCAAGTCGGTCAATTTGGCATTCTGCATCCATCGGTATTGGAGGCTTTCGATATACGGTAAGTAATCCGCCGTCAACGTCATAATACTGCGTGAAAGTCTTGTCTGACAAATTGCAGATACCCAGTCTCGGCGCTCGAAGTCAACATGGAGGCCTTCCTGTAGATATACGCATGGCTTCCTATCCCGGGACTTCCTTCGATGGAATGAGAAAAGTATTTGCTTGCCATAGAGAAGATAACCATGAGTCAAAATAGAGAGAGATTTTGCAGGCCAACTTTTGCAATTGAGAGCTTCATTGGACTAACATGTGGGCATGATAGAACGGTTCGAATTCCTTTACAAGGTTAGAGACAGGTCGCATGGCACTTTTTCTCTACCGATCCAATGCACTGCAGGCTAATGCTCCAACCCAATCTTGTTGGATGACGAACCAAAAGACCAGGCGATCTGCCTTGACCGGTGTGCAGCACTTTCAGAGTTGTGAGCGTCAGGACTCTGGGCCTCTTTCCCTGGAGAAAGGATACGAGAGGCACCATGTCTTTGACTTGCTATGCCATGGATACCCAAGATTATCATGTTGCCTACCTCGGGCCAGATCTGGTTCAAACCTTCCCACAGCTATGAGGAACTCACCTCGGGCAGGAGATGGCCGACAAGGGCTTTTGAGTCAAAGAATAGGGGGCACAAAATATTGAACCCTCCCAGGTGTTGTGGGATACCAACAGGAAGGCACCACCCTTGAAGAAGCTATAGATGTTCCTGGGTCAATGGATCACAAGCCCGGCAACAACTGCACAATTCTCTTGCTTCAATCACAACAGTCTATGGTCCAGCACATCTTATTCTGTTGCATCGGTATCAAGGACATATCTGCTTCACTTGTCTGAACTTTTTGCCAACGCCTGATATCTTTCTCGTCGCAGAACCTGTAGTCATGCTTACCCTGTTTTAGCTCCCCCAACTGACGAAGTTCTCGTCCTGAGTCACTTCTCGGCTCAACTTGACGATCTTTGCTGCCGAATTTGACTCCTATCGAGATCCCTGTATGCCTGCTTGTTGTTGACTTCCGCCCAGACACGCTCGAGATAGCATCATCTTGAAGTTTTTCTGGGCCACATCACCATTTAAGTCAAGAAGGCTGCTCTTCTTCCTCCTCCTCCTGCTTCTTGGAAATCAACAAAACAGCTCATCCTATCCAGCTGGCACCCTCCCACTCTTTTCCCTTTCGAAATCTCACATTCGAGGGTGGTCGGGCTTCCTTCATAGGCTGAGCAAGCAGCACATCGCGAATTGCGCACTACCACCAGGTCAGTCAAGGGTATCTCCCACCCGCCTCCACACGTCCTCCCCTTCCAGGGCTCTCATTCTGCCTTAGAATACTTCCCTCAGAGGACCTCTTCTGAGATTTCAAAAATCAGAAGAGGACGTTTACAACGCATTCTTCCTGTCTTGCTGTCCAACGTATCGCTCAACTAACAACAACGCAGCCGCCGAGATGGACCTCGCGGACTTTCCGAATCTAGATCCATCTGGAGGAACTTGTGATGTTGGTGGCGGTGGAGTTGTCGACCTCACCGACCTCGCCTCTTCTCAAGACTCCTCTGTCGAAGTGGCCGTTGAAGAAGAGGCCGTCCCGAGTCTGTCGTCCGACGTGAGCCCCAGCGTGGCAGAGCCGAGCGACGACCTGCCTAACCCGAACGACGTGGACGACGCTGACGACGATGATGATTCACTGACGTTGAGTGCAATTTTGGCTCAATGTAAGAGCCATAAGCACGAGCCTAGTAACCACACTGTACCTAAACCTGAAGCCCTCAGTCGCCGTACACCCCCTACACCCGAGGCCTTCCAATCCTTCCTTGGATGTCGTCTGAAGGAGGGCGCCAAGTTCTTCACCATCCATCGGTCTCCGTCGGTGCGAGCTACGCCAGGCCAGCCTCATGTCGCTCTTCGAGACAACAAGCGGGTCGAGAATGAACAAGAGTCCTCCTCCAAAAAGCGTAGAGCTTCGTGGTTTCCGAATGTCAAGCCAGACGGAATCCAGGGCTCAAAGGAAGACAGACGAAAGAAGTGTCGCGTGGACGCAGCAACAGGAGATAAACCCAACGACGAACAGAAGAAGGGCGACAGCGTTGATGACGCAGACTCAACTCCCTCTCAGCCCGGGCAAGAAGGTGGCCAGGCCAAGATGAAGACGACCCCTGGAACTATCTCGAGCACACCCAGCAACCAACAGAGAGACACAGTCAAGGCTACTGGGCCGGGTTCCTCCGTCGTCCAGGGGCCCCCCAAAGCTCGTCTGACCGAGTCCATCTTCAAGAAGAACAGTTCAACCCATCATGCAGGGAAACTTCAAGGACTGCGCCGGGCATCCAGCACAGGAACTGTGCCTGTGCAGAAGAACACGACTGCCAAAAGGCCAGCTCTGGAAAAAGTGTCCCCCAGTATTCCTACAGACAACGGCATCCGTCATCAAGCTAGTCCAAAAGGCACTTCTGCTTCTGCATCATCGCGCCCGTCTGTTCTTACGCTCAAAGGCGACCATCAGCCAGACTGCAACAGTACTACTAGTAGTACTGCACGAAGACGACCTGGCGTCCCAAGGGGCCATGCCACCAACAAATATCCGATAGCAGAAGAAAAAGGGGCTCAGCAGGGACCGCAAACCATATCTGTTGGAACCGTTAAGTCCGGATCTCTCACAGGTTATCTGGGCCCTGAGAGGCGACCTAAGGAACGGCCAGTTTACACCGAGCCATCCGACGATAAGTGGAAAAGAATCACCAGTCTTTCGAGGCCAGAGGGTCTCAAGGAGATTCAATGCGGTATGAGAGAGGAGCGGCTGGCGAATCTCCCCGCGGCGCGTGATGGAAAGATTCGTCACGCAGGCCAAAAAGCCTGCCACAGGAGCGATCCCTCTCAGGCCGAGGTCCCACTGCCAAAGGCTCAAGAAGCATGCCCTCCGGTGAAGCCGCAGAAGATCTCACTTTTACAGCAGGCTGCCACTGCTGGTAACGACCACCTTAGACAACAAGCCGAAGCTGGCTTGCCGAGAGCCCAAGAGCCACGGCCCCAGATGCAACGTCCTCCGAAGCAGCGTCCCACTGTGCTTCGCCCTCCAGTGCGGCCGCCAAAGACATCTTCACGACAGGCTGACGTCGCCAGCGACCACACGCGCCCCACACCACGAGCCTCCCCAGCTCCTCCCAGACAAGATGGTCAGCCTTTGCGTGAGCTTGCCAACCAGCCACAGACACGTGAGCTGACAGAGCTGGGTCGCCAGAGGCTTCAAAGACTGGAAGACGCCCACCTAGCGGGACAGGACAGCCTGGTCCAGCCCAAGGCGGCACAGAACAACCTCAACGTCTCGAGTGTCCCCAAGCGTGCGTCTCAAAGACCGTCACGCATCACAGGGGACGAGATCGCGAATGCCGCCAAGGACATGAGGATTCTCCAGAAGCAGTATGCCGAGAAGAAGACCACAGCTCTGACTGATGCGCTGCCGCCGGAATTCAGAAGATCGCAGCCGAGTCATAAGTCGCGCGCAAAGGCCGTACAGAACATTGCTAGCCGCGAGCGGGTCGAGGCGATTACGCAGGAGCGTGTTATCGCCAAAAGAATGCGGGCCATCCGAACAGAAGTGGAACGGGAGTTCAGAGAAAGTAGCAAGACGCACGACTTTAAGGAGCATCTCATCCGTGAGAAGTGCGACCGCTATATGGAGAAAAAGAAATCGCAGATGCTCAAAAAGGCCCAGAGCCAAAACCGGGGCCTTCCTCCTGTTGATTTTCTCGAGGACGGACAAGATGGCGAGGCTGCTGCTGCTGCTGCTGCTGGCTCAACCCAGCGAGGGGTCCCAGCCTCGCAGGCACTCGAGCCGGGCCAGGCCATCGTGACCTACTGTGTGTATCTCAGCCAGCCGATCGACGAGGGTGTGGCCTACGAGGACACCATGATGCGCGCGAGGGCATTTGGCAAGTCTGACTCGGCCAATTATTATGCCAAGCTGCTGCTGGATGACATGTCGGCGCCACCGCGGCAACACTCCAGAAACCAGGCGCGGCGGACGATGTCTTTGCAAACTTGGTACGCGAATGGCCTGCTCTTCGGAATGAAAAAACGAGGAGACGGAAAGTACGTGTATGTCCAGGTACGCAAGGAGAAGACACTGGTGGGCGACATGGACCCAGATGTCCTGCGCAACCAGTGGGTGGACGAGGATGTTCTGGACATCTATCGCAAGCGCTATGATGTCTTTGAGTTTCAGTTCATCCCCAGGTCGGTCATCGAGGCGGAGAAAAGAGATGAGGAGGCGAGGAAGCTCTGGGACCAGCGACAGGAAGACAAGTCTGTCGCTCCTGACGGCAATCGCGAAAGTACAGCCCAGACCGAAGCCATGGACGGCGCTGAGAAGGAGAACGAACCCAGGGGTCTTGAGGGCGACGAGTTACGTTCAGCTCTGAGGGCACTGCCAGCCTGTGGACCTGCGCCTCGTCAGGCGAAGACCCATCCTGAGGAAGGTGAAGATGAACACGATGACTTGTTCTCATCCTATGTGTCTTCGGACGCGGACGCGGACTCCCACATAGACCTCCAAGAATACGACACTGCTGGCTCGGAAAGTCTCAACAACAACAACGACAAAAGGCCTATGGAGTCTCAGAATGATAAGACGAGCCGTGGACCAACTCCCTTCTCCGCAGGCACCGACGACGACCCCAGGAACCCATACGCCAGCTGCAAGCTCGTGACAAAGATATACGGCTCCTTCACGGACCTGCACACGGCCAACCAGCGCGCGCTTGCTGTGGCGAGGATCGCATGGAAGCCCACAGGTTGTGATCTGAACGCCTTGGATCATTGGAAGGAGAACATGTTACCCAGTCTGGCGGAGCAGATGAAGGAGCTGGACTTGGACAGCGAGTGCGCCGAGATTGAATGTCCTCCGAAGCCGTTCCATGGCCCCAATTCTCGTCGGGCGTGGCCCTTTGTCCATGCTCGGGTGTGCGTCGTCGAGATCGAGATCGAGGGCCCCATGGATACCGAGATAGACTTTGCCATGGACATGACAGAGGCGCACACCTCTCGAGGTGTCCAAACCATTCTTTCCAAGGCTACAGCTGCGGCGGGTAAGACTGGTGAGGCTCAGGTGGTCGATTCGGACAACGAAGAGGACATAGACGACGGACTTACCCTTCCCTTGACCGATAACAACGTCGATGTCAGCGAGGAGGAGTGATGTGATTTTTTCGGGATGTGTTGGCGGCGTGACTGAGATTTAAGAGCGCGGCGTGGTGTTTACGCATGCGAACCATTCCAACCTCTCTTGTGATACTCGGAAAAAGACCTTGTGGCGGACTTGACGCTGATTTGGACAATCTCAAGCGTTTGACTGTGGGAGCGGATCTGAACTGGGTAATCACAGCACGTCTTGGATGTGCGCGAGAGAGAGGAAAGAGAGACAAAAGAGAGGATCTGCTTGGGCCATACCGCCCCCCGGGGGGGAGGGTTGAGGCGACACGCGCGATTCTCTTCAGACACAGCTTCATTCTAACCAACAACCCTTGTGCGCGAATCCCTTCCATTCATACATCAACCTACAGGACGCAAATATTGTTCGATGACGTAGTAGTAGTTCGCAAATGTTTTGCGATGATGGTTGGATTCAGCCTCGGGTTCGGTACATAGTTAAATTATACAGCCGTAGTGCGAATCCACCCAGTTACACAAATCTTTCATCTCCGCACACAAGAATGGGTACGGTCAGCCCTATCTTCAGATGTTTTCAGAGTTCTTCTACAATGAAAGACCTTGTGAGTATTCCAGGTCTCTTTTCTTACCAACATCGATGAATTGGGAAATAAGCTATACGGTCATCACATGAAATGTTGCTCTGCCTAAGATTACCATATGAGTAAGAGGTCACATCACCCTGGTGGTGGTGGGTTCTGTCTCGATCGCACGGGGTGTTGCAATCATTGAAATCGACTGTGGTATCTCTTTCCTTGAATGTACTTGGAGTTGACGCTCGTCAGCCCCACGCCTTGCTCGGGGGTGTACAATAGACGGGATGCCATACTGAATGTGGAATCCAATCATCCTCCAGCTGACGACAGAGATGACAGGAGTCAGTATCTTCGGAGAGAACTCAAGAGCACAGTTCCTTTCTTCACACAAGTGAACGGCGATTGGGTCTTACCTGCCATGCGGTCTTACGCCAATGCTAATATAATCCTAAAAGTAGCCTCGTCGTATTGGACCTTGAATTCTCTCTCCCCACAATTGCAGCAGCTCCAGTATCATCAGAGCCTTACTCCGGATCAGGCGCATACACCTCCTCGTCCGTCGTGGCTTTGGCCTGCTCCGCCAGCTGCTTCCACTGGGCCTCACCTTCCTCGGTCGTGGCGTCGATGATCTCCTGCTCGAGCGACAGGATGCCGGCGGCGTCCAACTTACCCACCATGTCCTCGGCCTCGTCCACCTTCATCCTCCCCAGCACGGTGTTCACCTCGTCCAGACTGCCAGTCGCCAGCGCCTTCTTCATGTCGGGGCTGAAGTCCTCGAAGATTTTTCTGGCCTCTTGTATCTCGGGGTCCTGGCTGTCGGCTGGCGGCACCCGGATGTTAATCACCGTACCCGGCTCCACGGCGTGCAGCTGGATCTGCTCGACGCCCTGGCCCTCGGCGGCGCCGGCAGCGCGCTGCTTGTTGATCTCGGCGGCGCGCTCCTTGATTTTCTGGTAGGTGTCCTGGACGTCCTTGAAGAAAATATCCTGCGCCTGGTGGCCCTTGGTCATGATGCGCTTGAAGAATAGCGCGACGCCGTCCCGTCCCAGGGCGCGGCAGTACTGCAGCAGCAGGGCCTGGTGGACGCACTGCCGTGCCAAGTCGTCCTTGTTGTCGAGCTGGGCGTCGAAGGCCATGATGAGCAGGCCGTCCGTCTCCTTCTCCGTCAGGATCTGCGGATTCTTGCTGAGGAAGGCCATGGAGGACGTGTAGTCGCCGTTCTTGATACTGGCAAACTGCTTCGCGGCGGGCGAGGCATCGACGTGCTCATCGTCATCGTCATCATTGTCGTCACCTTCTCCCCCCGCTGCTGCTGGTGCGCCTTTGGACGACGAGGTCCCTGCTGCTGCGGAGGGTGCAGCGTAGTTGGGGTTCAGCAGCTCCAGCTTGGTGTTGTCCTTCTGCCCGGGCGCCGACTTGTTGACATGCGAGCTGTCAAAGCCCGTATGGATGCTCTCGCTCGTGATCTTGCGCCCTTCTTCCTTCTCCAGCTCGCCTAGCTTCTTCACCAGTTCCCCCTGCAGCTTTGTGACCTTGTCGAGGTGCTCCCCGATCTCCGCTACCATAGCCTCGTACCGGCCCTCCTGCTTGACCTTCTTCTCCTCCATCGCGGTGTTCACCTGGTCCAGTAAGGTCGCCATCATCTTGCTGTACGTCGGCATCGTCTCGCCCCCCTCAGGCCGCGGCAGGCCCTCGGGGCGCGGCGGAGGCTGGTCGTCCTCGGGTTTCAGGCCCGCCGCGCTCTCCATGACGGCGGCGAAGGCAATCTCTCCGGGATTCCTGCTCTTGCTCTCGACATCTGAGGCGTGGGACTTGAGTGCGTTGAGCAGGCTAGTGATGCGTTGGATCAGCGCATCGTTGATCTGGCGCTCGTACTTGAACTGGACGATCTGCAGCCGCCGGTGCTCGCGCTCCTGGTGAATCTGCGCTTGCTTGGCGCGGATGAAGGATCGCTTGTCGACGTTGGGGTGGACTTCGACATCGGAGTCGTCTGAGAGCTCGAGCGCATCCTGTCGGAGGCGAGGTTTAGTGTCAGCTGTGACTTGTTTGCTTGCTTGCTTCGCAGCGATGATGCTGGATTGCCATGACTTACCCACTTGCTATAGTCCACAGGCATCGTGACTACCTTTTCTTCTCTTTTTCTCTGTCCCTTTGGGAATGACTTCTAGGTCAATCTATGTGAAGATTCTTCCAGCAAAGACGGTTCGAGGGGAAAGAGATTGGGTGGTGTGAGAAAGGGTGATGGATGAACACAACCTCGCTGTGTGGCTAAAGTTGCAGTTATAATGTCATCAATTGTCCGTGTGCCACTTCCGAAGCTTCTGGAGGGGTAGTTCTGGTGGGGCCCGTCCCACTGGAAACAAGCTTAAGCTTACCACATTCAGGCCCTTCCAACCCCCTCCCCCCCCTCTCTCTTGCCCCCCTTTCCTCCTCTACAGTGGCGCCTTAAAGCAGGAAAGTATCAGACAACAAGTACTTGTTTACTTTTCGCAAGAAGCCGAGACAAACCATGAACGAGAGAATATAACAAGTATGTGGCCTCGGCCTAGATAAATGCCTCTTGTATGCTTCAGAAAGCAGAATTTGTACAGCAGCTTTTGAATTTCATTTACCACCCTCCATATAGCTTCAGTCCCGCAAACAAACATATGGTTGCCCCGAAAAGACTCCTTTTCATCACCCCATTCATTGCTGTACAAAAGTCAATACATGATGATACAAAGAACCATTTCAAACGCCTTGCTCATCAGCCCTAGAGAATTAGTATGAAAAAAGAGCCCTCAAGATCAATCAATTCCTGCTAAACCGCTCTTCCAAAGTCCTATCATACCGGCGCCCTAACCCCCGCCATCCGACTGCCTCAAGATACCACCGTTGCCAACTCCATCTGCATATGATTGCTGCCTCCTATTTCCCTGACCAAAAAAAAAAAAAAACTCCCGGAACCAGTTTTTGGTATCTTTCTCTTCTCTTCTCTTCCTTCTTCTTGACCACACCTTGCAAGTGGTAGTAACGATATTCAAAGAAGAAAAGAAAAAACATCTGCCTTATTGCATAGTCTTCAAGAATCCATCGAGGTCAAAACTCTCCTCGTACTGTTTGTTATCCCAAAGCTCACCGAGGTCCTCCAGCCAGGCCGCCTTTTTGCCGGGCTGCCGTACATCTCCCGTCTCCACATCCACCATGTCCTCCTCACGACCCTCGAAGCCGCTGCCACTTGGACCGCCCTTCTCGGGCTTCTCTTGGATCAGACCTGGTCCTGCATCACCGATATTGAAGAGGTCAAGAATCTGGTCCGTATCCATGGTAGCCAGGCCCGCATTCTGCTGGTTGACCACCGTGGAGGCGACATCAATCTTGAAGCGCTGGAGATTGAGAATCTTCTCTTCCAGTGTTCCACGAGTGACAAGCCGGTAAACATTGACAACCTTCTTTTGACCGATACGATGCGCGCGATCCATAGCCTGCAGGTCCTTCTGTGGGTTCCAGTCATGCTCGACAAAAATGACTGTGTCTGCACCCGTCAGATTCAGCCCGAGACCACCGACACTTGTTGTGAGCAGCAGACAATCGTATGATGGATCGCTGTTGAACTTATTGACAAGATCCTGCCGCTTGTTGGCCTCGACCGAGCCGTCCATCCGCAGGTAGGTGACAGAGGGGAGCATGGTCTTCAAGACCGTGTTCTGTACCATATCGAGCATCTCTTTCATCTGGCAGAAAATGAGGGCACGGTGAGGCTTGATGGGCTGGTAGAGCGGGTCGTTGGTATCTGGACCCTCGGTGCCGATACCGCAGTCGACAAGCAGATCTCGGAGAGCTGTCAGCTTGGGGGCGTGGACCGCGTCTTCGAGGCTGGTATTGCTCTTTGCAAGGATGCGCTGCGTGTCGTCGTACTTAGGATGACCCGGCTTGAGCACCATGGCGGGAGAGTTACACAGTTTTCGCATGTACTGCAACGCTTGGAAGATGTGTTGCTTGGCGTCCTTGTCGTCCCGACCAGCCTCCTCAGCGAGCTTTTTGGACTCCTTCTTGCTGAAGTCCTCGAAGAGCTTCCGTTGCAGATCGCTTAGGTCGCAGTAGTAGTTCTGCAAGATCTTGGGTGGGAGGTCGTTGAGCACCTCCTCCTTCAGGCGACGCAGCAAGAAAGGCAACACCTGCTTGTGCAGCGCCTCGATAGCGAGTGCGCCTGCTTCCTGCTCTTTTGATGAGGCCTTGCTGAAGCGCGACGCGGAGATAGGCTTGACGAAACGATCCGCAAACATCTTCTCCGCGCCCAGGAAACCTGGCATGAGGAAATCAAAGAGAGACCACAGCTCTAACACGTTGTTCTGGATTGGTGTGCCGGTGAGGATGAGCCGGTGGTTGCTGGCCAGCTGCTTGACCGCCATGCTGATCTTGGCCTTGGCATTCTTGATCAGATGGCCCTCGTCGAGCACCACGTAATTCCAATTGTACTTGCTCAAGACGTCAATGTCATTACGGCAAACATCGTAGGACGTGACCACGATATCTGGCTTGTCGAGCCTGTCCTTCATTGCCTTTCGCTCGGGGGGCGGTCCAACGTAGGCCATGACGCTGAGGAACGGGCTGTATGTTTTGATTTCCTGCTGCCAGTGACCTGACAGAGTCGGAGGGCAGACAATCAACGATGGAAGGCGCCTCATGTCTGGATTGCTTGTCTTTGAGAACTCTTCGGCACGTTCGTGGTGATCGCTGGCAACAATACACAGAGTTTGCAGTGTCTTTCCGAGACCCATGTCGTCACAGAGAATGCCGTGTAGATGGTACTTCCTGAGAAAATTAAGCCAGTTGACACCGTCTTGCTGGTAGGAACGAAGCTCAGCCTTGATGGCAACAGGGAGCTGGAAGGGCTCAACCTTCTTGGGATCCAGCAGCTGAGCAATGAAGGTTCTCTCGCGGTCTCTACCCTTCAGCAGCTCCTGAGATAGACCTGGCGGATCTGGTATGCCGGCCTCAAGAGGCACAAGCTTGACCAGCGTCGCGAATGAAGTAGTTGCGATGCGCCGTACATCGTCGTTCGAGTCGCTCATGCGGCCCAGGACGGGCACGATGAGGAAAACGACATAGGGAAGAATGGAATCTCCCATGACGGCGATCAAATGGTAAATAGTCTCAATAGCACCCTGTCGGAAATGGAGGTCGAGAGGGTTGTTAATAGATGGAAGAACCTTCTCTACTAACGCTGTCATGCCCTCCACCGTTATGACGCTGCACACAGTTGCCAGGCACTTTGCAGCCATGTACCTGAAGACCGAGAGCTCAGAATGCAGAGCTGTGGCGACCAGGGGAAGTAGTTGCATGATAAATGGATGCAGTGCCACGTCAACTGTGGGTGTCATGGTACGGATAACCGACATGGCATCGACGATCTCCTGTCCAAAGGTTTGTTCAGGATCCCTGGCCTCAGCAGGAAGATCGCCCGAGAAGGCCTTGATGAGTGGTTGCTCCATAGCGCTGCGAATGCTCGGCACCACAGCCAACAGCTCGGGACCATATGTCTTGGCCAGTATCTGCAGTGCCTCCTTTGCACCACGGCGTGTGATGCGTGCGGCCTTTGCCTCACGGGCATACTGCGCGGCATCAGGGCGATCGACACGGTCCTCATCCTTCTGCATTGAAAGAACATCGTCCGTCTTTCCTGCGTTGGGCCCAAACTCGGGCGTCTCGCTTGTCTCCATGCATGAGAACTTGACCAGGTTGGCCACCACTTTGTCAGCGGGACCACGACGACCAGACTCGGTGAAGAGCTGGACCAGTCTTGCAATGGTCGATGACGATCGCGACTGCAGCTCTTGGTTCTCTTCGTTCTTGACGCTCTCCATGATTGCCTTGATCAGTGGGCTGGGCTTCTTCGGTAGAAGCTTGATTGCCACTAGTGCACAGGCTGCTGCGCCCTTGATTTGTACATCGCGGGCATCCTTCTTGACCTTGGCCTCCACAATCATCTCCGCGGTACTGTCTCGGGCCTCGGCGAGTTGTTGGCTCGCGATAAGACGCTGACCGGGAGCCATGACCTTCTTCAGCTTCTCATAGTCCTCATTTACCACCTTCTCCGCGTTGATGATCGAAAATGCTCCTGGTCCTGCTTCGGCCTCGCCTTGGACAACCACAGCCAGTACCGGGAGCTTGCCACTGGAGACCTTGCCGTGGTCGCGGAACAGGTTAATTAATTGCTGGCACTGTGTGCGGACTGCCTTGATATAGCTGACAAGGTCGCGATAGCAGGGTGGCCGTTCACCCTCGACCATCTGCTGCAACAGCGGGCCAAACCGGGAACACTGTTCTGTGCTCTCACAATTCTTGGCATATTCATCTACAATCATGCAAGCGGCCAGCTGGGTGGATGAGAACGCCGAAGAGAGACCACGCTGAATGTTCGCGTCGTACTCCTGCAGGTCTGTCGAAGGTACCCGGGACATGATAATGCCCATAGCTCTAGCGGTGTATATCCGGGATCGCACGGGTGTTTCCATGCCAACCAGGTCGACATCACCTGACATCATGCGTCCATCGAGATCATGAGACTGGGAAGGTATGGCCTCCTCGACCTTGGTGGACTTTCTGCGCCGCTTCGTGGCTCGCTCGCCCCCTTCTGATGGACTAGATCTTCGGGGTGGTGGTGGAGGCGGTGGTGCACCTGCCAGAGGGGCATAGGTGCCACCCGACGGTTTCAGGAACAATGTTGCATTCATAGGTATCGGGTTGCGCTGCACGCCGATGGGATGCAGCGAGAGCTCCATCAACGGGGCGATGTGAGAAGAGAACTCCATTGCCAGCACTGCTGGGCTCTGGGAAAGCGACTTGACGAGAGCAGTCCACAGCTCGAGGGACATCTCGAGCGTCTCCGGGTCGCGTTCCACAAGGAGGTTCTGGAAGATGAGCCTGAGGAGCCTGCCGTCGAGCCAGCCCTGGGATGACTCTGCGTCTAACTTTGCAAATGTCATGAGAGCTTTTAAGACTGCGAGACGGACAGAAGTTATGGTATGACGGAGGAATGGGTACAGTCGAGGGACGAGAACGGTGAATGACCTCTCCTCGTCTTCCTTGGCCGACGTCTTCATCGCGGAGAGAACTTCGGGGAAACCGCAGAGAATGGCGAGAAGGTCCATGATCTTGCCCGTGGAGGCACTCAGATCGTCGCTAAGATCGGCGAGACCCTCCCAGACGATATAGATCAGCTTGTTCAACTCGCCTGGACGCTGCGTGACAAACTCCTTCGCCATGGGGATCAATGTGGCAGCGCTGACTGAACGCACATCGTCATCTCTGTCGCCCAGGCCCTTCATGACAGCACGGATAATGCCATCAATCATGTCGCCGTCTTCCATGAGGAGGTCCTTGCGCACAGCAACAACATATCGGAGTCCCACCATGCCACCATGGCAGATGGGCCAGACATGCTGTTCCAAGGGCAGGTCTTCTTGCATGACCATCCGATAGAGAATGCGATAGATGGCATGCACAGAATTTGCGGGAAAGTGAAACAGGACGGAGCCCAGTGTCTGGCCCACCGTTTCACGGATTGGTGCCACCGATGTGTCTGAGCTGTAATCTGTAAATCTGTCCAGCATCAGAACACAACATAGCCGGCAGGCAACATCATCGAGCCACTTCCGGTTCCGCTCATCGTTCTCGCTGCGTGACCTGCCGCGACATCGACCAGCACCTGCACCATGGACCCTGATGACTTCTCTCAGACCCATGGCTGCACCGTGTCTTGTCTCCCAAGAAGGATCGAAAAGGTCAATCTTGAGGAAATCACAGAGCCGCTCGTAGGGCCACTCGATGCCTTCGACGACAACGTCTGTCTCGAGTTCCGATTTGATCGGTATGATAGGGCCCTTGTACTCGGAAACAACTTTCGAGTCTTCGTCAATGTCAGTGGGCCTGTCAAGGCTGAAGTAATCAGCCATCTTGCCATTCTTCTTGGAGTCGGCATCGGCCATGGGTGTCTCATCCGGAAAACCTTCAGACCCAGCGGTGGTTGCGCGGCGGAGCGAGAGGTCGCCGAAGCCACCCTTGCCCTGGGCAGCTTTCTGAGCTTCGCGCTTCCTCTTCCGCTTCAGAACGTTGAGCTGCCTTGCGCTCATGCCACTCTCCTCTGTCGAGTGGGGCGCAGGTGCCCCATGATGGTTGCCGTTGAAGCCATTCGTGTCGGCTGGTGTGCTGGGGCTGGCACTATCACGAGAGACAGGCAACTCCTCGTCCTCGTATATGCGGCCAAGTAGACCTAGTCGACCGATGAGAGTCTTCTTTTGATGAGCTAGACGGGCCTGTGGATCCAATGCGCCGAGTGCGTAGTCGACGGTGCCACCTCGTAGTAGTTCCCTGCCGTATTTTATTATGTTTGTCACGTTGAGGGTGTCTAGACTCAACGTGTCATCCTCGAGGAGGGTTGGCGCTTCCCTGTCCTCCTTCTTGACGAAGCCATCACCGTCGTCTTCGTCCTGCTTCTTGGGCGCCACGGGCTCCTCATCTGCGTTTGGGTCGTAAGCTTCTGCATTTTCGATGATCTTGCCGATGGCCTTAGCAGCAGTTGACCGGGTCTCCCAGTCCTTGTGTCGCAGATAAGGGACCACTCGAGAGAGGAGGTTGAAGAGCTCCTCTGGTTGATGCTTCTGCCAGTCGGCAAGCTGGTTCACGGCCGTGTCCCGGATGAGACGGGTACTTCCAGTCTCCAGGATACTGAGAAATGTCAGCTTCAGAGCACATCAAATTGGGGTTTATCAATGACGAGATGGAACTTACGTCACAAGGCGGTCGAGTCTTGATGCCATCTTGAACTATATCATGGCGCGAACCAAATAGGCAGTTGAGAAAAGACTAGAAGCTACTGGCAACGCGACAAGGCTGACGGAGCCATCAAATCCACTTTTTCCGGTGTTTCAGAGGCAAGAAGCCTAGTTGATGACTGAACCTGGGATACATGGTTAGAAAATACTGCAGAAGACGCGCAATTCAAAGAAATCTCAAGTCAAGGTCCGATAGGTGATGACGCGATTGGTGCTGACTGAATGCATTGCCTGAACATCAAAGCTCGAGAATAGAAATGAAGTGAGATGCTTGAGTGAGAGGCTTACTTGTTGATTAGAGGCTAAAATGGAAGCTGTCCAATCAAACTGTTGCTGTGGGGCGGTGAGGCACCTACTCTTCCAAAGCAGGCGCTGCAACCGGAAGTCGAGATGCTGCAGATGGCTGCAGGAAGAATTGAGGAAGATGAAAGTGATGACCGTGTGAAGATGAGTCGTAGTGTTTTTGCTTTTCTTCTTTCCTTTCTTTCGTGGCGTTTGGCGATGGTTTTTTAATTAAAAAAAAGCAAAGCTGTGGTCGTGCTTGGGCGTCGCGATCAAAATCTACACAAAGTTGGCAGTGAGATCTGAAACTTTGACATGCGGAATGCGCCGAGGTGGATTTGCAGGTTGACCTTGGGAGATCTGGGCCGCGTCGGGTAATGTTGGTTGCTGATGCTGTAATGCAGAATGATGTGGTACCAGCTTGGTTGCTTTTTCTTTTCCTTTTCATGCAGTACCGCGGCGGGTCTGGGGCTGAGATTTGGGTTATGGGCCTCGGGTCTGGGTCTGGGCCTGGGCCTGGGCACGATCTGTGGACAACAAGGCTTCACAGCGGCGGCGGCAGCAGCGGCAGCGAGCTTGTGAGAGAAATCACCCCAGGGGCGGGCGTGGCCCTTCTATATCTAAGGTATCCTTATTTTTATAATCGCGTGGGACTGGCCCCAACCGTTACTTCCCTGCACAACCTCCGCTGAATGGAGACTAGCGCAAGAGCCATCCCCTGCTCCCGTGTCTGCCACTTCTGGGACCAGAGCAGCAAGTACTGCCGCCTGTGGACAACCAAATTTTTCAGGGCTTGGCTTTTCTTTCCATCGCCATCAGTCAGGCCTACCTTTTCCTCGCGCCTTTTTTTCTTCTTCACCCAATGCTCCTTTTAGTTCACGTAGCCTTTGATGATTAGCCGGTTGATAACGATAGTGGAAGCCAGATCCACACAAGCTCTGCCTAGCGCCACCTTACATCTTCATCGTCCCTGCCGCTTCTGCTTCCATCCAGCCATCAAAATTCATCATCTGAATAGTGGCAATATTGGGTTCGAAAAAGTTCGTATCAACTAATCATCAAATCATCAACCTTCACTCATCCCTTTTTACGGAGAAGAATGCGTATGCATGCGCTTGTTAGCAGATGTCCCCGCACATGCATACATACATCCCTTGATAATTCTGTGCAGTGCCCTAAGGCTTTTCGTAGTGGACATTTTGGTCAGATAAAAAGGCTGCGTCTACTCTCTGCGAAATGCCCTCCCTCGTTCCGTCTGGCACGTGCTTCAGATCTGGGACACGCCATCCAGATTTTCTGTCTACCTTGCCCGCCGTGCCCGCCTCACAATTTGACGGAGCGCCACCCACGTGAGAGGCCACCTGTGCACTTTCGTCAACGCTGTCGTAACCCACTAGGCTTTCTTCTTCTGCCTGTCAGCGCCGTGACTCTCTTGTTCAGACAGCGTGAGCTTCTCGAGCTTCCCCAAAACTTTGCACCCAACCAAACGTCCCGCAGAGTATTGAGAGTAAAGGAAAAGTCTCGTGGGACAATAGGACAAGGCTGGCCTTAGTCATTCGGCCTAAGCTCTCGATCCGGAGGGCCGTACCAGAGCACATCCCTGCCTATGGCTTTTACTAGTACAATAGCTGAGTTCCCTCTCAATATTCAACAACTTGCTCATCGGCATTAACAGCAACCCTGATGTCGCTCACGAGAATTCTGCTCTTGCTTGCTTTCATCATACGAATGATTGCAAAGTAGCTGCCTTCTACCATCTTGCTGGCGAAAAGAGCAACCTTATAGTCTCACATAGATTCCCAAGCCCAGATTGTTGTTGCCTACATCTTTCGGGATAAGCGCGTGCACTTGCCTGTGACGCATGTACCGGGTCGTTCGGGACGTAGGCTGAGCCACGTCGAGATGAGTTACTCAAGACCCAAATATGCAAACGTACCTACCATCTCTAATGAGATACAGAACTTACTAAGAAACATCCTCATTCTTCCTTCACGTCTTCTTTCCGAGACTTATTATGCTATTCATACAAATCTCAGCAAGCCGCTAGGACTGTGGAAGAGGGCTGGCCATAGTGTTCCGTGCCAGTGATCGTCAGGGGCCGCAGTGATGTACATAGTACACGGCTATCTGTAGTGGTACATGGGCGTGTCTCGTCACATTTACTTCTCAACCATTCACGGCTAGATCACCGTTTGTTTTGGTCGTTTCAATGCAATCGTGTCTGGCTCCACATGGCAGCACCTCATACCGTGCATCGGCGGGTCTTTCAACAACACGTCTTACGAGCGAGGCTGTGGAAGACATTTTCGGGGAAAGCCACGAGATTGAGACAGGTGGCTATACACAAGAGGCGGAAGACGATGTCAATTCAAGAAGACACAAGAAAAAGAGAGCAAGAAAAAGAAAGAAAGAAACCCTACTAAAAGCCGAGAGAATGACAACGGTGTGGTTGATATATTCCATTGGCGCCCGGGAGCGAATCAGTATCTCGATCCCACAGATTCTTGGCTCCTGGCGTGTAGTCTCGGGGTAAGAATCAAGGCCTTGTGCATAGATTGCATTGTTTTCGTTTCCTGTCCAAGTGATCCGCTATTGCTCAGCCAATATCCTCAACTCTAAATACTCGAGATTCGGCTGGGCAACCCGAAAGTACCTTGTCTAGCCTATGGTTGATGTTGCGGTTCGTAGCTTATGTCAGCAGGTCCAGATAGGGAAGGGACCCCCCGCAGCGGGCGTTCCTGCTTAACATTAAGCCCATAAGGCCGTCGCGTCGCGTACTTGACTTGCAGCACCCACCTTCGTAAGAACGCTTAACAAATCTCCTCGAGCACATTCAACCGCGTCAATACTCTTGCCACCATTTCGACTGGCACTGAAGATCAAAAGAGTCACATTGATTGAGCTGGAGGTTGATTTCATTAGCAGCTGCAACGCGCTGCTGCTGCGTTGACCGGCAAGATGTACATCAAACAAATCATCATCCAGGGCTTCAAGAGGTTTGCGCCGCCCCCGACCCACTTGTCGTTATTATCACAGACTGACATGCATCCACAGCTACAAGGACCAGACGATCATCGAGCCTTTCTCACCCGGAACGAACGTGGTCGTGGGACGAAATGGCTCGGGCAAGAGCAACTTCTTCGCGGCCATACGCTTCGTGCTGAGTGATGCTTACAATAACCTCAGCCGCGAGGAGCGCGCCGCGCTTCTCCACGAAGGCTCAGGCTCTGCCGTCGCTACCGCGTACGTCGAAGTCATTTTCGACAACTCGAGACCCCATCGCCGGTTCACGACCATCGACGAGGACGAGGTCTCCATACGAAGGACAATCGGGCACAAGAAAGATGAATACTCGGTGGACAAGAAAGTCTGGCCGAAGAAGGAGGTCATGCAGTTGCTCGACACGGCAGGATTTTCTAGGACCCAGCCGTTCTACATCGTGCCGCAGGGACGCGTCACGGCGCTCACCAACATGAAGGAGAAGGACCGTCTAAACCTGCTCAAGGAAATCGCTGGCACCCAGCTGTACGAGGACAAGCGTGCCGAGTCGCTGAAGATCATGCATGACACGAGCAACAAGAGAGAAAAGATCGATGAGTTGCTGGACTACATCAAGGAGCGCCTGGTCGAGCTGGAGGAGGAGAAGGAGGAGCTCCGAGGGTTCCAGAGCGCTGACAGGGAACGGCGCTGTCTGGAATACGCGTACTACTATCAACAACAGATGGCCGCCGAGACTCTGCTCGAGGAACTCGACTCAGCAATGAAGGACGGCGGCGAGAACGACTCGGAACAGCGCATGGCATTGACAAGGGGGGAGAGAGCCATTGCAGAGTTGGAGTCCAAACATAGCTCCTTGCAACAGAATTTGAATCTGCTGAAGATGGAGCGCCGCCAGCTTGAAGAGGACAGGCGCGAGAGCGCAAAGGCCCGCGCTAAGGCGGAGCTCAAAGTAAAAGACCTCGCTGATAGCCAGTCATCCCGGGATCAGGCCAAGCAACAGCACGACAAGGAGCTAGAAACGGTCAGGAAGGAGATCAGAGCGAAGGAGGCAGAGCTCAAGAAGCTTATCCCCGAGCTCGAGAGACGCAAGGCGAAAGAGGACGAGGCCAAGCGAGCCCTTGATGTCGTCGAGAACAGCAGGACTCGCCTCCTCAATAAGCAGAGTCGCGGCGCGCAATTCAAGACCAAGGCCGAACGGGATACCTTCCTACGAAAAGAGATCAACGAGCTTAACCTCACCATCGCCAAGCAAAAGTCGGTCTTTGTGGACGCTGAGGAAGAGGTGCAGCATGTCAAAGCTTCAATCCAGCAGCTGGAAGAGGACGTCGCCGACCTTCGCGCCCAGCTCGAGAGTTGGGGTGGCGGAAGGCAGTCTATGATTGATCAAGTTGCTCAAGCCCAGGAGAACCTCGACAACCTCAACGAGGAACGAAAGCGACTGCGTCGTGAGGATGACAAGCTCGATACGGTCCTCGCCAGGACAAGGGAGGAGAAAGATCGCGCGGAGCGCGAGCTCTCCTACGCCATGGACCACGCGACCGCCAGAGGCCTGGCTACTCTGCGCCAACTCAAGCTGGAGCGAGACATTCCAGGGGCATACGGGACTTTGGCCGAGCTGATGGAGGTTCCTGAGGCGTATCGGATCGCTGTTGAGCAAACAGCAGGCACCAGTCTATTCCACTACGTTGTCGATAACGAGAAGACGGCGAGCATGCTCGCCACCGAGCTATACAAGAGACATGGAGGTCGCATCACCTTCGTGCCCCTTGCACAGCTCAAGCCCAGAAAGGTTAACATGCCGCGCGCGAGCGACATCATCCCCCTCATCAGCAAGATCGAGTACGACCCACAATTTGACGATGCCTTCCAACAAGTCTTTGGCAAGACGGTTGTAACGAACAATCTGCAGACTGGCAGCCAGTATGCGAGGAGCCACAACGTTGACGCTATCACATCTGACGGAGACATCATCAACAAGAGAGGTGTCATCTCTGGTGGCTTCATCGACTCACGCAAATCACGTCTGCAGGCGGTCTCGGCCGTCAATCAATGGCGTGACAAGCACGATGAGATACTGTCCAAAGCCCGCGCCACCCAGAAAGAGATAGATCAGAAAGATCAGGAGATCACCCGTGCTCTTGGAGAGCTGCAAAAGAGGGAGTCGAATCTGCGTAGAGCCGATGGCGGCCTGGAGCCTCTCAAGATTGAGCTGAGGCACAAGCAAAGCCAGCTGGAGCGAGCGCGCGAACACCTCGACGCGGCGACGACCAGGAGGGATCAGGTGAACAAGAATATGCACGACTTTGGTGGCATGCTGGAGAACCTTGAGCAGGAGCTAGCCTCTGATTTCAAGAAGGCGCTAACGGGCCACGAGGAGCAGCAGCTGGAAACGCTTGCTGTCCAAGTACAACAGCTGCAAAAGGACTGGAACGAGGCAGCTCGGGCTCGCCGGGAAGTGGGCACTCGACATGCAATCCTAGACACGGATCTGCGTCAAAACCTGCGGCTTAAGGAAGACCAGCTGAGCAGCCTGGCTTTTGAGAATTCCTCCTCTGCAGATGGCGGCAACAGCTACGCCGACGCGCAGAAGGAACTCAAGAAGATTATGAAGTCTGCCGGAGTTATTGAAAATAGACTGCAGCAAAATGAGGTCCAGGCCGAGGAGGTTGGGAGCCAGATCACAGAGGTCGAGTCGACCATAGAAGGCAAGCAGCAACAACTGCAAGATCTCTCACGACAGATCGAGAAGCAGCAAAAGAGGATAGAGAAGAGCGCCCAGAGGAAGCATCTCATCACGAACGACATAGAAGAGTGCGCCAAGAACATCCGTGATCTCGGCGTTCTGCCCGACGAGGCGTTCACAAAGTTTGTGAAACTCAAGACAAACGAGATCCATAAGAGACTTCGCGCATGCAACGAAAAGCTCAAGAAGTACAAGCATGTCAACAAGAAGGCCTTCGAGCAGTACACCAACTTTACGAACCAGCAAGAGCAGCTCCTAAGGCGACGGCAAGAGCTCGATGCCTCGCAAGCTTCCATCGAGGAACTTATTGCACACCTTGATGAACGCAAGGACGAGGCAGTTGAACGAACATTCAAGCAAGTGTCCAAGGGGTTCGCTGAGATCTTTGAGCGTCTGGTGCCGGCCGGCCACGGTCGTCTCAGGATCGAGCGCAAGACCGACAAGCGCCGAGACGCAGCAGAAGACTCGGATGAGGAGAACAGCAAGGGCGGTGGCTACGAGAGCTATACGGGTGTGAGCATCAACGTGTCGTTCAACTCGAAGGTGATGGACGAGCAGCAGAAGATCCAACAGCTCAGTGGTGGTCAGAAGAGTGAGTCTACCCCCGCCGCCCCCCACCCCGGGCCCTCTTTGGCGTAGTGGCCATCTCTGTCCAAACTAACATTTCGGCAGGTTTGTGCGCCCTCTGCTTGATCTTCGCCCTTCAGAACGCAGAGAGCAGTCCGTTTGTCATCTTTGACGAGGTCGACGCCAACCTCGACGCGCAGTACCGGACGGCGGTGGCAGAGCTGCTTCAGTCGCTGTCCAATGAGGTCGGCACGCAGTTCATCTGCACAACCTTCCGTCCTGAGATTGTCCATGTTGCGGACAAGTGCTACGGTGTGACGTTTCGCAACAAGTCGTCTGCCATTGGTTGCTACGACACGGAGGATGCCCTTGAATTTGTCGAGGGTCAGGCGCCTAAGTAGTGTGGACTTTGTGGCAGAGCACCATTGGGCATGCAGATCTAAGGTTCTGCGTTGCACATGTGTGTATTAATGTGGGCGCCGGCTCACCTCGGTTGCATGAGATATGACTCCGGTCGGGAAAGGGTATCATTCAAAGTGGTTCATTTTTGCAGTTTTTTGGTGCCGAGGGAGCCAGTGTGGATTCAGAGCCACACATGACGGTCTAGTTGCATACTATGGTACATTGTCGTTATTTACAAGTACCAAAACCGATTCTACCATACGATCGTTCTCGGGTGTGCTTCCAGTCCTTGTATGTCGATATGGTTGTCAACACAAGTCGCACTCAGCATAGGGCCACGAGACTCAGCAGGCATAGGCGGGATGACGAGTCTGTGTCACTACGAGAACAACGACCAACTATGGACGCGTCTTGTTACGCGTCAGAGGTACATCATCCATCATGCTACGAACCGCTGACCACACAAACAATGCAACAAACGTCTTTCTTCTTATAATTCTCGAAAGAACGACTAACGCCTTGCCATGATGAGCTATTTGAACGAGTGATCAAGTAGGTATTTGGGTTCGCCCAGGTATTTCCAGCCCTGGCCTGACCCCTTGGCGTAAATATCCACCAAGAAAAAAACAAACAACGCCATCCCTCATCCTCATTCTAATCTACATGTTGGCAAAGACAGCGGCGCCACCGAACAGCGCACCCATACCCACCGCCGCCGTCCTGACCGGCGCAGGGTTGCTTGTCGCAGTCGCGGTGGCGGCAGACCCAGATCCAGTCCCCGTAGCGGTCCCCGAGTGCCGCAGCGAGCTGACGCGCGCGCTGAGCGAGCTGGTGAGCCCGCTGAGGTCCGAGCTGAGGCTGCTCGCGATGCTCCCCGTGGCGGTGGCGAGCACGGAGCTGATGGAGCTCGCGCGGCTGCCGGCGTCGCTCGTCAAGCTGGCGATGTTGGAGCTGAGGTCCGACAGGTGGCTGGAGATGTCGGCGCGGAACGAAGAGCTTATGCTCAGGCTGTGGTCTGAGGTGAACTCGGAGGCGACGGAGGCTGCTGCCGAGCTCACGTGACCCACGGCGGAGGAGAGATGGGCCGCGGCGGAGGAGAGGCTGTCGCCGGCGGCAGTCTCCAGTATGCCGCTTGCGTCGCCGGATTCGGTCGAGGTTACGTCGGCAAAGTCTTGGGCCTGGAGGGTTTGGGAAAAAGGGAGGAAGAGAGAGGAACAGGTCAGCTAGGGGAGAGTAGGAGAAAGAGAGAAAGAGAGAAAGAGAGAAAGAAAGAAAGAGAGAAAGAGAGAAAGAAAGAACTTGTCTGAGGGAGGGAGGGAGTGAGGGAGTGAGCGGAACTTACCGAAACCGCGGCCACCAGGGCGAGGACAATGGCGGATGGGCGCATTTTTCTAACTTCTTGATATATATATATATTGGATTGATCCTATACCAGATTTCCAAGAACAGAAAAGATAGAGGAAGATGTAATTGTTTCTCAACAACTGTTCTTCTTTCCCTTTTCTTTCCAGATAGAGCAAGGGCACTTATATACAGAATGAACAGTCCCGATAGGGGTTCACATGCCCTTTTTGTACCTCAACGGTCCCCAATGTCGATCCCATGGGACCGGCGCCAGAGAAAACTCCACCCGGTAAATGCAAATGCAAAGGAAGGTCATGAAAAACTGCCGTGTAGGCGAACATGTTCGTCGCAAGGGAGGAGGGGGGAGGGGGGGGAGGGACCCCTTGGCAAAAAGTTGGCCTGTTTCAAAGTGAATGGCACGGTGGGTTTTCTGCCGGTTTTTCCCCTACGAGGGTGGGTGTACCAGCAAAACAATCTCACCGTCATTATGGTGTTGGGGCGATCTGCAAGTGGTTCTAATCCCGTCCCGGGACATTTTGAGATCTGGGGTTGCACCCTTAAAGCAAACAAGGCAGTCAGACACACACACGGACACGCGACACGGCTGTGGCTCAGCACCAGGCTAGGGTTTATACAGTACGGCTTCGGAGGGAGAACTTTCCATGGGCGGATCCTGCTTGCACTGACTAAAAGGGGGTGGTGGGCTTGCTGATTTACATTGTGCTATGGGAGGATGATCAATAGAAAATGGAGGGTGAAACTGCAAGGAATTTACTCGTGCCAATGTGAAAAACAACACACCGGAACTATGACCAGCAGAACCTCCGATGTGGCTCGCAAAGGCATCACACGAGGCTTTGCCTCTCAGCACAGGGGGGGGGGGGGGAAATATCAAGGTTTAGCTATCTGACACTGACAGGCCCTGTGGGTCCGTGGCTTGAGAGCTGCTCAACCTTTGAATGCCGCCTAGGCCGTGCTTGGCCGTCCGGGCGTGCCGGACGGACACCGACTATCGTCATTTCCCCCGAGCTGCCCAATATGGATTCGCCCGCCGATCCAAGCTGACGAAGGGCCGCGTGCGATATACTCAAGACCTGGCGGCGACAAAACCAAAAAGTTGTTTAGGCACAAGTCCCTGAGACGAGACAGGTGTAATTCTGGCACACCCTGTCGCCCACAGACGGAAAGTTACATCGAGGTTCCCGTCGTGCGACTGCATCCACACCCATCTTTTCTCTGTCTTGTGCAGAAGCCGGCAGAAATGATCTGTTACAGACAGACACGGGTTGCATTAGGCTGTCAAAACTGTGTGTCTGAATGCGACGATGATGCTCCAAGACGAGGAATTCTTCGCGGCGCCAAGAATGCGACAAGGCGGTTTGAGCAAGAAAAAGAAAAAAAAAAAGCTTATTCTTTCAATATGCGTTCTAGACCTCAGTCGCTGCCAGAATTGGGTCATCTTTGTTTCTACATCGCTCCTCACTGGTTGGGAGGAATGCCTTTCTTGACCGTCGTCACAATATCAGCAGCCTCATCCGAGTTCTTTGCTTCAAAATCGTATCTCTTGATCTCATTTTCCCGGTAAATGACAAACTAGAAGTTGACTGTTAGCGACACACATATTCAGGGCTTGAAATGAAAGTACTGGATGAAAAAATTGGAAAGACAGAAGAACTACATACCTTGAACTGCGAAGGGTGCCGTCTCGACAGTTTGCACCCGATTACGTTGCTAAAGTGCACCGTCGTAGTCTTGCTGCTGCTGTCCGTTACGGCTTTGCCGTTCGACGACGGGATGATGTGTATGTACTCGCCATCAATGACAAACAAGCGCTCATTCAGGCCCGCAAACCGCATAGTTTGTTTGCGCCACACAATGTACCGCCTGTAGTTGCTGTTTCTGTTCAGCTCCTCCTGCGCCATTGCCTCCTTGGCCAGGGGGTGGATGCCCTTGGTCTTGGAGGCCTTCTTTCCAACCGCCACGCCCATCTCAGAGAACAGCAGTCGTGCTGCAGGTGAATGCCCAACTGGGGACTGGCTGAGCGTCGGGTCGCCGAAGCGTCTCTTGTGCAGCTCGAGATCCTGCATGGCCCCAATCGCCGACACGGGCCGGTCCAGCAAGGCCACCGCCCCGGAGTTGGGGATCTTGAGGATATGGAAGTTCTTGTCGAGGTTGCGCTTGCGGCAGACAAGCTCTAGCACTTCCTCAATGTACATATCCGTCGTCACGTCCACTGTCACCATCTGTCCAGGAGGGGCCTCTGGCGTCTGGATGTGAATGCGCAAGAATTTGTGCTGGCCTCTTGAGGTGTTGGTCGTGGTGACCTGTGGCCGTGGTATGTCGAGCATGTTCGTGCCGCGATGCACTGTATTGAGCACAGGATTGTAGCGCCCCGTGCTTGGCACGAGCGGTGGTGGTGCCGTCGCGGCGTCCAGCACTGCCGTGTTGGGATGAGGGGGGTCCTCTTCGCTGGGCGTCTCCGCAGCAGCAGCAGCAACCTCTTCGGAGAACTGTGGAGTTAAGGCCTTGTTGGCCTCGAATTCGGAGGCTGAGGCTGGGACTAGGGCAAAGTCGTCATAGATTTTGGTATTGGCCCTGCCTCTGCCAATCCGAGGCATGGCGGCCGTGGGCCGCGCGCCCTCATTCTTGTTGTTGGATGTGGTGACGAACTGCGAGAGGGGTTTGGTGCGCTCCAGGGGACGGAAGTCATCGTCCACCTCACCACCCTCCTCGACCATCCTCAGCGTCCACCAGTTCAGGTTGAGCTTGTCGCTGGGAAGAGGCGGCTCGTACTTCTCCTCGTTGTACCGCCAGAGGGCAAGGCCGATGAGGTCAGCCACATTGACGGGGCGGTCCGCAGCATTGTCGTCGCGCGTGATCCTGCGGATGAGCACCTCGAATGGCTTGTACGGCTGGTTGGAGAAGGGGCTGTAGATGCGGATCATGAGTGGACTGGCTTCACCCTTTCCAGAAAGTGCCGCGAAACCTTCAAACGGTGTGGCCGGCTTGGTCTTCTTGGCGTTCAGGGCTTCAGATATCAAGCTCTTGGGATTGATCATGCTGACGGGCCGGAGAGTGCTTGTCGGCCGCCTGGGGGGAAGATCACCAATGACCTGTGTAGGAGGTGGCATCTGGGATCTCCGGATGGTCGACTGTCGCCTGAACTCGCGCGGTGGCGTTCCAACGAGCTGGTGCGAAGGTGACATGTTTGCCAGTGGGGGTTTCTCCAGGTCTCCAGCTAGCATGGTCGTGGACTCGATGCTCTCGTTGAATGCTGACGACATGTCAGATGCATCCGAATCTTCCTCCTCTTCTTCCTCAAGGAGATCGCTGTGCTGCCTGTTGACGCCGACAGCAGGCTCCGATTTGTTCAGGTTGGTCTGGATGCGCACAGCCTTTGCCGCCGCGCGGGCGGCATCTCTATGCCTCTGATAACCACCAGCCTCCAACTCGTTCTCGGACGATATCTCACTACTGGTCACAGTGTCACGCCTCGCCCTCTCTTTGACCGTCTCCAGGGCAGACTGTGAGCCACGTCGCGGCGGGGGTCGAGGGGAACTGGCAGATGTTGCCTGTCGCAACGTAGACGACTGCAGAGGTGAAGAGCCAGAACGGTTTCGCACGGGCATCTTGGCAAACTTGATCTGTTGCGCAGCCCTCTCCGTCTCCTCGTCGCTCTCGTCGCTCAGGTCGCTGCTGTCCTCCTCTTCCATCTGCTCCCGACGTCGCCTTCTCTTGGTCGCGATGCCAGGACCAAGAGTATCATTGCCTCCTCCTGTGAGCATTCCACCTTCCTCTGGCTCATCCTCGAGAGTCAAGCCCAGCCGTCGGGGCGCTTGGAAGTATTCGGAGGGAACGGCGGCGGGGATCTCTGGAGAGTGTGTCCTCTTGATCAGGGAAGGATTGGCGCGCCATCCTGCCGCCTTGAAGGGAGCTGAGCTTAGGAAGTTCTCGTTGAGTGTGATCAGTCGTTCGCCCACTCCGTCGGCAACCTCAGTCAGGTAGCTAGCCCTGAGCTGGTACGATACTAGACTGGAGAAGTTGTAGTGGTCAGTACGCGATCACATGTCAATCAATATCTTGGTGCGTTCGAGGTGTACATACTCTTCAACTTGTATGACAGACATCTTGACACCACTTCTGTATAGAGGATCTGAATGAATCTCTTGTCATCATAATCACATAAGAGATCATGTAGAAGGAGAAATTGGTTGTCGTTGCTGCCCAGCCAAGGACTCCTTGGAGTGGAGGGAGAAGGATCTACAAACAATGGGAGATGCTGTAACAGGGCTGTGACAGCCACTGAACACGACCAACACAGTGGTATGCTAGTGGGTCTCTGGACCCCTGCCCACCCCGCGTTGGGCAGGGGTACAGGGTGCAACCCCCCCCCCCCTGGCAACATCAATTGTATGTTTTCTTTGCCTTGCCAACCTGCCTTTTTCACCTCATCACTGATTAATCCTATGTACACCACTATCACCACAGCACTTCGAAACAGACCTTACGATGGGCTTGGTGGACTACTCCGACTCGGAGTCTGATAATGATTCCGCACAGGTGACCACAATAATCCCCAAAGCCACCGACGTGCCTCCTACCAAGAAATCCTTCCAGAAATTGGTCGACAAGACGAACCCAGGCAAGATCCTCGTCAACCTCCCCTCGGCCTCGACGATAGACGATGCTAGACCGAGCGACGAGCCCGCAGCGAAGCGGACCAAGACTGGCGGGAATAGATTCAGTGGCTTCAGTTCGTTCCTGCCAGCGCCAAAGGCGATATCGAAACCAGCGAGCGGGGGCAAATCTGCGCCAAAAGTTGGGATCAGCTTGAAGACGAGTTCGGAAGCCGCCTTTAGTAGGGAAGCTACAACAAATGCCACTGTGAATGGGAACGAGGTCAGCGATGGTCTCACAGGACTGAACACTTCTGGGGGGTCGGGATTGAAGCTGCCACCACCGAAGGCAACAGAATCCACACATGCGCAACCATCTATCCCGGATGGCCAGAAACCGGCAGACGAGGTCAAGTTGGTGGGGAAGCCGATGATGTTCAAGCCGCTCTCTGTAGCCAGGAAACCGACAAAGAAGAACGGGGCGAAGACACCCGCCGCCCCGAAAGCCTCGACCTCAGCAAGCACAGCAGTTGGAGGAGGGGCTACTACTCGACCCATAGCATCTTCAGCGGAACCAGAGGTTGCTACGCCTGTCAAGAAGAAGGTCTCCCTATTCTCCTTCCAGGACGACACCCCGATTGCTGAGGCCGCACCACCGCCGGACAGCGGCTCGTACGAGCCAGAATTTATAAATCAGGAGGACGACAGCACTACTTTCTCATCAGAGGACGCGCCATCCATGTATTCGCAGCCGGCGCAATACGCAAACTATATACAGCCATTCTCAGCTTCGAACGCCGCCCCCGACTCACTCGACGCGATAGCTGATGACCTCAATCTGGATCCAGTCGCCCGGCGCGAATTGTTTGGCCGTGGAGGAGGCGGCGGCAAGGCCACGGCCAAGTCCGTCATCAACTTCAACCTGGACCAGGAGTATCGCCAAAACGAGGAGCTCCGCGCCTCGGGCGCCTTGGAGGCCCAGCAGCACAACCCGCTCCGCGCTATCAAACCGGGCAAGCACAGTCTACAGCAGTTGGTCAACCAGGTCCAGACGCAGCGGGATGCACTGGAAGAGAACTTTGCAAAGAACCGGACTACGCAGAAGCAGGCTGGCTCTAAATACGGCTTCAGATAATGATTGGGGTGCCGCGACAAGGTGCTATCCCGGGCCTGGCCTGCTGTCATGGCTTCCCTGCTGGCAAAAGGGCCAGATCAGCACAGGTCGCATAGACAGGCAAGCCACAGGAGACTGTGGACGCCGTTCATCTTATCTTAGTCTAGGAGCGCAGTGTCATGGCTGCATGATTTCCGAGGCGCGAAGCCTGGCGTTTGGTCGGCGTGTTCAGCTCTTGTCCGCGACTGAGCAATGATAGTCAGCCCCCTCATGTCAATACTGCAGCCATTCTTTCCCTAGACATACTCGAGATGTTTTTGCACACCTGAACCTCGATGACAGTGCTCGACATACAAGAGCTGGATGATCAGAAATTCAATGGCTCTTCGAAAGCCAGGGCCCATCTTATGTGTTCGGTGGGTGAACTTTGTTCAGGAGAGTAGCCGTGACAACTAGCTACGCTACAAACATGCCAAGCAGTATACTGTGCTGCTACTGTGTAACACTGGAAGAAGTTACTCGGGCTGAGGTATAAAGAAGACCTGCGGCGATGGGCTCAGAGAGACACGTGAGGGAGGGACGAGGACCAGCGAGTAGATCGATATGGAAAGAAAATTGCACAGCCAACCTGGCTAGCTTCTATTCAAAAAGGTTGGTACGATGATGGCCAACGTGAGAAGTCGAAGAAAAAAGGTCCCGCTATATGGGGATTCATTTTGCTAATTGAAGCAGTCATGAAGATCATGATCATGCCCGCTTTTTTTGTACAAGAAAAATAAGAAGAAAGGAAGAAAAGAATTGGTCCCCAAAATCCATGCACCACCAAATAAAAGCTGCAAAGATACCCAGCAAAAACATCCCATCATCACTCGTCCAGCGCCAGCTAATGATAAAACAACGAAAAAAAAAAAAAAACCACTCGTCCCCCCCAATCTCACACACAGCTCACAGCAGCCGTCTTCGTCCGGAACTGATCACTGATCATCAGGAAGCCCCACTCGCCCCTAGTGATGGGCGAGATATCATCATACCCGTTCGGCGTCATAGGACCGAGTCGGTCCCCGGCGGGCGTCTGCATCTCGTGGAGGGAGGAGCTCTTCCGGCTGTGGTGGTAGCTCTGATGGTGGCGCTTCTCGAGAGCCCCCCGTGGCCTCTCGTAGCTGCCAAGGATATCGTCGATGTTGAGCCACATCGAGCCCCCTGGTGTCTTAACCGGCGATCTGGCCGTGAGTTCGGCGTCCTCGAAGTCGGTGAGGTTGGCCTCCTCCTCCTCCTCCTCCTCCTCCTCCTCCTTCTCGTTTTCTTCTTCGTACTCCTCTTCCTCGTCTGAGTCGGAGATGACAATCTCGATCCGGATGTCCTTCACGGTCGGCGACACGGGCACCGCCGGCGGTAGGATGTCAAAGGATGTTCCCCTGCGGGTTGGACGTCGTTTCTGTGCCATGGGTGTCTTCTTGCGCTGGGACGTTGGCTTGAAGGGGGTCGGGAAGCTGGTCTGGAGCCTTAGGGCGGGTGGAGAGGCCTTGGGCGAGGTGCGTGGGGAAGGGATCTTGGGGGAAGAAGAGGAAGAAGCAGCAGCGGCAGCAGCAGCAGTGACAGCAGCAGCTGGCGCGGAGGGAGCCTGTGGCAGGGCTTTGGGTGGGTTTGTGGGCGTTTTTGGTAATTGTGCGGCCTGTGAACTTGCTGCCAGATCTGAGACGTTCGCAGTAACGTCATCCTTGGCCATGGCGACAACAAGGAGGTTCTCGACCGGTTGGTCAACGTCTTGCTTAGTCTCATGGATCTTGGCGAGTGTCTCTGAAGGAGGAGTATCCGGCATGGTGACCATGCCCTCGTCCGCCCATGGCGAATAATCCTGAACGATCCAGTTCTGCGCAGACATGGGCGAGAGGAGCTGCTTGTGCTGGACGGACGCAGATGAAGCCATCACTGGCGTGGGAGAATACTCGCTTGGGCTCTGCAGAAACGAGTCTTGAGGAAGGATCGCCAATGTCGGCGGCTGGTGAGCAACAGACTTGATGGTCATGTTGCTTAGCCTCGCCGCAGGTTGGGGCTGGGCTTCAGATAAAGACTCCACGGTGCTCTTCTTCATTTCGGCGCTCTCGTTCACGATCTTGGCGAGAGCCATGGTCGCAGCCAACGCCGGGATGTGGTCTCTCTTCACAAGGTCGTCTTCCACGCCTGTCTCTGTTGCGCTACCATAGGCCCGTGAGTACGTCCTCATGACTTCGCCCAGAGCTGCCTCGTTCAACGGACCCAGCCAGTCATACGCCGAGGCCAGCGTGCTCTTCAACAGGCGCCGCCTCCCACCGGCCGACATGACATATCGTCTAAGCTCGTCCACGGCGTCTTCGAGCCTGAAGTGGCTGCCAAACTCGGACCGGACGGCGGCATACCGGGCCAGCGCGGCCTTGAAGGTATAGAGGTGGTCCAGCGACAGGAGCGTCAGCCCCTCGGAGGAGTGAAGGCTCTCGTTCTGGAGGATGGAGCTGTGGAGCACCAGCGGCGGGATACCGTAGGCGGACGGCTCATGGGCTGTGAGCGGCGTGGCCAGGTCGAACTTCTTGGTCGCGCGGGTCAGAGTATCGGCAACCAGCCTGTAGGCCCGGGGGTTCAAGGGCGTGGTATGGAGCAGGCGGATCTCGGGCTCCCGTAGGTCTATTGACGCTGCTGAGGTCGTTGACCCTGCGTGAAAAGAAGGAGAGGAGGAAGAGCTGGTGATGACGACGGAAGTGGCTGGCGTGGCTGGTGTTCTTGGAGAAACATGTGAGGCAGTGGCCGATGCTGTTGCGGCTCGCCTCAACCTGGGGCCCTCAAGCAAGGAAGCCAACGACGGCTTCCTGGACAATCGGGATGGCTGTCTGAAGTCTACCTTGTCTCGTTGTGACCTGGAACGGCCCACGAGTGACTTGATGGTGCTGAACCTAGGCCCACAGGCTACCACATCTTCGGGTGATGCAGGACTGTCAGGTGGTGATGGCAGGGTCAAGAGGTTGGTGACAGGAACATAAGTCGGCATGATGGCGTCAACCCTGGCAGCAACAAGACCTGGAAGTTGGTAGTCTCTTCGGGCCACAACGAGAGTGACGTGCAGGCCCTTCATGGCAAGACGGCGAGATATGAACTCAAGCGCCGGACCCAGATATGAAGGTAGCTTGTGAGCATCGAGTAACGAAGAATCTGCCTCCAGAGGCGTCGAGATATGCGCCCTTCGATCCATGGTCGTCTCCTTGGATATTTTCAAGGATAAACCAGAGTAGATCTAGAACTCAAAAGGAGAGAGGGAGAGTGAGAGAGACAATAGTAGAAGTGAAGTAAGGGGGGAAAAAAAATGGGAGTGAATCTTGACCGGCAAGTTTTTAGTATATTAGTCTTTCGAAGACATGTGCGATGGTATGCAAAAGACACCAGAGAAGGAGAGACGTCAAGACCAAAGGAAAATCGTTAGTCGCGTTGAGAATCACTACATCATTCACACAAGATCGGAAGCTGAAGAGGTGACAGGCACATACGTATGTATATAGTATACAAAAACTGGGGTGGATGAGCATCAAGGAGGAAGGGCTGCCCACCAAACCCCCCCCCCCCCTGCAGTGCGGATAAAGAACCCCTTCGCAGATGAAACGAAACATTTCGAAAACAAACAGCAGGCTGGTAGACACTATCCCCTAACAGAACACACAAGAGCCTTGCTCCACAAGCTTCAGAGAACCCTTTTTTTGGGCTCACCCCCATGCACGGTGTGACTGAATAGAAGGGAGGGATGGGAGAAGGGGGATTCAGGGGGGGCTGGTGAAGACGAAGACGGATCACATGGATTGTAGGGGGATGGATTATCGCGTGTGCACGCACAGGCACACACAGAGAGAGACTCCTATGGGGGGAACAAAAAAAGAGAAAGCGGAATGGGGCGAGAGGAGGCGAGAGCCAGCCACTCGTATGATGCAAAAGGTCAGACGGGGAGGATCCAAAAGAAGTCCTAGAGTAAGAGAGGAGGCGTTCTCTCTCGACATGGTCCATCCAGTATGTGACTCCGAAAGAACCCTGGCGTGCATACACAAGGACAACGATCGACTGATGGATGGGATATACCAATGTTCTGTTGAGCATCTTGCATCGTCGTCGAGAATGGCCGCTGTATAAAGTGGTTCCCAGGTCGTGTAAGTCAGGGTCAAGGTCTTGCTTTGGTTCGCTGAGAGGTTGTCGTCAAGATGGGACTGGGGAAGGGACCACCACCCATCTAACCTGCCAAGCTCCCTGCAGTGTCAGTGTCACACTCAACAGCGCTTAGGCGTCCGTCCATATTTAGTACCGCTAGTTAGTGCCGGGACAGCGTAAGGAGCTTTCTCTGTCCAACCAATTACTGCGTGGGATCCGCTCACGGTGCAGCGGGGGATCTACAGTGCACACCCAAGGTCCCCTGCCTGCATGCTGCGCACAGGGGGGGTGCCGTGACTCTATTTTTAAAGTAACTACTTCCCTTCCCTTCCCTTCCCGCACCACCATCGCTAAATGTACAGTAAATGTGGTATTTACCCTTTGCCCCACTCTCATAACGTCCCTCAACCACAAGGGCTCCCCCCCCCTCTTCTATCACCACCAAGTCTTGTATTCAGCTGATGTTGGAGGGGGGAAAGAATCCCCATCAGCAGTGGGGTGATAGAACCGCCCATGTTCGAAACTGACTCGAGAGGTTGTTGTTCTACTGGGAGGAATTGTCTTTCTTACCTCCTCCGTGATTCCACCCATTGCGTGATACTTGCTACAATCGACAATAATAGATCTTGCCCCGGCATGTGACCAGAAAGAGACACTTCTCTGCCATGTGTCATTGCAATCGCAATGCCCCAGTCGTGACGCTTTCTAGGAGGGGAATCTCCCATCTCTTCCATTTCTCTGCAGAATACTACCATATTAGTATGCTACCACACCTGCCTCCTGGCCTCCTGTCAATAGTTCTTTCCGCTACTCTCACCATGGGAAGAAAGGCACTAAGGTGACATGAGAAGGTGTGACAGATCGCAAATCACCAAATCATAATGGCACACGACTAATAAAAACTTGGCCCCCTTTCGCCACTCTATTCTCTTTCACGGCCCCTAGCTGGAGTTGTATGAGTGATCCTTGGGGTTTGTGTGTATCTCTGGGTGTGTGGACGTCAGCACCTAATTAGAATCTCTCTCACAGGGATTCTAGTCAGTCTCTCTCTCACTCTCCTTCAATCCTTCCCCGGAAGCCCCGTCTGCCTCGAGAGCAATTCTCGAACATGGTCTGCTATGAATCCCCCCCTTTCCTTGGTCAGCATGATCCCAAACCGCTCTCGGGCTATGTCTCCACAACGCAGTGCCGAGTGCAATGTGCTGTTCTTCCTCGTCGTATCAAAGTGAGCCTGCGAGTCTGTCTGTGGCAGAGGTCCAACGGCGATCCACTCAAGCAGGCCAGCGGCTAAACACATGCGCACATCAACGAGAATAGATCTCAGGCTACTACCACATCACTGGCGCCATATGCAATGACAAGCCATTTCCAGCGGTCCGGAACCTGACCCAGCATGCACCCGAAATGACCAGTGATGTCCGCATGGCGATATCAACATCGTCCACTTTCCCAAGTTGCCGTCCAAAGATAGCATCATGTAACCCCCCACGGCGCGTACACATCCCATGTTGGTTGCTGGGACCGGCCAGATACCACCGCTGCTGAACCATCCCGACAATGCGGGGTGCGTATCGTGCGAGAAATCTTCCCGCGAACAGGGAGACTCGAGTGAAGGAGACAAGGCCGTCTGCCAGACCAGATTGGCATGAATAATCAATTCGGTTCGTTCCATGAGATGTCTCTGTCTTCCATCCGCGCATCTAAACAGGCTCTTTCATACCTGACGCCAGCTTGCCCGACAACCAATGCTCTTTATCCATGCTGGCCCATATTCCTGTTGTGCATGTGCTGATAGGTACGCCGTTTCGTGATTCATGATTTCGCTTTCAAAAGACATTCGTGCATGACCGGGACATTGTAGCAGCCGGTGTAAACTCCTTGAAGTTTCGTTCAAAAGAAAAAAAGAAAAAAAGAAAATGCCATGCTCCCCAACTCCACCATTTGCGCGTCCCACTTCTAATCAAACAGCGATTAATCCATCTCCAACTCTTCCCCTTGGAGACCTTACATGTCCAAATCCTTCATGTCTTCATCTGGTTGGCTCTCGATCTGGTCGGATGAGGCAAAGGAGTTCTCCCAGTCTTCGAGGGGGATGTATGTCAGCTCTTGATCATCTGACAGAGGCTGTTCACTAAGAATGGAAACGTTGTCGGACAACATACCAGACCCCTCATCGTCCAGGTCGTCTACGCTCAGCCGGCGTAAATGGTCCATAACGACTGTGCCGCCCCGAAAAGTGAATAGTTAGTTAAGCAGGTTCATTCGCAATGTAGCCTCCAAGAGGGTGAAAAGGAAGAGGGGAAGAGGGAAAAGAAAGACGGTAAAAAAAAAGAAGAAAAAAAAGGAAGTCCTACCACCACAATTTCTTCGGTATTTTTGTGTTTCTTCTGCGTGCGCTTCGTCCTTGGTATCGAAGTAAGGGGTGCACCGCGAAAGAACACGCGAAACCAGAGAAACGGTCTGACTAGAGACGGTCTGACTGCTTTTGATGCAAGTCTCGCTGATGTATTCGCAGAGATGCATGCCGAATTTCTTGGCACACGTTGCAATGGCCTCGGCAGCCTCTGTACCCCCCTCCGCATCTGAAATCTTCGAGTTCGCTCCAAATTGAAAGACCTTGTCGTGCAACAGCGTTTCGACCTGGAGGCTGAGGACAGGATCGTACTGCGCAAGTAACGCTGGTGCCCAATCTGGCAGATATTTAAGGCACTGCAGGTAGATCTGGACTCTAGACTCGCCCGAGTGAAAACGAGTCTCCGTAAATGTTTCTGTGAAGAACTTCCACACCGCCTTGGGCTCGCTTCTGGACAAGATGATGCTCTGCTTAGCAACATGGTCGATTAGTTTGTCAATATACTCCGGACTGTAGCAGACTCTGCAGAACACCACCGCTGCTCGAAGATATGGACCATAGGTGATGTAATGATCCTGTGGCGTGGTGTTGAAGATCAACGTGTCGAGAAGATCTGTCTCAATTGGCCACCTCTGGCCCACAACATGGGCTACGATGGCGTCGGTAGCTTCCACATTCTGATTGAGCAGGATGACTTTGTCCAGCAGAGCATTGCCGCCAACCTCGAGTGTCTGATCCAAGAGTTTGCGCTCGAGCATGGTAAGCCGGATTGGCTCATCACGGTGCTCCAGGTATGCCTCTTCGCGCACCACCTCGCCATGCACAGGATTGAGAGGAGTAATCTGGGTGAGCACGCCCCGGAGAAGTTCGATGACAGATGCATAGCAGGGCGAACGGTTCGGTCTGCGGGCCAAGAAGTTGCACATCTTGGTGAATTGTACGTCTCGTTTGTCATCGTCCAGGTACTCTGCCATGAAGATGAGCATCGTCTTCGACAGAAAGCCGCGGGTCAAAAAGGCCAAAGTTTCGTCCTTTCCAGAGTACACAAATGTGGCCATCAAATCGAAGACCTCCGGCCACGATCGGTGGAAGCTGGGATAGTGAAAATACTCCCAGAGATGTTCGAACATGGCACAAACGCCGTTGACGATATCATCAGGATACTCTTCAGTTGGTGGGGCCCCTATGCAGTAATTCCCTGGGAACGTGTATTTGATGGAGTTCAAGGCCTCCATCATGATTTGTGCCGTAGACCTGCGGACAATGACTTCCGGATTTCGTTGCATCAGGTTGCGGAACGCCTCGGTGTGACTGCTGAGGTATCCGTACATAACGAGAGCACAGGTTCCGCACGCCTCGACCATTCCCCTGATTCGCTGGGCCAATTTTTGGGCTTCAGGGACGTCCCTCACTCGAGCAGCAACCTGATCCAAATGTGCGATGGCTATTTGCATCGCTAATGTCTCGGTCTCGTGTTCCCGAGAGCATGTGCCGTCATTCAGATCCTGCATTCGCTCGATGGCGGAGTCCACGAATCGAATGTGGTCGGGATCAAACAAGCAGTGCCTCTGCAGCAGTCGTAGATTATCATCCCGAATGAGTGAATGAAGAGGTGTAGAGATCTTGGCCTGTACGGGGCTTGTCCATCCAACTTGATGTAGTTCTTGTTGCTTCCTCTCAATTGTCGATGACCGCTCGTAGAAGAGCATGTAGGCGCAGTAATTCTTTTCATACGCCACTCCACCGGCATCCCAAGATGACTCCGAGCCGCCAAAGCAGCAAGCCTCCATCCTCGATGGGTGCCAGGGCGATACGACATCATCATTAAATTCAAACCAACTCTCATCCTTGCGGGATGTTGGTCGCTCTCGAATGAAGCTATAATAATGTCCTGATTCCGCCGTCCCAGCATGGACAAGGACACCGACGAGCTCGAACCAGTCTTCTGAGAGTTCTCCGGACGGGTTGCTCAGATATTGAACGGTGTACGGTCGCATATTGATGCGGTCTGGGAACGCAAAGTAGTCGTTGATCTTGCTGCGCGACTGTGTTCGGAGATTGAAGTCAAAACGCTTCAGATGAAAGATCAGAGAATTGGGTATCTCCTTCAGGCACGACCTCCTGACAGCGTCAACGTGTCGATCACAGGTTGAGCACTTGTACTTGTTGTCGCCCTCCATGTGCTCGCCATCCACATAGGCTTCCAAGCTTTCAAGGAGGTTCTTCTTGCCCTTGATGTCGCATTGAATGGCCGAGAACGGCTCCATGACCTCCGAGATGTGGTCGCACTCCTTGGACTTTGTCTGTGTCACCAACTGTCCGCCATAGAAAGTGCGAAAGGTTCGCACGGCTTCTGACGAGCTCAGTTGGCCCTCCAACCGATCGTTCAAAAGATTGAAGAATTCCTCCACGTCCATCTGATTATGGACGTTGATTAGATCGTCGTCATACGTCTTAATGTTGGCTACGAAGGATTCTGGGTCTACAAAGCGTTGGTGGCTGCTTTGTAGCTGTCCAAACAAGCTCTGTGTCTCCCAAAGCAGAGAACGGGAGAAATCTCTCCTGTCGACCTGTACACTAAGTATGAACTTCCGGAAGTCGAAGTTCATGAACAGTTGTGTGCAGAGAGAATTGAGATAGCAGGTGTTTGACAGATTCCTCAGTCCTGCATAACCGCATGCGGCACGAATCTCCTTCGATCTGTCAAAGCCAAATGGCAAATCGTAGCGGTAGATTTCTAGATCTTGTAAGCCTTCGCAATTATGCCCGAGTGATTGATGAGGGGGTTACGCACTTTCATCAGCTCGATCGTCCGTGCTGCATGGTACCAAGTGCGAGAGTTCAGCAAAGAAATGCTTCAGCTGCGACAAGTTTCTCCCGACAAGTTTGAGGACAATATCGTTGAGGCGGAGCCTGGTGGTCTCATGGTAGATCAGGCCGTGGTGCCAAAGTAAATCTGGCATTGGCTGGCGGCGTGGGAATAAGTGACCCCAGAAGAGATCTATTCCTGAGCTTGAGCGCAAAGTTAGTTCTCACCGTGCAAAAAAACCCAAAAAAAAAAACCAATCATTCAAGCTAAATTTGCAAACCTTACCTAGCATCGAGGCTTGAAGCAATATCCCCATCAACATTGTCACACAAAAGCCTATGTAACAAGTTGACAAGGCCGAAAGCGCCAAAGTCGATAGCGCCAGGTGGTATGCCCTGAGCCGGGATTGGTTCTTCAGCAGATTGCTTCGGAAAAGTAAGGGCCAGGCCTGCACTCTCGGAAGGACTGTAGGCGAGTAACAGTTCATTCAAGCGTTGCACTGTCTTATGTATATCAATACTCGGTGGTGCTGATTCTTTCTCGGAACGGAACACGATCACGAGGAGGTTGAAAACCTCAAGTGACCTTGTTGGCTGCGCCAGTGCACGAGGAACCAAGTCTATCAACAACGGCCGGAAGACATCCCTGAAAGTTGTCGCAGGCACCACAGATGTACTGATACAGGGTGGTCAGCATTCATCATCGTGACAAATGAGATGACAGATTGCTCTTACCCGAGATCGTTCACGACCTTATCGCCAATGATAGCCGCTGTCGACTTCCTCACAATGTCCCTCGTGTCATCAACGAGTAACCTCTGAATAGTTTGCTGAAGATCCATCTTCGATTGCAGCAAGTCCCAGAGCTCCCATTTCAGAGAACATGTATCCATGATGGCCCTGAAGGCGACGTTGGTCAGATTGTCGACGAATGAGGCGGGCTCCACTTCCAGAGAGGAAGAAAGTATTTGAGCAAGCCTCTCGATCAGGGCTGCGTCGAGAAAATCAGTAGTCGATGTCGGTCGCATGGGGTCTGGGAAAGTCAGCTTCCTGAAGGCCTCGAAGACAATTCGGGGCCGGTACCTCTCAAGATTGCAAGGAACTGTTCTACAAGCCGTGACGCGAGAGCAGCTCGCAGATTCTCGCCAGAGACCTCGTCGATCACCTCGTGGTCTGAGAGCGCAGGAACTACCAGTGCCAAGGCTCGCCGCAGAGCGCTGTCATACTCTTCGTTTTCCTGAGATGGTTTTGCGAGAGACCGCCGAGCGCTCAGATGCTCTCGTATCACGTGTAGTGCGTAAAGCGATTTCAGCGGGTGGCCTATGGGGAAGACGTCGCTGTAAGGTGTCTGCTCATTTGCCACCATATTCATTATCCTGTCGCCCACCGGCAATGTGATCAGGAAAGCGTACAACTATACCAAAGGTTAGTAGTCTGAACGGCCGGATGAGCGCAATGCCTTACCTCGCTAGCCAGCTTCTCTTTCAATGCCAGATATTGCCATAGCTCTTCGAAGTGCCTCATGATCTCGATCTCCACCGGAGACGCCCCTGGCCTAACGTGGACGGGGTACTCATCCGCATCCGTCTCGCGCTTGACCAGGATCAATCCATTGTGAATTTGAAGGTCCTCCAGGGACCTACAGATGTCTCCCTCTGATGGGGTGAATGGTCGACCCCTATAGTACAAGCGATAGTTGTCGAAGCCAGTCGCGTCGCGGATGCTGGCTAGCAAAGATCCTGCAGTATTTCGGCGGCCAATAGATAGAGGCCTCACATCCGTCTGAGTGTCCCCGTCAAATGACTGGAATTTGAGCTCGGCCGAGTCCCCCTCCACGTCGTTGTTTTGAGGGAGGACTAGTGACCTCAGGTCGGGAGACGAGAAGCGTGGTGTAAGCTGGTGAAGATTGTGGAATTCACGAACGATTGTCAATGAGCGCGTGAAGAGCATTTCCTGCTCTGATGCTGATTGGTCATCATGGCTGGTGATCATCGCGTCGCCGCCCTCACCATTCTTGCCCATCTCCGGTTCAGCCATCAGATGCTTTGCGGCTGAGCACAACTGCTGCATGCATCGATCGACAAGGGCCAGATGAAATTTTCGCACACGATGCACCGGCATTTGTTGGATCGATCGATTTTCCAAGTAGACATCTTTAACGAGAGCTACTATTGCCCGTCGCTCAATCGTGTCGGTTGGAGCTGTGAGAGCAATTCGCCATAACTGCTCAATGCCGAGGCGGTTCCTGGACTCCTCGTCCTCAAGAACAAAGCTACTGTCGCTGTTGATCAAGGGAATGATCCTCTGCAGGATGAAGTCCAGAGATCCAGGGCGAAAAAGGTCGGGCGACAGCGTTGGAAAGTAGTCATTGAAACAAGTCTCCACAAAAGTTCTCCCTGAGGACGACTTCATCGCAGCGCTTAGACTCTGCCAAGCACAATCGCGATCTTCTTGTGACGCAGCGAGTGGGCCAACCAGGAGATCCCAAAGTTTACGACCAAGTTCTTCCGAGACAGCATCGCTGTCACGCCCATGAAGAATCACGCTCGTGAGTAGCTCCAGGCGAGCGGCGTTCTCCTGCCCACTAATAAGGTGAGCCACACCGACGTCTGCCCGTGAACTAACAGCGTGCTCAAGCTCGTCAACTAGGAGCTGTGGCAGGTTGTACTGCTCTGTGAGCTGCTGCAGGTCCCGCTCTCGATTGCCTGGTCGGCACAGGAGTAATAGTCCGTGCAAACTGCCGAGAGTATAGCGCGACTTCTCGGTGATATCTTTGAGGCATTCCTGGATCAGTAGCTGCCGGTCTTCCGGGGAGGGTCCACGCCTCAGGAGCTGCAGAACGAGACTCGACGCCCATTTCTGAATAATTCGGTAAAAAGGTGGCCCCGGAGCGGAAGATTCTCTCAGTAGCCTAAACATGAGTGAATAAGGCAGCAGGTCCTGAATGGTCTCATTGCCTTCGATGAGGTATGACATGACCCTGTCGCAGAAGTCCTTCATCGTTGCGTTGAAGTTCTCGATTCGAACTGTCTGCAGTTTTCGGAATACGCAGAGAAAGTCGTCCATCCCGAAGAGGTTAGCAATATTAGCCATCATCATCAAGAGACTCTCTGAAACCCCCGAAATCTGGCATGTGGTTACTGTGCGCCACATCTCGTCCATTTGATCCTCCGTGAAGGTATGTGACGCGAACAGGAAGCCAATGATATTGTAGCTCTGGGCCGTGACCTCTGGGTGACAGGTAGGACCCAGAACGTACGAGACGACTTGAGACCGCACCAGCTGGCTGGAGAAATGGCGCAGGACTGGCTGCTGAGCGACATCGATGGCTTGTTCATGATAGTCCTTCCAGATGCGTACCATGTCCGCACACATGGTCTGGGCTGCCATGATCCTGAGCTGCATCTGGCTCGACATGATGAGCTTCGTGAGCATCGCTAAGCGCCATTCATTCACGATGACTTTCACCGTCTCTGTTGGAGGTATCTCAGGATGCTCAAGCATGTGTTTCTTGATTACATCCTGGGCTTGCTCGGACTCTCCATGCAAACATAACCGTAGCATCTCCGCAAGGCCGGCCAGTAGCTCAGTCGCAGTATTGGGTGCGATCTGGTTGACGCTTTTGTCGATACAAGCCGCCAGAGCACCCGATATGGCATCAAAGAGCTTGTAACCCTGCCCAAGGCATGGCTTGGAGGAATCAGAGTCGGGGGTCAACGCGGATCTCTGAGCGCCAACCAGTTCACCCCGTGCGAGAAAAGATGCGAGTTGCGCAATGCCGGCCAAGCTTTCAAGCACTCTAGGAAACCGAGTCACCAGATCTGCCAGCGTGAAGCCAATGCAGTATAAGGAGTCAAGCGGCGATGGCGAGCCGGATTTAGGATGAGACAACTGGAAACCCTCGACCATCCGGAGCAAGGCGTCAGGCCAGGGTGCGTCGATATCCAAGCCGTACATATTTGGCATCAATGCCTGTGCATATTCGACCAAGAGAGCGTGCAAGTACGTAACAAATGGCGTTGAGGCAGGTTCTTGCCAGCCCTCGTCCAGTTTAGCACCGGAGAGCAGTGCTTGATCGAGGTCGACGAAAAGGCCGGTGAGCTTTGCGAAGGACGTGTGCAGCTCGTAGAACAGATGGTGGAACTGGGGGCTGCGCACCAGAGGGTTTCTATTGATACATGTCAGCATCATGTGTTTGTGTAAGAACGCAGTCAGAGGAGGCTTTACCTGCTTGGCGATGAGTATTGCCAGATCAAGTGAGGCATCATGTGCCAAAATTCGCGGTAGTCGTCCCAAGTCTGTCGCACCACCCACATTTCCTTTCCGCGAGACCAGGAAAGATACAACTCCATCCAGTCATGCAAGCCCATCACCGCATTCTGGTCTGTAGTAGGATTTGTTAGGCTTCGAGATTCTCAAGCACGGCGAGATCAGCGACTTACTGTTTGGAAGGAGCGCACAAAGCTTTGGCAGGGAGTCCGACAGAGGTTCGGTGGGCAGGTAGGGAAACTCGAGCATGGGGTTGTTCTCTTGGAGTATAGTGATCCCAGGTACCCCATCCTGGTCTTCATCATCAGTGTCGAGGATCACTTCTACTGGAGGGTTGTCTGTGTCCATTGTTGAGGTAGCACCATCGATGCACTGGGTCGGCGGGACATCGGCGTCGCCGTCTTCCACACTGTCCCTAATTCCCTCCTCTTGAGATCCGATGAGATCCTTGTCGACCTCATTTGGCGTCGTAGGCGAGGAGGGCCCAGATGGGACGGCCTGTTTCGCAGCTTTCAGGTTCAGTGTGATCCTAGTCGGTCTTGTTTCTGAGCCAGACTGCTGTTGGTCGGCCTCGTGCTCCGATAGTCGAGGCTCCGAGGCAGCAGAATCCATGGTCATGGCAGCGTCTCTGTCCTCCGACTCGCCTCGTGTATTGGTGTGTGGTGAACCCGTGGGTGTCTCGACAGAGTGGCTCGGCGAGGCACCGTTGAGGGAAGTTCGACGTCGCTTGCGGGCGGAGGAGCCGTCGTCATCGAAAGGGTTCGGTCGGGTGGAGCAAGGCTCAGAGGAGACCGCACGTTCTCTCAACTCTGATGGGGAGACCGCAGGCTGGTCCATCTGGAAGGAGCCCATGGGCAAGAAAGATCGGGGTTGGCGGAAGCTCTTGGGGGAACGCAGCTAGGCCCTCTCAAGAGCCCTGCACTGGGGGCTGCAGTGACCTGATACGCCCGGCTTTAGCATAAGGCTTGCAGTGTCGACAGTGATCGGGAAAGGCAGATTAGAGGGAGGGATGAAACAAAGACGACAGAATGGGACTGATTCAGGAGCACAGTAGCTGCAACCAAGATTGGGTGTAATGACGGATATTGTTGTGGCCTGCTGAGTTGATGCCAGAGCCTGCCGAAAGGCAAGGCAAGGCAGGGCAAGGCAGGGCAAGGCAGGGCAAGGCTGAAGTGGAGCTCGGGAGCTGCTGGAGTTGGGATGGGTACGGGTATGTCTAGGATGACGATGGTTGTGTAATGTCTCTCTGGTGGGGTCCCAGTGTTTGTCACTGTTATTGGAGTTGGTATGTTGTCAACTGGACGGAACAAGGGCAAGATGTGCTTGTATGGAGTGAATGTCTGAAGGCAGAGTGCACCATAAAGAAGTTGCAAGGGCACCTGGCTTGTGCAGGGGGGGTGTGTGTGGTGCTGTGGGCAAAGAGTTGACCAAGACCTTGCAAAAGTCCAAGAACTTTTAGAACGAGCGTTGACCTGGGATGTTTGGAGAGCGGTGCCGCCTGGCCACAGCCTGTGAGAGAAGGGTGCTCAGGGCTCCACTGGCGCCTGTGTGAAGTTGCTTGGGGGGTGGCTGTCTTCACTGATGGCGGGGTAAGGGGAGGGGCGTACGTAGCAAAATGACCTACACCTTTGGGTGGGGTGATGTGCTGAAGTGCTGCCAGCTTGATTACCTAAGGCTGTGAAGAAAGTCAGAGCAAGCTCAGGATTGCTTGTGCAAGGGGTGTGCTCTCTGAGAGGAAGCCCGATGTGACAGATGTATCACATTGATGAGGACTGTTGAGATGCTGCTGTCCAAATGTCGATTGATTGGAAGGCTGTTAAGAAAGTAAGGGAGTGCTGAATAAACGCTGCGATCCCGGGGTGTGGGTAAGTCATTTGGGAGTTGGGATTTCGGGAAGAGAAGATGCAGGTCACACACTGCAGCTATTTGGAAAGTGGGGTTGGGTTTTACATAGGACAGGCTGCCAGGGTTCAGGGCAGCTGGCTGGCAGCTAAAACTTATGACAGGCTCCCAACTTAGCGAGCTAGTCATTGCTTGGCAGGCACGTACCTGTTACTCAATGAAGTCATTTTCCATAATTTATTTTCCCGTTCAATATCCATCTTCCTATCTTGCCATCGATGTTGCAGTCTCGAGTGGAATACCCGTGTTATGTCTCCAAACTGTCCTGTGTCTTGTATCAAACACGCGAAGATCAACCAGAGCCATACGATGGTGACCAAGCAGGCGGCCGTGGAACCTTCCGAGTCCGTTGCCAGCCTCACGATAACACCATCAGCATCGTTCCCCTGCCCAGTCCTTCAGGAAGCACACTCCAGAAAGACATACCCGCCCTAAACACGCATGAGTATTCGTTGTACTCTTGAGTTTTGAGACACATCGAGTCATGTTTTGTTGCGTTCTCTCCGGCCTAAAAGAACCCACCTTCATTGCGTTGAGCCCAAGTATACTCATCTGCTGCATAATTTGCGTGTCACTGGCATTGATGACCCCAGGGTACCGTTGACCTGCCTTCGTATACGTTTTTTGTCGAATTTTTGAACGATACATCGCCAAAGCTGCAAGACCAAAGCAAATTAGAAGTGTGAACCATGAGTCCCCCTTGCGAGAAGGTTCCTGCCAGGGCATGAGAGACAATGTCTGCTTCACGGAATGACAGAACCTCTTCTTTTAGGTGATGGGGGCATGGTTTTTGCTGTGAAATATGTTGCGGCTTCAGCATGCTGCTCAATATCATAGATCTGCTCTATCAGACGTAGCTCCATCCGGGGGCGATACTGCTCTCCGAGTTGTGGTGGGACAGTGCCGATGTGTCCGACCTATCTGGTTCCGGGCTGTATATGAGGACGCTTGGGCGCTGGTGACCAATTCGCGTCAGTAAGGTCAGATGATGACTGGTTCCCTGCTGTTGATGGGTTCGTGTCATACAAGCCGCCCGGGAAGGTTGGCCAACGAGCTGCTAGATATAACAAGAAGCCAGTCGATATGCTGTGATAGAGAGTCAGCGCTTCAGCCGAGTGCTGAGAAGAGACAATTTCTTGCAAGGGAACCGCCCATCAGACCCTGCGTGGAACACAAGAGCAGACGGGGGCCTTCGTGGTCTCGTGGTCAGCAAGATGGGGCCACCCAAGCCCCCCTCCCTTTCCCGAATATATCGGCATCGGACAGCAAGAAGTGCACCTCCGCCAATCAGAGAAGATACGCTCATCAACTTCGACATGGTGGCGTCTGTGAGGGTGACTCGCACGAAGCAAGCCCATGCTTCCTGAACAGCAGGCTAGAGCGGCCGGCGCTCCTAAGCCTGACAAGGAATAGAGTTTAGACTGGGCTCCTCCCCCCAGCACTCAAACGGAATATACACATGTCTCGATAGGTCAGCCCAGGTTTGCTGGTCCGTTCAGGACTTTCGGAAGAAGAGAAATTCTTGTTAGTTTGAAGACGCCAAGGAGCCTGTACGTTAGGTCTTTGAGGTACTCGAGATCAGTGACAGGGCTATGAGGCTTCTATCACTGCACAGGGGAGGCGGCGGTTAGCAGGACGAGGGGTGCTCTCGGATTGCGATCCCAGCCTGAGGTACCCTAACCCTAATGACGCCCCCCTTTTTTTTTTTTTTGAGATGCTGTCGTGCAGAGTCTAGTCCATAGAAAAACCACACATATTCCGAGTGTTCTCCAGGCTACTACCTCTTTGTAAAAACCAGATCCCTTGAAAATTTCTTGGACACGAAGGAAGGGCTTGCATACTTCAGTATGGAGAAGACAAAGACGGTGTATCAACTGGAGACTCCATTCTCGAAGGCTGAATGGTGAGATGCCCCAGACACGACCACGGCTTCTCACCCCAATATCTCTAATCTGTGTGGCAGGCCGAAAATCACACAAGAAGACCAAGACTCCATCTTAGATCTTCTCTGCGAGTGCGCACACCCATCCACTTGAAAATCACGCATGTTGTTGTTGTTGTTGACAATCGCCTGGTAGCGTCCTGTCACCCATCTCTCATCATCGTCAAGCCTACAAGACGGCATCCAAAGGCAAGCGTAACAAGCGGAAGAGGAAGCGCGATCAGGAGTCTGAGCCGCCGGTAGAGCGTGCTGTGCCACCATCACCGGCTATTGCTACTTTTGTGGAAGTTGGCCTGAGCACCATCACGCGGAATCTCCAGCTTCTCAACTGCTCCCCCACAGGTTCAGATCCACAGGCACAAACACCTTCAACACAAATAAGTCCATACGCCGTCATCTTCATAGCCCGCTCAGGGCCTCCCTCGGCGTTCTTCAGCCACCTGCCCCAGATGGTCGCCACGGCATCGAAGTTTCACCAGCTCAGCGAGCCCGTGCGGCTGGTCGGCTTCTCGAAAGCTTGCGAGGAGAGGCTCAGTGCTTGTATGGGTATACCGAGGGTTACGAGTGTGGCTCTCCGTTCAAATGACACAACCCAGGCGAGGGCACTGGTCGATTTTGTGCGGAAGACGGTGCCACCTGTTGTGGCGCCTTGGCTGGAGGAGGCCGGAAGGGGGAAATTCCTCGAGACGAAGATCAATGCTTTAGAGGCTCCTGTAGGGCAGAAGCGTTTGAAGAAAGGGTGACATCCGGAAAGCTTCGACTGAGCTTAAGAAAGGAGCTCACCTTTGATCCAGGTAACATGCTGAGTTCAGCATTATGCACCATGTCAACTGCGCAATAGACGATCTGGTGGGTCTACGGCCCGCTCTCCTCGTGCCTCTTGAGCCTCGATACTGATGTTGCCTAGGAACCGGCCTAGGGCTGGGCCAAATGTTGATGATCATAGGAGGGCTGTTGCTGGGGCCCCGTCTCCTGTGTGGCTTCCTCATCTGGGCCCCCCAAATAGTCTTCAGAAAGGGAAGGAATGCATTGGCCCACACTTACGAAGAACTACCTTCCTCTATATGTCCCTACCTTTCACATGATTGTTCCTTCCTGCCACCCACATTTTGCCTTTCTGTCGATTCTTCCTGCCCCATCATAAATCCCGGGATCAAAACCTCACAGCCAGTTGTTCGATATATCGTGAGGAGTGAAATTTGTCGTGATGCTCAATCCCCGCCTATATAAAGCTACTTTCCCACTGCCTGGTCAATAATTTTCCAAATTCTCCTTCATATCAACACAGGCAATACCGCCATCATAAGTCCATCCCTCTCTATTGACAGGCCTTCTACCAAGGCAGGTCATCAGAGCATCCTTTCTTCGAACCCTCTTCTCCACCAAGCATACCTCCAGACAGAATCGCCTGTCTACCATACCTCTTACTCATAGCTCTTTCGAGCCTGGACAGTCAAAGCCTGCTGTCTGTCCCAATCTGCTTGACTCTATTAGTCACCCACACACTCAAACCCGTCTTTGTACACAACAAATCCATTGTTGTTGTGCCTCTGAGTAAGCTTGAGTCTCTTCTTGTTTGTCCTTCCGTTTCGTACCCATCAGCCTGCCTGCAATTTGAGTTACCAACCTTCCAAATTCCCGCGAAGCAGGCAGGCAGGCGCTCTCTCTATCTCCATCTCCCCCCTTAGTGGCCACAACAGTTATGAAGCCAATAAGCTGATATCGGTTTTCAGGGTGCCCCAAAATCCGACCTTCCTCCGACCGTACCCGAGATGGCTTTCAACGGTGGACGGGGCGACCTCGAGGCCGCCCGTCAATTTCATCAGCAGGTTCAGCGCGGCGAACTTCGCGATGACAGACAGCGCCGTGGTAGCGCCCGTGGTGGCCGTGGCAGCCGTGGTGGTGGAAATAGTGGCAGCCGTGGCCTTCTCGACACTCCTAGCAACTTCCCACGCACTAATTCGACCCCTACACGTGGTGGTCGTGGTGGTCGTGGTGGACCAGGTGACATATCTAGCAACTGGAGCGAGCGCCTCGCAACGGCCCCGCCTAACCACTACTTCCAGAATGTCAACGTGGCTGCCGCCCAGGCCAACCAGCCGGCTACTGATGGTGACGCTGGTGATCCGATGATCGTGGATGACGTCCCTGCCAGCCCCAAACGCGGCCTCAGCGCGTCTCCCTGGGCTGCAGCACCTGATTGCAAGAGTAATAGTGCTGGTACCCCGGGCCCTATAGCTCACAACGCTATCCCTGCGACCACCATCCCTCGAGGCATTGATTCTTTTGCTCCAACTGCTGCCGCCAAGCAGCAGGCTACCATCAGCACTGCTCAGCGTTCTGTTGGCACCGCTACCCTAGGCGGTGGAAATGGCCTCGGAGGCTCCCGCTGGGCTGATAAGCCATTCAATCCAGTCTTCGGTGTCGACACGGGTGCTTATGTTGACAAGGACTGGATGTATACGTACACCATCGAGGATGGCGGTCGGCTCTTCGACCAGGCGGCAGAGAACGCTTGTGCAGCTGGTGATCGCGAGTCTGAGGCAAAGCTTCGCCAGGTAGTCAAGCTTTGTACAGGAGTGGTCCATGCCCGTGTCCATCTCCAGGACCAGAACGCAGAGCTCCAAGCCCGTACCGCTGCCAACAAGGCCGCGAAGCAAGCCTGCAAAGATTTCGAGAAGTACAAACCCGTGTCTCGTAATGACAGCAACAACAAACCCAAGCTCGCTGAGGCTTCTGGTTCTGTACATATCTCTCCTCAGTTTGCGGCCCAAGTTGGTCCCCACGCCGTCAAGCCGACCGTGCCAGCGACTGCTCATGTCAGCATGCCAGCCCAAGGTGCTCAGACCGGTGAGTATAGCCGCTCCGCAGCTGCTCAGGCCCAATCCAGCCAACAGCAGAATCGACATGTCCAGCAGTCTGCTCAGGGCGCTCAAGGCATACACAACAATGCCACTAGACCTACATCAGGTCCTGCTACCCAAAATGACAATGCCCAATCGCAACAGCTCGCCGCCGAGCAGTGGATCCGCGAGACCTTCTTCAACAAGAACAAGCAGAAGTGAGCTGACAGGTCAGTCTTGATAAGATGCCATACATGCGTGGGCCACGAAGACTCAAGTACAGCACTGGGATCTACTGGCTGTGGACAGAGACGAAGCGAAGCTCGGACGAAAAATGACTAGCGACGTCAAGTTCTGTCATGAAAGTTGACGATATGGGCGATTCTCGTGGGAATTTGAAGGATGGTGATTTTTTGAAACTCGGGTGGGGGGGTCAAATTTCGCCTCGTACTCGAACAGCTCGTGGAAAGTAATGACAAACGTGCGAACACTCTGGGGTTTTTGGTGGCTCATTGACTACATGGGTTAACACCATAATGTCAATATACCAACCTAGGGTAGCTAGCAGTGGAATAGAGATTCATTTCCCAAATAGACATGCACACCGTGATTTGGGGGGTTTGTGACGTTTTCTCTTTGCCAATACATTATGTAGATGGCAAGAAAAAAGTCATTTCCTGACCAATGCCCATTGGCGACTTTATGGTATTGCTCACACACGAAATCGTTTGGGATATTTAGGACCGTCGCAATCACAGACACAATAACAGCTGAGCCAGGAGTTGACATGCTTGATTCCTCTATGCTATTCGTGGTTTGGGGGAATCATTGCACGCCTTCTTCACCTCCTTTGCCTTGGGGGAGCCATTCTAGGCCTGTTTTTGGTGCCGATTCCACTCGACACACTCATCCAGCCGCACACCGGACCCACCGAAGCAATCCAACGCACTTCCGATCGTGAGGTCGACCTTGCCGCCGCTCAGGGCCCTGACCCGATCCAAGTCGTCGAGATTCCGGCCGCCGCCGGCATACGTGACGGGTATTGTACACCACTGCGACAGCTTGGTGACGAGGTCCTCATCGACGCCGCGTTGGAGGCCCTCGTTGTCGGCGGCGTGGATGAGAAACTCGGAGCAGTAGGGCTCGAGCTGTTTTATAGAAGCTGCGGGAGATGGTGGCGTGAGCTACCTCTGATTGATGATTGTGGCTGTTTGCAGGAGGTAGAAATGAGTGAAGTACCTTGGTTGACCTCCATGTCTGTGAGAGTCTGCCACTTGTTTATGGCCACGAACCACCTGGGCTCCTCGCCGTCTGCTTGTTGTCGACGGCAGCTCAGGTCGATGACCAGCCTGCTCCGGTCGCCCTGCAGCGCCGCAACGACAGAATCCAGGCGTGCCTGGCTGAAGTGCGCCTCTGGGAAGAGGAAAGACGTTATGATGACCTACTGAATCACCACCCCATCACCTCATCAGTGTCAGCCCTCTTTTTCATAATCCTTCTCTCTGCATTCCTCAGGTCCCTCGCTCTCTCTGCCTCTCTCATTCTCATCCTCCCTTTCCCCTCACAGCACGCAATATTGCCACACACATGTCAAGTCGATCCAAATACACCAAAAAACATCTCGCAAGCGTTTATCTGACGTTGCGTTTTCATCATACCTTCTCGGCACCAGTGTCCACCCACTCCTTCGCATTCTGATCCGTGATCCCGCCGCCGACCTGCAGTGCGCCAGGCCACGCCGCCAGTGCCTCGCGCGCTGCCTCCGCGTTGCCAGGCCCGAGCATGATGACGTGGGCGCCCTTGAGTTCGTTTTCCCGGTATAGCCGTGCAAAATGCGCCGGCGGGTGCGGCGAGACAAAGTTGGTCTTGAGGGTCGAGGGCGTCTTCTCGTCCAGCGTGCCGCCCACAATCTGTTTTACCTGCCCCGCGTGGAGGTCTATACAGGGGCGAAAGATGGTCATTCTGTGTGTAATTTATGTATATGAGTAGAAGGCAGAATGGAAAGTTTTTGACGACGTTTCTTTCAAGGGTCTCTTTAGCAAGAGGGGAGGGAGGGAAAGGATATTGAAAATGTTGGAAAGTCTTTCCGCATCCGGTTTGCCTTGCGCTCAGTAGCGATCCCGCTGTAGCGGCAGATAGTGGGGCGAAATATAGTGCTGTCTAAAAGCGAGCCGCCCTTGGTTGAGGCTCTGCGAGCCCTGAAAGTAGTACTATTGGTGGCGCTAGCGAGCCGAGGGCGGCCCGAGGCGTCAATACAGGTGAAGAGCAGCAAAGAAAAAAAAACTTTGGGCCGCGCGGGTCTGAATACACCGAGTACTGTCAACCCGTCTACACTATAGCGTCAACTCGTACCCCAATTCATCTTGTTCCTCACGCACACCACACCATATTCTGCGAATAGTGCGAACACCTGAGTCGTCATGCCTTCGGCCGCTGTGCTCGGGAAGAGGAAGCGGAGGCCGGCGCAGAAAGCCCAAGACGAGACAGATGCAGCCGCGCTGGAGGATGTGCAGGCCATCTTCAGGAAGCACTTCGAGGCTCAGTTCGCGCCGCTAGACGACGAGGTCGAGGAGGGGTCCGCGGCGGGCAAGAAGCACGGCGCCAAGACAAAGAAAGCGGGCAGGAGCACAAGCACGAAGGACGAAGAAGGGGATGAGGACGGTATAGAAGACATGCGGTCAGACTCTTCCGGGTCTGGCGGGGACGACGACGACGTTGATGAGTGGGGAGGTCTTTCTGGAGAGGACGACAGCGAAAGTGCGTATCATGGAAGAAAGCTACTAACAAAAACCTCTCTACACCCATATATCTGCTGCCTGGGGACTAACAGCAGTGACGTTCGATATAGACAACGAAAGCGATAGCGACGGCGGCGACGACGAAGGTTCAGAAGCAAGCGACAACTCGCAAGCAGGCACGAGCAAAGTCGAGGTAGTCGACCACTCCAGACCGCTGGCAGTCTCGGCTCTCCACCCGTCCAACGCCATCATGTCCAAGCGCGAGATGCGCGCCTTTCTATCCTCCCGCCCACCCGAACCCGACCTCACATCCAAGCCCAAAACAAAGCCCGGGGATCAAGAAGACGACAACGACGACCCGCAAAACGAAGACTCCAAGACCCTCCTCGCAAATGACCTGGCTCTCCAGCGGCTCATCTCCGAGTCGCACATCCTTTCCGCCTCCAACCCCTTCAACTCAGTCGGCTCTTCTGGCCTGGCCGGCGGCGGCGGCGTGGGGGGCAAGACCTTTACACAGGGCCGCACCCGCGCCCTCACCACCGACCTGCGGATACAAAAGCTGGGCTCCAAGGAAAGCATCTTTACGCAGCGCAAGATGCCGATGGGCATGCGCAAGGGGATCAACGCGGCCAAGGACTCAAAAGAGGCCAAGAGACGGCGCGAGGCCAAGGAGAACGGGATTATTCTTGAAAAGCCGGTTGACAAGGCCGGGAAGAAGAAGGGGAGGTCGAAGGGGAGAGGAGGTCTGGCTGTTGATATGCCGGGTATGGGCAGGTTCAGCGGCGGAGAGCTGAAGCTGAGCAAGAGGGAAGTGAGGGCGGTAGAGATGGAAGGCAAGAAACCCGAGTTTGGCAGGAAAAGAAGAAGGCGGAGATGATCCGAGATCGCGGCTTCTTACCTTCTACCGAGACGGAACCAGCCACCTTGCATGCTCACTGTCCAGGAGAGGAGAAAATTTTTAAGAGACAAAATTAATGCGTTCCGGAAGCGTTGCCGGCGCGAGTCTGTACCTCAATGCACAGCACACCTCGCACCTCTTTTTTCCCTTTTCTTTTTTCCTGCAGCTGGTCTACTCGGGAGTCCTAACTCCTGTTCTCGTCTACCCATGGCTGTATTGCACCACCTCACCTTCGACGTTCACCACAACCCGGCGGCGCAGCATACAAAGAGCCCTCGCCTTCACTAATTGAGCATGACTTGAACCACCTCTTTAAAGTTCGGCTTCTGCTTGTGCCGCAATAACAGTGGCAACCAATGGTCCCAGTTTCAGCCTCGGGGAGGTGATCACCCCTCCCGTCCAGAATTAGTCTAGCAGAGCTAAGAAGATGAAGTCGAATGCCTTCCTATCGCACCTCCGTCCTAACTGAAGATGGAGTTAATTTGTAATTGTTCCCGAAATAGATCAGAGCACAGCTTTCATTACCTGCCCTTCTCAGATGCTCGAAAGAACGGGCGAAGGATTCCCATCCTCCCTCCGCCCACTCACGCTCTCGTCGTGCTTATGCCTTCCTCTGCACAATACACACCACCACCAGCATGACCAATAGAAAAAGAAGCCTTGTCCAGCACTTTACCTTCTAATCATAGTCTTTCTCCTCCCCTTCCTCCTTTTTCTTTCAGCATTGCTTGCCTAGACCTGCATAGGTTCTTATCCACAGTTGCGCGGAATGCAAGATGGACCGTCGTCGGCTTGCTTGTCTAATGGCGACGGTGACGTTTGCTTATGTTCAGTACATAAAAGTGTATATGTATACCTACTTGGGAGTGTAATATGGATATAAATATACATTGAAAAAGATATACATATGAGAAATACCCAAGTATGGTCCAGGCCAGAATGGCCCGCGGCCAAAGTGCAGTAGCCTCCTCATTCCCTCCCTAATTTTAGGAGCGTGGCCGCTGCCCACCCCCCCCCCCCCCGGCTTGTTGCTCTCTGCCCGGTGGAATCAACATCATTCTCATAACCCTGTCATCGGGGCTGACTGTAATTTTTTATACCTTTGAGCCGCCACATTTTGGGGATGTCATATTGTCGTCATTATCATCCTCATCGCCGGAGTAGAGCCTCGGCCGAGATGACGAGTCGGGTCTTCCACTAGCCAGGCCCTAGCGTACCCTGAAATGTACTGTAATTCAACTCTTATCTTGAATTTAGACTACGTTGAATTGACGTGTCGATCAATCGATGAACGGGTCGTGGTCGGGAGGAGGGGAGGGAGATGGGGGGTTGCTTGTTCATCGCCACACAAATCACGGATGAAGGAGGTGAAATATGGAAACAAGAGTTACTGAAAGGTAGTATGAATTTGATGTTGTTCTTAGTGTCAACAGTTGCTACACTCTCTCTGTAAAGAAAAGTGTAGGCTGTTGTGTTGGTTTGAAATACACGGGCGCATCTACAACGCTGCCCTCGACTCCTTCTCTCATCACAATTCGAGTCCCACACCTACTGCTTTTCACGAGCCAAGAGAGATTTGATGAAAGTTCAACAGGTATCTTCTTCCTCACAACAGAGTTTGTGCCCGCCTTTTATCTCTCCATCCTTGACAAAAACAGCAGGATATATACAGCAACGCAACCCGTCTCATATGCAAAGTCGTTGCAGCCAGACTTCCCGCCTAAGGGTTCGGCGTTTCTTCGATCGGGTTTGCGTTTCCCATCTAATGTGCTTTTTCGCGCTCTCTCCAAGGACCACAAGATGCCTTGGCAATGTCCACCATCGATCGGTCTTCTCGCCAGAAATAAACAGGAAAAGGAAAGAAAAAAAGAATAACTAAAACACCAGACGATCATGAGGGATATGAACCGAATGAGCGGTAATGAACTCCGCGTGAAGAGAAGAAAAAAGAAGAAAAAGAAAACGCCCCCAGGCATCCGTATTTGTGTAGGAAAGCCTGTCATCCGTCCAGTTTGGGAATGAACCAAGTAGCACCCAAAAATCCCGTTTCCCCCTCACATGAAATCGTGAAGAACAATAATCAGATACCCAAAATAAATGTACAATGCCGTGAAATTTTTCTCGCAAAGGAGCGCTTTCTCGCGAACCGTTATTACATCATGACGGCGGTGTTCATGTTTTGAGGTGTGCTGATGGTCATGGGCAGGCTCAGCGTCTGCAGGCTGTTAAAGTTGGACTGGGAGTTCATGGAGTTGCCGGAGCCCATGCTACCGGTTGACGTCGGGGGCGTGCTGTGGTGCGCAACCGCGTTCAGCGAGGCCGTGACATAACCGCCCTCGGAGTTGGGCGAGGAGTCTCCCAGAGAGCCGACATGGTCCTCGCCGGAGAAATCCTCCTCGTCCTCTCCGGACAGGTTCAGTCCATCGACTCCATCGCCGCGATCATGGGTCCGCTTGTGCCTAAATCAATCTTGTTAGCCTCTGTTGTCGGTCGGGCTCTGCATTGGTTTTGTCTTGGGCGTTTGTAGCTGTGCTGTGACTCTGTGGTGTGTGGTGTGTTTTGTGTGACGGCTGGCGATGTGACGTTTCTCTTCCCCTCTCTCGATTACATGCCACACACACTACAACAGTTTCTGGTCTGCTAGACTCGCACCAAGACAAAAGAAAAACGAAAGAAAGTGCAAAGTTAGGAAAGATGGGGCATACTGTGCTAGGTTGTCTGATCTGGAGAATGCCTTGCTACAATAAGGGCAGATGTAGGGTCTTTCTTGTGTATGTGTTCTCACGTGTCTGGAAAGTTTGTTTAAGTCAGATACCCTGTTAAGGTAATCTCCCGTGTTGAGGACATGTAGATATGAAAATCCGGTCTTACCGCTTGAGATGCTCGAGACGCTTGAAGAGGCGGCCGCACGTCGGGATGGGGCAGGAGTGAGATTTTTGAGGGTAAGGACCAAGCTCCATGACAGTGGCTGAGCGAGCTCGGCGCATCACGCCGTTGGGTCCCTGGATCATCCTTCTCTCTTCCATGTGGGGGTTGATCATGTCCTCGTGGGGCATCTGAGCGTAGTCCTGCTGCAGCGACATGGGGTTCAGGGCGGGGCTGCCCTCGACAGTGGAGAGGGGAGTGCCGTGGCGCGACAGCTCATGCATCTGCTGCTGCTGCTGGCCCGGCATGGGCATGCCGGAGTTGCTGTAGGTCAATCCTGGTGGGGAGTTGCCAAGCGACTCGTCGCCTTCAGCCACAGGGCCGACAGAAGCGGACACGGACCGTCGGAGATCGGATGGCCTGTGGGGAGCCTGGGTGGCAGCGGCAGCTGCGATAGCCGACATTCCAGGGGGAATGGATGAGCGCCGTCTCCTCTGCTTGTACGTCGGCGAGCCTTCGATCACAGAGTAGACGTTGTTGGCTCCGTATGCACGGGAGAATTGAGGTCCAGCAAGGTTGGAGGGGGGCAGCTGGATCATGCCGTTCAGGCCGTTGACACCGTTCATGTGATCGGGAATGGCAGTGTACAGGCCGGTCTCCTCGTTGGCGATGTAGGCAGGCTCGGCGGCGATGCCCAGGGCCTGCTGTGGCGGGGTGATGGGTTCAAACGAGATGCCCCGGTTGCTGTAATCCTCGTACTGCGAGGAGACAAAGGACGGCGCAGGCGAGTACTCGAGGCCGTAGGCAGGCATGGAGGCGTGTCTCTGGTGGCCCTGCTGTATTGGCACGCCGTTCTGGTTGTACTGGACCCGGTTATAGTCAGGCTCCCGCTTGACCATGTTCTGGGACATCTGAGGGCCCATGGCCATGGCGCCATAAGGAACCATGGAGTCCATCCCGTCTGTTAAAGGGGCCATCGTCTGAGGGATCATCTGAGGCGGCGGCATCGAGTCGACAGCCCGCATGACGGGCGAAGTGGACTGCGAGGCCGGGAACGACTGCTGGGCGGAGAAGGACGAGGAGTTGGCCTGCTGGGCCTTGGTGAGCTGCTCATACAGCGACTGCGACGAGTCGTATTGGAATGACAGGGCAGGCTCGCTAACGGCGACGGTGGTAGCCTCCTGACCCATCTTCTCCCTCTTCAGATCCCTCTCCAGCGCGTCGAGGAACAGCCGGTCGTGTGGCACGCTGTACCAGTAGAAGACCTTCTGCTTCTTCTGGGTACGAATGCAGTTGTTCTTGTACAGGAAGTCCAGGAAGGGGCTCTTGGGCTCCTCCAGCGAGGCATCAGTGCCCGACTTGAGATTCCGCAGGTCTGAGAAGATTCCCTCCTCGAACTTCTTGGAGTTCTTGACGGGGCGGCCAAAGGCCTGAAAGCGGAAAGACAGGCATCGTACGATGTCGGTTCCCGAGACGTGGAAGAGGTTGTTCCACAGAACACAAGAGACATATTCGCCAGTAGGCAGAAGGAATCTGCGGATGTACTGGTCTGGCTGCCAATCGACAGGAGCAGAGATGAGGAAGTATTTCACTTAAGCGCGCGCGATCAGTGTTAGTCAAGTCGCACGCTAGCCGAGCAAAGAAACGGTAATCGGAAAGTGGGAGGGAAAAAGGGAGGACCTACAATTATCGACTTGTTGCAGAGCAACCTGTGCATCATGTGGTAGCGCCTGCTGAGCCTCTGTGCTCAGCATGAAGGTCTCTGGTTTTTGTGGTGCAGCCATGGCGCCGCCTGGTTGTTGATACATAATAGTGGGCAGACACTGCTGAAGAAAAGGGGAGAGAGGGAGCTTCCTGCTCGGTCACTCCAGTGTCCCGTCCGCGACAAGTATGGGATTAATCCGCTGATCGCAAGCCAACGATGAAGGGCGTTGTTTTGGATCAGGAATGGAAGGGTGCAGCGCAATTGACAGTCGAGGTCGAGACGGCACCAAAAGCGTTAGAGTGTTCGCCAGTTGAAGCACTCGAAGAGTAAACAAATAAAAGGAAGTAGCGACGCGAGGATCGTCGTATGCAAGCTTGTTGGGTGGGTTGCAGATGCTGCAATGGAATTTTGACGATCGTCAAGAGCGTCAAATGGGTCTGTCGCAGCCAGGCGGACGGAGAGAGGAAGATCTTGGACGATGAGGAGGGATGATGGTGATTGGCGATGCGATGCGATAGTCGAGTCCAGCCCGGATGGGGGGGAAAAGAGGGGGTTGAGCAGGAATAAATTGCAGAAACAGCGCACAGCAAAGGCCCAGCCGTAATTGCGTCTAGCGAATTAGCGGAATGGGCGTGCACTGGCCGACACCGTCAAGGCACGGTCAATAGCGCGGGAAGGAAAAAGATAGGGGGTTGGGATCGGAGAATGTGTGGAGACCACTCTCCGAGTCTTGAAGCCACCGAGCGCTCAGGTGCAGGTGATGACAGAGAAAGAGGCTGCTGATTCCCGTGGGAGACCCGCAGGAACAGAACACAACAGACAACTGAATGCTGCTGCTCTAATCCTCACTATATTGTCGTCGTTGTCGTCCTTTCCTCTCTGGTGCAAACCGAGGAGGAGGAATTGGCCGTGTCGAGAGATTAGGACTTGTCTATCGAGACGAGATTGGCACAGCCTGGCAAGCGAGACAGAAACCCCTAAAATAGGTGTAGAAATCCAAGAAGAAAAAAGTAGTTTTGAATCAATCAAGTGACCGGATAATTAATACCGGCTGAGGTGGCGTTAAGCTGAGAAGCAAATGATGTGTCCCTAGGATTCGCACGCAACACACAACGATGAGATGGGTCGGGCGACCTGTGTTGTTGCAGGAGGTAGGCTGCTGGGGCGAAGAGCGAGAGCAAGAGGGTCGTCGGAAAGTCAAATAAAGAGACGGGGCCGATGCTGGGTCGCGATGATGTCGAGGCTCTCTTCTCTGTTTTACGGAACACACACACACCAAGAAAGTAGTAGGACTGATACCGCTGGTCCGGGGTTGACAACGGGCCTCCTGAGACACGAAGGAAGGGATAAAGAAGGAGGGAGGAAGAGGAAAGTCTTGAACATCAAGAAATTTCCAAAGAGGTCTTGGAAGCGCAGGAGGGGGGCAGGAAGGGAATAAAAGAGGGATGTCCTGGGGGTTTAAGGAAATTCGTGCCTGTGCTGCTTCAAATGGTCTAGCACAGTCCGACCTGGATGTACCAGTCTAGGTACCTGGTCACTCAGAAAGAAGGGGAGGACAAGAGGAACAAGCACGCACGACAAGAATGTGTGGACTGGGGCGACAGGGGTGTCCACCGTGGACGAGCCAGGGCCCAGCTATACATGACTGGCTGCGAGAGGCCAGGGCACGCCAGGGGGGGGGGGACGTTGGACGGGCGGGACCACAGCGCACAGGACAGGTCCAGGAGGGTGGGTGGGTGGACAGGGGGGTAGGGAAGGGGACATGGGCAGAGCCAGCGGCAGCGCAGAGCCAGGGTATAAGCGTGGATGGGCGCCGTTGGTCAAATAAGTAAGACGAGGGAAGGAGGACGAGGACGAGGAAGGAGCAGCCACCACCACCAGGTCTTAGTAGGAGAGAAGGAAGGGGAAAAGAAAGAGAGAAAAAAAGAAAAAGTTGGGAAGGGTCAGACTGAGGACACACCCGAATCCTTCGTTGCTGCTCGTCAGCAGGCCAAGGCCCGGTTTAGCTAAGCCGGCTTGCTCTACTGGTCTGGCTGTGTGTATACAGCCTGCTGCTTGTGGTCCTTTTGTTTTCTTGTTTCTTCTTCTTTTCTTTTTTCGTCCTGGCCGGTGCCTCTTCCTTACTACTACAGTATTATTATGCACCATATATTTGCGGGTCGGTTGACATGAAGACGAGCACACGAAGTTGCGCAGTTCCCGCTGTCCACGGATGCCGCTGGTGGCGGAGATAGGATTGTTCGAGAGAAGAGAGAGAGAGAGGAGCTGGGGCTTGCGCACAGGTCCTCTATTCAATTTGTATACCTGGTACTACTACTATAGTGTATATGGTACGAGGGCTCCACAGGATGTGCGAACACCGCAGAGAGAGACAGACAGACACAGACACGAGGACTATTGCTCGGGTTGTACAAGCAGGAAATTGGGCAAAGCCATGTTTGGGCTAAGCCGTATCCCATCAAGGCATCTGGGGCCGTTTCTCTGGGTCCCTCTGGGGTCAAAGCCAAGATGTCAAATCACTTCATAACCCACACAACAGGCCCTCAAGCGAGCGAGGTGCCCGGAGAATTCGCCTCGTGGTTACCTTCCGGCCGTCGGTAATGAGGATTATCGGCCGGTATGGAGTGCGCTGCAGTGCAGCGCAGTAAGGGCTTGTTGAGGATTGGCAGCAGACACTGTTGAAGACTTACTTGGCTTGGAAATAACCGTCCAACAGAGACGTTCAGTCTCATTCAGACATGTGTGTACTTTCTATGGTACTTACTTGCCCTAAAACTGCCATACCCTGCCCAAGTCCTCTGCTGCTCCACTGTGCTCGCTCGGAAACAACAAGAGAAGGCGTGCTGTGGTAAGCAACGGCGGTATTATCTGCGCTTGTTTGTCGCATCATACTCGTCTTCTCAATTCGAACATCGCAACAGAGGACCTAACCTGCCAGACCCCCTGTTCAGCAGAGATTGGGTCTGTCACTGGGCGCAAAAGTCAGGGGTGGGGCGTGAAGGGTCTTGATGTTCCTCGCACTGGGGCACACAAGCATACGTCCCCGTATCTGAAGGCCCCCCCCCCGACCCCCTCTCGTTCCCTCCCCCCGGCGGGAAGTATGCGAAGCGAGGTGGACAGAGATGGAGGTACGTAGTATTCTTACTCATCCCTCTCAACAAAACAATTAGAAGCCACAAAGTGGGAATCGGATAGGAAGGGGGCGCCGGCGTCGCTCCGCAAGGGGAAACCTCTTCGTTCCAAAACATCAACAGGCTAGTCGTGTTGGGTCTTGGAGAGAGAAATGTGCAGTACATAGTCCGTAGGAGAGTCAGCTGGGAACTGGCGGCGAAGATCCCTTCCTTCGGCAACTACGCTTTGACAATGCAAACCTCTGGCAAAGTGGTTGATTCTATCCCAGCCAGCACCCCCAGCTCGTGGAGGACATCGAGTCCCGTCCCTACCACCACACACACAAGGAGGCCAGTAGAGCGACCTGGACTTGCCAGCATCGCCGTGTGGCCGGTGTCCAAGATTCTCTGGGGTCACACTGCACGCTAGATGACATTCCAGGGTGTTCGTGATTGTGAAAGAAGCTTAGATAGGAAGAATTGACGGCGGCCAGAGGCTTGGAGCTCTCTGGTTGTGGGGAGGCAAGGAGCATAGTCCTCTCAACGTTAGAGACAGGGACGTCAACTCCTTCTCCCTGGATCCACGTTGGACTAAAATTTCATCAGCACGCACATACCCCCGTGCAGTCCAGAACGGGCGGCTGTTTTGCGCATGATGATACACTACGCAGTACCATTCAGGGTTCCGCGCAGAGATCCAAGCGTCGGAGGCGCAGTGGATCTGGTAATTGTCACCCGAACCGCGTTTTCGCTGCTTCTTTCAACTGTTGTCTTGGGTAAAGGAGAGGCTCTTGCGGGCAGCCCGTGGTACAGGCCAAGTCGTTCATCAGAGCGCAGAGACACTGTCTAGCCTGACGGGATGGCGTCCTTGTCGAAGTCGCTCTCATTCCATGTCCTCTCGCTTTGCCCGGTGCGGGGAGGTTGCCATGATTCGGTGTTTCTTGCCCATTCACGCCGTACAGCTCTGAGCGGACGCTGCTTGACAAAGCAATGGCCAACAATATCTCGTAGCGCAGGCCGCGGTCTGTGGCCGGCCTCCATAAGCGTCAGAACGCTGCTTAAAATAAAAATAAAAATTGCCCCTCTTGTGGCCGAGAAGCGACCTGCGAGCGCTGATGCAGGCCTGGGTGGATGGCCTCCTTACGTTGTCATGGGTAAGGCAGCACTTCAAGCGTATAGCGCATTAGATTGATGGTATGGGATTTATCGTCGTCAATTTTGCCATATTCAGAGGTGACAGCCTTGCCGTGTGTACACACACATCAGGGGCATCTGCAAGCGGACCACAATGAGATCATCCTCATTTGCCTGAATAGGTCTCACGATGCCTTTTGCTCGGTAACGAAGCGGTTTCTCTTTTCATTCTCGCTGAAACTTCACTTAGCTGCCTTTCTTTTCTTCTCTTTTCCCCTCCCCAGCCCAAGTCGTCTGTCCCTCGTCACTGGTTCATGCAATTGTCCGTAGCCGCCAGGTGACCTGGGGATCGATCTGAAGGACCGTAGTGGCTTGTCGTAGCGCGCTCCGCTGTACAGCTTGTATCCAGAACCCTGTCCAGGGCAAAAGCTGCTTTGATGGGACAAGGGCTCCCTTTTTCTTCTTTCTTTTTTTTTTCTTTCCTTTTTTCCTTTTTTTTTTTTTTTTTTTTTTTTTTGCACCCCTCCACCTTCATTGACAGCGTAATATGATGCCAAGCCGGGCGTGACGGGGATGGAGGAGACTAAAGGAGGACTAGAGGTGCGCACGGTGAATTGGAAGTAGCTGAAGAATCATACCATAGTAAAAGGTTATAAGCTTCAATCAAGGTTGGAGAGATTATCACAGATGGACAGAGCCTCATCGACCTGTGGCAGTTACTTCCAGACAGCCAGATCTGTCCACCGCCACTGTCTACTGCCGCTACCGTGAAAGACGACGTCATGTCTCGCTGCCTCCTTCTTTTTATCGTCTCCAACGCTCGCGCAAGGAAGGTGCAGGTTGTTCCATTCTTTGACTCTTCGACTAGCTACAGACCTGATTCAGCTGAGGAGCACCTGCCACCACACGACGACATCCAAGAAAGCCCGACCCGTCTACTTCTATCAAGGCTCTCAGACCCGCTCGTGGCTCTCGCTCGTGGCGGTCGATTACTATGTCAAATCTCCGGCTATGATTCGTCTACCATGGTACAATCATGGACCCTTGGCTTCAATGCCCATTCTGCATGGAGTGGGTTGAGCAATGATCAATCATTCCCCGATCGCCGAATCGGCTTAGAGGCAATCACGTACCATAATACAAGAGAGATGCATCGGAACTGGGCCCGGATGCTGAAGGAGCAGGGCCAAATCGGAGCGTGCCTTGCCTGTTCTGCCAGTCCCAGCCCTCTCTATTTCATTCCCTCCTGGTCGTCGTCCCCTCTTCTCCAAGTCACGCACACCACAGCGCAGGCCATGGCCCCACCCCTCGTGAGTAACTTAATCCGAGAAAGGATTGTGGGTGTGATATCTGAGGCCGAGCTTGCAGCGACCCACCAGGCGCTCTTTTTTTGTTGCATTGCGGCAGACGCGTTTCAGAATCAACAGGGGCCGAGCCTGAACCTGCCCGTCCTTTGCCCTCCGTCTCCCCTTGTCATGGGCCTTGTCTCTCTGGGCGGTAGGATCCACTCGCCTCTTCCAGAACGATTTGATACGAGCTCTCGGGCCATCTCCCGTGGGTTGTTCTGGTCCCCCTCTCGCCTGGCTCAACATCCCTGCAAGGCGACCATGTCGACAGTGCGTCTGCTTTTCCTTGCTCCCCCTTCAGTGACATTCAGGTGGCCTGACGTATTGGCCGCTGTGTGATTCAGCAAAACCAGACTGCAGATCTCTGCATGCCGACGGTCCAGTGGCGGGACTCTTGGCAGACACACATAGCGAATACCAGGCCAGTGGTGTCTGGGCTGCTCTCCACCAGGCGGCGCGCACCATTCTGGGCGTCCTTTTGCATGAAAGAGAGGCACGAAGAGGGGTCTCGATCATGACCACAGAGGACCCAAGTGGGACCCGCTACCATATTTTTCAGCCTATTTACTTAGGGACGGATATCCAGCATGACTGAGTAGTAGGTGGTGGTGTTCTGCATCATCCATTCCAAGAGCATGGAGTGGTTCCCGCCAGTCATCTCTTCCTGAAGACAAACTCAGTATCGGAGCTCGTGATTGTGATACTGGGAAGGGCGGGCAGACCCATCAGAACAGTATGTCATGTGTCCCCTTCTCCTGTGATGATTAGAGCGGTACCACCAGCCTTCCGAGGGAGGCGACAAAGTGCGGTCGGCAA